CACTTTAAAAGACTTTTTTGAGTTAAACCTTAATAAAGAGACAAATATTGATATGGTTTGGGATGCTAGTAAGGTGGTGCTAAGAGGCTTTCTAATCCAGCAAAATAGTCATAGAAAAAAAATAAGAGAACAAAAGAAAGATGGAATCCTGACCCAATTAAGAGAATATGAGAAAAAATTAATAACAAATCCTAGTGATGATCAAATTAAACAAACATCCAAATGGTTACAATTACAATACTCAATGCTAATTAACCAAGAAGTTGAATGGAGAATTAAATCAATGAGGCAAAAAATTTTCGAATCCGCAAACAAAACGGGAACATTTTTAGCCTGGCAACTACGAAAAAGCAAAAAGCAAAATGTGATCAATAAGATAAAAATAGAAGAAAGGCTTGTGGAAGAGCCAAACGAAATAAAGAAAAACTTCCTAAAAATTTTTGAAAAATTATACAAAAAAGTAGAAGAAGACATAATAGAAATAGGAAAATATTTAGAAAATAACAGAATAACATCCATAACGGAGGAAGAGAAAACCCAATTGAACAAGTCCATAACAATAGATGAAGTCCAGGAAGCAATAAAGAAAATGAAACAAGGGAAAGCTCCGGGCCCAGATGGCTTATCGGCCAAATATTATAAAGTTCTTGGAGAACATTTAGCCCCGGTGCTACGTGATGTAATGAATAACATCCTACAAGGAGGGAAGATACCGGACTCCTGGAAAGATGCCCACATAACGTTGATACCCAAAGCGGAGTCAGACAAACTGAGTATAAAAAACTAGAGACCGATATCACTTCTTAACAATGATTATAAAATATTTGCGGAAATTATGGCAAACAGACTTAAGCATTATCTAAAAAATGTAATACACACGGATCAAGTTGGATTCCTTCCTAATAGACAACTAAAAGATAACGTTAGGCATATAATAAATATCATCGAATACCTGGAAAGGAAGAATGAAATCCCTGCAGTATTAATTTTTATTGATGCAGAAAAAGCATTTGATAATGTATCATGGCAGTTCCTATTAAAGTGTATGGAGACAGCAGGGATAGAAGGTGCCTTCATGGAGGGAATCAAAGCAATTTATTCTAGTCAAAGAGCCAAACTGATTATTAACAACAATTTAACTGATACATTCGAGATTTCCAAGGGTACGAGACAAGGCTGCCCCCTGTCACTGCTTCTTTACATAATGGTATTGGAAGTAATTGCAAATAAGATAAGGAAAACACCAGAGATACGAGGAATTAGAATTGGGGTGAAAGAATTCAAACTGAAAGCATACGCGGATGACTTGGTAATCTCACTGGAGGACCCAAAACAAAGTATGGACAAAGTCCTGGTACTTCTAGAGGAATTTGGGAGAGTAGCGGGCTTTAAGCTAAATAAAACTAAAACTAAAATGATGGTTAAGAACATAGGGGAAGACTTAAGGAGGCAGTTAGAACTCCAATCAGGAATTAAAGAAGTAAAAAAGGTAAAATACCTAGGAGTGTGGCTTACAATGAAAAACATAAATTTAATGGCTGATAACTACATAAATACCTGGAAGGATATCCAAAAGGAACTAGATATCTGGAACAGGATAAAACTCTCCTGGTCAGGTAGAATGGCAGCAATCAAGATGTGCATACTGCCGAAACTATTATTCCTATTCCAAAATGTCCCGGTGATTAGAGGAAGTGGAATATTCCAAAACTGGCAAAAAATTCTCTCTAAATTTATATGGCAAGGTAAAAGATCGAGAATCAGATTTAAATTGTTAACGGCTAAAAAAGACAGGGGAGGATTCTCGGTCCCAAATCTGAGACTGTACTATGAAGCCTCGTGCCTTTGCTGGCTTAGAGAATGGATTACTTTGAAAAATACAGATCTGCTAGACTTAGAAGGATTTGACTTAAGATTCAGTTGGCATGCTTATCTCTGGCAGAATAAGGAAAAGGTGCATAAAGGCTTCTCGAACCATATTATCAGAGGAACATTGTTAGAAACATGGGAAAAGAACAAGAAACTGTTGGGGGGAAAAAACCCTGGTGGTTATCGCCTATAGATATGTTAACTATTAAAAAAACAAATATAGAAGGTGAGAGATGGACCTATGAAGACCTCCTAGAAAGATCAGAAAGAGGATGGAAAATTAGACCATATGAAGAGTTAAAAAGTAAATTATCAGGTTGGCTGCAGTACCATCAAATTAATGCCTTATGGAAGGAAGATAAAAAGATCGGAATGAACGGGAAAAAATCCAAGTTCCAGGTAGAGATAATAGAAAGTAAAACCAAACTGCTATCTAAAATGTACAATCAGCTATTAGAATGGGACACCAAGGACGAGGAGGTTAAGGATGTCATGACAAAATGGGCAATAGACCTCGGATACAATTTGGATTTCAACAAATGGACGAGGTTGTGGACTAAAGGAATGAAATTTACAGCTTGCACCACCCTTAGAGAAAATATGGAAAAGATGATGTACTGTTGGTACATCACCCCTGTGAAACTGCAAAAAAATGTATAAGACCGGAGATAATAGGTGTTGGAAATGTAAAACCAAAGAAGGAAGTTTCTTCCACATGTGGTGGAAGTGTGAAGAAATAAAAAAAAATTGGGAATCTATATACAATGAACTGAAAAAAATACTTAAATACACTTTCGTTAAAAAACCCGAAGCCTTTCTTCTGGGAATGATTGGAGACGAGATTAAAAAAGAGGATCATATAATGTTTCAATACGCAACCATAGCTGCCAGGATTTTGTTAGCAAAAAATTGAAAAACCTCAAATATCCCGACTGTTAAAGATTGGCAAATTAAATTATTCGAATATATGGATTTGGCAAAAATGACACAGAATATCAGAGAGTAAAAAGGTACAAAGTTTATTGACGATTGGACTAAATTTATAACATACATGGAATCAAATTCTAGAGATATAAAAATCACAGTAGGTTTAATATAATCCTTGCGATGTTTAGATGACATAAAATGAAAACTGCAGAACAGAATTATTACTTTACATAACCCAAAACCGAGATGGAGGGAAGTCAACTATTATTTGTTTTAACCGATGTTTGTCTTCTGGTTTGTTTATATTTTCTGTTTTGGTTGATGTTTTTTCTTTTCTTTTTTTATTGGTGTGTTTTGTTTATTTTTATTTTTATTTTTTGTTGTTGTTGTTTGGCATAGAAAATTAATAAAAAGATTTTTTTTAAAAAAAGGAAAGTGCAGATGTGTGTGGAAGGAGCAGGGCAGAGGCGACTCAGAATCTGGCTGGCCCCACTGCTGTCACATGACAGCATCTGGCCCAATCCAGACTGGCACAACCATCTGCCTGCCCCTGCCCCTGCCTTGTACCCTGTCCATTGTGTGTGGCAGGGTAGTAGATACAGCAGTGGCCCCACCACTCCCAAAAGCCTTGCCATGCTATGGGCGGTAGCGTGGATTCAGGATTACTTTCAAAATATTCCAGTGGTGGAAATATTACAAAATAGAGACAACAACCTCTGGAAACTCTTCTGCGTTGATGGTAGCTACCACTGTCCTTGAAAAGGATATACAGCTGGGCAAAGGATCAGTTCAGATAGCTCAGTTGTTGTTGTTGTTTAGTCGTTTAGTCGTGTCCGACTCTTTGTGACCCGATGGACCAGAGCACACCAGGCACTCCTGTCTTCCACTGCCTCCCGCAGTTTGGTTAAACTCATGCTGATAGCTTTGAGAATCTCGTCCTCTGTCATCCCCTTCTCCTTGTGCCCTCCATCTTTCCCAACATCAGGGTCTTTTCCAGGGAGTCTTCTCTTTTCATGAGGTGGCCAAAGTATTGGAGCCTCAGCGTCAGGATCTGTCCTTCCAGTGAGCACTCAGGGCTGATTTCCTTAAGAATGGATAGGTTTGATCTTCTTGCAGTCCATGGGATACTGAGATAGCTCAGTATGAGACTCTTAATCTCAGGATCCTAGGTTCAAGCCCGACGTTCGGTGAAAGATTCCTGAATTGCAGGAGGCTGGACTAGATGACTCTCATGGTCTCTTCCAACTTCTATGTCTCTTGCTTTATTTCATACTTTATTTCATCCTTGGTGTCACAAGTTGCCCTAGATCAGCTTGTCCTTATCCAAGAAAAAAACCTCTGCATGTAGTTCAAGCTCCGCTATGCATTAGAACAAGAACAAAAAACAAAACAAAAACCAGCTAACTTAATTGAGATTTCAAATGCTGTCAAGGTTTTCCTAAAGCAGTTCTTATTATGGAGAACAAACATCCCACAGGAGAACATCCAAAATTAACTGTCCTACAGAGATCACACGAGGCTGGAACAAAGGCTGGCATTTCAGAAGCAGCGTACAGTATCTGTTTCTTTCTCCAGAGCTAAACTAATCACCTGGAGGCTTTTATTTTAGATTTCTCCTATCTTGTTTTGTTGAAAAAGTAATAATGTTGCAGAGAGTGATGTTTTTAATGCAAAGTAGCTTACTTCTGCACAATCATACTCTTTTCAGCTGATCCCAATTACAGCTCCAGCTTCAGTTCACCCTCTTAATCCCCTAAAAATGCATTTATCATACTAGTTGGTGTTTTCTAGTCCTTTGTGCAGAGGCTTGTTTTGTGTTTTTTTATTCTCTGTCATCCTTTTACACTCCTCCTCCTCTGTTCCTAAAACAGGATAAGCTTCATAAAATGCCTTTTTTAAAAATGTTAATAAAATAGCTGAGCCCAGTTACTGATCTATGTTACAGAGATATAGAGCCAGAATAGCTCACATCAAGCATATATATATACACACACACACACACACACACACTCAACAGCCCCACTCCTGGTTCAGAATCAGACTTAGCCATTCCCCCTTGCCTGAAATATGTGTAGGAGGATCAGCTTGGCAACCTACGAGTTAACAAGGCAGCACGTGTTAAGTTGAGCTAAGTGAGTAATGCACCTAGTTAAAGTTTTCAACGCGGCTGCAATTTGGGGAGTGAAAGAAAGGGAAAGAGCCAGATCAGAAGCTGTTATTTCACGAGCTGAGCTCATTTTAAAGAGGGTCATGAACACAAGGTCAGTAGCACTTGCAGAAATTAGTAGCTTGCTCCAGTTTCTTTTTTTTCCTTTTTCCACAGCTTCCTTCTTCAGAGAGGAGAAGCATTCTGGAAGAAGGTTTTAACTCCCAAAGCTTATGACCCTTCTTCATCAGGGTGAAACTTGTTCAGTGGATAATGATTTGAACTGTCTAACGCTGAGTTGTGGGAGGAGGGGTATTTCTTTCTAAGGAAGGGGGTGGAGAGAGAACTTAGCAACATTAGATCTGTCTTTATTCAGCCACACACACACACCTACTCCTCTGTGTGATATGGGTCGGTGCTGGTTTTTGCAGGCCAGGACTTGAATCTGGAATTTAGCTATCTGCTTCACTTCTGCTCCGTGTACAGTTGTGAAAGGTGCCAAACAGGTTGAGTCACTTTTTCTGCTGTGGGAGGAATACTGATTTCTCAGGCTGGCTTTGGATGATTAAGTCAGCTAAGAAGAGGCAAGAGACAAAAACTGCCAGTCTCCTCAAGTCAAGCGAGGCTCTTTTACTCCCAGGTATGCCAAAGTAATGATTGCCGTCAAAGTGACTTGCAGATGAGAAAATCTAGAGAATGAAGAGAGATGCCTTTTTGAGAGAGTGTGAAGCACTGTGGGTGGGCCAACAGAGCGATGCCTGTTCAATGTTGGCCTGTTTAGAAAAGGGGAGTGGAGGCAGGAATGTGTTCAGCCATGTGTTTTACCAGAACACCTTCTGGCTTTTCTCTGGCGTGATCATTTTTTACTGCTTTCACAGTTATTCTTTGCATGCCATTTTTAAGATGGGGCTGATCCCTCGGCAATACATCTGAATAGGAACATGATGCCCTGGTGTCAACATCTCACTTTGAGTGGAATTTATGGGGTCCTCTAATTTTTATTTTTATAATCACCTGTGCCAGTGTGTGAGATGCAGCTACCTCCTTCCTGCCACACAGCAGCCAATGGATATGATTCTGCTTACTGGTACTTATATTCACAAATGACTAATGCCAAACTTTGTTTGTTTTGGGGGGTTGGAACACACCATACAAATCAGCTCATGAGGCTTTGCTTCGACTTGTAGGTGGCATGCATTTCATAATACCAAAGTAGTCAGGTGCTGCAATTGGTCTCTCCCTCTCTGTTGTTTTCTCCTTACAGGATGGCGATTTTCGGATTCTAACAATTGCAAGCGCCCTTCCTGAGCAACGTATTTGGTCACGGCAAACATCATGTGGAGTTTTCTGGCTCTGCTTTGAAACTGGATTTCTTCTTTGAAAAGGGGGGGAGAAAGAGTATGGATGATTCGGCCTTCTTTGACATGCTAGAATGCCCAGTGTGCCTGGAGAAGCTGGACGTCTCAGCCAAAGTACTTCCCTGCCAGCACACCTTCTGCAAGCCTTGCCTCCAGAGGATCTTGAAGTCACACAAGGAGCTTCGGTGCCCGGAATGCCGAGCCCTGGTCCTCTGCAGCATTGAGGAGCTTCCAGCCAACCTGCTTTTGATCCGCTTGTTGGATGGAATCAGATTTGGACCCAACAGGATGAAGTTTGGCTCGCTACAAAGATCTGGGGTCCTCTCCTCTCCTGCCTCCATCAGGCGATTCCAGGAAGAGCCAAGAGCTGTGCAACTCAATCAATACAGGCTGACTGCCAGTCCCAGGATCCCTATGGAAGGGGTAAGGAGGGTCCATTTATTTTACCGCTAACTTTATCAAGCAGGACACACTTTTGTAGGCCACATTTCATTTCAAAGGGTCAAATGTATTCAGATTGTGTATAGAGTTGGGTGCTTTCTTCCCCAGCTATCTCAACTGGATTTATGTTGCAACTCCCTTTTAAGTTTAAACTTATTCCAGCTGGAACCATTTCATGTGACAAATCCGGCTACTAGGCTTTTAGGGGATTGCCATCTCCAGCAGAGCTCAAAATTGTGCTGAGACTTTTCAGGTGACATTGCCGTACTTCTATTTCCAATCCAAGATTAAACCAGGGAACGGACGATTTATACATTTGGCAGAGCCAAACTACTTTCACACCTGTCGAGGACTGAGAAAGGGTTGATTTTCACTGACCTTTTTTAAGAAAAACCCGAAGGAATGCTTTGTCCTGTGCCAGTACAACCTGAGTAGGAAAAAAATATATCTGTAATAAGACTAGAATCGAGTTACTAGAACTTTTAACTAGATGTGTGACTGGGTCTGAGTATGGGTAAAAAGTAGGTCAGCTGTGCCCTAGTTTCTAGTTTCTTCTTCCTCCTGCCTGTCGCACCAGTTCTTCTATCCTCAAGTGCCTTTCACGAAAAGCTCATTGTGTGATTCCCCCCTCCCACCATGTTTGTTTTCACAATTATGTGAAGGCACAAAGTGTTTGGTTTTGGGTGCTTGGCAGACTGTGAGAATCACGTACGTATGGCTGTGAATGTTTCTTCAACAGTTTTGCTTGGAGATCACTTTTTCAGGGAGTTTCTGCAGCTGGTTAGCCCTTATGTAACTATACTCCTTGGGAATAATATGTATCTCGAACAGCCCTACTATAGTTCCCCTTTACCAGCGGTCATTTAAAGTAACACTTAAGGGAAATGCATGCAAAGGAACTCTCAATGGGTTGTTGCTGGGTTTGCTACATTTCTATCCTTTCGTTCTTCCACAGAGCTCAGAGCAATGCCTATGGGTCTCCCCGCTCCATTTTATCCCCACAACAACCCTGGGACGTAGGACAGGCTGGGGTTGCATATGCACCAAACTTTTAAAGCACCCCCCAAAAATACTGGGAACTATAGTTTACCTCTCACAGAGCTACAATTACCCACACCCTTAGCAACCTACAGTTCCCAGGATTCTTGGGGTAGGGGAATGTGCTTTAAATTTTTTTTAAATGCATGGTGGATACACAGATGGAGAGATAATTGCTGGTCGAAGGTCACCCAGTGAGCTTCATATGGCTGAATCCTGGTCTCCCTCGTTCTAGTCTAACATTCTTATCACTATGCCACATTGGTGGGGGTTTTGTTGTTGTAACCCAGAAAAAAAATTACATTCAGCTATCTTATTCTCTTTTGATTCTGGGTGGCATCATTTTAATTCATTAGGGCAGTAGTCCAGATAAGCAATCAGAACAAGTCAAAAATGGGTGAGCGCCATACCTGTCAAACTTGGTATTATCTGTAACCTAGATCAATCATCGCTTGCTAGATAGTTACCAGGCCAGCTTCACCCTTCTTGTCACATTCACATTGCAAAGGCACCCGCAAAATTCATTGTGTAATTCTACTTTCTTCATCAAGGGTGGAATTGCCCACATGGTGCTCCTGCACAAGCCCATTGTGATAAATATGACAGTGTTTGGAAGGCTGGACTCTTAACAAAGGTGAGGGAAATGCCGTTCAGCAAGCCTAGCCACCTACATCGTGGTTTCATTCTAACATACAAATATTTAGAACAGTTCAAGAATGTCAGCATCTAATTTCTAGTGTCTAGTGTTTGGATGCTGACATGCTTTAGCTGTTCTGAATCTGGATGATGAAATCTTCAAAACAGCTTTCAGGTTACTAGATTCAAGTCAGGATGCAGCAGCCTTGCAAACACTTGCCAGCAGTGCATGGTTCAATAGACCCGCTGTGGCCTCCAAGACTTAATGGCCATGTAACATCTGAGCAACAAGAAATGTCTGTATATACAAATGGTACAGAGAACCAAGACTGAATGAAGGTTGCAGGATATTAAACATGTGCACACATAAAGTACAAGGGATACAGTGGTACCTCGGAGGTCCATTCTTAACCTGAAACTGTTCTTAACCTGAAGCACCACTTTAGCTAATGGGGCCTCCTGTTGCTGCCTCTGTGCCGCCGGAGCATGATTTCTGTTCTCATCCTGAAGCAAAGTTCTTAACCTGAAGCACTATTTCTGGGTTAGCGGAGTCTGTAACCTGAAGCATTTGTAACCTGAGGTACCACTGTATTAAAAAGTGGGCCAGTTTTCAATCCCTGTCTCCAAAGGCTGACTTTAATGTGGCGATCTAAAAAAAAAGCTCTGAGAACTAGTCTTGTGAATTAGAGAGATGCGTAGCAGTTGCTTCAAATAGTGGAAGGGGGAAAGAGACAACACAACCATTGAAAAGCATGTTGCGAAATTATTTCTTTTGCTAAATGGCACTGTGGATAGCTTCATTCCTGGGACAGAAACCATTAGAAATTGCAAGGTAGGGAGCATGAGCCAGCAGACTGCAGTGTAATGTTTGGTGGAGTTGACAGGTCTGTTCGAGTAATTGCTTCCAGCAAGTAGATGCATGAAGGAGAAAGAGGAGGAGGAGGGAGGAGGAGGAGATTGTGGTACTGATTTGCTTTATAGCTATAGCCATTGGTTCCCTTTATGGTGTTCTGTGGATCCCATGCTGGGCCAATGGAAGGATGGAGGAACATGTCAGAATAAGAGTAGCAGTTCTGAGCAGCATTTCTTCCTGGTTTGCAAGACCCCAGGCGAGGGCCAACGGGCATAAGCAGGAGCAGCAATCCTATAGGTAACTAAGTGGGAGGTTCTAGGGTTTTAACATCAGAGCGGAGGAAAATCCAGACTGACTTCACTGCCTGCAGATCAGCTATTAGGAGTGGGTGCGCAGGGATTTGCCTCACCCTCTGGTGTTCACTCAGGACCAGGGCTTATCGCCAGTCACGTTGCCATATGGCTGCCACTAATCCAAAAATTACAGTTATCTAATCCACAATGTGTCCTCTCCCATAATAACTCTGTGTGAACAACTTCCAAATGTTTGGATTATCTGATGAGACATTCGGATAATGAAGAGTGCTCTCTGTATATTAAGACATTTCAAAATACCCTTTCAAGTCAGCCAGACCTTTTCAGTTGATTTTATATGACATCAAAAATAATTACAGCCATCAGTGTTGTTCTCTATAGCGTCAAAAGGAGCCTTGCAAGGTGTCTGCCAGTGCTCCCTAGGGTGATTTTAGTTCCTTATACTTGTCAGAACCTCTGCAATAATTTCCCTCCCAATCTCACAGGGCTTTGAAAAATGACCTTGTCTTGAAATGACTAGATAACAAAGGGATTATCATTTTTTTTCAAAAGGGAAAAGTTCCTATAATAAGAAAGTAATAACATGAAGTGTATTGATTTCTCATTCCATGTCTGCATTCTAAGTATATGTTACAATGGTCCCATGCTAATGTTTCTCAACAAGAAGTTGTATTTATTATTATTATTATTATTATCATCATCATCATTATTAATTATTTATTGAATTTATATACTGCCCGGAGGTCTCAGGGCGGTTCACAGAAAAGATCACAATATATAAAAATCAAAAGAAAAACTATAACCCAATAACACCCCCCAAAAAGAGCCACATTTAAAAAAGGTTATAGGGTATAGTTGTAAGAGTTCATGAAAAAACATGACCTCCTCCCAAGGAGATCTTACTCTCCTACATATGCTGAGTATTTCCTCTTGGTGCATATTTGCATATGTGGCTTCTAAAGAACTCTTAAAGCACCCTCTGTTAAACTTTGCCCCCTTGTTTTTTCATCCTTGCCTGGCTCTAAACCTGCAGAAAAGCAGCCCCACCCATGCCAAGCACAGCTTCTGCCATTCCAAGTGATATTTCTTACAGCCATCGTTTGGCATTGTATACAGACTCAACACATTCCTGTGCACAGTAAAATATTATGCTTCCTGGATCTCAGCACGTCGTTCACTTACAGGCCATATCTGCGAGAAACAGTTTTGCACAGAGTCACGCCAGGGAAATTGACCTCTTCACAGGTTTGGCAATAGGGTGAAAGTGAACGAGACAATGTTGGCAGACATTCAATTCACACCTTCCTGATTCTCAGAAGGCAGCTCCCTAGAGACAGTTAAAGTCAATCTTGTTTTATTTTGATTGAACATACTGTTCAAATCGGAACACTTTCAAAAGCCTCAAGGAACCACTAAGGCTGCAGAAGCATCTGATTCTTCACTATGGGACATAAAGTACTCTCTGTACCATACCACCACTTATGCCCACTTAGGCTTACTGAAATAAAATGAAACAAAAGCAGTTTAAGTACTAGTATATGCATGTTAAGTAGTTTGCACCCTGCCCAGTAGAGAATGCTCTCCATTCTGCAAAGATCTATTTTGCAAGGATCGGGAAGAGCGAAAAGTTGGGTCTGTGAAACCTAAAAATAAGAGTGCTGCACCAAATACTATTTTTACTTTTTGATCAGCAGTAGCGACTTCCATGCAGTATTTTCTTTCTGGCTACAGCAAAGATTCATCATCTTTCCCCCTAACTGCTGTTTCTTTCTCTTTCCTGAATTAGCCACATAGATCATCCCAGCCAATGACAGATCATATAATAAATGAGATGATGTCATAATAGGAGGTAGTCAATCATATATGGTTACATGACATGAGGCAAGTGAATGCAGTTGAGAACGAGAGCAATTGAAAGCAGTATAAATGAATGGAAAGCCCTCCCCCTTCTTCTTTTTTTACAAAAAAAATAACGCTAAAAAAACTTTCAAGCAGAAAAGAAATTTTTGGCACTCCTGAAATGGTTCACACAAAGAAATCTGAGAATCATATTGGTTTAGCCTTAAAGGAGGGTGGTGAAGGAATATGTTCTTGCATACTACAGATACATAAGAAGAATTAATTGTGGACTATATCAAATATTAATTCATCTTCATTTTTGTGCAGTTTCCGTAACCTGACTTTTTCTTGAAAGTTTAGGTTAACAAAAATATTTGGACCCTGTCAAAAATCTTTGAGACTTCCTTCCCAGAATGTGATTCTCAAATGCTTGTCAGAGGTCACATTATGTATTTTCTCAGTATTTGGGGGAAAATTTATCTCACTATTCTGCCTTGTCGTGTTGGACCACTGCTGTTCCTGTTGCCTCCATTTCTACTGTTTCATTTTAAATGTCTCTTCAGTAAACAAAAATTAAAGTTGACTTCATGTGCTGACTTCATCCCATAGCAGGGGAAAACACACTATCGAAACTTTCCAAAAGCCTGCTGAAAAATTGACACTAATTTGAGAAACTGCTTTAAAACAGTAAAAATAGTGACATGTCAGATGCTGTTTTGTTAATTAATACAATTAATTAATTAATTAATTAATGCAATGATTAAAGGTGGGATAGGGGTTCTTGGACACCAGAAGAAATGTAAATTGTCCAGTATTTACAGTAGTGGTGACTTTTGAAGTTCAGGAACTTATCATCACATCATCCCCAATTGCCATGTTTAGAAAAACATAAACAGTACTTAAAATGAAGCCCATGGTTATGACTTTCTTAGCATTGCTATGCTTGATTGGCAGCTAAGCTCCCAGGAAATATTAGTTTCTTCAATTCTCTTAAAGTCATTCAAGTTTTAGTTTATTTTTGTAAACAAAACAGCATGCTAGGCTCTCATAAAGACCTGTGCTCAAACCGAAACACATGTGATGCATACAGATTTACACACAAAGCCACAATTGAGATCCACACATATATATTCACACACTCATAAACACATGCACACCAAAGAGCAGCACTATATTGCACAATACCTAATTTATTAGGATCAACATGGCTGCAATCCTATGCATAGCTGGTGAGCCCGGGAGCAAGCCCCTTCAAATTCAGTGGGTGCTTACTTCTGACTGCATCGATTTCAACTTGTAAAACACATTGAGATTCAACAGACGATTTTAAGCCACCTGTAATGCAGCCTTTAGCTTTTAATAAGTGTCGCTGCTTAAACTGCTTGACTGAAGCAGGAACCCCATTAAAGAAAAGTAAAGAAGTATCCATTCTCTGCTTGATCATTTTTCTCATCCTCTGACTGCTTCTATGCTAATCTGTCACAAGCTGGAAAGTCTCTTTTCACCTAATTCACATCCTAGAGAAAGGATGGTCCTTCTATCACCAAGTGCAGCAGCAGATTAAATCATCACTCCTGACCTGGAAAAAGTCCCCAAGCTGCCCTCTCTTTATTTCCCCTTCCACTACACCACTAATACATGCCTACACTTGAAGGAATATAATGTCATGCAGGTCCAAGACACTCCTCATTCTATAGGCAAAACTTGCTAAGATAATGACCATTAGTAGCAATGATGCTAGGTATCAAAAACAGAAAGCACACTTTCAGAAAGGCTGTAGGGTCACACTGCCAGCTTTGGGAGGTTAACAGCAACAGAGGATGGATAATAATGCAGTCATGCCCTCTAAGGCCACTCAATCATTTCTGAGAAATATATTGGAGCTAGTACAGAAGTTAAGAGCATGCGCCAGAAAGTGTGTGGTTCAAATCTCACCTACGTTATGGTCTCAATAAAACTGCAGTCCTATGCCCATTTACTAACCCTGGGACTATGCCCCACTGAATCAATGGGACTTACTTCAGAGTAGATATGTATTGTAAATGGCATATTGAAAGCTACTGTTTCTCAGACCCAGCTGCTGCCATGTATCTGCACTGCAGTACAGCAGTGACAATACTGACCTGCCTTAGACAGCTGATGTAAAATTATTGAGATCATGTATGCGAGGTGCTATGAACGCAGAGAACTGTATAACATAAATGATTGTGATGGAAAGGGAGAAAAGAACTGGGAATTTCCCTTCCACAGACAACAACATTGCAACTTTTTCATTCGGATATGCAGTGTCATCTGAAAAATATTCAGACTTTTCTGAAAGTTCTCTGTTTTGATGCGCTGCTTTGATCAGCGCACTCCCATCCTGGATGTTCAGCCATCTCTAAATGGGAGGCAGAGACTCTTTAATAATGTACAGTGGGCTGCTCAATCATGAGAGCGGGAGGAATTCTGGCATACACAAAAATTGGGGCAATCATTGACTGTTACCAAAAAGAATCAAAAAGTTTCTTTAGATCTTTAATGCCTAGGCAGAGAAACAAGACTTTGCTTTTTAAAAGTCTTCTAAAAAAGAAAGCCTTTCCTCCTAAATTGCAGGGAACTCACTTTAGCTGGCCAAGATGAACAAAGGGTTTGGAAAGAGCAGAACACAAGGGAGCTTAAATAATTTAAAAGATGGTGCTTTAGACCCATTAAATCTATTCTCTCCATGTGAAATATATACACTAACGTACGAAGGAAGAACCAGCCTTGAATCAAAGGAAAGGAGGAAGAGGAAATCCAGCACTGACATGAAGCTAATGACACAAAGAGAGAGATGTTTCTGGATGATGCTTCCTGCACAAGAACTGCCTCCATGGCTATAACAGGGTACACTCCCTTTGTTTTCCTTCCACAGCCAAGGATCTTGCCCATTAATTACAAAGAGCTGTTGGGGTTGTTATGAACGTGATCTAGGTCAATTAACATTGGATCAAACTGGGCCAGTCCAAAAGATAAATCCCATTGCTGTCTCAATGAGATGCCAATGGTTCACCTATATAAAAAAATGTTTCTTTGGAAGTCTTCTGCTGCGAGGGCCTTCCTTGCATGCAACCTTCCCTGTGTGAGCAAGAGAATAATACCCTTCCCGTGCTACTGATGAGACACATAAATCATCTGCTGAGATAAAAATACACTCAACTCCAACGTTGCCACCTTCTCACAAACCCCTGAATATATACGCTGCAATATTTTCTTATCTTTCAAAGACATCCTTTTCCCCCTCTTTTGAAGGCACAGATGGGATTTGCCTAACTTGTTCTTCCAAAATTAGCCTCCAAAACTGGCCTTCACAGATCACTTGTCTTGGAATGTAGCTCAGTACACCACTGATGTTTGCATGCTAGAAAGGACAACCTGCTATTATTGACGTGAGAGAGATTGCTCAACATACAGCTCCCAAGCTATGCATGGTATGCCTGTTATGCATGCATTGTAGCCTCCCAGATGCTCTGTCAACTTCCAGTTCCTATGGCCTTTCTTACTGCAGCCATAAAAACAAAGGGATGTTTCAAGTACCTGATGTGCCACATACAGTCTGAGAGCCACACTACAATTTTCATACACCCCAGCCAGCACAATCATGTTGACCGAGGCTGGTGGGAAGATTAATCCAAGACATCTGGAGGGCACCAGGTTGGCAAAAGTTAATTTAGACTTTTGATAGTGCTGTACTTGTTTATTTATTAGATTCCTATGCACCTTACAGGTGGCTTCCCAAAATAGATTTAAGATGCCATTTTAAGGTGCCATGTGTTTCTTTGTTGTTTTTATAGTAGTAGACAGTGGTGGATAGTAGGAGGAATACATAGTCAAGATGGAGAACCTGTGGCCCTCTAGATGTTGTTGGACTCCAACTCCCAGAAGCCCCAGCCAGCATGGGCAATAATCTAGGATGATGGAAGTTGTAGTCTGGTAACACCCAGAGGGCACCAGGATCTCCAATCCTGGTTTAGACTATATAATTTCTAAGCATGAAGGAATGAGTTATTTTCCACTCTTTGGGCCTTCAATTCATCCCCTGATTATAGAAACCAGGGATGTCACAATAAACCATAGTTATCACTAACATGGGGAAGTCTGAAGCGGAAGGAGGGGGAGAAGGCATGTGTTTGTGATTAGGGTTGCTTGATTCTAGTCACCCAGCCATCGTTTGGTGAACATGCCACAGAGGAAAGAGGTGTATGGAGTATTCTAGCAGCAGGATGCTTTGAGAAGCTGGGCTTTGCAGAGCCCAACCCATTATGAAAGGGACCTTCCAGAAAAACTAATTGCTAACTAGCAATATAGATATCAATCATCCAAGAAATTAATTGTGCTACTCTGAGAGCAGGGCAGAGGCTATCTAGATAAGGCTACAAAGGCAACATCTGTCCAGAACCCTCACTCTGGACTTGTGAAACTTGCCAGATAACTGCTCCCTTCCTTCTCTAAACCTGCTACTTAATGGCACTGCTGATGTCTCCCCACCCACCACCCACAGCAATCCTGATTGTGTTAAAGTTTCTACCACAGTGCCTTGCTGCACTAAACCTCCAATATTCAGTTTCTGCTGTGGTCAAATAATAATATTATCATCATGCCTGAGGACGATGCGGTGCCGTCTGAAGGATAAAATGCAGGAATAAACTAGTCTCTTATCTACTACTTTTGAGGCAACATGCAGAGAATAGAAGCAGCAGGAAAGAGAGGGTTACTCCCCCCCATATCACTTCTCCTCCCCTTCCTTAGTCTGTTTGATTATAAAACTAATAGCTCTGTTTGTGCAACATTGGAGGGTACAGAGAATGTGTGTGGAGAGGATGCCAGACCTCTGCATGTTGAGCAGAACATATGAATAGTGCCTGCATAGGTGCAAGTTGTACACGTGTAGTATTTCTGTGCAAAATACGTAATCTACCCCTATACAGTTCATGATTGCACTTACGTAATCTACCCCTATACAGTTGTACATGTGTTGGATCCATGCAGACCTTCCACTGGAAATGCAGAGTCTGGGGTGGGGCCAATAGGTGTGAATCCAGCTCCCCAGCCCTTTCCTTCATTCGCTGCACATTCAGTGTAACATGAGCAAGACTAGAGCCAGGAATCCATAGCATGTTCCTCATGGATGCTTTGGACATGGTTAGACAGGTTGTAAAGATAAGAGCCATTTTGACCATTATGAACTTCCCGGCATTGCAAAAGACTGGTGGGAAAGGACACCCCCCCACACACACACTTTTTTGTTTTTCTTTTGCCAGGAAGTATCAGTGAAAAGAACGGCACATAACTTGCCAAGTGTTTTTTTCCTCAGCTTCAGAATCAACACTGTGTGATTTGCATCGTGTCAAAGTGCATCCTAACACTGTTTACTTTCCATTCCCTCTGCAACCCGTTTTAGCATGTCGCTGCTGTGTACTATAATTAGGAAGCAATTTACTGAAATGTGAAAAGCTTGACAACCTGAGGACTGAAAAAGTAGTGTGCTGAGGCAAACCATTTGGAGGCATCATCTGATGCTAAGTTTTAGCTCAGGGGATGCTTCCATGCGGTGGGTTTACTGTGGGATAAACTGCTCATCCAACAACTGCTGTTCGTTCACAAACATTTTTCATACCATTTACATGAAATCATCATCTTCAAAATGTCAGCCTATGTTTCTTCTTCTTCTCCATCTCCATCTCCATCTCCATTATCTCCTTCTTCCATTTAATCTGGACTTCCTCTTCCAATTTTTAATGTCTAACGTTTTACATTTTTTAATGAGTGGGGTATAAATTTTATGGGTAGGGTATAAATAAGAATATTATTATTATTATTATTATTATTATTATTATTATTATTAAACATCCACAGTCACTGCTAATAAAACAGCTCTTTAGGGCATATTTTTGGCGGGTAGTTTGTCACATGTTTTGGTGGGTAGCCCCTAACACTACACCCCTACTTCCAGGAGCATACCTTAACATTTTGTGTCAGACAACCTACAAACAAAGTAAGTGTGCCTCTTCCAGCAGCAGCAGCATCTAACACTCACATGAGAATGCACCACACTGAGAGCACCCCAGGCATCCTTTTAATTATGCATTCATGCTTATTTCTACTCCTGATGGTATCTGGGCAGTTAGATGCAATACTGCTTCCAATATTGTTTGCACCTGGAAAAGTTTCAGGGTGGTCCAATTGCTTTGTATCCAGACAGTGCATGTTCTATAACTTCCTGCTGAAACCCTGTAATTCGTTATGCCACAACTGTTCTGGTTTATTTTATTTTTGTCCTGTTTTTGTTGTGCTGTAATTGAAGATGCAATAATATTAAGGAAGCACCACGGAATAATTAATAAAGCAGAATGACATGTTGGTGGTCCAATATAAATCCACCACTATTGCACTTTTGTTATGTCAATGACATGCTTCAGGGCACGCCCACAAAACAGCACCAGACTGAAGAGGCCCGCAATTGATTTTGTGAGTTGACACTTACATACCCTCCAACATTTCTCTAATGACAATAGGGACATCCTATTCCTCCATCATCATCATCATCATCATCATCATCATCACCACTTTATTATTTATATCCGGCCTATCTGATTGGGTTGCCTCAGCCATTCTGGGCAGCTTCCAACATATTAAAAAACATAATTAAACATTAAACATTAAAAAGCTTCCCTATGCAGGGCTGCCTTCAGATGTCTTTTAAAGGTTGTATAGTTACTTATCTTTTTGGCTCTGGGGTCGCATAACTGCATATCCTCCAATGTTTCTCTGATGAACAACCGAAGGAAAAATGGGACATACGGGATCAAATCAGAAACCAGGAGGGCTTCTGTAAATCTGGGACTGTCCCTGGAAAATAGGGACACCTGGAGGGTCTGCACTTGGAAACTTAGGAAAACAGGAAAACGAGGCCAGAGCAAGCTGCAGAAGTGCAAAGAGAGAGAGAGATAAATGTTTTTAATTAATTTGTAACCAAGGAAATGACTCAAACAGAAAGAAATGGGAGAAGATTAGCAGGTGTGTATATGCAGGGGGTGGGAATTGTTTTTGTTTGTTACTATGTTATGCATTTTTATATTGTGAAGCGCCCTGTGATCCTCAAATGAAGGGTGGTATAGAAGTTTAATCAATCATAATCATATTCATGATTGACCAATGACACTGCTGGCAGTGGCTGCCATGAGGCAAACATTTTCCTGTTTTCTAGATTCTCTGTCTTATATTTGAAAACTCACACCTGGTAGATAGCAGGTACTGTAACTGCACAACTAAAATGAAGCTATTCTCCAGATCTGTTGTCTACTGCAGGATAGAGGGACCAAGGCATTTTTTAGCTTGACGACCAGTGTTGAAGAAGAAATAGAAAGGAATAAAACTACCTCCCACCAAGAAGAGTGAATGGTTTGTTTGTTAAATTTGCATGGCACCTTTCCACCAAACGGTGGCTAACAGCAACAGGGTATGTGTGATAAAATGTAATGACGTGCCATAAAACAGCAAAAAACAAACATAAAAACAAGGGAAGTAAAGCAGCCAATTCAAAAAGATTACAGAATATCTACAGTACATTGCTTCCATGCTCAACTCTTCTTGCTGCATATCTTATTTTCCTGAATTGTTCTTTTCAACAAGCTATGGAGCTCGCCACTCATAAGCTGTTTTGCCAAAGGCAAGGCTGTGTGTGTTGCAATTCAGCTTTCAGTTTGGTTTGAACCACCTGAAAACCACTCCAGTTTATGCAACCTAGAGATACAACTAATAGCGCTTTTAAAAATATGATCTGTTCAGTAAAAAATCAGGTAAAAGCTAGTTAGCTTCTTCTTCTTTTTTAAGGAAACTTTCTCAGGAAAGAAGGAAGAAATCTTCCCTGAGGAGTGAATCCCCAGTTAATTCATTGCCTTGTATACATTCAGTGTCCTGATACAACAAACGCAAATCCTCCTCCAGCCATCAAATTAATAATATGATGAGTAGAGAGGGGGTGATGACACAGAGGTACACAGCCTGCCTTCTTGGCTGTGTGTATGTGTGTGAAGTGTGTGAAGTGTGCAAGTGTGAAGTGACCCCTAGATGATTGGGACAGGTGAACGTGGTCCTGGGCCAAAAAAGGTTAGCCATTTAGACTATGTTTATATAGCCACGGTATCAAGGAGCTGTCAAGGCGCCAAATCAACCACAGGGCAGGCACACACATGGAAGGCATGGAATACAATTAGCTCTTTATTAACAGAAAATAACGACACAGCAGAGTCCTCTGGTTTGCTTTAATCCAGCTAAGGCATTGCTGAAACTGACCACTAGCTCCACCCTTCCCCCTCTAGCCTTTCACTCTGGATCCTTCCCAAGCACACAAAGGCTGTGTTGAGGGGACGAGCTCCTCCTCTGGGCCTGTTTGGTTCATTGCTCAGCAACATGCAGGACTCTCCTCAATCGGGGTGTCAGGGGGGAGATGAGCCAGCAGGACGGGGACTGTCCTGCTGCTGAGGAGGAGGGCCAACCTCTGATTCCTCTCTGCTCTAACCCTGTCCTGGAAGACCCTTCTTCTCCTGACCCATCTTGATCACCAAAACTCCCTGCTTCTAGCACCCCTCACCTCATCCCTTCTACATCCCTTCAGTGTCCCACCACCAGGATCCGGGATCTAAATCATCATCTTCTGTGCCCTCCCTGGGGGGCTCTTGGGCGGGCAGCTCCCACCACTCTTCCTCATCCAGCCAGCCCCTGACAAAAGGAGGCACCTACCTATGTGAGATATCTGAATGTGCAAATGCAAAAATGTTAGGGCTTATCCATGTGTACCTTTCCTCTGCACTTTCCAGGCATGGTCCATGCTTTCAAGCTCTTCTTCTTCTTCCTCTTCCTCTTCTTCTTCCTCCTCCTCGAGAGCTTTCCCCATGAAAACCCACTCTGAATGGGAGCAAATGTCATTCCACTTCAAAACCCAAATTGCCATTTGTTGTGCTTCAGCTTTAAAGAGCATGTTTTCACAGGTAAATCTCTGGAGGCAAAAATAATAAGTGCCATCAGACACAAACCAGGAAAGCGCAGACCTGTGCTTGGAAACAGCAGGGCAAAAGGTAAATATGGATAAGCCCTTAGTTAGAGTCTCCGACTTCGTAGGCCTCCATAGACTGACTGTAAACCTAGATTCGTTGAAATAAGCTCAGTAAAAGGGATCAGCTTGACTACTTTGTGCCTCTTCTTAGCCTTCTCATCAATATGAACTTTAAATTTAAAATCAACCAAAGGAATACCAAAAATAATTGGTGCACTGCATGAAGACACCTGCAAAAGGACCGTTTGCTTGCCGGAAGCTCTGCAGTTTTTCTAAGAGGAGAAAGGAAAGTTAAAGAAACTCCAACTGTCTTGAATTCCCAGAAAATAATTATAGGAAAAGATTGAAATGACAAGTTCACTTTTTGACAGTATTGTTCTAGGTGACAAGACTGAAGTTATCTCAATTGCTTAAAAAGCAGAAAAACAGAACTGAAATTATAATGAAGTTACCATAAAATGGCACCATTCCTCCACAATAGACATGTGGGCGTTTTGCAAGCTGATCACACAAACTGTGTAAATAACAACCTCTCCTTTCATCCTGGAAGTGCAATCTATGGCTTCCAAAGAACTGTTAATGGCTGCCACGTATGATTGCAGAGACTGGTAATTTTTTATTATTTCCTTGTCAATTGTCTTTCTGTGAAATGCGCCTTGCCTTTCAAGGCAATGCACATACCTGTCCAATGAGATTAACCACCAACAAGAGCAAGAGCTGGACTTGCAGGTGGTTGACCACATGACTCCAAGTTTCAGGTGAAGCAAACCAGCCTTGTTCCCAGCACAAGCAGATGATGCACCAGACTCCTCTGGCTTATACTTGGGGAAGAGAGGGACTGAAGCCCAGAAGTAGGGCACATGTTTTGAATACCAAAGGCATGGCATCCCCAGCTAAAATGATAAGGTAGCAGGTGGTAGCTTTTGATGCTCCCTATCTCTCAACCTAGCAGTTCAAAAGCACTTCAAAGTGCAAGTAGATAAATAGGTACCACTCCGGTGGGAAGATAAACGGCATTTCCGTGCACTGCTCTGGTTTCACCAGAAGTGGCTTAGTCATGCTGGCCACATGACCCAGAAAAACTGTCTGCGGACAAATGCTGGCTCCCTTGGCCAGTAAAGCGAGATGAGCGCCGCAACCCCACAGTTGTTTGTGACTGGACTTAACTGTCAGGGGCCCTTTACCTTTTTATCTCTCATTACAGGGACACGGGTGGCGCTGTGGTCTAAACTACTGAGCCTCTTGGGCTTGCCGATCAGAAGGTCGGACGTTCAAATCCCCGCGACAGGGTGAGCTCCCGTTGCTCAGTCCCAGCTCCTGCCAACCTAGCAGTTCTAAAACATGCCAAAAGTGCAAGTAGATAAATAGGTACCACTCCGGCGGAAAGGTAAACGGTGTTTCCGTGCGCTGCCCTGGTTTCGGTGTTCCCTTGCACCAGAAGTGGCTTAGTCATTCTGGCCACATGACCCGGAAAAACTGCCTGCGGACAAATGCCAGCTCCCTCGGCCTGTAAAGCGAGATGAGCGTCGCAAGCCCAGAGTTGTCTGCAACAACAAAAGCATCCCAAATTAAACCATTTTATTCGCAGAGTACCTTGAAAGCAGGTGGCTTCCCTGTATTTTTTTTTTCTTCCATCCCTTGGGAAAATGGATTTTAAAAGTTACCAGTCCACACAGGACAGCTCCTCCCATAGGACTGCAGTCAGAACTTTTCTATATCAAGGGGGATTTTGTTATCTGAGATATGCTGCCCTTGCAATCTTAAGTAGCCCAGATCAGAATTCTCTTACCTCAATCTGTGCCAATACATTGAAGAGTTAAACATTATAGGTTGGATAAGCAAGGAAGTTGTGGCATTTCCCCACTCACCATTGTTTATTTGGCTCCGGTTCTTTGTTCCCTTCCTTCAGATTGCTAAGTACAGTGGTACCTTGGGTTACAGACGCTTCAGGTTACAGACTTCACTAACCCAGAAATAGTAAGAACTTTGCTTCAGGATAAGAACAGAAATCGCATGGCGGCAGTGGGAGGCCCCATTAGCTAAAGTGGTACCTCAGGTTAAGAACAGTTTCAGGTTAAGAACGGACCTCCAGAACCAATTAAGTTCTTAACCCGAGGTACCACTGTATCACAAGAAGGGCCATGTGGATGGCAACCATAGTTTCAGTTCTGCATTGCAAGCAGCAACTGCCTGTAGGGTTTGTTCCCTTCATAAACGGTTTTACATTAAATCGTTCTTATGCAGCCTCTTCTTGATGCATTTCACTGACTCAAGGCTTTGTGGGTGAACTGTTGGATGATCTAGCCAATGAGATGCCTTTATGTATCAGAACCAGAAGAATCTTTATTTGCATCAGCTACTAGTCACAGCAATAACATAAAATAAAATGTACTGAAGATAGAGGTAAAAACTTAACTATATGGGGGGTTACATCAATAATCAAATAGTAGATCTTATTTCAACTGCTAACCCGCTAAAAAAAAAAACCCTTGCAGTTGTCACCTGATCATCTTGATCTGCTAAAAGAAAGGACACAGTAGCAATGGTAGAGCGACCCGGCATGGACAACCTCACACCTCAAATTTTTATAAAGAGTACAAGCCAGAAGCACATGAGCCACTGACACAATACTGCCATCTCCACAGGGACATAACCATTTTTCCAGTGGATTTTTTTTTAATCAACCCTCAAGTACAGCCAAAGGCAGTATATTCAATCTTGCAAAAGTGAAAGCGCGCCTGTATTTTGGAATTGTAAAATTTTGCAAATAGGGTGTTCCATGATATCTCTTTCTTAATTTAGTGACCCTCCCCCCTCTTTTTTATATAAATCTAATAATATGAGCTGGGAATCTTATAATAAATATAATGTCAACAAAAGCTGCAACTAGCTCATTAAGCAAAATCACAGTGCACATTTCTTCGAGCTCTGAAGAGAAGCTTTGAACAACTTTCTTCACACAATATGTATTCCGCCCCCTCCTCACCCTCTATTTTATGCAATGGGTAAATCTAGCATATTAGATCATCATCGTTGTTCAACTGAGGCCAGAAATCTATTTTTGTTTTCCTTGGAAAGCCTAAAACCACCAGCGATAGAGCTGAAAGTTGAGCTGAAATGAATTTGTCTCCAGTGTTCCTTTCAAAAATTCTCTTCTGCAATTTTTTATTCAGATATTCACTTGACTAAATCTTCTCTGGTTTATTACAACATTTGAGCACAGTATTTAACATACAGTGATATTTGATTTCAATATTAGACTTTGATTTGATATGTAACAACACCTGATATTTGACAAGAAACAACATTTAATTGACTTTGACAGTTAATATGCACAGGACCATGGACATGAAATAGTATTTCATATTTGGCTGTATTTGATAGAAGTCATCCATTGTCATTTAGCATTGAGGAGTTGACAGCTTAGGATAGATCATGTCTGACACTTGCAAAAAATTAAAAAATCAAGGCATAATAACAAGACAAACAGTGTGATCCAATACATGCAGTCTCAGAAGTAAGTCCCATCGAGTCTAATGGGATTTGCTTCCAGATAAATGAGTATAGGATTACAGCCTAAAGCATTCAAATTTTAAACTTCAGTTTAAGATTTAAATTTGAAATTGTGACAGATTTTGAATGCTTTTGAAATTGTTTCCAGCTGTTACCAAAAGTCAAAGACCCCTTGGTGCAGAGAACACTTGGCATGAAATGTTTTTTTGAAATTACTGAGAGGCAAATGAATGGTTTTACTAAATCATGTGGGAGTCAATTCAGTGGTTGAACTATGCAAAGAAGTACCTTCTTTTGTCTGTGCTCCATCTATCAACATTCAATTTCATTGAGCCATCTTTGTTTCTAGTATTCTGGGGGACAGGATGGGACAGAAACTCCCCCCTATGCCCTTTCTCCACATCACTCACAATTTTATATACCTCTGTTTTGTTCTCCTTACAACAATACCAGTGGCTGGCAGGAAGGGGTGACAGGGTGTTATGTACTGAGTTGAATAGGATCCAAAATGCAGCAGTCTGATTGGCCCTAGAACAATAGGATTCAGAATGCAGCAGTCTGAGTGGTCCACAGGAGCCAGGTGGAAGTGAATCTCCAACCTGATTGGCCTATAGGTGAATCCCGGAATTAGCCAATCACGTGGGTCCCATTGTGTAAATAATGTATATAAAGCAGACATCCTGGGGGAACTTCCATTCCTCCTCACCACTATGAGCTGAATAAAGAGCATGAAATCCACTCTTGACTCCAAGTATATTTCACAGGGCTTTGTCTCCTGGCACCAGAATCACTGTAGCTTCCCTGTAGGGAGAGGCAGATGGGTGAGGCAGTGGGAAGCTTGGCACAGAGCAAATGTAACAGTGTGAGCAATGGATTGGCTCCAGCAGGGTACCCGCACCACGCCAACCTGCCTGCCATCTTGCTCCTTCCCTCTTCCCCCTGGTAAACTGCAGCAATGTTGGTACCAAGAGGCCAGGTAAGTGTCTCCATCCCTCCACACTGGCCATTCCTGAACTGAACCCTTGTGGGCAACAATTTTTGGTCCACAGGATCTGCTCCAAGCTACTGGGATGTGATGCACTGCTTGGGACTGAAAAAGAAAGTTTGTGGATTCTGAACTTGGCTTCAAGAAAAGACATAAGGGCTGTGTGTCTTTGGCTTGGGCTCTAAAGGTTATAGCATTCTCTCATCCCAAAACAAACTGGGGGGGGGGATCCTGCACTGCTACTTCTCATTGCTCAGGAAACTGCTGAGTGCTCATCCCAACTAGTTCCCCCTCTCCCATCAACTTGCTTTAAAAACAGACCCATGCAATTAGTTCTGGATTGGCCCTCAGTGGAGCCCAAGCAAGCATTATAGAGATTTCCTTCTCAGATAGAGATGGCTGAACTCCCCTCAGCTCCATTCAGAATTGGGTCGGCAATTCTGAGTGTCATTGGAGAACACTAAAGGGGGAAATCAACTATGCTCAAGAGTTCTCTCAAGAATCGTAATTCTTTATATAAGCCAAACCACCACAAAGATTGAAAAGCGTTCTGGAAGCTTCCCTATAGTGGAGCTTAAGCTGAATGGGCTATAGTAGAATGAGATGTTCACTAAAAAGGTTGCTTGTTCTGTTGGTCAGCTGCAGCGGCGTAAACAAGTTTCAAGTCCAAAGTCACATGTACCGGTACAATTTGCTTGGCATGGTGGCATCAGCATGAACATCATTTTTTTAAAAAACTATAAAATTATTTGTTGGATGTTCATTAAGCAGTGTGTGCGTTCAGTTAATAGTCAAATGTGTGTGACCAAATTGGTTGCTCAAAGAAAAGCTTCTGTACATCACATTCCCATTAAATAAATGCAAAGTAGGTCAATGTGAGCAATTAACCAAAGTTTCATTGAAAGTAACGAGGAAAAGTAAGAAACTCCTGCACATACAGCAACAGCTTCTGGTGACTATGACTACCTTGTCTCATTAATGCAGGCTATGCAGGTGAAAATATTTAATGGGATTATTTACTTAAAATTTACATTTTGTGCAAGAGGAAGAATTTCAGGGCAAAGGAGGTCTCCTCAGAATCAATGTAGACCTTAAAAGATGGATAAACGTTTATTCTAAGGCCATTTAGCTTTATAATTTGTGGCATAAAAAACAACAACACCCTCCACTTAAAGAATGACAGCATGTTTTAAGAATAGGGGCAATATAAGAATAGGTTGCCCACTCCTACTGTGAGGGGGTGGGGCTCTGGGGCATTCAAAGACCCGCTGTGGCCAACTGGTTACACACTTTGTGGATAAAGTCACGTGATTTCAGAATGATCTTGATTTTGCACGTTGCAGCTCCGGTTGAAGTATCCAATGCCACTATCAAGGATGTGTTGTGAGTTTGGTTTCAGCTTATGCAATCAGCTGGTGTGGACAAGGTCTGGTGGCTATAGGTCCAACCACATGCCCTATTGACCCCTGTCTTTCTTGGACCTGGCTGTCTGGGTCCAGAGCATGGGAGCCAACTCCTAGGGGCCAGCCCCCCCCCCCAAGTTGATGGACATTGCCATTCAAATGGTGTGCATGCACCCTGTCATGTGATCGATTATGCAGGGTGGGGCTTACTTGGGCCCTCCCTAATATTTTTTTCAAGTCCCTCCCACCCCGGTCCAGAGTGTGGTTAAAACTTCACTGCATATGGGGATGGTCTCTGCTGCTTTGAAAGAGAGCCAGCCTGTTTGTTTGCCTGCAATAAGAAGTAAACGTTTCTTTCTTCTGCCGTCATTATGAGAGTAGAGCAGGATTTGATGCTTGTTGCTAAAGGGTGAAATATAAAGAGGTAACTTAAAGTGATCTGAAAAAAATTCTGCCCTAAGTTACCCTCTACTCTTTTAAAACACTCACTATACTCGCAGTCATAGTGGCTATTTTTTCTTTTTCTTGAATACTTGATGGCAAAGGATTAAAACAGCCCCAGAGGAATAGAAACATTGCTGTGCACATTGCAGTTATCTGGCTGGCTGGTGACTTAGGCTGTGACCTAATTCCTGATTTTCCCACTGTGTGCTGCTCAGCACGGGGCCTTTTCAGGGTTTCTGGGCAGCAAAATCAACCCAGCGACTAGTAAAAAACAAATAAGGTGGAATTATGTGTAGATGGTCCAGTATAAATCCGCCACTAATACGCTATACACCAGGCATAGGCAAACACGGCCCTCCAGCTGTTTTGGGACTACAACTCCCATCATCCCTGACCACTGGTCCTGTTAGCTAGGGATCATGGGTCTTGTAGTCCCAAAACATCTGGATGGTTGAGTTTGCCTATACCTGCTATACACTAATATAATGACATCTGCAACCTTCACCTACTGGTGAAGGGTGGGTAATAAATATGATGCTGATGATGCTGATAGCAAAATGTCACCAATTTGGAGGGGCCTAAGTGCCCTCATCTGAAAGGTAGGATAGGATACAAACTTCCTTTTGTTGATGTCTGCGTATATGAGCAGGGAAATAAAATGATCTGTAGATACATACAGCTCAGTTCTAGCTATGCTTACTCAGAAGTTCCATTGTTTTACTTACTTTAAGTAGAATTAAGATTATTGCAGCCCCAGATTTGTTGATGTTTCACCATGAGAGCAGATTTAACTACTGACTTTGATCTAGTCTACAGTATCAAAGGTGTGTTCTTCAAGAAAAGTTTCTGCCTCTGGGACATCCTAGAGGGAGTATTGTAGTGAGTGGATTTTTTTTGTCCCTGGGTGACATGAAATCAGCAGATCAAAGAGCTTCTTGACATGTGAACATTTAACTCTGAATGCAACATCTGGGCGCCAGGATTGGTTGTAGCTCCCTTTTTCCACCAGTGTAGACACAAATCTGTGTTTGCCCTGTATAAAGGCAGTCCTTAAAGACTGGGCAAACAGTTAATCTAAAACTCCTTACACAGGAGAAGATCATAAATCATAGAACTGTAGAGATGGAAGGGACCACAAGGGTCATCTAGTCCAACCCCCTGCAATGCAGGAATCTTAGTACTCAATTCTTAGTACTCAAGGCCACTTAAGTGATTTTTTTAAACCAGATTTTTGCACTTCCCCTTCTCTGATAGTAAAAATATGATACTAATAAGTTAACAATGCAATGTTATAAATATCCACTCAGCAGTAAGTTGCATAGGTGTTCAATGGATCTTATTCCCGGATAAGCATACCTAGGACAGCAGCCTCAGTAACTAGTAATTGGCTACTCATTCACAAAACCTCAATCAGCTTCCTGAATCAACTGCCTCATTCTGCCTAATGGTAGGAATTGCTGCGTTTCAGGACAAACTTTGGGGCTGAGCCCAAACATTCCCCAAGGATTTTCCTCACTTCTCATTTGAAGGAGGTGTAGGAGAAACTGGCTTGCTTCTGTGGAACATCTCTGAGGTAACAGGCAGGACATAAACCATGGACGGGCAGCCTCAGCCCCCTCCCCCCGGACTACCTCAGGCCAATACATCCTCAGGTCACATACCCTCTGCCCAAGACAAATATTTTACCAGCTCCTTGAATTTTTTGCATGGGTGGAATGTGGGACTTGACATGCTTCTTGCTTAGCTGTATAGATGATCAAGAGGGATGTGTGAGTGTGTGTGAAGACTAGCCCACTGCAGAAAGCTAAAATGGACATTCATGTCTCCACCCACTTTCACTGGCATGGGGCTTCCCAAAGGGAACATGGCCCTTGGGCTGACATTGGTTTCTCACCCTTGATGTGACCATTTCAACAAAGAAGACAAAAGCAGTGATGCCTTGCTGTGGGTCCTTTCCATGTTCATGCTTGGCTATTTACTTGCAAAGGCTGTTTGTTGACTCCTACAAGGATGCCAGCATTGAGGTGGAGCGGAGAGAAGAAGAACAATCTCGAGGAGAGCATGTCGCAGCATAAAAATGCGCAGCTGTGAGAGGGGTAATGTACCTGACTGCTTCTCCGCTCCAGATTGCCCCCGCCCAGAGGCATTCTGTTAAGGAAGAAACGTATGCGACAGTTTTGTTACACACAAGGCGGCAATGAATCGCAGGATTCTAATCAGCCTCAGGGAGGTTGGGGTGTCATTGGGCTGGCAAAGGAAATTGAATTCTGGCTTCCTGGGAAGTTCCAAGAAGCGATCGCTTTGCTTTCCCTCCAGCAGTTCCATTTCTCAGATTCTGCCACATAATTCTTGTATAACTTTGTGTACAGTACAAGAATTATATACAGCGGAATCTGAGACCCAGAACTACGCTGTTCCATTGAAAGCAGCATAAAGCAGTGGTAGTAATTTACTTGAAGCACCAGTGTAGGACCAGAGGATTGTTTAAAACATCTAAAAGTTTTTTAAAAAAACCACAACAACAACTCAGGGAAACAGTTTAGCGTGCTATCCCTTCTTTTAAAATACTTTGAGGTACAAAATAACGGTTTGGATTGGGCCCAGCAGAAACAGGGCTTCTAACTCCATGTTAGCCATGCAGTGCCTTGTTATCCCAGGAATCCTTTAAGAAGAAGTGAAAGAAGGTTTTGATTTTTAAAACCTCCAAGGCAGTATACATATAAGCTATTGAAAACTCCTTGCCTTTGCAGCTGTATAGTAACACAAAAGCTTTTTCACATACCACAATGAACACAATGTAAAAGCTATTCTTGTTTCAGCGATACTCTTACAAATAGTTGTTGTGGGTATTTTTTTTAATATCCAGATTTGAATGAAAAATTAATGGATTACAGGATGTGTTGGAATGTTTTTTTAAGCTCCACTGATATTTGTACACCTCAGACACTTAAATGTCTGGCTGTTCCACCATTACATATAAGCTCAAATGTTACCAACATGGCTTAAGTCTAAGGCAGGTTAAAAGATGAATTGGAAATTGAACCAAAGAGGTACCAAGTTTATAGTCCACACTGTTAGTCTCTACACCAGGGGTGGGGAACCTCAAGCCCAGGAGCCAGATGTGGCCCCTCCATATTATTATTATATTAAATTTGTATACAGACCTCTGTATCTGGCCTTTGGATCCTCCACAGACCACACCCCCTCCCCAGCCACACCCACGCTCCTAAGGTAACTGATCTTTCTCCACATCTTCCATGAGTGTTTTTTGTTTGGATGGGAATGTGCCCTTCAACTCTGACAATGATAGTTACTTGCCTGGGTGGAGGATGGAGATGGGTGTGCAAATGTGTATAAAAAAAACATGCTTACAGTACAAAGGTAAGCATTACATGAAATACTTCACCCAATTTTGTCTCGTGCTCCTCAAACTTCAAGAGCGCTTCTGGGATATGGTTCCTAAGCAGGCTTGCACTCCAGCAACTGTTTGTTTAGGAATTGACCAGTCAGGAATTGTGCAGCATAAGATGATCTGGTGTAAAAGCTACCGGCCTAATGCAGAGACTGGTGCTACACTTGCACCCTGCAATGTATTGGCTGTGGGCAGATTTTGTTGGTGATTTTTGTGTCGGCGTGTATCTAATGGCCAACCAGGCTGTGGATTTAAGCCAGCGCAAACAAAGCTAAAATCAGTTTCAGATCAACTGTCATGGATCACTTGCATTCTCCCAGGCAGTTAGGTGGTAAATAAAGACAACGCAAGACATGCCAAGCTTTACAATTCATTTAACTGATTGTGTGAACTAAGCCTTGGCTATTATTGCCATGCTGCCTGACAAAAAACCAGGTACCACTTCGGAGCTTGCATGGTTTTGCCAAGATAAATATGTGCAATGAGAAACAGAAGGTACCAAGTCCTTTCATGCTTGGAGCAGAGAGGAGAGGGCTATACATTTGGGGGAAAGTCATAGCTCAGTGGCAGAGCCCATGCTTTGCAGGGTCCAGTGCTGAGTCCCTGGCATCTCTGGTTGGGAATTTGAAAGAATCCTGCCTTAAGTTCTGCAGAGCCAATGCCAGTCAGTGCAGAGGTGTAAATGATTCTGAACTAGATGGAGACATGGCCTGAGTTATTATAAGGCCACTTCCTACATGCCTTGCAGTTTGCAGCACTCACAGTTAGTTAGTATGGCTAAGCAAAATTCATTACTTTGCAACTTTCTTTATTTAGGCAATTTATAATCTTCCTTTCAATGCAGCGATTCCCAAGGCAGGGAACAACAATTACAAAATGCGATCCAAAAGCATCCATCAAATCCGCAGGTGACATGGATGAAGAAAACTATGCAGTTAATAGCACTGGCAGACTTACAAAATCCATCAAATTCAAAGTTTGCTGGGCACATTTGATTTGGTTCTGTACAATACGGCATTTTTCAAGAAATGGTATTGTTAAAAACTGTTCTCTCAGCTTCAGTTTTGACAGGCTGTGCTGGTGCTGGATGGTGGGAGGGCAATTTGGAAACAGTGAATCATTGTGTGAGCAGTTAGTAATATTTAAAAGGAAGAACAGTCAGATTTATTTATTTTTTAATCACTTTGATTAATCTTCATCCATCTGCAACAATGAATATTGAATACATATCTTTAGGCACAGGCAAAAACATTCCTATTTTCCCAGGCCTTTGGCTAATGAAATCATCTATGACCTTTGAAACTGTGGGAGACTGTATTGTTTTTATTTGTTACTATGTTGTGTATTTTTGTGTTTTTATATTGTAAATCACCCTGTGATCCTTGGATGAAGAGCAGTATAGAAATAGAAATAATAATAATAATAATAATATCCATCACCCCCACCTGTCCCAGTAGTGATACTAGTGATAACTATGAGATCAACCAAACTACAGTTTCCAGTGGTGCTGGCAAACTATTGAGAAGCACCACCAGGAGCTCAGGGACTGGAAGCCGCTAAGGTATTACCGGTAAATCAAAACATTGCATTTGCTACAGGAAATGTTAGGTGGAAATTAATAGGGCCTTCTCAGTAGTGTCCCCCTCCCTGTGGAATTCCCTCCCTTCAGATTTCAAGGACATAAAGAACTACACAACTTTTAGAAGACCTTTGAAGGAAGCCCTGTATTTGGAAGATTTTAATGCTTGATGTTTTACTATGTTTTTATATGTGCTGTAAGCCTCCCAGAGTGGCTGGGGAAACCCAGCCAGATGGCGGAGTAGTAATAATAATAATAATAATAATAATAATAATAATAATAAGTGAGAACTACCATAAGGCTGCAATCCTTTGTTTTTTTATATAAAATATTTATTGAAATTTTCAAAGTGTTACAACATAAAATAAAAGCAGAAGAAAATACAAAATAAAAATAGTTAACAAAGTAGAAAAAGAAAAAAAAACAAACCCCTTCCAACCATACAAATACAAATTCAAAAATAAGAAAAAAAGACACACACACAAAAACAAAAATACAATTTAAGAACATTTAAAAACAAATTCATTATTCTCGAATCCTCAACTGTCATTACCTTCTTTCTTTGACCTCCTCCTCCTCCCTTTCTTTGTATCCTAGTTATTAATTATCCCAGCAAATCCTTTCCATATTTCATAATATTCTGTCATTACATTACCCTAAACAGTTTTAATCTTATCTTTCTATAAGAAAATAAACCTTAAAGCTTAAAACTTAAATCTTATCCTTACCAACTTCTCATAACCATAATATTCTTTCATAATTCTTTAAACATCTTTACTAAAGCCGAGTAATTTCATTCCAACATTTTTCTGACATTCATCAATTTTATAAAACAGTTCTAATGGTAGAAAAAAGAAATACAAACAGATCCAATCTTCATCCAATGTCCCTTCCTCCTGGTTCCGGGTTTTGTCAGTCCTTATTATCCCATCGATCTGGCCCATTAACCTGGCAACCTTATATCCGAAGCCCTCAAGTCTCTTCCATGTCCCTTTCGCAGCTCTTCTTCATATTTGTAACTGTATTTTCCCTTGTCTCCTGCTCATGGTAACTCCAGCTTGGCAATATTTTTAACCCTTCTCGACAGATCAGCCCCTTTTCCATATTCAGCACTGAATTCCATATGGTATTTAAAAGCATGTTTCAAAGACCCTCCAAAATTAAGAGCCCCCACCATCCCAAACATCTCACGGCCCATTGCCAGATTTGAAAAGTCCAAACATCCCAGCATAGGGGTCAATCCAGCCCCCATTTCCAAGCCAAACCAAACTTTTTCTTTCCAAATCTGGCTTTTTCCAAGTTCATTTGTCAAATCCGAAAACTCATATTCCTGTTGGGCCTGTTCTGTCAGGACACACTCCTGATTTAATTCCTGGGTGGGCTCCACATATTTTCCCACTGTCTGTTCAAAATTTCCCACTGCCTGTTCAAAATTTCTAGTCGAAGTCGTCATCAAATTCACCTTCTCATGTAACTGTTCCAGTAGGGCATTTGTTTTGTAGAAAGCACACAACAAAGCTTCTGAATACATTGTCCTGCAAGGTCAAATGCCTATTCCCACGATTGTAATCTGTAAACAGCTGCCGGCTCCCTGGAGTTGGTTACAGTTTCACAGTCTCCCTCTAGGGGGGAAATTTCTATTTGATCTTGCAACAAAGTTTCCCTTTTTGAGATACTTTGTCAATATTTGTTCCTTTGAAATGCGAAGGGAAACAGTGGAATCACTATGTTTCTCTTCTTTTAGCTATCTGTCAAAAACGTTTGTCTCTGGTCAATGAACTTCAAACGTCAGTCCTGACACCCTGCTCCAGGATCAGGACGGAGGAAAGTTGCTTTACTTTAAACTCACTTTAAACAGTCCAAAAAGATCCCCTTCTTCTCCTGCTGTCGAAGGGGGGTTCCACAATTTTAAATGATGAAATCCAATCCTTTAAAAGCGATTTTCCGAGCTCTAGTTTATGTTGTCTTTGCTTTATTCTGTCTACAGAAGAACGGAAGGCTGACTTCCTGTTTAGACCTTCCCGTTCCGTACCAAATTGAAATAGATTTTTAAGATCCAATTCCTTTCTGCTCGCAAGTCCCCATCTAATGTCCAGTTGTTCAAAGTCTAAGTACTCACGGGTGCTTATTTTAGAGTCCAAATTGTCCCAGGAAAAAGGCAGCGCTCTCCGGCAACGGCTATGCGGCTTCGCTCCACGGAAATAGCAGTTGACTCTCAGCACCGCGCCACTTCCCCCTCTTCACTTCGGAGCCCGTTAGTGGGTTCCTTTGCGAGTTGGGGGGGCGCTAAAGGTGCCCGCTGAGTCCCATGGTCACAGGCTTCATCCGCCTGTGATTTTTGAAAGGGTCCCTGCTTCGCCGTAGCGGAGAAGACCCGTTTCCCGCGGAGCTAGTCCCTCCAGTTCAGAGGGAGTCCGCCATTGCCGATGGCGCCACCCCGGAAGTCCCCAAGGCTGCAATCCTTTGCATTCTTTCCTAGGAGTGTGGCTTGTTGACCTCAGTAGGGTATGAGTGTGGACCTTCAGAAGTTGTTGGACTCCAAATGTTTAAGGAATGCCAGAGACTTCATTAGAGTAACAGGAACTCTTTTCTTGCCTAAAAATGACAATGCAACAGTCTCTCCAAAATCATTCATGCAGTCCCTGCCTATGAGCATTCGATTTCTCCTTGTGTGGGGAGCCCTTTATTGTAGAGCACTCTGTTTCCTTTCCATACTTCGGGGGTTCTCTGCTGATGGCAGCAGTATAGTTTTGAAACCTACGGAAGGCACAATGAGCATAACCGTACCATATTGTAATACTTGGCTTTAGCTTCCCTGCCAACTAATGTATACCCAAAATAGGATTTCTCCTCTCAAGTTGCAAAATGTGAGAAAGGTGAGGGTTAAGCTTAAGGGCTTTGGAAATTAACGTTGAGCTATAAAAAGCATAAGCCATTTGCATCTGCTGTCTTTGGCATGAACAGTTAATATCAATCTGTTCTCTAAAACATGGGAGGTGGGAAGTTTGGCATTTGTAGAGCTGACTATATATTTAGTCTATGCCACTTGGGCTCAAAATGCCTGTTAAAGGCATCGTGTGTGTCTTGTATTTTAATACAGACCTGGAATCCACTGGTAGAGATTGTCTTTAGACTAGAAATGAGCAGGTTAAGCTGGGGCAGTTGCTGACCTTTGGCTCTTCAAGGTTTTCTGTTTGTAAAGAAAGAAAGGATGTGTGCTTGGATACTGCAGCTCATTTAGGATGCTTTGCTCCCATCTGCATCCTGGGAGTGATTCATTTGAACTCAGAGGCTTTCAGTCAGGATCTTTTCCAACCTAGTGCCCTCCAGATGTTCTGGATTCCACCTCTCTTCAATCCCAGCCATCATGGGGTGATGGGAGCCAGAGGACCAATGGTGTGCCACCTAAGTTTAAAAAAAAACAAACATGACTGCTTCCAACACATTGTCTCCCTCCTTTCTTCATTCCCTTTTCACAGGAAATCCAGACAACATCATTATCAACTTCTTACTTTCCAGTCATTTCTTCATTGCTTTGCTGTCTTTGGCTTCATGCACATTAAACCTTCATATCTGAAGCACGTTCTTTCCCTCAAAGAATTATGGGTGCTGTACAGTGGTACCTCAGGTTACAGATGATTCAGGTTACAGACTCCGCTAACCCAGAAATAGTACCTCAGGTTAAGAACTTTTTTTTTTTTTAATAAGATATTTATTGAAATTTTCAAAGTATTACAAAATAAAATAAAAGCAGTAGAAAGTACAAAATAAAAATAGTTAACAAAGTAGGAAAAGAAAAAAAACAAACCCCTTCCAACCATATGAATACAAATTCAAAAATAAGAAAAAGTGACAAAAGAAAAAATACAAAAATACATCACAAACAATTAAAAACATTTAAAAACAAATTCATTATTCTCAAATCCTCAACTGTCATTACCTTCTTTCTTTGACCTCCTCCTCCTTCCTTTCTTTGTATCCTAGTTATTAATTATCCCAGCAAATCCTTTCCATATTTCATAATATTCTGTCATTACATTACCCTAAACTGTTTTAATCTTATCTTACTATAATAAAATAAACCTTAAAGCTTAAAACTTAAATCTTATCCTTACCAATTTCTCATAACCATAATATTCTTTCATAATTCTTTAAACATCTTTACTAAAGCCAAGTAATTTCATTCCAACATTTTTCTGACATTCATCAATTTTATAAAACAGTTCTAATGGTAGAAAAAGAGATACAAACAGATCCAATCTTCATCCAACGTCCTTTCCTCCTGGTTCCGGGTTTTGTCAGTCCTTATTATCCCGTCGATCTAGCCCATTAACCTGGCAGCCTTATATCCGAGGCCCTCAAGTCTCTTCCATGTCCCTTCCGCAGCTCTTCTTCATATTTGTAACTGTATTTTCCCTTGTCTCCTGCTCGTGGTAACTCCAGCTTGACAATATTTTTAACCCTTCTCGACAGATCAGCCCCTTTTCCATATTCAACACTGAATTCCATATGGTATTTAAAAGCATGTTTCAAAGACCCTCCAAAATTAAAATTAAGAGCCCCCACAATCCCAAACATTTCACGGCCCATTGCCAGATTTGAAAAGTCCAAACATCCCAGCATAGGGGGGTCAATCTTCAGGATGAAGATCTTTCTTCAGGATGAGAACAGAAATCACATGGCGGCGACAGTGGGAGGCCCCATTAGCTAAAGTGGTGCCTCAAGTTAAGAACAGTTTCAGGTTAAGAACGGACCTCCAGAATGAATTAAGTTCTTAACCTGAGGTACCACTGTAGTTTGTTAAGGGTTGCTGGGAATTGTAACTCTGTGAGGGGTAGACTATAGTGCCCATAGTTCTTTGGGAGGAAAGAATGTGCTTTGAATGTGCTTTAAAGGCATAGTGTATATACAGCCCAAGGCCTGATGTGAGGCTATTTAAAGAAAACCAAAAAGAAAACTTTCCAGCAGCAGCCAACCCAGATGTCTCTGGGAAGATGACAAGTTGGGTGGCAAGGACCCTTTTCCAGATGATTTCCCCTAGAATTTGGTAAATGAAAGTAGGGATACTTGATGGCTTTATTTTCTTCACATTTTTAAGTGACTTTACCTAATTCGTGCTTCCCAGACTATTCTTGCTCATAGATTGGAACACAGCTAGCCTTCAGTTTTCACACTTCTCCAGATTTTGCAATACAGCTCTCAGTTCCAAAAGCATGCCAAAATACATATAAAAATGTTTTAGGATCAAATGTGTGCAAAAGAATCATAGAATATTTTAAGGCAGAATGCATAAAAAAATACATATTGTGAAAAATACATGGAAAGTCAGTGTCAACCAATGAAGGTCATTGGAGGTTTTTAAGCAGAGGTTGGGTGGCCATCTGTCATGGATGCTTTAGCTGAGATTCCTGCACTGCAGGGGGCTGGACTAAATGACCCCTGAGATGCCTTCCAACTCTACAGTTCTATGATTCCATCATAGCCTGATCTGTATTAAATATATATATATTTAATACAACAACAGCAGTGCAGAACAATATGAAAAATGGGAAGGAATATAATTTTGAAATGAGTAGAAATGAAATTGGCATAGGCTGCTAAACAGCTAAGCAGCCGCCAACAGATATAGCTTCCACCTCAAGTTTGAACTTATCATAAAGTCCAGATAGAGAAGGACCAATTTTTTTAAAAAAAATTTTTGCCTAATTATCCTACATTCTAATAGCAATCTCAATTCTCCAGGTGCCTGACATTGCATAGACAGAATGGCACTACTCATGCACTGGTAGAAGGCATCATTAGACTCTGGGGAACACTTAGGTTTTCAGAAGTATTGAAAAAAGGGGAAAACTATCAGGGTGCACACACACACACAAATTAACCTATTCCAGTAAAGACTGAGCATGTTCAGTGGGCATGGCTAGCGGACTGATGAAGGCGGATTGAAAACTGAGGGAGGAGAGGAAATGAAAAGGCATAACTGGAATAGCGAACAGGAATCACTCTACACTGTAATATTTTCTGCTGGTCCCCACTCGTCCTCTTTATCGCCGGAAAGCAGTGCATTGTGGGTCGTCCTCTCCATGCAGCTGTTCAGACTTTGTAACTATTTTACATTTTCACCAGCAATTTCAGGATAGATTTGGAATACACTGTGTATGAGGTGTGTAAAGGAAGCTACAGCATGTCCATTTACTTTCATGAGGTCTCTTATGCTGCCTGGTGTTTCCACCCAACTGTATCGTTCAATCACTTCCTGGCACTGGGAGCATAGCAACCTCATTTTTCGAGTGGATGCAGATACCTATGCTCCCTGCCTGATGGGCCCAGGGAGGTCTACACTTGAAGCCGTTGTGTAGTGATCGGCACCCTTCTCCTTATCTTTGCTATGCTTCTTTGGGAGGGGGCGGCGCCGCAGGAGTAGGTTGCGCAGCTGCTCTCAGATCATACCTGCAACAGGGACAATGAATCCAGTGAAGCTCTCTGGGTTTGCTCCAGCAGACTAAATTATCCGGTCTATTGTATAGTAAATTGAAAGTTTCAGAGTGGATAAAATAGGATTCAGATCAGTAAATTAGATATTGCAACTCAACAGCCATTTTTACTTTGGAAGCTGGCAAAAAAAAAGTTGTGGTTTTTTTAAAAAGAAAAGAGGCAAACGCCTTAACTCTTCTGATTTCAGTAAAATCTTACCATTTGATTTTATAGGGAATAACAACAGTAACACCCTTATGAATTATAAAGCGTATTGCAGTCTGATACACTGAAAATCAATGAGATCTAAACGACTTTAACATTCCGTGCTTTAACTGCTTTAATGTTCTGTGTCCTAGCATTTGTTTGTTTGTTTTGCCCCAAGCTTCCCCCCCCCCAAAAAAACCTCACTCTTTAAAGCTGAATTGTAGCTACAATTTGGGTTTCCCACAGATTGACATTTGCTCCGATTGAGCTTTAAAGAGCGTGTTTTCGTGGGGGAAGCTCCAGGGCAAAAATAAATAAATAAAGTGTTGTAAGTGCTCATACATGGAGGTTTAAATCATTGACAATGCCTGGAAAGAGCAAGGAGAGGGGTAAGTGTGGATAAGCCCTTAGACTGGGTTGTGTGTCATATAAAGACAGGCACTGTCTTTTTATTAATGTATTTGATTGTGCAACAAGAAAGTTTGAATTTTGTTCTCAGAATACCTTTTGTTGCACAGTCAACCTTGCTTATGCTGTCATCACACTGATCTGTGAGGATGAAAGCCGTGATTCTCGTAAAGCATTATCAAAAAACATCTGATTCTAATATTTTAAAAAAACAGAGTAAGGAAAACAAAATAGGGGGATGCAAACAAAGCTGTTTTGTTAAACCCCAAATTATGATCAGGAGTAGTGTTGCAGTTCACAAGACAAATTTCAACTCTATGAAATCACTTGAGAAGGATAGACATTACTCATTGGTAGAAGTCATATTGGACACTGATATGAATCGAGAATTGCTGCTTTTTAGGTCCTGTCATTTTAAAGACATGGAGAAATGGTTTTCGTTTCCATGACACTGGTCCTGATCTTGAAGTCAACATAAACTGCCCGAAATCACTCATGGTTCAAGATTGTTGCAAGCTATGTCACTTCTCTGTTTCTTTTATTTGAAGGTTCCCCAGGCGAAAGCCTTGTACAGCTACAGAGGGCACAACCCCGGAGAACTGAGGTTCAACAAAGGTGACACCATTATATTGCACCGTCAGCTGGATGAAAACTGGTACCTAGGAGAGATCAACGGGGTCAGTGGCGTTTTCCCAACAAACTCAGTGCAAGTTATCAAACAGCTGCCACAGCCACTCCCCCTGTGCAGAGCACTTTATAACTTTGATCTGAAGTCCAGGAACAGAAATGAAAAAACAGACTGTCTGCCATTTCATAAGGTAAGTCTGGTGTTCACTCGCCCATGACAGAGATCTCATTTAAGCATGCCCAGTTCAGATGATGACCAATGATTTATTGTGGCTCTTATCTAGTCTTTATTAGGGAAGTATACCTAGTGGTTCTGTGTAAGGGCACAATATAACAGGCATGCTCACTCATTCAGTTACTACTATTAATGCCAACAACCGTCTTGATGACTAAGGTATAAGTCAGTGATCATCAACCTTTTTAGCAAGTGTAGACAAGTTCGATCCCATTTGAAATAGTGCCATTTTAATACAACCTTCCCTGATGCCTTAAGATAGTGTCTCTAGTCTGCTGAACTGGAGAAGAGGTATCAGTGCAGCATGAGACAGTATCTGAAGAGACTGTTGCTCCTCAGTTAGTGCCCCACACATCTCAGGTACCTTTGTCACTTGCTGCATCTGTGTTACACGTTTGCTGCCCATGGTTTAAGTAAATCTTCCATTTTTTTATAATAAATAATACACCCTGTGAACATTCTGGGGCTCTCCAGATGTTTTGGACTACAACTCCCATCATTTCTAACTGCTGCCTGGGACCGCTGATGCAGTTCAAAACATCTAGAGAGCACTAGGTTGAGGGATGCTGATATACATGGATGTCCCAAGAACAGATAGATTTGGGCATCTCCACAGAAACTTTCATCTAAGGATCTCAAAGCTTTGTGCTGCAACCAATCTTTTGCAAAATGCCACCTCATTGAAAAAGCTTTGCATTATTTTAATCATGAATATAAATGATTATGAGGAGTTGAAGAAGACTTCTTATAAAATCCAGCACTGAACATTTAATGAGAAAGAAAAAACCCAATCAACTTTCCACAAAACAAAGATTGGTGTTTGGCTAACGGAAAGGTTGATTTATAAAATCTTCCTGGAACAGTCCAACACAAAAGCCCACTGGGTCTGTCTTTGTTGTGGGTCGTATAGTGACCAAGATGTAAAATAATGACTGAATGATGTGAGCATAGCTCCAAAGCCCACCTTCTCTAGAAAAATGCTCATATCAAAATGCCCATATACTTGTAGCACCAGCAATTCAAATATAACCACAACTTTCCCCACCTTCTTCCTACCACTTTACTGCTCCATATTTTCTTCATTCGGCACCCCGTGACCCACAGTTCTGTGAGTCTGCATGTTGGGTTGCCTCTGGGCACATTTCATGACATGTAACATAACTATCAATTGACCACAACTTTCAGTGCTGAAGAAAGAGTTTTCCATGTAATTACAGTTGGTTTTATACTTGTAAACCACTTAGAATCATAGAATCATAGAGTTGGAAGAGACCACAAGGGCCATCGAGTCCAACCCCCTGCCAAGCAGGAAACACCATCAGAGCACTCCTGACATATGGTTGTCAAGCCTCTGCTTAAAGACCTCCAAAGAAGGAGACTCCACCACACTCCTTGGCAGCAAATTCCACTGTCAAACAGCTCTTACTGTCAGGAAGTTCTTCCTAATGTTTAGGTGGAATCTTCTTTCTTGTAGTTTGGATCCATTGCTCCGTGTCCGCTTCTCTGGAGCAGCAGAAAACAACCTTTCTCCCTCCTCTATGTGACATCCTTTTATATATTTGAACATGGCTATCATATCACCCCTTAACCTCCTCTTCTCCAGGCTAAACATGCCCAGCTCCCTTAGCCGTTCCTCATAAGGCATCGTTTCCAGGCCTTTGACCACTTTGGTTGCCCTCCTCTGGACACGTTCCAGTTTGTCAGTGTCCTTCTTGAACTGTGGTGCCCAGAACTGGACACAGTACTCCAGGTGAGGTCTGACCAGAGCAGAATACAGTGGCACTATTACTTCCCTTGATCTAGATGCTATACTCCTATTGATGCAGGCCCAGAATTGCATTGGCTTTTTAGCTGCCGTGTCACACTGTTGGCTCATGTCAAGTTTGTGGTCAACCAAGACTCCTAGATCCTTTTCACATGTACTGCTCTCAAGCCAGGTGTCACCCATCTTGTATTTGTGCCTCTCATTTATTTTGCCCAAGTGCAATACTTTACATTTCTCCTGTTAAAGTTCATCTTGTTTGTTTTGGCCCAGTTCTCTAATCTGTCAAGGTCGTTTTGAAGTGTGATCCTGTCCTCTGGGGTGTTAGCCACCCTCCCAGTTTGGTGTCATCTGCAAATTTGATCAGGATGCCCTTGAGTCCATCATCCAAGTCGTTGATAAAGATGTTGAATAAGACCAGGCCCAAGACAGAACCCTGTGGCACCCCACTAGTCACTCTTCTCCAGGATGAAGAGGAACCATTGATGAGCACCCTTTGGGTCTCGGTCAGTCAGCCAGTTACAAATCCACTGAGTGGTAGCATAGTCAAGACCGCATTTTACCAGCTTCTTTACAAGAATATCATGGGGCACCTTGTCAAATGCCTTGCTGAAATCAAGGTAGGCTACATCCACTGCGTTCCCTTCATCTACCAGGCTTGTAATTCTGTCAAAAAACGAGATCAGGTTAGTCTGACATGACTTATTTTTCAGAAATCCATGCTGACTATTGGTGATCACAGCATTCCTTTCTAGGTGCTCACAGACTGTTTGCTTAATGATCTGCTCCAGAATCTTCCCTGGTATTGATGTCAGACTGACTGAGCGGTAATTATTTGGGTCCTCTCTTTTCCCCTTTTTGAAAATAGGGACAACATTTGCCCTCCTCCAGTCTGCCGGGACTTCGCCTGTTCTCCAGGAATTCTCAAAGATGACTGCCAGTGGTTCTGAGATCACATCTGCCAGTTCTTTTAATACTCTTGGATGCAGTTCATCTGGCCCTGGAGACTTGAATACATCTAAACTAGCCAAGTATTCTTGTACTATCTCCTTAGTTATTCTGGGCTGTGTTTCTTCTGCTGAATCATTTGCTCCAAATTCTTCAGGTCGGGCATTGTTTTCTTTATCGGAGAAGACTGAGGCAAAGAAGGCATTGAGGAGTTCAGCCCTTTCTGTGTCCCCTGTTTGCATTTCACCATCTTCTCCTCTGAGTGACCCCACTGTTTCTTTGTTCTTCCTTTTGCTACGAACATACCCATAAAAGCCTTTTTTGTTGCTTTTAACCTCTCGAGCAAGCCTGAGTTCATTCTGTGCTTTAGCTTTTCTGACTTTGTGTCTACACGTGCTGGCTATTTGTTTGAATTCCTCTTTGGTGGTTTCCCAAAACACCTTTACAATTTCAGTGCTATATAAAATTGATAATGACGACTCAATTAACCCAATGCTGTTATAAAACAAAACAGTTCAGGACTGAGCAAGGAGAGACAAGATGGCTAGGTACCTTGGTCATTTCATCCTCTAAGCACTCTGAATATTTTCCATTTGCCCCACTGTTTGTATCAAACATTCTTTACTGTGGTCCAAACACCCACAAAAACAGTTTCGAAAACAAAATGCAGCAGAGATACAAGGGAAAGATACCAAGGCAGTCACTAGGTTTTATGAAGAAAATGCAGATTTCTATTTCTTATTACCTACGAGAGAAATTTTGCCACAGCCAGGGCAATATCATTTGACTTACCTTTTAGAAGATACTTGACATGGAAAGTTTCAGAGTTTCCAGGTTAATTAACAAATAAGGGTTTAATTAATTGATTCCTGGTTTGTTTATACACCCCACAGTGTAGAAAGATATGCTTCTTACAACCGACAGCCTAAGAACATAAACAGAGTCTATTCTGATAGGGTATGCCGGTCAGTCTGCCGTTTAGAACTTCAGATGGAAGTATATTTAATCTGGCTTTGGCAAACAGTCAACAATAATAGGGTACTGACAGATTCATAAGATACAAGGGTAATTGAAAATCATGCCCATATTGAATTCCAGACACAAACGGTTCGCAAGTTGCATGGATTGAGAGTGTAGATGCAATATCCCATAACCTCTGCCTCAAGGATTTAAGGCAATATCATAACCCAGATGATGTAAAAAGGATGATGAAACTCCAATCGAGGAGACTTTTTGGGCCATAGTTTTCAACCATGAGCTGATAGACTCCTCCCTGGTTAAATGTAAAAGTAATCCCTTCCCCAGGCCAAATTCGGAAATCTTTAACCAGTATTTCAGAGCAGCCCACCATGCTTTGGTGGAAAGCAGAAAGTATGATTAATAGGACTGCCATTAGTTTTTCCTAAGCATATGCCCCTCAGCATCTGAGGATGAGAAGAGGAACACTTTGCAGTGTGTAAAGGAGCAACTGGCTCACAGTATAACACAGAGCAAGCTTCACATTTCGAGTCTATGGCCATGCTGTGGGAAATTGAATGATGAGGCCGAGTTACACTTTAAGGATCTTTCCCACACAGCCCTGAGATTAGGGGTAGCTTGAAGGGGAGCTGCAGGAGGATGGCTCAGATATCGAACAGCCAGTTGTTATCACAGCCTGGGATGAGGAGGAACCAGCTGTGAGCGCCAGTTTTCACTGCAGCATCTGCTGCTGCTCATTTCGACAGTATCAACACTTTTAAAAGTGGCTTTCCACATCACTGACAACAACACAGGGGACACAGAAAAGGGACAATTTCTTTTGCTAGCTGCAGACATTGTCTCCATTTCATGCCATCTGGATGTGCTGTGATTTGTTCCTTTTGCTATTTTTTCTTCTTCCTTTATTTGTCTTTTGTTTCGGTGGTTACTCATTCTGTTTATTTGCTGCTGGAGACAGAGCTCATCTCCACCTCTGTGGCATGGTTAGAATGCTGGGATTTACTGTTTCACATTTCAGCAAGGGGAGAAGAATTTATTAACAGACCCGTGGCTGGCAACGTGAGATCAACTTTGCAACTTACAAGGAGGGGATGTTCAACTCTTGCTTCTCCATTTTGAAAACTTCCGGCACAAAAAAGGCTGTGCCCTTATTATCTCTTGCCATGCTTAAGCAAGCCGAGTGAATTGTAGCAAGGTGCAATTCATAATTTTCAAGTTTTCAAGTGCTGTGCTTAAGACTGGCCTTCCTACGAGGGGTCCAAGAAATATAAGGTTCTGTGAAGTTACATGAGTCAGGGTTACATGTTGGCTGTGGTTGTGCTTAACCCGGCTTCCAAGCACCCTTTCAAAACAGCAGTAGAGACAGATGTTCTTTCCTCACTCAAGCATATATAGAGTCCACAAAATCCATTTAATGTGTTTGCCATCAGCATCCTGTTGCCATCATTTGAGCATCAAATGTGCTCATCCTGGGCAGAATTGTATTCTGATTTAAAGACCATTTGGGCTTCTTTATGGTCCTTGAATTCATTGTGAACCCAGCTTTCATCCTGTCACCTTGGCCTGCGCTTAATGGATTTCTGAGAGCCCCCGCCCTGTATGATTATTTTTTTTAAGTAATGGGAGTTTCACAGTTTATGGCATGACATAATATTCAAAGGAGGAGGGTTTTTTTAAAAAAAATAATCCACTAGGTAGATCAGGCATAGGCAAACTCGGCCCTCCAGATGTCTTGGGACTACAATTCCCATTATCCCTGACCACTGGTCCTGTTAGCTAGGGATGATGGGAGTTGTAGTCCCCAAACAGCTGGAGGGCCGAGTTTGCCTATGCCAGAGGTAGATTTTACACAGGTCACTTCCTCCTGTGCATCCCTCCCCTATTCTAATTTCATCCCAGAAGTCCTGCTGCGAATGTCTCATCCTTTTCTAAAGTGTGACAATAAGATACAGAGCCTTTTGGGTTGTGATACCCAATATATGCAACTCTATACATAGAGAAGCCCACCTTACAGGTTCTCTCTTCATCCATGAAAGAGCTTGATGAAACAAATCTTTACCAGAGGGCGTGTACTCTTTCAGAGTCAATGAGAGATTGGATGGGATGTTTGTTGTTATTATTTAAATGATTTAGTTGCATGTTACCTGAAAAGTCCCCAAGTGACTTACATTTAAAAGCATAAACATAAATACATTATACCAAAATTTAAATTCATATAAAACATTAACATTTTTATACAACATACCAAAAGCAACACACACCCAGAACAGCCATGGGAAGCAAGGGCAGCACACTAACAATAGAACAGAATCAGCTTTGTCAATCAAAGGGGATGAGGGCGCAGATTTGCCTCCCACATTGCAGGGACGCATCACATGGTGTGTCACATGACACATCATGTGATGGGTCTTGCCCCCACCTAGCATGCGAGCGCTCATGAACCAGGTGGGGAATGGGGGGCACAGATCTGAGCTCCGTGCTCGGCCTCCTCCTCCCCGTGTGACATTGGTGGGGAGGAGGAGGCAGAGCAGGGCCACAGGATTTGGGGAGAGCCCAGCCCCCTCCTTGGAAAATGGGGGGGGGGCGCGAAGACCCCTCAGCCCCCACCACTTGCTGTGCCTGAAAGAGAGAAAGATAGGTCTCTCCCTGATGCTGAACGGATGTCTGTGAGGGTGTTGGGTGCACTTCACTGGGGAGAGCATTCCACAGATGAGGAGCAGCAACTGAAACGCCCCTTCCCCTTGTCATCACCGTCAGAACTTCCCTCAGAGGAGGGACCTGGAGAAGGGTCTCCAATGAAGTTCTAAGGGTCTGGGTAGGTGCAAATCAGGAGTTCCTGAGCTGTAAAGAGCTTTAAAGGTCAAAACCATCACTTTGAATTGGAATCATATGAGTAACCATGTGGAGGGGGGACGTTACTCATCTTGTTTTTAAAACTACTGTTCTACACATTGTTATTGTGAGCTGCTTCGAGCAATAGTCTAGAAGGCATTCCAGGGCAATCTAGGGCAAGGGTTGACATTGTTGGTGACCTGTCAGGACTCACATACCAGAGTCAGCCCACTGCTAATCTCCAGAGCTAACTGCTCCTCCTAGGATAATATTGGTCTCCAAACTGGAGGGACGAAATAATAAATAATAGTTATGCTTTTATTTGCTGCCTTATTATTGATATATATTTTTAACATTAAAAAGGTTGTATACCACCTTGAAAAACAAATAGGTGAGATTTAATAAGCCACACTGGGGAGTGCCTTCTTGACTTTGCAAGGATCATTAAATGATGCATTATTTCATATTTTAATGATATAAAGGCCAAGGCTAGCATGATTCATCTCTCATTGTGGTACAAGAGACAAACCCATTCGTTATCTATTAAGCACAGAGAAGTATGTTGACAACTGTCTGTTGTTGCTATTATTATTATTAATACTGATGCTATTACTATTACCTTTCAGGGTGATATAATTACTGTCATCAGCCGGGTGGATGAGAACTGGGCAGAGGGCAAGTTAGGCGACAGAACTGGAATTTTCCCCATCTTGTTTGTGGAGGTAAGAACAATGTTCTGAAGCTACTCAGGGCAATAGCTATCAATGCCTGTACATGTACTACATGTTCTCGGAGATTATCTTTATGAGATCTAACAGACAATGGCTTTGCAGGGCCAGCACAGGGAGAAGAGAGGCTTCCAGTAAAAGCAAGCCAGGCTTCTTGAGGCAGTTCTGACACATCCATCCATGGGAAGGGGGAAGGGAATAAACAGGGGACAGGGCTGACGGAGGCTCAGCTGACTGGAGAGTTAGGACTAGTCGGAGGGAGCAACCTTAAATAAATAAAAAAAAGCATCTGTCCTGTGCTCTCAAGGTAGCTGAGGGATGGTGGCAGTGAACTACGTGGACTATTTCCCAATTTTGTATAGAATTAGTAAGGAATGCTGCCACTTCTTTGAGTTCAGTCACATCTTTTCTCCAATAACACTACACATGTGCATATTGATAAATACTGGGGGGCGGAGAGGGTGGAAGGTAGTAGAGAGACCAATACTGATGAGCCCAGGCATATGGTTGCATCAAGATTCTGTGTAGTGTGTGACCAATGCATACAGGCTGTTTACATATTGGGGGTCATAATATAGCAAATATTCGATCTTAATGAGATCAGTGGCATCAATATTATTTTCACGGGTTGGGCTGTGGAGTCCATACACACACCAGCCAAACAAACAAACAAACAAGCAAACAAACAAACAAACAAACAAACACACCAAATATTGGTGGAGTCATATGTAAAGATCCTTCCTTCCTTCCTTCCTTCCTTCCTTCCTTCCTTCCCCCCTTCCTCCCCCTCCTCCTCCTTTTTGCAGTGGCTTACCAATACCCACATATGCATCAGTAGCTGGGGTGGGGAAAGACGCAAAACAGGAAGCGAAAGCTACAGCAAACTGTAAGTGTTGCAAACTGGAATTCAGAGGAGTGAACCCCTAGAACCAACTGAGAATTACACTACTGCATCTGATTAAGTGGGTCCTACTCTATGAACGCTTATGGCACAATAGGTATTGAAAGTGCCACAAGACTCTGCATCATTTCACCGTAAAGACAGTAACAAATACCACTGTGTTTTCTAACAGTATCATCTTCCTACCCTATCCCTACACACACACACCTGCCAGTTTTGTTTTACATTATGCCCAAAGAAGCTTTCTGCGTGGGGTTGATGGGAGTTGTAGTCCAAGCACATGGAGGGCACCAGGTTGGAGACCACCAAAGAAAAAGAAGAAGAAGAAGAAGAAGAAGAAGAAGAAGAAGAAGAAGAAGAAGAAAGAAAGAAAGAAAGAAAGAAAGAAAGAAATGGGAATGTCCACTTATGCTAGCAGGGAAGGAGATACTCTATATCAGGGGTAGGCAACCTAAGGGCCGGGGGCCGGAGGCGGCCCAACTGCCTTCTCAATCCGGCCCATGGACGATCCAGGAATCAGCATGTTTTTACATGAGTAGAATGTGTGCTTTTATTTAAAATGCATCTCTGGGTTATTTGTGGGGCATAGGAATTTGTTCATTATTTTCTTCAAAATATAGTCCGGCCCCCCACATGGTCTGAGGGATGGTGGACCTGCCCACGGCTGAAAAAGGTTGCTGACCTCTGCTCTATATTCTCTTGGTATTGGCATTGTGTTCATCATTTAAAACTTTAATAAAATGTTGTTGTTTTCTTAATGTGGACAAAACAAACCTAAGGTTGGAAAACTGAAAAATTGAGAGAAACCAAAATTGACAGAGCTAACCATCCATAATCCATAAGTAACATTTACATACCTTTTTAGCATAGACTGCATACAAAGTTCTTGCCTGAAGTGTTCCAGCTCTGCCACATGCCAAACAGGAAACTTCCTATGTAAACACACTCGAGAATGTCAAATAAGACTGCAGAATGAAATGCATTCCTGCCACAGGATAGTTGGTAGATAATATTAGATCTCAAGACTACAAGTCTGTGTCAAATGCCAACTGGATGAATATCTCAGTGCTTATCGTTATAATGGTACACAGCAGGCAGCTAAGCGATTTGGATGTAAAGATTAACTACTATGATAGAAATAGAGGGCTGTTTTCAAATGAGGGCTGAGTCTAGCTGTTGTCAAGGGCAACTGGTCCCATGTAATAGCTGTTTTCTTCAGCTTGGGGTGCACAGTCCCATTTACATCCAAAAAACCCACCCCTGTTCGTTTATTTATTTAATTTATTTTCCTCCCAAAGGAGTCCAGGGTAGCAAAAATAATGTGATAAAAAAAGAACTTTAAAATAATTCCAGTGAAATATCGCAACTTAAATGGATTGCTGGTAGAGGAAGTGGGTGCCGAAAAGACAACACAGATTGTGTTTTAAGGGGAGGAAATTCCATGAGGCAGGTGCCACAACATTAAAGACCCAATTCCAATATTGTGTGGATTGGACCTATTCATAATATGGTATTCACCTGCAGAGCATAGTGATTGACTAGGTATATATGGGGTGAGATGGCCTTTCAGGTATCCAGATACCTGTTGAAGCCTAATAACTGCTTCTCAGTGTTATTTTTACCATAGAAATCAGGCCCAACTCTAGACTAAGCTGAGACTGAGTTCATTTGTATATGCATTAGTTCTGTGGGGAAATGCTCACAGCCTGGCTTTTCAGGGATTTTGGCAAGATATTGTGAATGCTCAGCCCTGTGTCCAGAGTTCACTGCATCCTGCAAAGTATTTGAAAAAATAGATTGGAGTAGAACATGGCACATCACAATCACAATGCAATCACAGTCGCAGAGCATTTCCAAGTCCACTTTGCGAGGTCAAACCCTACACACACACACACACACACACACGGCCTTCACATGTCATTAGCATGTAGACAAAGACTCCAAAGCAAGCATTTCCTGGAGTTGTTGGTTGGGGTGGCTTTGAATTCTTGGGCTCCTACAACAGCAAAATCTCATCTCCCTATTTTCCCCCTTCTTATAGCCAAATACAACAGCACGGCAACTTCTTCAGACAAGCAAAAGTCACCAGTCCTCCCAGCTGAAATATGGTTCACCTTTGCGAAAATCCTTGCCCAGAACAAAGGGCACAGAGTCACCCACTTTCTCCGAATCGAGAAGGAAAAGTGTGAAGCAGTTCTCTATCACAACAGCCTTAAATACGCTCAACAGGATGGTCCATTCACCCATGGGGCGGCAGACTCTAGACATCAGCTCTCCTGTGCTCATCAGCTCCAGCAACTCCTCTGTGACGACCCAGAACCATGAGAAAATAGAATTCCCATACAGCACACCTGTTCAGGTAAATCCACATTCATTCTTTTTTAGTGTTGCTTGTAAGGAAGATGCTGGGAGCACTAAGAAAACAATATGCATACGATTAGACACTGTACTCTTCAGAGAGGACTGTTTGTCTTTGGGAGTTCCTCTTCCACACCATTTCGTTTATTCATCTTTGGGAGTGCTCATTGTGGTGTGGGTCACTATGCCCCCACTGCCCTCATTTGATCTCTTCATGTCGGTCGAGGGTGGATAGCAGATTTCCCACCCCCATGAGTGAGCACTTCCAAAGACAACGTGGGGGAGGAAAAGTGATAGAGGAAGATAGAAGATAGGTGTTGCACATACATTGCCTGTCTTCTGGATTGCCACCTCCACTGAGTGACTTTATGTGGCTTGTAAGTATCTCTGGAATTTGGAAGCCAGCTAGGATTGAGAAGGAGGTGGGGCCCAGGAGAAGGTGATAGACTGGCTGGCTGGGCAGGAAGGCTTGCTTGGTCCGGTCTAGACCAGTGGCCACCAGTTCACACCTCCTGTGTGAAGGGATATGTGCATGGGCTTAATCGGGCGCAGAGCTCCATGTTGAATTGGGCAACTGGATTTAATTTTCAGGGACAAAGCTGAACTAAAGGTTGAGTACCGCCCAGCTGTAAGAGCTGTTCAGCAATGACATAAGCTTGTTAAGTATCCTGTCTTGGAAGCTTTTAAACAAAAAGCTGGATAGAGTTCATGATCTCAAGGACTTATTGTATTAGATAGCACTAGACAATCCATTTGGGTCTCTTCCAACTCTGTGAGTCTTTCGCGGAAATGAAGGTGTATTTAGATGACCTGTTTATTGAGCATTCAGCCTGAGATGTTTGCAGGGAGATTAGAAGATGTTTGCAAGGAGATTAGAAAATGTTTGCTATTTAATGAGCATTTATTCTGATTTGTTTGCATGGAGGTTAGGTGATGTTTCATCGAAGCAAGCATTTTCCCATACTTCCCAATCCATTTTCCCATCAATTTCCTTATTGTAAAATGTTCAATATTTGGAGGAAGTTGGTTTGTTACAAAATACCGCCCAACCAGCTATTATTGTGCAGTGTGAATTTGCTGGTAGTATATGATTGAATCCCACCTGAAAATAGTGACTGTCTGTAAGCGTCCTAAGTTGCACTGGAATCAAGGGGACTTACTATCAAGCAATAGGATATATTTTGCTGTGTGCTGAAAGTCCCTTAACTCCTGTAGAACCAGCTTATCCTGCTACATACCTTCATATACCTCAGCATAAAGGTTAGCTGACTAAGAGCAGGGCAACACAAGAACTACTCATTCTTCTAGATCAGTGCTGATTTTAAATTCTTAAAACCACTAGAGCAAGAATAATAAAGATTAAAGACTCAATTTAAGACATGCATGTGTCAGACAAAGCGGGGGGGGGGGGAGAGATAAATCACTAGCATTAACAATGCCCACAAGACAATTACCATACAACAAGTAAGACACTTTTACCCCTCTCTCTCATTGAAATTGAAAGTTCTGCCTTATGAGTCACTCAAGCCGCCAATGATTCATAAAGGAGGAGCTGAAATAAAAGGCTAATACTCTTCATTCATTTGTGCTCTTATTTGTTATTTGACAAGACTGGAAAAATGAGGATGGAGAGAGAGAGTGTGTGAAGATTACGTTTGGAAATGAGATAGTCCATTATGGTGCGAAATAGCTTTAGTAGGACCACTGCACTAAACCAAGCTGAAGAGTTCAGACTTAACACCCTAAAAGGCTGAGGAGGAATTTCTGGTTCTGAGGTATTTAATGTGCACTTCGATTTCTTAATACTGCTTACAAAAAGAAAATGTGAAAAGAGAGTGATTGCCGTATTTTTCACTCTATAAGACGCACATTTTCCCTCCTAAAAAGCAAGGGGAAATGTGTATGCGTCTTAGGGAGTGAATGCAGGCTGCGCAGCTATCGCTGAAGCCAGAACAGCAAGAGGGATTGCTGCTTTCACTGTGCAGCGATCCCTCTTGCTGTTCTGGCTTCAGCAAAAGCAACGCAAATCCTCTTCAACAACATTTGATTCAGAATATTTTTTTTCTTGTTTTCCTCCTCTAAAAGCTAGGTGAGTCTTATGGTTGTGTGCGTCTTATAGAGCGAAAAATACGATATTTCATTAATCAGTCATTGGTGTTGAGTTTCTTCCACCTGTTTAAAAACTGATAACTTGTTTTTTTAAAAAAATAAATATTAAGTAATGTTATTGTGAAATAGGACTTTGGGTGTGTCCCGTAATGCTTTCAACAGTTCTCTTTAGGCCTCTTTAGACGTTGAGCCTGACGACACGAGGACAGGCCAGCTAAAATTAATCCTCTGAAATGGATAGTCCTGGGACCAGGGAACCCTGGTTTCAACCCAGAGATTCCTCCACCCCATTGCCTCTAAAACTGCTGCTGAATGAGGGGAAGGGGCAGCCAGGCCTTCTTCTGCCTTCATTGACCTGTCAACTATGACATGTTACCAGTGAGGCATCCCTCTCATTACCGCAGGGGGGAAAGGAATGACAGGACCATGGGTAGAATAGACAGCAGAAGCTTCAGCTCCCAATTCTCTCAATTCAGCCGCCGTTTTAAATGTAAAGGGTTGTTTTTTTATTCCATGTTGCAACCTGGCAACTGTTCCTGGAAACCAAAGATACAATGACTAAAAATGACTGTTTTCCTTGAAAACAACCCATATAAGTGGATGCCTTTCATTCGTTAGAATGATGCCAGTGACAAGGCTCCAAAGTCTGGGGAAATTCACATCCTATCTTTTTCCGCCCAGAAAAAGCCCAGGTGTCATCAGTGAACAAAGGATTAAGTATAACACAACTGGCTCCCAAAGAGACACGTGGATTGCAACGATCCAAAATCTAGTTTGCAATTTATTAATCTGTCTGAGAACAAATTGTATGCATTGCTCATAGACGTAATGCCAGTGATCAGATTCCGGGGTGGGGCATAAGGAGCCCTAAATGAAATCCATAAGCCAACTCCCAACTAGTCCCCTACGCCTTTTGATTTAGCAAAATCACCCATCCAAAGCCTCAGAGCCGTAACTGGGGGGGGGGGGCGGCTAGCCAGTACTTTTGCCCCACGTGAAGCCTCCAGGGGGGTCCACTGAGGCTCCTAGCCTGTTTAGCCATTTTACTGTTTGGGCTACAGGTGGAGCAGCTCTCCCTGCTCTGTTGCTATTCACACTGTTCTCAAGAGCCTTTAAGATATTTGACTGCTACCTAAGGTGAGTTCACTGCCTCTGGGTGGACTGCCGCCCTCTCGTAAGCCATGTCGCAGCCTCATCTCCCACACAGCTTCTGATTCCCTAGTCGGTTGTGGGTGAAGGTCCCCCAGTTTTCTGCAGACTCGCTCCAATCCACTCCTCCAGCCGCCGCATAGCTGGCTGGTGCTACAATTTGCCAAGTGCCTTGGCCCTAACCCTACACAGTTGCACTCCTTTCCCATCTGTGTGGCTGGGCAGGAGTAATAAGTCCTCGTTTATGTCCTGTTACCATTTTTAATGTCTTAAAAATATAAAATAGCCCTGCTGCGTCAGTCCTATCTAATCCAGCATCCTAGTCTCTGAATGACTAGCCAGATGCTAATGGCTACAGGCAGGACCTGAATGCAGCAGCAGAGGAAAATTGCTTCCAACGGTTGTGGGAGAACTTAGCCATTGTGGCTAGTAGCCATCAATAACCTGCCATGAATTTGTCTAATCCTTTTATAGCTCAGTCAGTAGAGCATAAGACTCTTAATCTCAGGGTCGTGAGTTCAAGCCCTATGTTGGGTGAAAAATTCCTGCATTGAAGGGGGTTGGACTAGTTGACGTTGATGGAAAGATCAGACCTCCTTAACTGGGTGAAGTCTTATGCTGCAATTATAAGCATTTTTATTCAGAAGTAAGTCCCACTGAGTTCAATGCGACTTACATTCTGATATGTGCCGGATCATTCTCAGTTTCCATTCTTATTATTATATTTATATCTTAGCACTGAGGAGAGCCTTTCCTGTGGGAAGGGCTTGACATGCGGAGCGCGGAGCTGTGGGGAGAAGTGGGGGGGCTGCCTTTCCTTAGCAATATGAAAATGGGGGGGGGGGACACGCAGCTACACATGAAACTGCCTGATTCTGTGTCAGGCCACTTGGTCTCTCCAACTCAACCATGCTACAAAAAATGTGCTCTTGGAGTAAAAGGCTCAGAGGAACTTGGCAAGTTGGCATGCTCTTTACTGCTTTTCTATGGGGGGAGGGTGGTTGGTTTGGTACATATTACCATGCCTGCCTGCCTGCCTAAGAGGAAGGGGGCTGAAAGAAAATGCAAGGGACCAAAAAAAAAAAAATGTATTAGAAAGTACAGCTTTGTATTTAGATAATATATTGCCTACTCTTTGTGCCCTTTAAAAACAACTGTGTTCAGGTGTGTGAGCATGTGTATGTGTATGCAAACATGGGGGGGGGGAAGAACTGAGTATTTGTGAAAGAAAGCCTAGTTTCACCTCTGCATAGCCTTCTAAAGCAGTGGTTTCTCTTAGGGGCTAGTACAAATGATAAGCAAGCCAGGACCCCTTTGCTCCCTCTCTCTGTAATTTGAACACCCTGCAATACTTTTGCCTAGGTAGGCAAGCATGCTGGTCATTGAAAAACAGTAGCTATCAGCTTTCAGTCACATCAGTGCTCTTCTAAAGCTGAAGTAATGACATTAGATTAGAACAGGCTGCAATGAACTATTTTGCCACTAATTAATCCAGGATGGAGATTCACAACTGAGCTGTACGTATAATGAAAAAGGGACGGGGAAAGAGCTGCTAAAAAGATAACACAGAGGAAAAAGCCAGCTTGTTGATGGCATATGCGAGATGATGATGCATTTCACAAGACTCTAATTATATAGCAAGAGACACATACTTCCCTGAGCTTTACTCAAGCTTCGGCTAACCATATTTATTAATTTGCATGCCTTAACTTAATTACAAATATTTGCTTCTTACCGTCATTTTAGAATAAAGCAGAAGGATGGTAAAAGAGGAAGATGTTTGTTTTATTGCAGTCGTTTCTTGACTTGCAGATAGAAAATGAAATTATAACAATACTGGCTTTTTGGCGGGGTGGGGTGGGGAGAGAGAGAGAATATATATAGTGGCTCTGTGCCAAGGGTCCGACTGCTGCAGTTTATAGCAGATCAACTTGAGTAGTGCTCCTAAAGGGAACAAAATGAATGAATGCAGGTTTGGTTCTTTCCCAGTTGGAAACTATTGCACTTCAAAGTCCTTGTTGTTTCCTTCCATGCCAGCCTCTCCTTGCTCACTCTCCAGCGGCCACTGTGAGTTATCCAAGGGAGGAGACTGGCAGCAGCAGCCATAGAGAGGCAACCGGATGCTGCCTTGCCACCAGTGTTGAATTTACGTATAAGCTAAACAAGCTATAGCTTAGGGCCCCACTCTCTTGGGGGCCCCCAAAAAAATTAAAGGGAAAAAATTGGATGTACATTTCCAAAATACAAGCTAAAAAAGAAATAAAATAAAACCTACATACAGCAGCAGTGTTTTGTGTTGTGTAGGCTACTATGATGTAAGTACAGTGGTACCTCTAGATACGAACGGGATCCGTTCCAGATCCCTGTTTGCATCTAGAGGTAAATGTAACTAGCGACGGCATGTCTGCGCACGCACGCATCACTTTTCGCCGCTTCTGCGCATGCGCGTGACATCATTTTGAGCGTATGCGCATGCACAAGCGGCGAAACCCGGAAGTAACGCACTCCGTTACTTCCGGGTTGCCGAGGAGCACAACTCGAACGCGCTCAACTCGAAGCGTATTCAACCCGAGGTATGACTGTAATGGGCCCTGCCTGCTTGCCTGCTCCCTAAAATATCACTAGTTTGCTTATTTCTATATATAGGGTACCTACATTCTGCACGTGCAAATGGCTTTAGATACCTATTAGGTCCATAAAGTACCATATAGCATATATTCAACACATAAAACAATGACAATTTGTTGTTGACAAAGGACAGCTGAACATATAAAGGGCCCCATTACCTTTAGTAGCTCAGGGCCTCATCAAACCTAAATCTGACCCTGCTTGCCACTGCTGCTTGGGACCAGCGCCAGCTCATTCTCCTCCCTGAGCTTGGCAGCGGCAGCACTGGCAGGGGAAATAGGGACATTCCAAAATCAAACCAGAAGCCGGGGTGGCTTCTGGAAAATTAGGACACGTGGAGGGTATGAAACTAGTAAAACGTATAGGAGTTCTGCTGGGGATTGAATGGAGGGGTTGGAGGGAGACAGTCACTTTTTTGGCAGAATGAGCTATGAAATTCACCCAGGAGATGCTTCTAAATGCCTGCTCAGAATCCTAACTACCTCAGAAATTAATAAGGAAGCTGAGTTACTGAAGGCACTCAGGAGGTGTTTGGCCTTCAATGCATTCCTGAGCTTTGGGTGTGGACCTGGTAAATTGCTTTTTGTGCTCTGGTGAGTTGTGAGGCTCTCAGTTTCCCCAGCATCGTAGCTCAAGACTGACCACATTGATGCCAGCTTAATGGAATGAGTCCTTTTGGCTCTTTTGAGAGGTTAGTTTTTCCTTTATAATAATACAATCCTTTATTTTTAAATGCAAATGTTTTCTTTTAAAAAGGAGGGAGGTATGATTACACAGTTTTCTGCACTGATAGAAAAAATGGAACAAGGAACTGATACGATTATTTCAGCTGAAAAGAGAATACAGTGGTAACTCGGGTTAAGTACTTAATTCATTCTGGAGGTCTGTTCTTAACCTGAAACTGTTCTTAACCTGAAGCACCACTTTAGCTAATGGGGCCTCCCGCTGTGGCCACGCCGCCGGTGCACGATTTCTTTTCTCCTTGTGAAGCAAAGTTCTTAACCTGAGGTACTATTTCTGGGTTAGCGGAGTCTGTAACCTGAAGTGTCTGTAACCTGAAGCGTATGTAACCCGAGGTACCACTGTGCATTTCTTTGCCTAGTCCCTGAAGCATAAGGCTGGTCAGAATTTGTCTTGACTGTTGACTTATGCTACTTTCCGGAGGAAATTCTGTGCTTGGGAACATTTAGGCTGTAATCCTGTGTACACTTATCCAGGAGTCTGTCCCACTGAATTCAATGACATTTTCTTCTGAGTAGACGGGAATAGGATTGTATGGCATGCTGAATTTAAAATGCAGTCACTGGTTCATAGAGAACAGGCTCCACTGCAAAGAGCTCATGTGCGTTTCATGTGTATTTGATTTATCATCTTATGGTAGATTTTACTTTATCTGGATCTGTGCAAAAAAGGGGTTAACTCATTTCCACAGTACGCCATGAGTTAAGACTCATCCAGGAGATTATATTAAATATAAATATAAATGAAATGAACTCAATAAATATTATATAGCCAATGTTTATCATAATCACTGTTACTAGGAATCAAAAAATTAAAAAAGAAAGAAAGATAAAGGAATGCTGTTGTATTGCGCAATCATGTTATTAAATACAGAAATACCACATTGGCAAGGGAGATGGACTCTGTACATGCCCATTTCCTTTATTGCAGAGGCTCATAGTTCCTAATTAAAATTTTGCACTATACCTTGTGAAGTTCTTTTCCACTCCTAGGCTGTTTCGAACCCCTTTTGGACCCTCAGGTCTATAGTGGATCAGAATGAAAGTTGGTTTTGCAGGGGTAAGAAGGCATAGAAATAGAATGATCAGGGAGGGGGAAGAGGGTAGAAGAGGTGTAGCTTATCATGCAAAATTCCCTCTTCTATACAACCATTTAAAGAATGATGCAGCAGCCTTGTCTCCTGGCTGCCTTAAATTATAGTGACTTGCCAGCTATCAAATTGGTGCCACATTGTCTAGCTTCTGCGCTAGTCCTCAACCTGTTTACAGTGGTACCTCAGGTTAAGTACTTAATTCATTCCGGAGGTCCGTACTTAACCTGAAACTGTTCTTAACCTGAAGCACCACTTTAGCTTTATTTCTGGGTTAGTGGAGTCTGTAACCTGAAGTGTATGTAACCTGAAGCGTATGTAACCCGAGGTACCACTGTACTTAGAAGTAGTGAAACCAATGGAACTTCCTTTCAAATAAATATATGTAGGACTGGAATGGGGAACATAATCTAGCATAAATTCCACACAGAGGGGGTTTGACAATAGCAATCTTAGCTGTACTTACCATGTTGAAATGTCACCGCTAAATTGCAGCTTTCATTCAAAACAGAAGCTTCACTTGCATGATTGCATGCATGAATAAGGGTCTAGAATGAAAATGAAAAAGGGTGGAGAGGGGACCTTCAGCATGCATATTAAATTTCATTATTACAATCCAAAACTCATACTTTTCAAGAGGAAGGGGAGTTAACTCATAATTTCTTAATCTTTGGCCTCGGCAGTCCTTTTGTTTAATTAACACCAGATGCGACTCCATTATTTCTGCCTTTGGCTCAACAATCCCAAGGGTGGCCTCTTGCAAACAACCATTTGTTTTCTGATTGGAATTCTCCATGCAGTTCGGCCAGCTGTCACATCTTTTCCCCCAGCTGTGGCAGGCAAAGGAGGCAGATGAATATGCTGCAAAACTGTCGCCTGACACCCAGTTGCAAACTACAAACTGTCTCAGAGGGACTTTCAACTGTTCTCCCATCTCGCTGGCAAGGGCCAATTAGCCCTTTATAACAAAGTCACCTGCCTATAACCAAGACCTTCCACTGTAATTTGCCCCAAACTGCCGTCTTTGTCACATTATCGCTTGGAAAGCTCTGATAATACTGGTCCGACCCCTGATGTATGGGATGCCTGCCTGCTGCTCACATGCCAATAAGGTTGCAGCACCATTCGAAAACTTGCACACTCAGTTCAACAGGACACTTCCACTGAAATGCTCGTAGGATGAACTTCCACGAGCTGGGCATGCTCAATTCTCTGTGTGTTTACTTAGAAGTGAAATCTACTAAATTCGGCAGGGCTTGATCCCCAGGTAAATTGCCCAAGAATGCAGCCTTAAAGGGTTTTTTTGCACCTCTTTGAAATGCAGATAAGCAACCTACATTGGCCAGATGTTCATTTGCATTACAAATGCCTCTCTTCCTCTCTCTCTCTCTATTCTGTATGAACAGTAATCACATATTCACATAAATAGTAAAGGAGAAATTAAACCTCTGTGTGTGAAAGCCACCTCAACTTGTTTGTGGCATGAGTGCTTGGAGGCAAGAAGCAACTGCATCAGATGTACCATGAAGTGTGTTCTTGTCTACAAAGGTTCATGTAGGATTATGTTAGTTAACCTGCAGTCCTAATGGGACTGACTTCTGAGTCACCAGGCATAGGATTTCCCTGTTAGACTTGAGATGCCACCAGACTTTCTCTTCTCTGCTGCAACAGACCAAGGACCACTTTGACAAGTACAAAACACACCGAGAGATGTGGATTATAAAGGCATACATGTATCAGTTATTGAGCGTTTTTCTTGAGATCAGCATTCCTGTGTGTGCTACATATGAAGTAAGCTCCACTAAACTCAGGAGGACTTTCTCCTGAGCTAAAATACTAAGTATTTTGACACCCAATCCACCTAAACTGGAGCCCAGGCTTTCCCCAGTTATATATTTATCCATGTGTTGTTTTTTTAAAAGTATCTGATTAATATACATGCTTTTTTATAGCTGATGAGATACATTTGCATTTCCTGCTCTTGTACCGGAGTGAAAAACATCCAAGATGCTAAGTATTTACACTCTTCTGCAATACACAAACAAACCTTTAATAAAACTGAGGATGTAGGACTCACCCTTTAATTATAACGAAAGGTTGTAGGGTGTAATGAGATGTAAATGGGCTAAAAAAACAGTTGCGCTCATGGTATCTTCTTTTGAGTTTTCTGTTCATTCTCTAGAGGGCTGCCGAAAAGTCCTACGTTTTTCTGTGGATAAATAAAGCAGAAAATAAGCTCAGAACAAAAGGTGTGGGTGACAGTGTTACAGTCATCCTGCACGCTGTGTAATAATATCCTGAGTAACCTGTGGGGGGGATATGTCCAAAACAGCTATACTCTCTCTGTGGGACTGGAAGTAAGGAGGGAGGAAAAAATCCTCTCTCAAGATAGGTGAGGCTGTCATTTAAAGCCCTAGAAGTCAACATGTACTCTCTGCCGCAGGGTGCCACTCCTCAAAAGATGAAGCTTTGCTCCTATAAATGATAGAAACTGCCCGAGTCAGCAACGCCCACAAGTCTTTGGCTTTGTCTGTCTCTCTCTGTGGCAGCTGCTCACCTCTGCACTAAAACCAATTGCTTCTGAAAATACTGTAGTGTGGGTTTTTCTTTTCCCTTCCCTCTTTTGCAGCACTGTTTCATTGTTCTGTACACGAGGAAGAGGAGAAGAGACCAAATTAATTTGGCTTACTGAAAGAAACAAAAGGGTTGGCTTGAGTTAATTTGGGTTTGCGTCCAGGGGAAAGACATAAAAGTCAAATAGGGATAGACGTAAGAAATGATTGTAGTTATTATTGATTGACAGTTATTATTTGCCGACAGGAGGGATATACTGTTATTATTGGACTTGACTGGGACGTAGCTTAAAACATGCCTTCCATGAGGGTCCTTTGCACCCCTGGCAAGAAGCTGCATCAGCACACACACACACACACCTGAAAAAACATCACTTTACCACAACAGCCACATTAGAAATTTCTACATTTGATGTGACCCAAGTACTTGAAGCACCTAGAATCAGGGTGAGGCAAAGCAGGGTGAAAAAGATTCACTTGCATTTCTGTTGCTGTGCAAGGATGGGAAGCTTCCCACACATTTGATGTTGCCGGGATAGCGGTGGCACATTGCCACACACATATACATCATACACCCCTTGGTCTGATAGGTGTTTTAATTTTGCATCCCCCACCCAGGCCTGCACCCCCAGTAGGGATTGGTTTCGCCAACCCCTAGGTATGCCTCTGTATTTCACAGACAAAAATGGAGGCATTCCTGAGCATGAATGGGTGGGACTATGAGTGGTGCCTAGGAGTCCAACAGCATGACCTGATGGACAGTGGTGGGACCAATACAATGCAAACTCAAATGCACCACATGGAAGAAGCCTCTTGTATGGTCTGTGGATAATAATAATAATAATAATAATAATAATAATAATTTATTTATACCCCGCCCATCTGGCTGAGTTTCCCCAGCCACTCTGTGCGGCTTCCAACAGAACACTAAAATACAATAACCTATTAAACATTAAAAGCTTCCCTAAACAGGGCCGCCTTCAGATGTCTTCTAAAAGTCTGGTAGTTGTTTTTCTCTTTGACATCTGGTGGGAGGGCGTTCTACAGGGTGGGTGCCACTACCGAGAAGGCCCTCTGCCTGGTTCCCTGTAACCTCACTTCTCGCAGCAAGGGAACCACCAAGGGCCCTCGGCACTGGACCCCAGTGTCCGGGCAGAGCAATGGGGGTAGAGACGTTCCTTCAGGTATACTGGACTGAGGCCGTTTAGGGCTTTAAAGGTCAGCACCAAGACTTTGAATTGTGCTCAAAAACATATTGGGAGCGAGTGTAGGTCTTTCAAGACCGGTGTTATATGGTCTCGGCGGCCGCTTCCAGGCACCAGTCTAGCTGCCGCATTCTGGATTTGTAGTTTCCGGGTCACCTAACACAATAAATGCTTTTTTGTTGACACAGAGGAAGCAGGAACTGAAATTCCAAAAATAAGTTGCTTCCTGAATATTGGCAAATAAATATTTCCCTGGAACATATCTCTGTGGCTATCCTGGCTGAGTTAGGACAATTGTTGGAGAGTACCCCGCCCGCCCGCCCCAAAAAAGCCTCTAAATTATCATACTTTGTGGTTAGTGTTTATTAAATGCTCAGTGCTTAAGGTAGCTCCAATTATTGTTTTCAGGTGGTGACTGCCAACAGAAATGGAATCAAAATGGCGCCACTGAGAAACAAGGGGAAAGCATTAGCATACTCAGGGTAACTCCTAGGTTTGCAGAATATTTATAAAAACTAAAGAGGCAAAAGGCCTCTCCAACCCTCACCCCTGCAAAAAACTACAACAGTCCAATGAGGAATGCTGAATATCAGTAGGAAGTAGAAAACAGGGGAGAACAGCTTTGTGCTTGAGTTCTTTACAGCTTATAGAACCTTGGAAGAGGTCATGGCTAACCAGCTGAAATAGGAGTGCTTCTGTTAGGAGGTGAGGTGCACTGCAATTTCCTTGTCCCAGGTTCCACTTGTTAATTCTACAGCTGATTTTTCCCTTATAAATGATCCTCACTGTCACTCTGAAGAACTAAGGAGGAAGAACAGAAGCTGAGATATTTCCCCCCCAAGTGTTCTGACTCTTCTCCTCATCCCTGGACGTTGCATTTTTTATTTCATTTTTTTACTTTAATATTTTTTGGTGTTTCGTTTCTATGTAAAGAAAACAAGCATTTCGCTGTCGGACCTTTCAAACAAAGGAATGTTCATCCCTTTGATTTTTAAGTGATGGACACCACAAAGCTTATCTGCTCTTCTTCAATAGTGTCCTGTCATTTTATGTAAAGGCTTGCTATTGGGGAGAACAGAAAGCATAAATCCAACTACATGTGTGGCTGAAGCATTCTGCATAATCCTCTAATAATTCAAACCCCACTGAAGCCACTGTAGCAATTGCAGGATGGTTACAAGAAGTCCCTTCAATTATCTTGGATGCAAAATGTAGTGCAGGTTGGCTAATCTTGCCTTGCTCCAAGTTCAAGAGCAATGCAAGGGGAGATTCACAGTTTCCCTATTTTGTTACTGCCAGTAGAGAAAGTGGTAGGATTTGTGATTGAACAATAAGCACTTGCTTCAAATGCCAGTGAGGAATAAATGCACCAGCCTGATAATTAAGCCACATATTTTTGAAGTGATGAGAGGCAAAGGTCCAAACTTCCAACTACCTTGGCATTAGAAAGGGAGGCAGAGAAGAGAGAATGTGTGCAATATATTAACTCTGGCTCCGTGGATAAATTCCACTATAATTGCTTTTTCTCCCTTTTTCTTTTTTTGCTGATCTGAAATTCTTAAGTATTTTCCATTACTGGCGATCTCTCTTCACTCCCTTTTCTGAAAGTAATTCAGAAAAGTGTGTCTCCTGAATTTCTCCCTACTGCAGCAATAGGCAGTGCTGGTAGGATGTAAACGTCAGATAAGAGCAAAGGGCCAGATCGGGTAATTAGTAAATTTGTGGGCACAGGAAAGGAATTAGGGTGGAGGAAGAGTGCATTGGGAGGAACAAGGAGGAGACAACACACAACAGTATCACCCTTTATGAAACATGCCTGCCTTAAGCATTGTAATCTTTAATCCTGGGAGTGTGTCCACAAGTGTCTCCGAGGATAATATATTTATTATGATCCAATGTCGTTCTCCCGACATTACAGTTCCTGTCCTGGAAACTAAACTTTTTATCAGGATTCCAATAATCTCCATGAGTCACTTCCATATAACCTACTCCTTGAACATTCATCTTGATTTCTTGGCACAAAGTTTGTGGGGAGGTTAGATGTTGTTGGCTATTTATTGATATCCCCAAATGTGGGGTTCTTGAATGTTTCTCCATCTGTTTTCCCCTTCACTCTCTCACATGCTGTCCCCTGAATACTCATTCATTCATTCATTCATTCAATCATTCACAATGCTCACAAAGGCTCATACAGACCCTACTCATGCATGCCAGTCACATACCACTCTCTGGCTACTCATGCAACAGCCACAAGCAAACAGTCTACCTACCCATTGACCAACCCTTGGACAGTTTCTGCCTCCTCCCTCCCCTGCTGAACCTCTCCTACCAACAACACTGTCACCTCATTTGATCCTAGACCTTGTGTACTAAGGACAAAAATTCACATAACAAAGCCTTGGCTTCTTGAAAATTAAAAATGGTTAAACCCCTGAAAAGCAGCTGTAGGGGATTTTGAGCTGAAAAATAGCGGGTTGGAGATAAGAATAAGCACTCCCTGTCCTCTGCCACTCCTCAAAATTGCAGCTTCCACAGACTGCTTTTCAGTAAAGAAAGTTGGGGCTTTGTTACAGGCAGTTGTGTGCAACATGTAATTTAGTCCTGAGCCTATAGTAAGGAGGATTAATTTAAGTCAGCTAAAGCCAAAGAACGTACACCCAACAGTGATGGATATTTCACTTTTTTGTTGAGTCTATGTCGTTTGGATGGTAAAATGGCAAAATCACATTTTGGGGCAGATCTGTAGCACTCTCGTGTGAAAGAGGACATGGCTGCAGTGGCAGGCACCCAGACTTTCAGCTGAAGAGAGCCTGATAAGCAGTCGGCAGCAGGCTGTCTTACATTCAACTGGGTGACCTGCAAAAGATCCTTCTTCCCTGCACCCTACATGCTTACTAAATGTGTGAAGAGACCTTGTGTGCTGTGTTCTTTAATTTGTGTTCTTTAATGTGCTACTTAATTAGTCTACAAACTTGCAAAGATTGTTCAAAGCAGGCTTTGCCTTGGGCAAGAAGGCACATAGAAAATAATGCATTAGATTGGATCAATATGTGTTACGTACAATCCTTATGGAAAATATCATGTTCCAGTGGAATCTCCCCCCCATCACCACCCACCTCCATAACAACACTGTACTGGGTAGTAAGGGCTGCACTGGACATGTGCTTAATATACAGCAGAAGTCAGGGAGCCCGATTCTCACTAGGCCTGCTGTCTTGTTACATTGAGTGCACGTACAAGGTGACTCTGCACGTGTGCATGTGTTTGCGCAAAAGAATGTATACTTGTTGATTTGTACAACTCAGCTATTGCATACTCTGGTACACAAACTGTGTACAATTCAACTATGTGTGTGCACAGGTACACAGAATATATACTCATGGAATGTAACATGTGAACACCACTGTGAAAGTGGCAAGGGAGAAGGGGAGGGAGCCTTATCTCTCCAGTCCCCAATAACAACCAGAATGGATATTTCACATGCAGACACACACACAGACACACACACACACACACACACACACACACACACGCCTTACGTGAAAAGTCCCTGTTGATCCAATTGGGACTTTCCCCCTATGACTCCTCTTTCTAGTGGGACGGACCTCCACTCCAATTACAGTGGCGGAAGTGAAGAGATAAGCTTCTGCTTTCTCAGGGCTGCCATTGCAGTAAAATTGCATTGGTTAAAGCATGGGTAGGCAAACTAAGGCCCGGGGGCCAGATCCAGCCCAATCGCCTTCTAAATCCGGCCTGCAGACGGTCCGGGAATCGCATGTTTTTACATGAGTAGAATGTGTCCTTTTATTTAAAATGCATCTCTGGGTTGTTTGTAGGGCATAGGAATTCATTCTTTTTTTTTCTTCCAAAATATTGTCTGCCCCCCCCCCAAGGTCTGAGGGACAGTTGACCAGCCCCCTACTGAAAAAGTTTGCTGACCCCTGGGTTAAAGAAAAACAAGATACATAGCTGTCTCCTATGTTTTCAGCACATGGTGGCAAAGGAGTTTCTCCTCATTACAGTGGTACCTCGGGTTACAGACGCTTCAGGTTACAGACACTTCAGGTTACAGACTTCACTAACCCAGAAATAGTACCTCGGGTTAAGAACTTTGATTCAGGATGAGAATAGAAATCGCGCGGCAGCGGTGGGAGGCCCCATTAGCTAAAGTGGTGCTTCAGGTTAAGAACAGACCTCCAGAACAAAATAAGTACTTAACCCGAGGTACCACTGTACATGGGAATGGTACCAGAGTACCACATTAACCTGGTTCTGGCTGCAGAAAGCTGGTGTGCATTTTAATAGCTAACTACATTTCTTGTGTACTAAATTACATCATTCTTTAGTCAGAATTCATTGTAACAGGCAATCTTTGCACTGAGTGGGTGTTGTTTTGCTTTGCCATTTATACAGCTTAAGCTTTCCTAAAGCTTAAGTTCACAAAACAAACAGCAGTTCATGAGGTGAGTAATTGCTGAGGCCCTCTAGTTATCTGCTAAATGTTTGTGGTAGCCCTGATGGTTCTAGACGACCTGCATTTCCAACGGGCATTTTCTAGGAAATGTTTATTTGATTTAGCTTCTTCTCAGAGACCCACGCCTGCCTGTGTCTTCTCTGATAAGTTAACTGTGCTGTTCAGTGACCATTCGTCTCTCAAGGCAGGCAAGCAACATCAGTTATCTGCTAAAAGCTAATAAAAAAAATACAGGCTGGTTTTGCAGACAGCTCTAACACTGGGATAAATACAGATAAGAAAATGAGTGACATGAACTCTTGGGCTGATTACCCTTCTCTGCTGGTTCCATGCAAATAAAAAGTGGATTAGAGGCTGGACTACAGGGGGTATTTTCATCTCTTCCTTTTTTTTCTCAAGAGACATAAGAGAAAAGGGGGCTCCGTTGTGAATATCCCTGTGAGGAATCAGTAATTTAGTGGCTTCAGCAGAGACAGGCAAGTGCATACATCAGCACTGCCTTCACCCATGAGATGGGCAGTGGAATTCAAGGTGGGATCTCCAAGCTTACGATTCTCAATTATGACTTCTGCAATCTCATAAGGGTAACTTACAGTGCCTTGGAGTACTATGTCCAATTCTGGGTGCCACAATTTAAGGAGGATATTGTCAAGCTAGAACATGTGCAGAGGAGGGTGACCTAAATGATCAAGGGCCTGGAAATCAAGCCTTATGAGGAGCAGTTGAGAGAGTTGAGTATGTTTAGCCTGGATAGAAGACTCAGAAGAGATGATATGATATGATAGCCATCTTCAAATATCTGAAGGGCTGTTGCATGGAAGATGGAACATGCTTGTTTTCTCCTGCTCTGCAGAGTGGGACTCAAACCAATGGCTTCATGTTACAAGAAAGGAGATTCCAGCTAAACATCAGAAAGAACTTTCTGACAGTAAGAGCTGTTCAACAGTGGAATGGACTCCCTCAGATGATGGTGGACACACTCCTTCCTTGGAGGTTTTAAGCAGAGGTTGAGTGGCCATCTGCCATGCATCAGAGGCTATAGACTCTCTCCAGTTTGGTACTGGCATTGCGGCTTTGGTACTGTGCTTGCCATCCGTCTTGATCAGGGATAGGCATTTGAATTATTCGCAATAGGCACAGGAAGTGGCCCAATTCCTGTGTTGGTAGTATAAAGAACAACCAGTAATGCACTTGAAGAAAATGACTGAGAATAACCTGTGGCAATGATAACCTGGTCTCACTCTAAAATGCTGAGTCATTTTCTTCACCAGTGAAAACCATTCTTTATTTCCAGCACTCAGGCAGAAACCCATCTTGATAATCCAACATAAAACAGTCTCTGCTTATTTGCCATCACTGTCTAAGCTCTTTCCATGCTTATTTCACAATGGATGATCTTCACTAGGAAGCTACTGAGGAATGTGGGATGAGAAAGGGCTGCCTTAGCAGTTATGCAGCTGAATAAGCACTAAAGGCCTGAAGAATTCAATATAATGGATGTGTGGGAATTTTGCTGCCTTAACCCTTGTCAATTACAAAATGCTTTACAGAACAGGAAAATGCTCAACTCCTCTAAGTATTTTAGGTTTGCTTGCTCAATCCTACAGTGCTTCTTAAGGCATTAGAACATTACAATTGACATAAGGGTGGGATGGGAATGTGAAAATCCATTAGGAAAGGAGATGGGGAGGGCAACCAAAGTTGCTTTTCTACACCCTCGGTTGCAATAACCTATTACTGGAGAAAATCATCTGTTAATGCACTCTTTAATTTCAAGATAGAAGGGAGAAAGAAAGAAAAGAGGAAAAACAAGGCATCTACCTCAAGTGGAAAAGGCATTTATGTTGGCTGAGAACATATAGCCTGCAATATAAATGAACTTTTCTTGGAGATTCCTGCTGAAATTTAATGAACATGTTTCTTTGTTCACTCCTCCAAACAATCATGTTCCTTGCTCTCATCGTTCCATATATCCCAAAGGCTTATAATTCATAATTTATTTATTTATTTATTTATTTATTTAAAAAAATTAATCCTAAATGGTGTTGGGAAATTCCTGGTTTGCAGATCAACATCATAATGATTTTGAACCCAGCCCATGTTTTCTGCATGATAGCATCAGGACTCCCGGTCATGGCAGCAGTCAGATGGAGAGAAGGGATGTAGTCCAGTTTTCATCATGTTTTGTTTTGTAAAGTCACTTTCTCAATCATGATATATTTTTCACTGGCCTCAGCATTTGAGCAACATCCTTAAACCTAATCATGGAAGAGCCAAACAGGGCAATGCAAATGCTTCATCTTTTTCTTTCCTAGCACAGAAGCAAAGGCAGTAGCCAATGAAATATAGGCAGTAAGCTGCTTGGGCAAGGGCCTGTCTTTCTTGGGCTTATGTTACTCTGAAGAGTGCAATGAACACTGGTAGTGTTATATAAATAAAAACTATAATTTCATATAAGGAACAACTAGTAGGAGCAGTAGACCCTGAAGAAATACACTGAAGTACCCTTACAGGGGGGAGGAAACCCACTATCTGTCTTAATGCAAAGAAATCACTTGGACAAAACTACTTTCTGAAGTGTATCCTTATTGTATTTGTAAGAAGAAGTGAGTTGTTGTTGTTGTTGTTGTTGAAACATAAAGAAAGCATCCTTATTGGTAAGAACTACATCTTGGAGACATGGTTTGAAGAGTAAAATTCCATTAGTTTGGGAACTGAAGGACTATATCAGCACACACAGCTCTCTGATTTTTAGCTAAAACCCCTCTTTTAGCAAGTGGTCTCTCATTTCATTTTCAGCCCAAATGCTGCTCAGGGCCAAACTATGGTACACATGACAATGTGTAGGAATAGATGAATATAATTTTCACTCTTTTGCAGCTTTTACAAATAGCAGCCAGGGCATCAAATAAAGACTGGGACTATGGCATGGGGGGGCGGGTTTAGTCTCCTTCACTGTTTTCCCAATAAATACACACACACACAAGTTGCTTGTGGGCATATGTGGCACAATCTTGTGCTTAATTGTGGCTTCTCCAGTGGATGCATATACATTGATCAGCATAGGTGACAGACTGGAACCTTGAGGGAAGCCACATTTCAAGTCTCTCAGGGATGACCGCCTAATCCTCATCATCCCAGACATGAGAAAACAAGCCAACCAGTCGAACGTGTTCGTTGCTCCATCAGTGACTAAAAATTTAAAAGCCCCATTAAGACATTTGACCGCAGAGACAGCAGAGTGAATCAGGATTCTTCCATTTAACAGGATGCACTGCTTTGCCTCGAGGCCTGTGGCTTGTGGGTTCTTGATGTTCAGGCACACTTCCTTTGAAGGGAGAATATAATAAAGGCGCTCATTTGGATTCTTTTATTCTTGTTTACAGGTCAGCACTTCCTATTACTCGGCCCCTGGGCCCCTGGGGCAGCCGACAGCCATTGTCACCCTGCCTCATTTACAGCAACACCTGCCAGTGAATATGTACGTAAAACTAAGTCCTTATTCATTAGGTGGGTAGGGCCTTTGGCTAGGGCCGGAGATGTTGTTGCCTAGCAACCATGCCACATGCTGCCAGTCCCCCATCCCCACCCGCTCACAGGAGTAAACGAATACAGAAAAGAGGATGAAGAAGAAGCCCTTGTGGGGTTACTGTCCCACAAGCACCAGCTAAAATTGAGACAACTCTTTTTACAGAGATACTTCATTCAACTTAATCTGAAATTTAAACTGGCTTCTGAGAACCCCACATGGGCATACAAAACACTTAGCATGGGCCAGAAGATCGGTTTAAAATTCAGCTCCCAGAATTATGAGACCCATTAGTAAATGTGATCGCTTTTTAGTTGCAGAACCTGAAGAATCATAGAACTGTGGGTTTGAAAAGGGACCACGAGGGTCATCGAGTCCAACCCCCTGCAATGCAGGAAAGTTTTGCACAACATGGGGCTTGAACACACGACCCTGAGATTAAGAGTCTCATGCTCTACTGAATGTCCATGACATATATGGGGTGGGGGTGAGTTTTGGGTGGTTAGCTACTGAAATGTCATGTGACAGGAAGGAGGTACCCAGGCAACAGACCTGAGGACCAAAAAACTGGTGCTGAATCATTAGGTGTAACCTCCCTGCTGCAGCCTTCCCAGTATGTGCCATTTGGGGCTGATGGAAGTTGAAGTCCAGAACATCTGGAGGAGTCCAGGTGGGCGAAGGCTGTCCTACTGCTAAAGGTTTTGAAAGGAATTCTGTTCTTGCCAACTAATTACATAGCTGTTTTATACTCAGCTACATATCTTTCCTTTGATCACATCCACGCCATACATTAAAAGCACACATTTCCCCCCCGAAGAATCCTGGGATCTGTAGTTTACCCATGACAGAGTGAGACTTCCTAGCACTCTTGACCAACTAGAATTCTCAGGATTTCTTGAGGGAAGTTGTGTGTCTTAAATGTGTGGTGTGGGCATGACTTTTGTGTTGTTCACCACACCTCTTGTTTGGGCTGGTATTCGTCTCTTCCTCCACTCATGCATCTCAGTGCATTTCTGATTCCTGACTTTATTGCTTTGGTACGGAGCACATTAACCCAGCCCATTTGGGAGTGCCCTGCCCTGTACATTTTTTACCCATCCATTCAGCATTCTTGATGAGTTGCCTTCCCTCAGTCTTATTCAGGAGCTATTGGGACATTCTTGCATTGTGTAGCAGAAGCGTTGTTTGAAGAGGGCTCAGACACGGTGCTTTTGGTTTGGCAGAAGTCACAGCCACAGATCCCAGCGTGGTTTTGGAGCAGGTAGTTGTGTCATAGCCTCGTCGCATTGCATAAATGGAACTGCCTCTTCCGAGTACGTAGCGTCACTCTTTAATTCCTTCTGTTTCACCAGGTGCGTTGCTCTGCACTCCTACACACCTCACAGTCCAGACGAACTAGAGTTGCAAAAAGGAGAAGGTATCCGTGTTTTGGGAAAATACCATGAAGGCTGGCTAAAAGGAATGTCGCTGGTTACAGGAAAGGTTGGAATCTTCCCCAGCAATTACGTCACTCCACTTTTCAGGTTTGGCTTATGCTTTTTATATATGGACAATGGGGGTAGAGGGAGATATGTGAGTACAGTGGTACCTCGGGTTACAGGCGCTTCAGGTTACAGACTCCGCTAACCCAGAAATAGTACCTCAGGTTAAGAACTTTGTTTCAGGATGAGAACAGAAATCGTGCTCCGGCGGCACAGAGGCAGCGGGAGGCCCATTAGCTAAAGTGGTACCTCAGGTTAAGAACAGTTGCAGGTTAAGAACAGACCTCCCGAACGAATTAAGTTCTTAACCCGAGGTACCACTGTAACACCAAAAAAAGTGTCAATGTGGACTTCTGCAGCCCAAATTGAATTTTATTTGGCTCAGCATGACTGGATAATGACAGGAATGGGGCTGTAGGTCTGCCCACACGCATTTTAGAAACTCTAAAGTACAAAAATTCTAAACAAAATTCTAAATTTATTATAACAATTAGTTAATCGACCTAGCACAAAACAGCTTTGTAGTGGCTCAGCAATGAATCAAAGCTATGGCTAATTTTGTGTTTCTGGTAAGATAACACAGCTAAAGCCCAGAGAACAGAATGAGATGTTCATCCAAGAGTTGGTATGAATCGTCAGTGACACTTTATGGCACAATACACCTTATTTCATCTGTTTTGCAAGTAATCATATGAACTGCATGGGAGTTTTACCTATGTCTGAAAGATGAAATCATGGTTATTCCTAGCATTACTGTTATTGCCAGCATCCACTGAATCTGTAAGAGCTGCCATATTGGCTATACAAACTGACCCACAGCGCAGATTTCTTCCTTTACATTTGAAGTTGACTTTTTTACAACGCAGCGTATTCATTGGTCCATCCAGGCAGGGGCACCAACTATAGGGGGCTCTGGGTGCCACCAGAAGTCAGGTTCTAAGGCTGGGGGGCACAAGTGGCATCATGACATCACACGCACTGGGCTCCCATAACCCGGGGCCCAAGTCGGCTCCCCTGCATCCAGGGGATATTTCAGATGAGTCATCAGGAAGCTAAAAATATATACCATTGTGTTTATACTAATGAGAACTCACTTTTATATTCAATATGAAAGAATTCTCCAACAGTTAGCACGGAAGGAAGCCAAATAGGAAAATGGTTAAAGCCATAAAATCAACCAGCAAGTAATGAGGAATGGGATGAGCAGCTCCCAGTCACTGTGCCTCTTTCTAGAACATCTCCTGGAGGCCATGGTCGCTTCATGAAACTGACCAACCACTTCATGAAACTGAGGGGGTTTTTTATATTAAAAAAAATTGGGCTCACAAAACTTTTTAGCTCAGTCAACTAATGTAACAAAACGTGACTGGCACTGGGCACCACACTGCGGAGGCCGGCACTTAGCGCAGGGCCTACAGCGTGCCCGAGCCACGCGTTTCTCATGGGAGTGACATGGTGGCTTGGGCACCAGCAGGCTCGACGCTGCCTGAACCGGCAGCATGGGGCTTGCGTCTGCCCACTGCCTCTCCCTCAGCGGCCCTACAGCTGAGGGGGAGGTAGCAGTGAGGCTCCACAGTGTGCCCCGCCCCCATGGGCAGCTTGCCCCACCCCCGGCTGCAGGACGCGCGCGCCGCACCAGGCACCCGAATGGCTAGCTACACCGCTGCCAACCGGAGGTTCAGGTTAGACAAAGCATGAATGTTTCACATGCCATGTGTCAATGAACACTAATGCACATAAGCTTTAAAATAGTGTTGGATAAAAATTTGTGGAAGATGGATGTCATATCTTTATAGTTGTAGTCTCTTTCCAGTCTGTCCTTCAGATGTTGGTCCATAGAGGCTCCCAGAAGAAAGAATGAGAGGAAGGGGCAAGTGGAGATAATAAAAAATAGAGGGAAAAGAGGAAGGAGTCAGAAAATGTGAAAAAGCAAAGGGTGAATTAAGATGCAGCTTGTTTGTGTCCTCCTGCATCCTCCTTACCAGCACATAGCTATTAATCATGATACCTATCCAAACTGAGCCTCCATGTTCTGAGGAAGTTTATATTTGGATAGTGAAGTTACCTTTGAAGTTCATTGCCATTACTGCTTAATTACCACTGACGGAAGCACTCGTCTTCTTGTCACCAGAAACAAATTAGCAAAACATTTATCTAAACAATGTTGATTGAGTCAGATAGAATAAGAAATGATGATAGAGATACCATGACTTAGACCAGCCTTCTCCAACTTGGTGCCCACCAGAAGTTTAGGACTACCACTGGCTGTGGCTGATAGGGGTTGGAGTACCAAACTTCTGGAGGGCACCAGGCTGAGTTAGACTATAGAAATGCCGGCCGTAAGAAATAACATTGTTGCTTAAAGAGGGCAGACAATTCCATGATGTCATTATTTAGGAATGGCTCCTCTTCAGCAGGTTGGACTCCTGACAAATTAATTGTGGATTGTTCTTGCTTCCAGCAGCACCTATTACAAATAGATACTGATAGATTGATGACAGTGCAGGCAGAATATGTGCAAAGATGAACAACTCCCCAGATCGACTAACTCCATTTTCCTATGTAATCAGAACAAACCAGCATGGCTCTCTCTCACACACACCAAACTGTTATGGTAGGAGTCAACTAAGTTTTACTCAGAGGAGATCCAATGAAATGAGTGAATATGACTCAGCCAGATCATTATGCTCAATAGGCCTACACTGAGTACCTCCCTTACTCTGAAGTGAGAGAGCAGAAGAGGTGAATGCCATCGTAAAAGTGAGTTGTTGAAGTTACTCCAAGGAAGTAGATGACATGTAGAAATCTGGTCAAATGCAGGCTGGGAATCAAGTTAGAAAAGTGCAATTTTAATGGAGAATATTGATGTGTGTGTGTGTTTTAAAAAAGTATTCGGGGGGGGGGATTATATACTGAGTTAAAATCCACAGTGGACTTTAGCCTGCTCCTGCTGTGGTTCACCTTACAAGTCTCATCCAGTCTTTGAAAGATTTCCTCTTCATAATAAAGGCAGTTCTGTCTGAAATCACTAGAAACTGCTAAATGCAGTACAATTTCCTACCTGTTTGAGGGTCAGTCAAGTAAGACGAGGGGAGTTGTCATTTCATTATTTTTTGTTGTTTTATTATGGAGTTCTTCATTGTTTAAATGTTATTTGTTGGACTTGTTTTCATAGAGCCTGTAATTTTTGTATAATGTTTTCATTATCCTGTATATTATTATTAGTAGTATTTTATGTCATTATTGCCCTGCTCCAAGACTGAAACATAAAAAGCAGGTGACAAAACAAAGCAAAACATTTATTTTTTCCATGCATATTTAAAAAACAAACAGTAATTTCTATTGCTACAAGTCAGGTTTCGTTGTTCAGGTTTTCAAGAGCCTAGTTAGGAGAATGCAGGAATCTTTGGGTATGTTCCCCACTCCATGCCTCTCGTCCCCCTAGAAACTGATGTTTACCTGTAGCCTGTAAGGCATATTCTGCAACTGATCTTCCCAGCACCTTAGCTGAAGTTTGGAATCCCTTCTCTCTTTGTGGACTTACAGTGGTGACATAGGTTACTTGTATCTTTATGGTGAATAGACTCTTCAGAGCAAGCCTGTCGGTTATCTTGTCAGTTAGAGGAGGTTCAGTTCAGTTGATTGAGGTTGCACCTATATGGGTGTTTTGCTTGTTAATGAAATACCTGTTCCGAATAATTACAGTGGTACCTCGGGTTACATACGATTCAGGTTACATACGCTTCAGGTTACAGACTCCGCTAACCCAGAAATAGTGCTTCAGGTTAAGAACTTTGCTTCAGGATGAGAACAGAAATCGTGCTCCGGCGGCGCAGTGGCAGCAGGAGGCCCCATTAGCTAAAGTGGTGCTTCAGGTTAAGAACAGTTTCAGGTTAAGAACGGACCTCCAGAACGAATTAAGTACTTAACCCAAGGTACCACTGTACATTGAATCTGGAACTTCATACTGCTGCTGCTGCTGCTGCTACTACTACTAATAATAATAATAATAATAATGAAGCCACAGTTCTACAATGCAATGGGTAATGCAATGTGAAAGGAACGTTATTCTCCAGGACAGAAGCACTAGGTGGAAAGGGTGCTTGGTAGTTACAAGACAAGGAGGTCACCATGGTAGAGGTCTGCGTGCAAGGAGGGAGGGTTGCACAAAAGGAGAGGCAAGGAGACATGGGGCTGAAGGTGAAAACAGGGATGCAAAGTGGAGGTGCAGAATAGAAGCGGCTTCGGAAATGGGGTTGGGAAGGTGAGAAGGGAGCTTTATCGCTGCATGAGATGGGAAGGGAATGCTCTAGGGGGTTAATGTAGGGGAACAGCAGGAAGGGTGGGTGAGAAGTGCAAGTAAACATAAATGCAGGGTTTCACAATGGTGAAAAACGTATGATAGGGCTGCCATACATCCAGAATTCCCAGGACATAGCCTGGATTCGTCTTTCCAAAATGGTGTCTAGGCAGAATTTTCAAATTTGGTTAAAATGTCTGGGAGGGGGTGGTAATCTTAACAGCTTTTGTGTCTGGATTTTCACTTTTTGAAATATGGCAAACCTACATAAGGAGATCTGTAGCTTCACAGAACAAAAGAAAACAAAAGCTCTATGGACTTACTTGGGGCCTTGTCATATTTTGTGCCTGACAAAATGGGCAATAGAAACAAACGAAAGGAAAGGAAGGACAAGCCGAGTCATTTGGCCAGTGCATCTCAGGCCATAATCCTATATTCACTTGCCTAGGAGTAAATCCCTTTGAACTCAGTGGAAATTATGGCTGAGTAGACGTGTAGGATTGCACTGTCAACCATGATGCTGAATACAGAGTTAGTTCAGATGGGTCTCAACTCTTTCCACATCTTGCTTTAAGTTCAAGAAAACTATTTGTCTTTCTTAGGCACAGTGTAGCTTAAGTTGATTGTGATCATCTCAACCGCAAACGTAAAAACTGAGCAACCCAATATGAAGTACAGGAAAACTGAATGAAAAATGCCAAGTTTTAGTCTTTTGTCAGAGATATGGAATGCCCTAATAGAAACCTAACTATCCATGTTATTGCTTTTACTGAGGACACGCTTTTACTCATTTCTTCCCCTGCTTATATTTCACCACATGAAATTGCTCTGTTTAAATTGGAGACACCACAGCTACTTTGGGCCTAGAATTATCCCTTCTGCTATCCACTAAACTCCTTCACATTGAAATGAGCCTGTGAGTATTCTTCATCTCTCTGGCTCATTTCTCCAGGATATGGCCTCTGAAAACACCATGGCCCTGCTTCACCGATAAAACCAAACAAACAATCAAAAGCAGAGCCCAGAGACTTCGGAAGCAGCTTCATAAAGTGCCTCCATCATGAACACCAATTTAAAGGCCTGCTATTGTGTGTCTTCCTTTGGAAATCACCTCATAATAAATGGATGCCTGGGTTATTTTGATGAATCGCTGCCCCATTATTAAATCATAAATCATTTTTTTCCAGAGCACAGAACAACGACGGGAAGGTAACAAAGGAGTGACAGAAGTTGCTGCCTTTCCCCCAGCCGGCCCCTCTCTCAGAAGAGTTGGCACAAACACTTCTCCATGGCTCAGTTTCTCCTGAGCAAATTAGGAGCACTTAGGAAGGTTATTTAAGCACCCAGCTCAAGGTGGAAGATTGATGGCCTTCTCAGCAATTTAACAGATTTAGGTGAAAGTGCTATGTGGCCTCGTCAGGGAAAGCAGATGCAGAAAGAAATAATCAGAAGTGACAGCAACACACTTTGGGGAAGGGGGGGGGACATTGCTTGAGAAATGGAACCACAAGTTGCAAAGAGCACAAAACCTCCCTCAGATATTTCCTTCAGGATCGCTGCCCTTCTTGGTGCTTCATCAATCGGTCCATCTGAATTTAACTCAGGCAGTTAAGGAGAATTGGGAGATCACAGCCCGTCATTTTTTGCCTATTAAGCAGCACAGGTTGTTGTTTTTCACCACCATAAACTGTGAACAGCAAAACAGAAAAGCAGCAGTTTATAAAATGAAGCAAGATAATTTCACCACGGCTAATTTGATCTTTAGTGGTGCGCTGGTCTCTTCCCTGAGAAAAAGATTAGAGTAGCTTGAATCCACCAAGAGCTCACATTTTATATCTGCTTCCCTGCTGTCTTAAATTTTGATAGACAAAATAAATCCTGCAGCTGCTCTCCTGCTCACCCCTCTATGCAAACTAGAAAAGATGAAATTAACTCTTGATACGTTTGCACATACTTATTACCTTCACTGCTTTCTCCCAACTCCTCATTTTTTTACTTCAAAGTTATTTACTTTGCTCTCTGAAACATTAGTGCACAAAAATGTCCATTATTTGGTCACCCCGCCACCTACCCATTTTTTACTGTTGGCTAAATACCTGCCAACATCAGAAACAGCAATGGGGGAGACTGTCACCTCCACCTGTTGTGCCACCATCGCCCCATACCTGCAATCCAGTAACCTTTTTTTTTTACATGTACAATTATGAAAAAGGACACTGTACACAACCACAGATTGTAAACATTTGTGCACATTACAGCCGTCTCAAGGGCAAAAAACATTTGGGTGTGGGCTCCTCCAAACAACCTGTTCTTTGAGCGTTCATCCTTGCACAAAGCTTTTATGGAGGTTAGGGCATGTCTGGTCTTTATTGAGCATTTGTTCTGATTTGTTTTGGGGAGGCTATACGACAGTGAGCATTCATCCTGATTTGCTTGTGTCTTCCCGTTAATCATTCGTCCGTTCCACACTTTTCAGTGCATTTCCCCATCACTTTCCTAACCACTAAAAGTCAATTTTTTAAAGGACTTTGCACTACGGCAACAAAGCAGATTAATCTGCTCCAACTGCCATAACTTAAATTTTCAGAGTGCGTGTTTGAGTCCCTCTCTCAAAATACTAACAGGCTAGAGGCAACCTCAGGCAGTATGTTATCAGCTAACAATGAAAGATCACCCTTTTCCGAGGATTTATTCTTAGCACTAGCATGCAAGCACCAGGAGGTTTCTTGTACACATTCAAATTTTCTCACACCACAGAAACATTTGTGCTGCAGATTTGAACCAGAGTAATAAGTAATTGTGAGGTATAGTCTTTAACATTCTGAAATGTAATGAAAATGCCCATTAGTTATGTGCCATATTGCATGGTCTATATCATTAAAAGATGGTGTGGTGATGATGATGATTTTGCTGTTGTTGTTTTGTCGGAACATAGCCTCTGTCATTAATATAATTATTGTGAAATTCCTGCACAGCAGCGGGGGCGGGGGGGAGAGAATTCTGGAGAAAGATTAAAGTGGAAGGATATTTCAGAATGTACAAATGCTTGCTGATTGGATTTCCTACTTTGCCCTTCTTTTTCTAACTAGGTAACAAAACTCCTGGATTTGAATTGTGCAGCTGCATTTGCTCCCTAATTATCTGTTTCTTTCTCTCTCTCTCTCCCTCCCTCCCATTTGACTCTCCTAAACAACCAGGAAGTCCTCAAGCTTCCCTGATTCAAGGATGCCTTCCCTCTATGCGACTTGGACATTATCCACTTCCTCACTTTCCTCCCAGGGAAGCATCTCAGAGAATGGCCCAAGGCAAAGCAGACCTATGAAATCTGCCTTCATGCCCGCATCTTTGGCCTCACCTGTGAGGAATGTCTCTGTGCCAAGCACCTCAGGGCACACAACTCCGCAGAGGAGAGGACGTGGCAGCAGTAGGAAGAGTAAGTCCTGGTGAGAGAGAGACATATGAACCTGTTCCCAAGTGGCTGAGAGATGACTAGAAGCCTTTAATTAGCACATTGAAACTTGGGGCTGATGCAATAAACAGAAATGCTAGGCTAAGCCTCCTGAAGAGCTGGTTGCATGCATACGGCTGAGCTGAAAGCTTGCCTTGCCAAAGGCATGGATATACTAGCCAGAACTAGAGACAAATCCCAAAATGTGTGGCAGAATTAATCGTTCATGCACTACCCTGAGATAGCCAAATCTGTTTCACTATTTACTAACCAGAGAAATGCAAGCTTCTTAACTGCTTCTTCTTCTTCTTATTCTTATTATTCTTATTATTCTTATTCTTATTCTTATATTTATTATTTATACCCTGCCCATCTGACTTGGTTTCCCCAGCCACTCTGGGCAGCTTACAACACATAAAAAATTGTAAAACAACAGTCATTTAAAATTTCCTGATACAGAGCTAAATCTCTGTGTATCTCATTGGATATTTGGGGTCTTTGTTTACTTTTTCCCATTAAGAAAAACTGAGATTGCAGGGGTAAAGTAGAAGTGTTGGCAGCAAATTTACAAATATGTAGTTGTAATAAAGAACTTTGCTTCAGGATAAGAACAGAAATCGTGCTCCAGCGGCGTGGCAGAAGCGGGAGGCCCCATTAGCAAAAGTGGTGCTTCAGGTTAAGAACAATTTCAGGTTAAGAACAGACATTCAAAACGAATTAAGTACTTAACCTGAGGTACCACTGTATTATTATTATCATTGCATGTGGTGCTTTAAAGAGTAATAGAGTTGTGCACTTGTTTCAGAACAAATGAGAGCCCATTCAGTTCACTTTCCCTTTGTTCCAAAATGAATACACAGAGGAATGGAAGGAATTTGGGACTCCCATTTGTATTCATACCTAGTTGTATGAATATTCAGTGGGATGTGTGGCCAGGTCTTGCGTATATGTCTCCAGCAGTGTCAGCAGTGCTAGCAGCTGCTTTGTTATTTACCCACAATGCCCTGGGTGTCATGAATGTGGGCATTTGAGAGGAGTAGTGGCCACGATTATGGGGAATCTTTCTGTATGTGTTTCCTTAACAGGGCTCTGCAGAACACTACAAGGTGTGGTGCATTGTGAATCAATAAAGTGGCAGATGATGAGAACAGTCACTGAAAACAGATCGCCTGCCTAAAACCAATTTAAAAAAATAAAGGAAATAATGCCACCATGAAACAAGGGCAGGGAAGCCAATGTGAAATCTACAAGTGGATTTCTATGAATTGATTATGAAATAAATGGCGTCTTTAATAATGAAAACAAATTGAAAAAATGGGGTGGGGAAGATGACAAAGAGTTCACGTTCATTCGTACAGATTGACATAGGTTAAAAGCCATGTCCATGGGGAAAAACATGAAGGGGGTGGATGTGAACAAATATATAAGACACATATTTGGGCTTATATTTTAACCAGAGTCTGAAGGAAGGGTTTAAATCCAAGGCTTCAACAAAATGCACAGGAGGTATAGCTCCCTTGCAATTTTCTGTCTACCCTTAAAACTTGGAGTGACTTCCAACAAGCCTGAAGACTAAAATTCAGCTAAGTACTGCAATTCAGCAATTTTGGCCCATCCTTTTGATATAAAATTTCCAAAATGAGCTGCAAAGGGGTTATTATCATCTTTTAATCCTCATCTCTTCTTGAATTCTGCCTCCCCAGATGGATCTTTACAGAAACCTTTGCAACCAGGAGCTCTTATTCCATTTGTCAACTCCCTCAGGCGAACTCCTGCCACCCAAACACGAGTGCAGCAATCTCCAACATATCAACATATCTCCTCTCTGCCCCGAGGGATTAGCGCGGCTGACACGGGAGCCAGGCCGAATTCCTCCCATGATTCTTCATTCATATTAGTGCCCCGAAGCCTGAATAGCCGAGCTCCTTCTGTGTGTAGCTCAGTAATATTGGACACCAAGGAATTGCCTACAAAAAATGAATCATCTCTAAAGCCACCTGCATCTGCTCCACCGTCCATTCTGGTGAAGCCAGACACATCCAGGAACACCACTGAGAAGGTAACAGTGGGTCTAATTCACCACAGGGGTACTTTTATATTGCAGGCATGATTATGAAAAGCTTTGGGGTGCAGGTGGAGATATGGGATATTAGAACTGCAGGACAGGACAAATCCTAGTCAAAGTACCATTACCTGGTAGGGTAGGTGGAGAAGGTCTTCACCGAAGAACTCAACATTACAATGTAATGATTACATTGACTTTTTTTGTTGACAGAACAGGACTAAGATTCTATATCCTGCTCCTGTACGTGTCATTCATGATTTCTCAAGGAGCTTGTCCCTATTGTGAGAGCATACTCCCCATTATGTTAGTTTCTCATTAGCCCAACATCACCATAAATTCAACATTCAGTGCTCACTCGCTCTCTCGCTCTCAACCTGCCAAGATATTCATTCACTTCCCTCTGCAGTCTGCTGGCAAAGATCATCCATGTTGTGGTGGGTTTGTGGATTGAAATGAAAAGATAGAAACTGTGGACATGATTTATCATTGCCACAGGAAGTCTAATTGCTGAATATGTGGTAAAGTTCTTCTATTTCCTGAAGATTGGGTTTTTGGGATACATTGTCTCAGACACCCAGGCCAAAAGGAAATAGAAGACGCAAGGTGTAAAGATAGATAATATAAAAGCAAAATAATAAATAATCACTAAGCATCTACATAGCATTTGTGAGGAATCAAAGAATTTCACATACATTTCCCCACTCTGTTCCTTACAAGAACCCTGTAACATAGAGTTGTCTCCATGATAAAAAATAAATAAATGATGACTTCCTTAAATGCACCTAGTGAGTTGATGATTTCTGAATCAGGAACTTTCTGATGCACAGATCACCCACTACCAAGACGAAATATGTATTTGTGCTGACTCTTAGTACTTTTTGGAGTGGAGTGGACCAGTAAGCAAGTAGTCGAGGAAACTTCTGCATCTCTCAAAACTCTAAGCTTATATGTTACTCGGTTTTACACCAAATGACACTCTAAAATCCACTCGGCTGTAAAATGGGTAGGTGATCTATTGGGATTCCGAGGAAGGCAAAGGTGACTGGAAACAGTGCTGACTATATTAGCTGACACATATAATGTACTTTTCAGAAATAGAAATATGTCCTCCTCTATTTGTTGTTGTTTAGTCGTCTTAGTCGTGTTCGACTCTCCAACTTTCTAATGTTTAGCTGAAGAAAGTGTAAAACTGGTTGTAAAAGAAAATGTAAAAGTTCTTTGTTTGTCATGTCCCCAGACAGCAAAGACAATGCTGGTGACAGCCTTGTTGGAATGAAATAACTCCTGATTTCTCTTCCCTTTCAGCAAGTGAAAACTGTGAGATTTCAGAATTCCAGCCCACCACCATCCAAGAGGCACAGCTCTCTACCTTTACCGACCCTCTCCAATGAGCAAGGAGGGGTCACAGAAGCACCCAAGAGCCCTGAGATATCAGCTCTCTACTCCCACCATATTATCATCGCTAGTCCAGTTTCTCAGAGGAGGATGCCGCATCCCAAGACCTCATCACTGGACCTTTCTGGCCAAGCAGGCCCCCTGACCTTTCCTACAAAAAAACATTATAATAGTATCTCTGAAAATTGAGACGGGTAAACATAGTTTAGATTGCTTACAGAGGAGAATGACAACAAATGTCCAAAGTGAAGCTAACAGCCACCCCATACGCCATAGATCTCAGATCCAATCTGTCAACACAAATGTAAGTCTCGTAGAAGAGCTGGACTTCTTTCAGGCATCTGCACCACTGCTGGCTATGTAGTGGATTGGATGCCATTCCCCCCCCCCCCCCATATTGGACAGAAGCGTCTTTTTTGAGTGGCTTTGATCTACAACTCAAGCTGCAAGCGTGCATCAGGGATGTGTCGTTCCCCATATGCAAAGACTACCACAAAATTAATTCCATTGCCACAAGTAGATAAAAATATGACAGAGAGGGGAATAGATTGTGATTATGGCAGGCTATTCAAAAGACAAACTGTTCTAAGAAAGGTTCAGCACTGTACAATGCAATCAGAAAAGCAAACCTGTCAGAAAAAGACTTCTTCCCTATACCTTCCTTTACCTTCTCTGTACTTTGGTTTTCTTAATTTTATAGTGGATGAAACCGCTTCCTATCTCCACCCACCCCCAGCTCTGGCTCAGTTATCAAATTCTCCTTATATTTTGTTTAGCTTCGCAGTATGCATTTAAAGTATGTGGAGATAATTTATATGAGGTTTTGAAGCAGATTTTCTTTTTCTTTTTTTAGAAATATAAAATGTTTCCCAGCCTCACCAGTAGTAAATCAAGGGAGATAATGAAACACAACCCATTAACTACATATTCCCAACCATGAATTTTGGATCCTGCTTCCATGGAAATGGCTGAAGGATTATCGTGTGCATTGCACCAAGCAAACCTAGTAACCCTATGATTCAAAACCAAAACTAATTCCAAGTTATCAAAAACAAACAAAAAAAATTCACAAATATGCTTTAAGATATGAGAAACTCATCCTGAAAACCTAGGGAGGAAGGTGCATGGTTTAAGACTGAAATCCTACCCACAGTTACTTGGGACAAAGCCTCGTTAGAAGCAATGGGATTTACATGTGAGTAAACTAGCATAAGAGCAGGTTACACATGTGAGCATCCCATCTTGTCACATGTAAGCATTACAGTTGACCTGGAAGTGGACTAGGAGTGGAGGACAACTTCATTTGGTTCACATTTAAAACTAAACCTAATTTGCACCTACCAAACTAACACAGAGATCAGAACATATTCTTAGGATTCTCAACTCAAATATATATATACAGAAAAGATTTTTTAAAACATACGGTTTATTAGAAATTCATACGTAGAAAGAAATTAAGTATTCAAGTATGTATACGTATTTCCAGTGCTTTTTTTCTTTAAAAAATGTTTAGGGGTACTCTCATTTTGACTCAAGAAAATCACCATTTTGTAGTTCAAATCAGGAAAAATAAATAGAGTAAATGAACAAAAGTACAAAGATCCACAAAATGTTTAGGAGTATGTGTACCCCTGCATGCCCCCAGAAAAAGCACTGCATATTTCAATACATACTTAAATATTTATTTAAATACAAGTTCTTGTACAATCTTTTTTTATATAAAAAGAAATCAGATTGTTGCAAAATGGAACAGAAGGGACTTATGAATGAACACATTTGAAATTGACATGGATTGACCCATCCACCCCATTGTCCATCCAGCTTCCACCCAGGTCCTCCTGGTCTGTAGCCACTCCTCTGCCTGCCTCCATCTTTATCCACAGGCAGCAGCATGATGCTACTGGAAGACCAGCCAGTTCCACCCCGCAGAAGGCCCTTCTTTTCCTCAGGCTCACCCGCTTACCTTATCAGCAGGTCTCACACACACAGTGCTTGCTTACTCCCAGCCTCTCTCGATCTCACTGGCTAGCTAGCCTCAGCAATAAGGCAGAATCAGAAACGCCATGTCATTTTAACCCAGCTACGACTGATGTTTAGAATAGAGCTCTGTGATAGAACGTTGTTTATTTTTCTTCCCACTGCTAGTTCAAAAGCCACGCATTCCGGCCCAAAGCAAGGGAGCATGAGATTTTGTGATGGAACCTGCTGTGTCATTTCAATAAAAGGTTGGGAACTTACACTCTTGGATGATTGCACAGAACGAACGAAAGTCACACAATAGATGTTTGCCGCTCACTCCAGGTTGGACAACACTTGAGGGGAAGAGTTTTCATTTGGAATCAGAACGAGGGGTTGCTAGGAGTACCCGTTGGCTTAACATCAACCACATTTTCATCTTCATTTGTAGCAAAATGCTACATTGACCCCTATTTCGGAGGCAACCTACCTTCGGAGCCAAAATGCATCCCCATATTGCTCGCAGAACCAGTTTTCTGACCTTTGTAGAATTGTGCTCTTTTATTTACCCATGTTAGTTTTGTGAAGTCAGGTATGCTTTAATCTTCCCGGTGCATACAGAGTGCAGAGGGGAAGTTCACAAACTACTGAATGCTTAATGAATAGAGCAAAATGATAAGGTAAGGTAAAGGTAAAGGACCCCTGGATGGTTAAGTACAGCCAAAGGTGACTATGGGGTACGGCGCTCATCTCGCTTTCAGGCTGAGGGAGCCAGTGTTTGTCCACAGACAGCTTTCCGGGTCATGTGGCCAGCATGACTAAACCACTTCTAGTGCAACGGAACACCGTGACGGAAACCAGAGAGCACAGAAGCGCCATTTACCTTCCCACCACAGCGGTACCTATTTATCTACTTGCACTGGCGTGCTTTCAAACTGCTAGGTTGGCAGGAGCAGGGAAAGAGCAACGGGGATTCGAAGCACCAACCTTCTGAGCAGCAGGCCCAAGAGACTCAGTGGTTTAGACCACAACGCCACCCTAGCAAAATGATAAATGAGGCTGATGATTCTAGCTAAGCAACATTTGTTTCAGGTGTATTTCACGCACGCCTTTCATATGCAGCTGTGTTTGGCGGGAGAGCGTATATCCCTCTACAGCAGCAGGGAGGTCCTCAAATGCAACCCTCTAAGCCTCTCTATCTAGCCCTTCAGACTCTCCCCACACCACATCTTCTCCTCAGGCCACACCTCTTACCAACTCTGCTTTGCACCCTTGAGTGATTTCTCCTGGGTGGGATGTGTCCTTGAACTCTGATAATGACTCTTGCTTCTCAGGAGGCTAGAGAGGGGTGTACGTCAGTACTCACCTACTGGGCAAAGTTAAATGGGGATGAGGGTGTAGCTCTGTGACAGAGCATCTGCTTTGTATGCAAACGGTCCCAGGTTCAATCCCCAGCATCTCTATGTAGGGCTGGAAGAGACCCTGAAACCCTAGAGAGCTGCTGCCAGTCAGAGTAGCCAATATTGAGCTAGGTAGACCAATGGTCTGATTCAGTATAAGGCAGCTTCCAACGTTCTTCAGGTACATTCATTTCCTTGTCCATTTTTGCCTCTGGCCTCACCCACCACTGGCATGAGGCCCTGGAAGGTTGACCACAAAGGAATACAGCCATCAGGCTTAAGAAGGTTTATGTATGAGGAGGAAAGGTCTGTAACCCCCCGCCTATTCACACCAGGATGTGGACTGGGGGGCCCATGCCTACCATTTGCTCTTTCAAAAACACACTCACAGAATTGTTAACTGGACAAAGGGTGTCACAGCCCAATTGCTAAGAAATATTTTGGAAGCGGAATGTATCTTGGTCAACCTAATAATAATAATAATAATAATAATAATAATAATAATATATTTCTGCACCAGGGATACTCAGCCTTCATTCTGTGTCCACAAAAGCATCCAATGGCATAAACTCTTTCCGAAACCGGGTCTTTGGGAGAGAGGGACACTTTGAGTTCCTCACTATATATAATGTGCATACACATTCATGAGACTCACTTAGGCCAAAAATATCCACTGCTCAAGAAAAAAATATGCAGATGGAGCCACTGGCAAATGCTCTGCTCACTGAAAATAGTGGTGGGTAGATGCCAGCTGGGGGAAGCCAACAGAAAAACATGGTAAAGTGGGGCTGACATTATTTTTTGGGGGGGGGAGACTCCTCTTTCATCCATTTGCATTAGTGTGCTTGTTTCAAAAGCCAAAGCTGGCTAATTCGGCAATGTCGGGGTTTGCGGAGCTGGAAGGGCAGTTTTGCTGCATCAGATGAGGCCCATGGGCCAAAGATCTGACAGGACTGATGCAAAACCATGACAACCTTATGATTGCTTGCCTTGAAGCAGCAGGAGCCCTGGCACTGGGAAAGCTTTAGCTTACTATATGCTACTGTAATTATCCGCCAAGAGGAGTCATTTGAAAATAAAGAAAAACCTTTCCAGTTCATCGGAAGCAGCTGCTCAGTGCTGGTGCTGTGGCAGATATGAAAACAAAGCTCATTGCCTTCCCAAATCAAGCTTTCCCCTGAATATAGAGCAGACTAAGCTAAAGCATGAAGGAGCCACACCATGTCGATTCAAATTACTGAATTGCTATTTGCCATGTATGCCCTGTTTTTCAACCTCATGGTGCTTTACGCTCAGTATCTCATTTTCCCAAGACGTAAGTTAACTCATGATTCTTCCCATTTTACAGAATAAGAAGGGAGGATGAGTGTGACTTATCCTAGCAGAGCTATTTTCCATGTTGAGGCAGATCTAGAATTACAAACACAGGTTTCCTAAATCTCAAACCCAGTTCATGCAACTGGACCTGGATGTCTGCCTTCACAAGAACCCCAGGATGCTGAAAAAGTTGAAGATTAATGGTGCTTAATATATAATTTGGACCAGCAACACCTCCACACATCTTGAATAAGGATGGATGGAGGTGTTGCTGGTCCAAATTATATATTAATTTATAATTTGCATACATCTTCTACTGATGGGTTGCAAGCCACAATTGGGTTGCGCCTTGACCTAGAGTGAGTAAACTTGGGATGAAAGATTGTGTCAGCCCATATATAACCAAAAGATCGCTGTGGTCTGCAGGTGAGGGCTTCCTGCAGATATCATCTTCTCAAGATGTCCCTTCTGCACAGCATAGGAATTGGGGCCTTTAACATAATAGCACCTACCCTTTAAATTCCCTCCTGTTAAATATTAGGGGCCTCCTCTGTTGACATTTTGGCACCTACTGAATACCTTCTTCTAACAAGCCTTTTAAGCCGAGATTTTTCCCAGTCTGCATCTGTATATACATAGTTTTTAGATGATTTTAGACATGTGTTAATTGTTTTAGCATTTGTGCAGCTGCCGCCCTGGGCTCCTTCGGGAGGAAAAGTGGGATATAAACTGAAGAAACAACAACAGGTCAGGGAGGAAAACTGGAAGGGGCATTCTTTGGGTTTCTCTTCCGGCAGGAAAATATTTTAGGCTAGTACTGTTTTTGCTGTGCAACAACATTCCTGACACTTGTGCAATCCACATACAGGCTGCTCATCCCTGCTCAGTAATATCCATATGATGGATGCAGCAAGCATGGCTCAAGAACAAGCAACTGGCTGTGTTGCCAAACCCCGCCTCCCCCCCAAGATGGTATCTCTTTCATGTACTACATTCCATTGACAATTGGGAGAAACTAGAGCTGGGGTGATGGACCTGGAGCCGTCCAGATGTTGGATGCTTGATCATTGGTCATGCTGCCTAAGCGGCTGGATGAAACTTATAGTCCAACAATATTTGGAGGGCCACAGGTTCTCCATCCTGGAAAGGAGAGGGGGAAAGCAGTTTCTAAGGCCGCCAAACAATCCTGAGGGATGTTGTGAGGGACTCAACAGAAGATTTCTTTCCAGTATCTTCAGGCAAGCAATAGTAATAATAATTGGAAAAAAGTTAACCTTCAGATTTATCCTCCAGGAAAAGAATCAGGCTAAAAAGGATTATGGGAGTACTTCCTACAGCAACATACTCATTCCAAGGGGTTAAAATAAGATAGCTAAATAGAAATATACTAAGCTCTCTCTCTTTTTCTCAGTTTTAACCACTCCTGCTGAGAGATTTCAAAGAAGCCCCTGAGGACTTAGTTTTCAGAAGTGTTGAGAAACTTCTAAGCTCTCAAGGACAGATATAAGGTTTGCAGGGAACCAGAACTCCTAAAATAGATATCAAATATAAAATCAGAGCATATCCAGCTAAAGCCACACACACCCCAACCCATGAGTTTCATCTTGCACATCTTTATTGAGCAGACTTGCTAAATCTCAGGTAGCTATTGAACCAGTTCTCAGGACTTCAAGGTCTCTACAACTTCTAGCCTAGGTGTGGGGACCTTTGGCCTTCCAAATATTGCTGAGCTACAGCTCCCATAATCCCTAGCCCTTGGCTATGATTGCTAGGGCTGATGAGATTGGAGTTCAGCAACATCTGGGGGGCTAAGGATCCCCACTCCTACTCTAAGCCAACATGGTGGTCCCCAGCTGTGTTGGATGACAACTCCCATCAGCCACAGTGAACATGGCCAAGGGTCAGAGATTATGGAAGTTCTCATCCACACCATCTGGCGGCTACCTCTGCTCTGGACCATCCTGCACCTACAGATAATAAGCTACATTAAATCATCAGCAACACATTAAAGGTGTCCCAGTTCAGGCACAATGTTGCAAATACACAAAGAACATGCCTGCACTGGCGCTGGCTGTTTCTGCCATTGTGATGACACCATCTGCAACAAGGAAACAGGCTACTATGCTGATTACATGGATCAGAAATGCCTGGGGAATTCATTTACGATTCCAGTTTGACCACCACACTTGCACTTGGGAGCACAACCAAGCAAAAAGCTCTTGCACTCCCGGTTCAGCACCTTGAGCAGTAACTTTCTGGCGCCTCATCTCAGAACTGCTACCTGGACCGAAAGGATGCATGAATAGATAGTGCGAGATGAAGTTACAGAGTGCGGGGCTGCGGTCCATAGGGGTGTGGTGTGTGCTGGATGTGTATTGGTTCCTTTTCTTGAAACCAGTACACAGATGCACTCTGAAAGATGAGCGACATTTCATACTGCCTGTAGGACAAGTGCCACTTTCTGCTGTCAAAAAAATAAACTGGATACTGAAACTTTGATGAGTGCAGTCCAACCGTCACCCATATAATGTGAACACCGTCGAATGTGTTCCCACCCACAGTGATAGCAGGATCAGGTGGGAAAGAAAATGCTTGGGGTTTGGGGAGTGTTTGTTTTTTGCTTACATCTAGTCATATGAATTTAAAAGCAGGAAGAAGGGAAGAAAATGATGATGAAATAGTTCCATGCTGTTCTACAAAAAGCCTCTATTTTGAGGCAGGGCAGGAGATATCTAAAGCCGGCTACTTGTGGAGGATGCATCAGCGCTTTGATGCCATGGTGATAGGTTCCTTAGAAAGACCAAAAATAGAGCAAGATGGATGAGAGGAGTTCAGAGAGGGGGTGGACACGTTTTACAGTGATGGATCTTTTTTAAAGACTGCAAAATACACCCACTTTCCTGGTTTAATAACTGCCTTTTCCTCAAAGAAGAGAGAAGAACGAGGAACAGTGACTATTGCACCTTTGGTGGAAAGGAACAGTAATATGTTGAATGAAGGTGCCGCCCACTAACCATTTGGGAAGGGCAAAGTCACATAAGCAAGGCCTTGACCTCTGCTGCTCCCCTGCTTGAAATGAAGCTGGTGTTCAAATAATCACTGAAACAGATATAATCAAGCCGGCACAGAATTCCACAAAGCTCAGAGTTAACCCTTAGCTAGGTCATATCCACACATTTTGGGAAGAAGGGTTATGTCAGGGAACTGCCATCAACTCAGAGGTGAGAGGTGAAAGGGCAGTTGGGTTACAGGGAGCCTCCAAAGATCGTGAGAAGCAGCACTTCCTCGGCGGAGGAGGGAAGCCACGCCTCCAGTGGGGAAGGGGTGCAGGGCTCGGAGGATGCAATGGAGAGCCACAGCACCGAGCATGAACAAAGCGGGGGGAGGCAGGTCCCCCTCTGCCCACGCCCTCTTTGCGCAGTCGGTTTACGCGCAGAGAGGGGAGGCGTAGGATGGGGGTCAAAAGACTACTCTGCTGGGGAAAGTTTAAGGACCACCCACTCCCAGATTCTGCTAGCGACTGAGCAGACATGGAATTGAGTTGATCTGCATTGTGAACGTTTTGGACAGATAATAAAGCCTTGAAAAGACCAATGGGGAGTCTTGCCTGTTTGCTCTCGAGCAACCACGCTGGCACACATAACAGGTTACAAAACTCTTCGTTCTCTCTCTCTGACCATGTGAAACCTACCAGGAAGGAAGTCTAAGCTGGATGCTCCAAGCTTAGACTGCATGGCTTAAGCAAACCATATTGTGTTTCTATACAAATAATTTAGAAACATTTACCATTTTGGAACCTAAGTTATATTGCCTGTCTTTTCTTGCTGCTGTATGGAAAAGAACATGAATCAGACCTTTCAAGAGTTTGTAAGTAAAGCATTTTTAACTTACCAAACGTGTGATCTCTTTCTATGCTACTTTGGAAGCAACTTAGAAGGGGATATTTTAAAGGTCTAACAGCCTATATTTCCACACATTGCTGTGCTGCATGCTTTGTGATATTAATTCTCTGTTGGAGCTCTCTCACCAAAGAGTACTTGTCCCAAAACTGGATCTTTTTTTCTTTTTTTTAAGAATAATTTTTTATTAACCGACCAATCACATCAAATCAAACCAAATTACATAAATTCCAAATTACACAGCCGAATTTTAAATTTTTGTTGGGGGTACCCATATTTCAAGTTCCGAAGGGATCCAATCAACTTCTTGCTTCTTACTGCTGTTTTAATGTCCACATAATCTAACCTTATGATGTTCACAATACTATCCAGTCCTTTCTTATTATTTTTCCACATCTCTTGTTGTTATTTTCATATATTTTTCCTTTCTCTTTGTGACCTCTGATAGTCTCCGCAAGCTGGTTAGAACAGTTTGTAATCCTGCGTGGATATTATTTTTTTATCCAGTAGCCATATCCAGACGTTTTCCATATAACATCACTTCCATACATCAAAACAGTCTTAGCGTCATTAATCTTCACCAATCTGCCTCCTTTCTCAAAACCTCTGAGGAGATTCACTAGGAATGCAGTCTGAAAACAAATCCGTTCTTCCTCCCGGCTGTAAATCCTTTGGCAAGATGGCGACTCCGAATTAATTGCTGCGCCATTCCCAAAAGCTCTTATTGCTTCTCGGTCTCCATAAAGCATACTTTTGGTTAAAAGTCTCCACACAGACCTTAATCATCCTGCTTGGGTCAGTTCAACCGACGGTTCTAATGAGGAGGGGTTCTTGTAAATCACATAGAAGGAAAGTAAAAAAGGTTCCCCCCCCCATTCAGCCCCATTGTCAACATACCCCGCCTTTGGTGTATCTTCGTCGTAAAATATTCCTGTTTCTCCAGCCCGTCGTCTTCTTTCACAGAGGTCACTTAAATTAGCAGACTTCACTCCCCTTCTTCACTTGAAATATGTGCATTTGCTTCTTTTGTAATTAATTATTCCAAATTGCTGCAACTAGTGCGCGATCAGAGACAGCGTCCAGGAAAGCCGATGTCCACACGGGGCATTCTGCCTAGGGCCCTCACCCCCTTCTTTCGAATTAGGGGGTGATTTATGGGCACAGCAGGCAAGGGCAGTGTTCCCCATTTCCTTGGGGCAACAAGGGAGGCTGCCTACTCCCATAACAGCCTCTTAATTACCCCGTGTGGGTCGGAGAGATGGTATTGTTGGCCATCTTCCAATGCGCCCCCTGGTGGCCCCCGTCCCAAAACTGGATCTTAGGCATCTGGGGAATTTTTTATTTTATTTTACCATGTCTAGTATATTTTTCCTTTTCAACCAAATATACCGTAAAACAAATTAAGACCAACAGATGGAAGTGTCTCAGTGTCTCTCTCATGGAAACACAAAAGTGAAAAAACTTGATCTGACACATGAATGCATTATTTATTTAACAATATAACCAAATTTGTCATTGCAAGGGGAAGAGGAAGAAGCATCATGAGCCAATCACCTCTGAAGGTTTTCAAACAAGGGCATCTTCAAATGGAGGAGGAGGAGATGTGTGCATTTCGTAGACCTGGAATGCAGGTCTCCTCTTCATTTCCCGGGCCATTTGACAGACTGCAAAAGGCCAGCAACAATGAACTGCCATCCAGTCTTCACACAGGGTTCCCTGCAGGGGGGAAGAGGAAGAGAACCTTTCCACACAAGGATGACTGAGAAACCATTTTTCCATGTCACTAAGCACTGGTCTCATTAGGCTCTCTGTACACTACCTCATCACCCTGATTCCAACCCTTTTTTAAAAGAGAGAGACAGAAATCATGAGTTTCTTCCACACTAAACAATATCATACATCATCTGTTTACTCCATTTATACATAAAATCCAGATCCAGATGTTGGCAACCCATTACTTTCCTCTGTGACAATTAAAAACTACAACAGTGGGGACTAGCAAAGTGCTGTTGAGGCTTCCCAGAGCTACTGGCCTTTTCATTTTCCAGCTTGACACCTGCTTCCCAGCTCCTGACATTTCAACTAGTTGCAGCCTCTTCACTTGAGAAGCAATGGGGATACCGATATCAGCCAGTCATTAGCCACATCCTATTCCCTGTGAGGCAAAAATGTTTGTTCATTCATCTCTCTTTTTTATGGTTATAACTATGTGATCTTCCCACACAATAATGTTTTGTCTGATCATGTGCCTTTCCCATCCCAGCTTTTCTTTTCTTTTTTACCATGGGATCAAGGCTTTCCGCACATTTTCCAGCACTGAAATGAATATCACACCTGCATTTTTAAAGGTAGTAAACAAGCCATTTCCCTATTTCCCCACACCCTGGCAGCACAGGTATCTGAACTGCATGGTGCTACCCCTGCCCCACAACCAGACACTGTTGACTATAAAAACAACAACCTTGCAGCACAATTCTGTGTGTGTCTAATTCAGCGCTAAATCCCACTGTGATCAGTGGGGTTTATGCTCAGCCAGAAAACTACAGCCCTTGGTCTCACAGAACAGACAAACACTGATAGTGTTGCTCCTATTCAGTGACAGAAAAGTTGAGCTGGTTCTCCCCACCCAGCCTAATGCAGGACAGATTGGTAAGTTAGATTTCCAGCCTTGTGCTGCTGGAGAAAAAAGTGTGAGAGAATGTATCTTCTAAACCACAGAAAACATATTGCTGAGGGTGGTGTCGCATAGTATATATCAGGCTTCCTCAACCTCGGCCCTCCAGATGTTTTTGGCCTACAACTCCCATGATCCCTAGCTAGCAGGACCAGTGGTCAGGGATGAAGGGAATTGTAGTCTCAAAACATCTGGAGGGCCGAGGTTGAGGAGGCCTGGTATATATATGCCAGGGGGTTGCCAAACCGGGAATGTCTGCTGATTTGGTTGCCATTTGCTGATTACTGGCTGATGGCTAAAGGGGGAAGTGGTTGTGCAGAATCAATGCCATGCCCACATCTACCTAGGAGACATGTTCTGTTCCACACTGCTTTTCTCTCACCACCACAACCCCAATTTCCTGAAATGTACATGGATGGGAAAGAAAAAGAAGAAGAAGAGTTTGGATTTGATATGCCGCTTTATAACTACCCGAAGGAGTCTCAAAGCAGCTAGCATTCTCCTTTCCCTTCTCCGCCACAACAAACACTCTGTGAGGTGAGTGGGGCTGAGAGACTTCAGAGAAGTGTGACTAGCCCAAGGTCACCCAGCAGCTGCATGTGGAGGAGCGGGGATGTGAACCCGGTTCACCAGATTACCAGTCTACCGCTCTTAACCACTACACCACACTGGCTCTCATTTTGATGGAGATATTTCCCTGTGAAAATATGCACAGCGACCTTATCAAGTCCATGGCACAATATGGTGGGTGCTGGTGGTTCTCCCTCATTCCCTGGGGTGCAACCTTCTGTTTGCCACATACTCGTTGTTCAGGAGCGCAATGGTGCAGCTCCAGGGTCATTTTTCTTTCAGTGGAGATGTGCTGCTCCTTCATGCAGCGCATGTTGCGCCTACATTCCACTACTTCACATGCACTCAGTCCTGGCACTCCAGCCTTTAGCCCAGCCTACGATACACTGCCAAGGAAACGCTCCTGTTTCATTGGGTAGATAGCCTTTTCTGAACTTCCAAGTTTATTTCGCCAAAGAGTAGAGAATTTCCACTACAGACACATCCTAACTAAAGTATCCCACAAACATCCCAGAACTGATGTACTTTCAACCTCACAATGCACTCAGTGGAGGCAAATGGAGGCCTGCCCCACCAGCATCGGTCTGCTCTCAGCTAGCCCCCACCTGACGGCCATCTTGTCAGGGGCTCTGCCTGACAGTGGCTCTGGCTCCACCTACCCTCCCTATCTTCTGCCCCACCATCCAACGGGGCCCAGTCACCACAGAATGCACTCCCACAAAATGTTAAATTAATATGACAACGTTTGCCTTTTGCTTATCAGGATAAAAGCTATGTGAGAAAATACACTACGTTTCCTTGATTCCTTCTGGCATCTTTTCCCTTCCTTCTTCCTGAATATGGGGCAAATGTATATTTCGCCCTCAAAGGGATATTTTAAAATGTGCCGTGCAATTTTGAAGCTACAGCAAAGAAAAACAGAGCTGCTCTTTCCCATTACTTTTAAAATATGGGTATTGGCTTGGCATGCCATTATAAACATAAGCACTGCCTTTTCCTTAAGAAAAAAAGGCTATTCCAAAGGTTTAATGCATTTGCTTGGCTTTAAGGAGGCACCACACCAGCAGAATAAGAGATATTTGCCCCATAAAGAGTGGAACAGTGGTGATTTTGGAAAGGCGAGGGATGCATACTATGAGGCACAGAGATTTTATGCTGAACTTTTCACCCTCAAAAATATTTCAAGTCATTCATTAGCAAACTAAAGATCCCCCTGCCATGCCAACAGATTTGAAACTACAGCTATGGCCTCCAACAGCGGGGAGAGGGTGAAGTGTTGATGCCCAGATTTGGCTTTCTTTCAGATTGTGAAAGGCCATAGCTCAGTGGTAGAGCATCTGCCTTGCAAGCAGAAGGTCCCAGGTTCAATTCCTGGCGTTTCCAGGTAGAGCAGGGAGAAACTTTTGCCTGGAACCCTGGAAAACCACTGCCAGTCAGTGCAGACAGACTGAGCTAGATGGACCAATGGTCTGATCCAGTATAAAACAGTTTCCTGTGCTCCTAGATATTTCTTAGCCTACTTTCAAGTCTAGAACCTTGCCAAGGTGCAATGGCATTGCATCCTTTACTGGCACCTGGGTACACACACACACACACACACATGGCAAGGCCAGGGTCTGGGAGCAGAAGATGAACAAAACCTGTTGCACCAGCTGAGCCCTCACTGCTGCTGGGCAGGCATGGGGCACGGAGGGTTCATGCTGTGCCGCCTACCCACACAGCGGGGAGCCTGGTCAACCAACGTCGCCCTTGGTGGGTGCTTCCCCCCAACACTGGCCAGGGGGCCTGGGTGCAGCAGCAAAGCCAGGCTGGGCTCTAGGGGCCAGAGCAGTGGTGAAGCTGCATGCTCCAACACTGGGAGTGGAGAGCAGGCAAAGGCGTGGCTGGCACGTGTCCCAGGTGCGTGGCACGCCGCCCACAGGGGCGTGGTGCCCGGCACAATGGGGGGGTGCGACACATGTCCAGGGGGCAGCTGCGATGATACCCCCCTCCCCAATGGTGCCGGGGTCGGTGCGCTCCCCCACCCCCCCTTTCTTCCACCAGTGGCCCAGAGACCCTGAGTGGCAGGCAGGGCAGGGATCCCTGCATGGGTGTGCCTGGTTTCTGCCCCCACAAAACCATGTGCCTGGGGCTATGGCCCCCCGTCCCTCCCCATGCTACGCCCCTTCCAAGGTGACTTACAATTGTGCATACCTACATATATTTGTGTGTGAACATTCTTATGAACAAACACAAGTTCGTTCGTAATAATTGTTAAAACCAGGAGCACAGGAAGTTGCCTTATATGTTTGGTCCATCTAGCTCAGTATTGTCAACACCGGGTGGCAGCAACTTTCAAGGGTTTCAGATAGGGGGCATTCCCAGCCCAACCTGGAGATGGCAGGGATTGAACTGGGGACCTTTTTCATGTATGTGCTCTACCACAGGATCCATGGCCCTTTCCACAGTTATAATAAAGCAACCAGTTTAAAAGAAGCCAGCTACAGGAAAATACAGGTCGGCACACAACAAAGCCCAGAAATCTGAGGTAAAACCAACAAGAACCCAAGAGCGGCAAATGTAGCAATACTTTTCAGTGAATATCCAGAGAAAATAGGTTTTCAGAGATGTCTTAAAGGCCATGACTGTTGGAATCAGATACACGCGCGCGCGCACACACACACACACACACACGGAATTCCACGGGGTAGGAAACACACCACTCCTACACTGTGCAATGTGGGAGCTGGACAGAACACTTACATGGACTTACACGTATTTTGTGACTCTCCCTGGTGCCGACTCTCAAGGCCAAGGTGGAACCCAGAAGCAGAGGGAAACAAAAGCACTCCCCGAATCGGCTTGCAATACTGCATTCCAGACATAAGCTGCACAGTGAACCACACACACCTGTCATTAAGCACAACCACAGGAAGGATGTGATCACATGACAAAAACTGTATGTGTACATTGTATGCTCATACGATGAAGTTAGAAGGGACCCACATGTCACTATGTCCAAATTCCTTGTCTACCATAGGGTGGAATCCTCCATACACTGCTGTTGTTGTTGACATCTGCCCAGGGCTTTTATTCAGCTGGAACTCACTGGAACTCAGTTCCAGCACCTCTCAGGGGGGCACCATTGCCATTATAAGAGAACAAGGGAGGTGTAAATTGTTAGTTTCAACACCTCTTTTTCTAGAAAAATAGCACTGCATCTGCCTCAAGTGACAATGGAGTGCACCTCTGGGAAGTCAAACTGCTGTGTTTGCAGCACCAAAGTGACCTCCCCAGGGCGCATGTCTGGGCAATGTGTATGGAGGTCATAGGCTGCCCAGACCCGCCCTCCCAGCCTCGCTGATATGGTCCAAAGGCAAGCAGAGCAATACGTTAGGCACCTGCTTGACTGCAGGAGTTGCCAGAATGAGCCAACCATCTTAGCAACTCCACTCCAGATTTGTGTAGTTATTACTCCTTAGCCGTTTCTTCTCCTGAAGATATCTCGCAAGGCAGCGGTGGTTTAAGATCAGAGTTTTCCTTCTCTTAGAAGGGCTACCTTCCCAGGTTGACAAAACCCACCTGCCCCTTATTTCCCTCTACAGCACATGCAGAGACCACCTTCTTGACTACTGGACCCACTATTAGTCTTGTCTGCTCAATCTGCCTGTCTCCACACGCAGGGGAAGTCCCTAACTCACTGAGGGTTTGAGACCCATCGGCTACCCTCACCTAGTTTAGTCAGCTAGTCAAAGCCATTTCCCAGGGTGTGGCCGCTGTCACATGCTGATAGCTCCTAGGAGCCACAGGTGACAGCTGAGTGCAGTGTGTCCCCCGCCATTAATCTATGGATAACCCACATGATTTGTACTCCACAAGCAGACTAAAGACAGATATAAGATGCACTATGCCAAAGATGATTACAAAGGAGGCCACCTTTTCATTCAGCTCTGTTATATCTGATGTCTAGAACTGAACGAAGCCAAACCCATTAAAAGTCAGTTTCACAACAATATTTTTGGAGCCAGGATTGTACTTCACTGGAAGCAATCATTCCCCGGAGTTGCAGACGGTTGTTAAGGAAACTTTAATGTGACCTTCTCTATCCCTCAGAAGTATAGTAGTGAAAATCAGGTTTAATATTAATACAACAATATCTTGATAAGAGAGCAAGCAACCTGCTTTCTGATGGGTAGTTTGTTATAAAACACAGTAGATGAGGATACAGGCAGACCTGGGTCAAGGATCCAAGGACAGCCCTTTACTCTTTTTTCCTCCAATATCATCTCAACTCCATTAGCTCAACAGCAACTTTTATGGGATGAAGCTCTTCAATCACCAGTCTTGAAGTAAGTCTATTAAAAAGAACCTCATCTCTCCCGTGCACACCTGGGATACAACTTTGAAAGAAGCAATTGAAACTCTTACAGACTCTTTTGTCGCTGCAGACATCAAACAGGCCAGTGGACCAGTTGCCTCCAGTACGCACGATGGTTGTGATGGTGGTTGTGACACCACTAGCGCGAGTTGGTTGTGTTGTCACAGGCCCTCTTGAGTTTTTGTTCCTGATTTTTGAAATAAATAATAAGATAGATGTATAATATATACACAAATAGCAGGGACCCTGGGGTTTAGCAGCAAGGTAGCTCATAAACCTCGTCATCTTTAGTCTGAAGGAGGCAGGAGAAAAGAGATTCCTTTTTTTTAGTGCTACCCATTTGCTTTGTTTTATAGCAATCATCCCCTTTTGCGAATTCAATTTCTCCCTGTTTGTGTCAATACTGTTTCCCACCCTCCGCTCACTACAAAAAACAAAAATTAACAAATAAAAATGCCTGATTGTCAGTGCCCTTTAGTCTCTAGTGAAGAAAGAAATCACCCGTGATCAAAGCACTTGAAGGACAAATATACAAACTAGGTACATTTTTCTGTATTCACCTGCCTAATGGTAATTTTCCTTTTCCATGCTAAAAAAACCAACAGCCAACTGTTCAGAGCACAGATCTAGCAATACAGTGAATGCGCTAAATGATTTATAGTTTTAAAAGGTAGGGGAATGTGAATTGCCCGTGTGGATTTTCTTTCAAAGTTGCATTTTTACCCTTCCCAGCTTATTGGCATCATTCTCTGTCTTTCAAGAAATTCGTTTTAACTAGGATTGAGGACTTAATGGTATTTTGAAAGATGTGTGTGTGTGTACACACTGATGTGACTTATCTACTGGGCTTTGTTCTGTTGCTCAGTTTTGCCTCCAAAGAAGGGCCTGTGCATCAGAGAAGGGGGGTGATGCTGACCCAATGGGGCATACCCAGCAGGCCTTTGTAGTTTTGGAGGATTTTTTTTTTGTCCTAGACAGTAGTCCTCCATGTTACACAATCAATCTATTCTGAAACTTAGGCATGTATAAAAAGCAATTTGTGATATGTCACATAGATTTGCTGTTAAAATTGACTTATTACTGTGACGCATCCTGGGAATTTACTTGAATGGTACGATTAATATATGTATATATTCCATTCTATATTCCTGAAAGATTGGGGAGTTGGACAGGAGAGGGTGCATGAGCCTGCCATAATGATTGCAGATGTTCTTCAACTGTTGCTCTAACTGGAATCTTCCATTAGGGAAACAACAGAGAAATGGCTCAAGAAGCGTAGATGATAGCTGAAAATGGTGACTCCTCTTTAATCTTTACTGCAGTCAGAGTGAGGGGACAAGGTAACTAGAAAACAGCAGAAGCAGAGAGCAGAGGGAGCCACCAAATTGGCGCATTTTTAAAAATGGGTGCATTCTTCAACATGTCATTGACACAATAATAGTGCATTGGTGATGGATTTTTACAGGACTGGCCACACATCATTTCAGTTTTGTTCTCCCCAATGTTATAGCATTATTACCACCTGGAGGAGCACCATAGTGTAACAAAAGCAGGGCAAAAATTAAACTGGAACATTTGTGGTATAGAATTGTGGTACAGGATTTCAGCAGACAGCTACGGGGCAAGCACGGATTGGAAATGACGCAGCATGTTCACCCTGAAACCGCTGCAGGCGCAAACACTATGGAAAGTGGGGTCACATATACCTACCCCAATACTGTCATGAACACAAATCATCACAAATGCACAATATAAATTCTGACAGGGCCCTGAAAAATTGCATTCCCACAGATTGCGTTACCAGTATCTGGAGTTGGAGAGGCAAATGTTTCCCCCTCTCTCTGTGTGTTCCTGCTCAGTGGCTGCCATTAACCTAGTGAAGTGAAGGCTCCTAGTGCAGAAAACTGCTCCCCACCCAAGATGCTGGGGTCAGTAAAGACTACCCCTGAAGTTGCAAACTTTTCCTTCCCAGTAAAATCACCAAAAGCATTTTAAAAAAAATCTGAGGCACCCAAATTCTTTTGTGAGTGGACCATGGAGGTGCAGAAACTTCAAGGAGGTTAATAAAAATTGAGACTGAACTCCTCTGGCATTCCTGCAAAATGATCTCTCTCACTTTCTAGTTTCTTCCCCCTGAATTGTCTTTTCTGGCACTTTTGTACAACTGCAGGATCTCTGTAAATCACAATGGTTAAACTGACACTCCAGTGCCCTGCAGGGACTATTTCCCCCACCCTCCCACCACAGCAGAAGAACATAGTCGTCCCAAAGTAGCACTAAATCAAGGTAGCTGCCTCATGTGCCAATACCAATAGTTTTCAGTCTTAAACTATAACACTCTGGAGGGAAGTCCTGTACACAGACCTTGGTGTTTTTGAACATTAACTTTGTGCAAAACACTGCAGCCTGATAACGACTTGACTTATATCCTGGCCATCTGTGAAAAAATGTGTATGCACTAAGATAAGCAGAGGAATCTACTGGACAGGGACTTTAAAAGGGTAGCTGGAAAAGTTACAGAGGGCCATATGATGCCACAACAGGTATGCATATGTGGCATGATACATATTACTATCAGCATCCACACAGTCGTCTCAAGGTGACATACCATTAAAAACATCAAAAAATACATTTTTAAAAATGCATTTAAAACAAAACTAAAACACTACAAAATAGACACCCATGGTCAAGTTCCATTTATCCAGTTAGGAAAGCCTGCCAGAACAAAAATGTTTTCAGTTGTTTCCTGAAAGCGCAGACAGCAGGCGCATTCCATATTTTGACAAGAATGCTATTCCACAGAGCAGGGGCAACTACACTGAAGGCCCTGCTCACAGTTACTGCAGAGGGAGCTTCTGGGGTCTTTGCAACTTGCAAGAGAAATTCTCCTGCAAACCACCATGATCTACTGGGTATACAGCACTGGCACATATTCCCAGTGCTCAAAAACCTGCACTGGTTGCCCTTATACTTTGGAACTCCCTTCCAATTGAGGTCAGACAACCCCCCTCCCTGTCGAACTTCCAGCACTGACTGAAAACTTCTTTATTCCAGCAGGCATTTTCACTGAAGCCTGGTTTTATGGTTTTCACCAGTTATAACTGGGCAACAATTTTTTACTTTTTGAATGTTGTCTAGATTTCTACAACTGATTTAGGGTATTTTTGCACTGCTGAATCAGGAAATGGCATCCGTTTCTCTCCATCAGGTCAGGTTTACTGTAAACTGAATGGTGGGCATTGATAAAGGTAAGTACACGTAAATTGCATGTTGTTTCACCATTTTTCAAACTTCAGGACTTGAACTTCCATTTCTTGGAACTCCTGGAATGCTCAGAGGCAGGGAGGTCCCTCTTCAGAGTCCAACAGTAGTCAACCATCATGACTGCATCCCAGCGACCCTGATACCTGGTCTCCATCTCTTTCATGTCCTGATGGAATCTCTCCCCCTGCTCGTCACTCGTTGAACCCAGGTTCTCAGGAAACCGGTCCATATGTGAAAATATGTAGTGCATCTTGACGCTCATGTTGCAGCCCAGGTTTCTGAAAGCAGTCAGCATGTTGTTGACAAGTTCTGCGTAGTTTCTGGCCTTATTGTTGCGAAGAAAGTTCTTCACTACCAGAACAAATGCCTTCCACGCTTCCAGTTCCACTTCGTTCACTGAGTTTCCGAACTCTGGATCTCTGATGAGCTGACGGATCTGAGGACCGTCAAAGATGCCAGCTTTCAACTTCTCCATGGTCAATCCTGGAAAAGCCTGGCACAAGTAAGTGAAGCAGTCACCATCCTTGTCCAGAGCCTTGGTGAACTGCTTGATTAAGCCAAGCTTGATGTGCAGCAGTGGGAAGAGTATTCTGTCTCTGTCCACCAGATGGTCGTTGATGATGTTCCTTTTTTTGCAAGGCACCAATTCCTCCCGCACAGGCCAGTCCTTCTTCGTGTAATGCTGAGCACGGTCCCTACCATCCCACATGCACAGAAAACATGGGTACTTGGTGAAGCCAGACTGTTGTCCCAACAAAAAGTTCACCATCTTCAGGTCAACACAAATAAACCACTTATGCTGATCATAACCAATTTTCTCCAGCACATACTTCACCGCTTCATAGTTCTCCTTCAGTGTACTCGAGTGAGCCAGGGGTATAGAGGCAAACTGGTTGCCGTTGTGTAGCAGAACACATTTCAGTGATCGCTTGCTGCTGTCAATGAACAGTCTCCAATCTTTGGGTTCGTATTGTGGCACTCCAAGCTTGAGCAGAAGCTGCACAATATCTGCACAGTACACCAAGTCCTTCTCTTCCGAGAAAAAACGGAGGTACTCTTGATGCCTGTTGCGGAAGAAGCTGATGTGAGCACTGTCAGAGAGGTTTTTTCCTTCAATCTGGATGCCAACAGTTCGTCAGAGTCCTTTGACAAGCTGAGGTCGCGAACTAGATCATTCAACTCCTTCTGGGAAAATGGATGTGGAGCATCATCTTCAAGAACCACTTCTTCTTCTTCATGTCCTTCAACATTGATCCCTTTTCGACATAATCACCCCGAACTATCAGACATGAATACTTCTTGTCATTAAAATAATCATTTCCAATCAAAACAATTATTCGACATGGCATTTTACCCCCACCAACTTCTTCTAAAATGCTCCGCACAAGCATACATGTGAACAAAAACGTAAAAAAATGACATGTGGCCATAGCTCAAAAACTTGACCTGATTGAGCAAAACCAATGTGATTTTTGGATTCGGCGCATCAGATTCGTCCTAAATCAACTGAAAAAAAGCAGACAACAAATTTGTTGTTGACCAGTGATCTCTTCTGTCTTTTATCTCTAGTTATAGAAATTGTTTAAATGAAGGGTGAATACAAGAGAAAAGGCAGTCTCTCAAATAATAAAGTTTTTGTCAGAAACCAAGGATTAGCTATTTTCATATTTTTAAGGAAATGTAGCCCTTTCAGACATTGATAGGCCACATAGGGAATGTAAACATGAGAAAAATGCACCACCACTGACTGACCTTGCATGTATCAGCCACTGAGAATTTCACCTCTGAACATCCAACATTGTACAAGGTTTGAATGGGAATTAAAGGTAAAGGGACCCCTGACTGTTAAGTCCAGTCGCGGATGACTCTGGGGTTGCTCATCTCGCTCTATAGGCTGAGGAGCCAGCGTTTCTCCACAGATAGCTTCCAGGTCATGTGGCCAGCATGACTAAACCTCTTCTGGCGAACCAGAGCAGCACACGGAAGTGCTGTTTACCTTCCCGCCAGAGCGGTACCTATTTATCTACTTGCCCTTTCGAACTGCTAGGTTGGCAGGAGCAGGGACCGAGCAATGGGAGCTCACCCCGGCGTGGGGATTTGAACCGCTGACCTTCTGATCGGCAAGCCCTAGGCCCCGTGGTTTAGACCACAGTGCCATCCATGTCCCTTGAATGGGATTATAAGTGATTAAATTTATCAGGGTTCTCGATTTAAATCTGTTTGACATCAAGGCTCTCGATTCCATGAAGGCTTCTAAGGGCATTCAGCTGAATGTGCTCAACATGTGAATGTTGGAAGCTGTCATGGGCCAGGAGTCAGCTTCACCTGCTGAACAACAGCCTGAAGGGGGAGAAGGCGGAGTGACTCCACCTGCAACTGATCAGCATTCAAGGACACAGAGGAGAAAGCACTGATGAGAACCAGCTGGATCCAGCCTTCTTAAGCAGAGCTTCCAGCAGTGGTCAGATGCTGTAAACAGCACGTGTAGTTCCTGGTCCTATCTTGCTGCTTCCTGTTCATCTTTACCCTTGATCCGTGAACCTGCGGATTGCAGTCCACCTGACCCTAGGACTGGACTGGACTTTGGATGCTGACTCTGCCTCCAGGCAAGTACACCTCAGAGACTCTTCTGATTGACTGGCCTTCCACTCCACTGAGCTCTACACGTTGTTGCTCAGCAACAAGACTATGGCAAGGATGGAGTATGCAGGGACCAGGCAAGTGTGGCACCTCTACTTGTGCTCGCATTCCTTGTTCAGGCATAGCTTGTCTAGTGTAAAGATGGATATCCTTTGGTCCTCCACATCTTCTTGGGATGCAACTCACAGCAGCTTCAGCCAGCGTGGTCAACAGTCAGATGATTGGAGCTGTAGTTGCGGAAGGGCCAAAGGTTCCCCCTCTTTGGTTTTGTCCTTGAGGAGAAATGGTTGGAGAGGAAGGAGTTGCTTGTGTATTGCAGGTGTTAAAAGGACAAGAGAACCAGGGTGATGCAGGTTCAAATCCACACTCTGCCATGAAGCTCACTGGGGCCATTTGCTCCCTTTTCGGACTAACTTACCTTAGAGGACAACTGTGAATCTAATGCAATGGTGGTGGGAGAATTTTGATGAAGGGTGGCTTGAAATTTACCAAATAATCCATTAGGAACCTGACAATATGTGACATAACCTAGCATTAATTTGCTTTATATGCTTTGTGTAAATTAGCCTAATTTTTTTTATACAGAATTAAGCATTTTTAAAATTTAAGTTTTGTTTTGAAAAAGCTTTGATTTGTGTTAAAGCTTTGATTTCACAAATAAGAAAAAGCATTTCCATAATATTATACCAACAGTTTCAATGTATTTATCTTAAGAACTGCTCGAGCTCAGCAGTAGAGAGGATAGAAAGGAACAGCATAAATGGTTTTAGCCCAAACCAGAACGTTGTTCCGTCTAGTTCAGAATTGTCTACTACACTGGCTGGCAGCAGTTAAACCAGCTGTGACCATCTCAAATGCAGGCCCAACCGTGCTTCCCAAACAAATAAATAGCTAATTTATTTCTTACGGCATCATATGCAAGGAGCCATTCCAGCTGTCAGATGCTGGCAAACGAAGAGCCAGTGAGGAGGGCAAAATCTCAGACAATGGGGTTTTCTCAGCTGTAGTAAAGCAGTAGCCTACAAGCTTGTCCATTGGAAATAAGGAAGTAGGCAAAAGATCCAGCTTTGACTGAACAGTGAAACGGGAGTTTCTAGAATGTTTGCACAAGACTGATGACATCACAGCATTCTCCATTTTAGTGTCACAATAAATTAACTTTTTATAGACTACTGTTGTGAACTGCAAACACCCCAATAACACCCATTTTACTGCCTGCATTTTTTTGCTGATTTAAAGATAGAAAGACCATCTTTAGAATATTTTAGAATGATATACATGGTAAATGAAGTTCTGTCAAATCTCTGTTTGGAAACAATCTGCTGCAGCAGAAAAGAAATGGGGGAGAAATGTGGTTTGCTTCACATTAAAATGTGATCACATCTAATTTTCAGTTCCCAAAACAATATACAAACAAATAAAGGTAAAGGTACCCCTGCCCGTACGGGCCAGTCGTGTCTGACTCTAGGGTTGCGTGCTCATCTCACTTAAGAGGCCAGGGGCCAGCGCTGTCCGGAGACACTTCCGGGTCACGTGGCCAGCGTGACGAAGCTGCTCTGGCGAGCCAGCACCAGCGCAGCACACGGAAACGCCGTTTACCTTCCCGCTAGAAAGCGGTACCTATTTATCTACTTGCACTTGAGGGTGCTTTCGAACTGCTAGGTGGGCAGGAGCTGGGACCGAAAGACGGGAGCTCACCCGCTGCGGGGATTCGAACCGCCGACCATGCGATCGGCAAGCCCTAGGCGCTGAGGTTTTACCCGCAGCGCCACCCGCGTCCCCTGAATACAAACAAATACACCCTCCCAAATTTGTGCTTCTCTAAATTTTGCCATGCAGTTCTCCAACCAAATTATATTTATTGCATGAAAACACAGATCCTAGTAGATTTACATAACACTAACGTATGGAGATGCATGACAGAAGATTGTTTTCAAATATGGCCCTATCTGCACTATGCATTTAAAGCAGTATCATAACCCTCTAAACAGCCATGGCTTCCCTTAAAGAATCCTGGGAACAGTGGTTTGTTAAGGATGCTGAGAGTTGTTAGGATACCCCTATTGATTGATTGCAATTGTTAAACCACTCTGATTGCTCAAAGTGGTATGATACTCAGAGCCAGCCCGTGACATTTTGGTACCCGAGGCAGACTCCAAAATGGCACCCCGCTCCTTGCCAGGGAAAAAGGGGTTAGGTAAGACCTACAGCAGGAACAAGGTGGGGAAGAAAGGTGAACATTGGGATCTGCTGCCCCAGTGGACCTTGCCGCCTAAGGTGGACACCTCGTCTTGCCTCATGGGTGGGCCGGCTCTGATGATACTGTCTTTGTCTGTAGTACAGATGGTGTATATTGTTTGTAGAAATGCTAAATGTTCCTTCTCATGGTGGCAACCACCACCGGATGAAATTGGGTTGATGGCTACTAGAGATTTTTTTTTCAGTGTTGACTCTATATCTACCAGTGCATCTCATCTGCTGCAATCTTAAATATCATTTGGTGCTTCTTGGAGCTATTGCGCAGTTATTCTGTGCTGCTGGTTTCATTTTGTTTTGGGTTTAATTTCCAGATGGATCAAAATAGTGCCCATACATTCTTCCAGTGCAAGCATTCCAGCCTGCCAGATGGAAGAACCCCCTCTCTTCACCCCATGTGAGATGCATCTAGAGATTGTCCCGACCCCCACCCCAAAAAGCAATTACAGGGGGTATTGCAGGGGGGTAGAAAGGGAAAGCCCCACTGCTGACATCCTCCTGCAGGGTTTCTGCTGGGAAGACTCCTTAGGCATTTTTTTGCTTGTAATCTGCCCAGAGAACATTTGTTCTTGAGTAGCATGGAAATATTGAAAAAATTACATAAATAAGGGAGATATATATGGCACTGTAGTTAAAGTTTTGTGTTTTATATTGTTGCTTTACTGGTTTTAGGTTGTGTTTTTGTTTTAAGTGTTTAATAATTGCCACTTGGAGGTTTTTGGAATATTAAAGTTTTTGACACCTGAGCTAAGATTAAAATTCAAGGTAAGACAATGCACTCAGCAAGGTTTATTTATTGTTCTGCCTTCTAATCTTTGAAATATAAAGTTGCAAAATGTTGAAAAGCAGGCTTAATATTAAAATGTCAAAATTGTGGAAATGCAACTATGGGAAGCTTCAGTGTTTGGCTAAATTGAGACTGAAACTTTTTCAATGTGGTGTTTGATCCAATTTTAGGGCTTGCAGCTTGTTACCAGCCTTTCAGAAGCCTAATCAGAGAACTCTAGAAAATCAACATTAGAAAACTGAGTTAACAAAGCCATGAAGACAAGATAAAATTTCATATTAAGGAGGGAGGAATTGAAAATGAAGAAATTAAGGGGTGTGTATATTAAGCAGAAATGGCAAGCCAGCTGCTCTTTACAGATGACTCAAAGCTAAACTGCTAGCTCAGGTATCCCTGGAATAATTCCATTCAGTATGCATTTTGGTTTGGAGAAAGTTTTCAGCCTGAAGCCTTCTATAATAGGAAGAGCTGTGCCCCAACTGGGGAGCCTTAAAAGAGCCCAATGTTCCCATAATAATGTGTCCTGCCATCACATAATTTAAAGGGAAAAATAAGATAATATAATGTAATTACATATCCACTAATATTTCACAGATGAAAGTAGGGGCATCTCTTTATTTTCTTACTTTATTTCACTGCCTGAGCCTGCCCCCATACCATGACTCATTAGCTCTCTTGAAGGTATGTGTGGGACATGGAACTTCGTTACTGGTCCTGCCTCTAATATGATGCATGCACAGCCCCTGTGTCCTCAACCTCTCTCTGTATACAGTTAGCAGACCTTGCAGCTTGGGTGAATTGTATTGGAATCATTTACAATTTATGGAGTTTAAAGGCCTTATGCATGCAGGAACTATTTACAGGTTTAGTGGGGATAAGAGAGAAAATAGCAGACACCTTGTCTGGAGAGAACAACAAACCAAGATGGCCGAGCTGGAATTAACTTAAACAGAGAGGCATAGAAACAAGTGTTGGCTTGATCACTACAGACACAGTGCCCTCATGTGGTCTAAACTGACACATGCATTAACTAGAAGTTCAGGAGAAGGAAATGTATTTGTTTGCCTTCAACTTGTACTGCATGCTGTATGCCAAGGGAAACCTGTGCAAGGTTAGCTGAATGCCTTTAGGCACCGCACACAATCAGACTTTCCGTGAGCTTGCATGGAGCACCTATACACATCCAACTGAACATGCATAAGTGCTGCTTCACAGACATCACACTGAATTGCATAGATATCAAAGAGGGTCTTCCTCTCTCTTCTTCACAAATACTTTGTATACATGAGCCCCCTTCAAGTGTTACCATGGTGTACTAATCAAACAAGCAAGGGGAGGCTGCAGAAACAAGCATGCTAGGTCTGCCCCCTCCTCATTATTGTCACTCTCTATGAATGGGAAAGAGGCTGTCTGTACATGCATGCGCACTAGAGTCAGTGTTCCTACCTACCATTCAGAAATTTAGGACACAAGCACACAAGGAGTTAGTGGCAATCAAGTCACATTGAGAGCAGTGGGATGGAAATTAGCCAGGACTTGCTGAAATCCCATTCGTTGCAATGGGGTTTCCCTGCAATTCATTGCTTTGATAGATTGTATTCCTTGTTTATAAAACAAGGCCTAGAAGAGAGGACAGAAACTAGCGCACATGTGCACAATTCTTTTTTTAAATGCAGCCCCAGAAAAGACAAAAAGAGAATAAAATAGGAAAAGTACCAGGAAATAGGCACTGTCACTGCCTATTCTTGCCTGCTGCCACTATGTCAGAGCCCATCCCTCTTGCTTCTGGACTTTGGCTGCTTGTTCCCATTCAAATTGTTCTAGAGTATAAAACAAGTTTGTTTCCTCATCCACTTCATTTTACTTTACATCAATATGTATGTATAGATAGACACATAGACAGACAGATTATTCCTTGAAGCTACTCCAATTTCTTCCGACAGACCAATAGAGTGTCAATGGTTTTGTAAACTGCATGGAGATTTTTATCTCCAATAAATATCTCTCTTCTTTCCCCACCCCCACATCCTTAGATCTTATCAGTTCCAGGGGGCTAAGTTCCTGACTTACAGTGCCACCTCCTGGACATCAATAAAACACACAGAGCAGTCCATTTAGCTTCTCAGTTGCTGCTCAAGCATTTCAAGAAATGGTCCATTTCAAATGGGTCTCTTCACCCCCCCCCCCTTCCCCTGCATAGCAGCAGGAGTGCACAGCACAGATTTCTTTTGCTAGGTTGGGTCCAAAATGAACAGAAGAGTAGATAACAATCCTTGGAGCTTTTACAACAAGTACAGTACTAATTTCCCTTTCTAACATCAATACAAACCCATCCCTTTATTTCTATGTGTTAATCCAAAGACAAGTTCTTCAGTGACAAAGATAAAGCAGCCAGCTCTGCTGCCAGACATTGTCTAGTCTGCCCCTGCTTATCTTGTTGGCTGTAGACTTTTTCTTGCTGGATTCCAATTTTCTACAGGAAGCAGATATCAAACAAGGGAAACTGTTGCTTCTAGGGAAAGGAGAAAAGATCTACAAACCTCAGCCATAAACACTACAGCCTAGAATTCAGCTCATTTGCGACTAGATACTGATATTGCTACAAATGTCTATATACTTGCTATGATTCCAAAGTAGAATGAAGCCTGATCCAGTTTCTGGGTCAGGAAATGGTTAAGTAGCAGGAAGCAGAGAGCAGGAATAAATAAATAGTTCTCCCAATGGAAGGATGTAGAAAGTGGATTCCCCAGGCTCTGTATTAGGACCTGTGTTTTTAAGTGATCTGGAGTCAGGGGTGAGCAGTGAAGTGACCAGGTTTGCTGTTTATATTAAATTGTTCAGGACTGTTAAAACAAAAGAAATTGTGAAGAGTTCCAAAAGGATGTCTCCCAGCTTGGTGAATGAGCCATAAAATGGCAAATGTAACTCAAGTGGTTCATGTTGGGGCACAAAAGACAGGGCCTTCCCTCCAGTGAAATGTTTTAATGAAATGTTTTTGTTGCTGCTCATGCTTTTGCTTTTATATCCTTACTATTTTTATGCCTTGTAATTTTTAATTGCTTTCTTCATTGCCACACGCTTCATTAAGGAGCAGAGAGAAATGGCAAAAAGCAAGGGCAGGGAACCTCCGGCCAATCTTCCATGGGTCACATGACAATGGTGGGCACAGTGAGCCAAGCAAGGATTATAAAATTTACCGGTGAGCTGTTTCCTGGCACTCACATGCCCCTCTCCATATTGCATTGAAGCAAGCAAGAGGCATCGTCAAAGATCAAGGGCACATTCCAGACACACAGAATATACTGTGATTCCAACTAAATGTTAGGAAGAATTCTGTGACATTAAGATCTGTGGAATGGACTATGGCTTTTAAACAGAGGTTGGGTGGCTGTCAGGGATTCTTTAGCTGTGATTCCAGTATTGCAGGGGGGTTGACTTTTGGAGGTCCCTTCTAACTATACAGTTCCATGGAAAACAACTGAGGGTGTGAAATAGGGCTGGTGAGGGATGTGACCAAGGGCCAGGCAGAGAGACCCAGTTGTCCGCACTTGGCCCCTGCTCTAATCATTCACATTTTTAAAAGTTGCAAAGGCCAGTAATTGTTCTGTATGTTATGGAAAACAAGCAAGCCACTTGGCAGTAGCACATATTGTTCACTGTAAACATACCGTATTGACTGTTCCCACCGGCCACTGCACACTGCAGCTACACAACAGGAACGCGGTTTGCACTATGACCCGTTAATGACTTACAGAACAGCTCTTGAGCTGGCCTGGCCCCGGAGGAACTGGGAAAGAGAGAATCAGGAGTAACACAGGCTGCGCGGGAATGCTAATGCAAACTGAAAGAGGGACTGACACCGTTCTAACAAGGTCAAACTTCAGAGCATCCAAAGGTGTAGACAGGCAGTAGTGGAGTGGGGGGGGGCAGAGACAATGCAGGAGTCTAATTAGATATACTGTATTTTTCTGTGTATAAGACAATGGTTTTTTGATTAAAAAAAGATAGTAAAAAATTGGGGGTCATCTTATACACAGATGGTGAATGCATATGGGTTCAGGTGTGGGTGGCTGGGCTCAGGCTCTTGAAATATGGCAACCCTAACTATTTTAAAACATTGATTTAATTTTGGGTTCAAAAAAATAGGGTGTCTTATACATGGGGGCATCTTATACACTGAAAAAAGCAGTAATTTTCAGAGCCACAATTGTACATATTGTAATACCTGTGGCTACTAGGTTAGCACATTGCCACCCTTTCCCTCCTTTTAAAAGTATTTCCCTCCCTTGCAGACAGCATCATCTGCAAAACAATGGTGGTGCTGCCTGTTGGTTCCCTTGGCTGGGTTGACAATCTGTGCCGCCTTTCTCTGAGTTTTATGTGTGCCAACAGGGGATCTGGGCCAAGGCCACCTCTGTTTCTGCCAGCTCTCTCAAGCCACAGGGCACAGTTAGCCTTCTGCCCTGGCTGTAATTTGTTCTCCCTCCACAGTTTGGGCTCCTCTTGCCGCAAAGGCAGGCATTCAGCAGACAGCATAATTGCAGAGTTGGAACTGCTCATTTTCGTGCTGGCATGCTATAGTTAGAGAGATGCTGGGAGGCAGCCTGGCTGGCTGCAGAGAGCATGATCAAAGTATTGAAAAGAGGAGAAAAGAGAGGATGTAGCCTTTACCCACTCGTCTCCTTTTTTTGGAGTAGGAAAAAGGAACTGGTTAGTAAGTAACTTAGATGCCTGCTGCACTTCTGAGGATGGAAGATCAATGAGCCAACAAACCCACAAAGGCAAAGGAGTGGGCTTGCCTTGCAATGGCAAACAATAAAAAAGATTCTCTTCTGATGGGGTGCACATAATCCTACTTTAACCTTTCCTCCTCTTGGTGTACTATGTTGACTCCCAAGGAGCTGACACTTATAAAAGAAAAGGCAAAGCAAGATTTTCCTAGGTATGAGGAATTTTGTTTTTGTAGGAAGACTGTAGGGTGCGATTCCGAGTATCCACCTTCAAACAATTTCTGGAAGCAGGAAAGAAACTCCCATTTCAAGAAGTGTTTGTGAACAGCATTTTACGTTGATTCCAAAACAGACATTTTGGTTGATGAACATCATAGTTTGTTACACCAGCTTTTCTCTTTGATAACTACCACATGCATTTTTTTTCTTACAAAGGCATTCTTTAGAATGGCTTCTGAGCTTTAGGAGAAAGTTCCAACTTTTGTTTTCAAACCAACTCAGCTTCCCAAGCTGCAGCACACCAGTTGTCACTGTGGTAGAGCTAAAACACCATCAATCAACCATCTTCTAGGTGCTTTTGCCTTGCAAGGTGATGTAGGTGGAATTTAGGGAGAGTGATACCAACCCAGATCAGACCTGGGATTGATAACATTAAGTGCCAGGTTAAAATGAAAGTATGCTCCACAATTAGTGTTTTGAGTCTTTTGTTTTCAGTAATTTTTGCGATAAGTATTTTACTTATACAACTTATTGGTAAAATTGTACGATGCTTTGGAAATAGGAATAGAAAAGTACCCCATTTAAGTAAAATAAAACTGAAACATGCTCTTGTGAAATGCCCAACTTTACCTTCTTTATCATCTCCCCTCTCTAACACACTAATATCACACTACCACCATAGAACCAGGTCAGCACTATAGACTGAATGCAGTGGAGACAGTGCCCTGCTAGAGTTATCCAGCTATGGAACAGCTTGGTCAGACACAGCTTCCCATCCTCAGTTATAGAGTTGGAAAGAGTAGACAGGTAGGTGAAGGGATTGATGGTGCAGTACAGATGAGGAACTGCTGACCCAGGGAGCACAATAGACCCATGGAGCCTTTTCATCTAGCCCATGACTTCCCTTTGATCCCAACTCCTCCTGAGGCTTGCTAGGTTTCATCTTCTGCCACAGCAGTTGTGCATGCCTCACTTAGTCACCAGAAGGGACTCCCCCCAACCCACCCACCACTGCAAAAAAGGGCCAGAGAACAAGAGAGGGATGGATCTGGTGCAAGAACAAAGTGATAAAGTCAAGGGTGGAAAACACAAGCAGTGGAATGGCTCCTCAGAAATTGCTGCCTCTCCAGACTGCTCTCCTTCCTCTGCCATATATATATATATAAAGTAGGCTGCTGAGGAAATGCAACCACATGCATGTATGGCTCCACCATCTTTCAACTCTGAATATTCCAACGTGAACACCAGAAGTCTATCACAGCCCTAAGATGTTCGTATTGCACACTCTTTTGTGTGTCATTTTTCATGCATTTTTAAAAAGGTGTTTCTGAACTGTCTTGATTTAGGTCAGTGAGATTATTTTCAAAAGAAAGTCACAGGGGATGGAAAATATATTTATTATACCACATTTAAAAATGAAGGACCCTGATCTACATGCAAGATTAAGTTTCCTTCCCCTCCCCAAGCAAGAAATTAAATTTGTTGTGGTCCACTAGATCGCTTGAAAGCTGTTCATGTTATTTAAAAGATTCATAACCCAGCTCAATGCAAAAATCTAATTAATGATATAGACTAGCGTATCCCCAATATCTGTTGTTCGTCCATTCTCAGTGAGACGAACCCGCTTTTCAGCAAGGTCTATGTGAAAGACAGCTTGATCTAAAATGGGAGATTTCTCAGCATCTTCTTTACCGAGCACAGGAACACGACGTGGGCCCAGGATAGGGTCATCAAAACGCATTAGTTTCACTTTGGAAAGATCTGGAGGGCGGGCGGGAGAGAAAGAATACACTTGTAAGACATGTGCATTTTTATACAACAATACAAATCACAAGGCAGTTCAGGCAAGGTACCTAGCAAGGAGAGAGCATTAGCCTGGGCTGCTGAAACTCTAACTGCCCCAATTGCTTGAATAGCGCCTTGACAGATGTTTACAAGCTGTTGTGCAGGCCATTTGCCTCAAAGGCTACAGAAGCCCTTAATAACCAAGGCTTAATTAAAAGGCAGTGTGGGTTCAAGAATATCCAACATGAATGCACTGACACTGAGGTGTGCCTCAGCATAAAAAGTGAGCAAACACTTCCAACGGAGGGATACATAAAGACCTCCAATTTCCCTCCTACAACAGCAGGACAGAAACACTGAGAGGTGTGTCTAATTTTATGGGTGTTTTAATATGAGTTTGAATAAATTTACTATGTAAAGTTTTGTGTTTTAACTCGGTAGAAAGCAAAATGGCTTACAGAAACTTTTCAGTAGCTTTCCTTCATGCAAATTATGATCCCAGAGAAACATCAGCTACTTCCTTAGCATTGTGCCCTCTATCTATTAATACTGCAGTTTTAAATTAGCTGTTAGAGACCTGCGGCCATTCACTTGGGCAAGAAAGAGGAAGAATGGCTCTAGAGAAAAAAGTCAAAGGTGTCCTCCCAGTTCACCCTGAACAAATGAACTATGTAATTTCCTCTTCTCTACTGCAATCAGGCCTGATGCCAGTGGTTGACCAGGATAGGTTCTGGCCACGGGCACCAGAGCTCACCAGCCCAACCTGCTGCCCACTCACTCACCCCTGGATCTGTGTGGCTGGCTATGGGCACCATTCACAAACCAACCTTGGCTTCCAGCCAGGGGAGCAGGGGCAGGGAGCCCATTGGAAGTCTGGCAACAGCTCTAACTGCAATTTTAAGTTATACACCCTTGCAGTTTCCAGTTATACGCCATGCTTTTTCAGGCATGACTAACAGCCAAAGAGGCATGGAAGTAAAAAAAAAAGGGTGGTGGTCAAGAGGACGTTAATAAAATCCAGAGGAATTAAATAAAAAATGTATGGAGATGTTTCCCCGGAGAACCAAGTAGTTTACAGTATACTCTCCATCTCATATCTTACTTCCTCCCCAACAACCCTTCTTTATCGCTCATTCCTCTCTTTTATGTCAGAAATATTCAACATAAAAGGGAGGGAGGAACATCGCCTGCATAGAATTGTGAGAGGAAAGATGGTTAAAACTAGAAAATGTTTTAATACAAGCAGAAATGTTGTCTCAGTTTTGTTATTAGAGGCAACTGCTTTTTTAAAAAGAAGTCCTTTAAATAAGTTCAAACGATTTCTCAGTAAGAACTGCGAAGCAGAACTTTCCTAATGAGCCAGCTATTTTAGTCTGCCTAAGTTGCTGCTCTTTCACCACTAGCTTTTATCAGATAATCTTTTCAAGTGCCTGCCTAACAGTGACATCTTCTGGAAACAACGATTTGGAAGAATTACTGATTTACTCTCAATTGCTTTTCATTCACTTCAAACAATCAGGTTGTGCATCTCTAGTAATTGCCTGCCCGAGCCTGAAATGTGCAGTACTCCATTTTTGCTTTGCAAGACAAGTTATAGACTTCTTCCTCTCAGCTCTTTTCTGAAAACACAACTTCACACTGTAATATAAAAATTGTCTCTCTTCCTAGGATCAAAACACACAAGCCGCCAAAGTGATGAGGAAATAAATTATACGACGTGAAAAGTTTGGACCAAGACATAATTCCCTCACAATTGCTGGAATCAGCAAAGCCAGCAAGCAAACAGGAAATTGTCTCTGCTTTTTAAAGAAATTCTGTCAGTTCTGTTCAGCAGAGCAACCTGAACTTCAGGCTTAATGCCTTGCTTCCTTTAAACAGTTTAATTAGAAGGGCGGAATGCCTGCAAAATAAGGCCATTAGCAACTGGATAACAGGAAGGAACTCAACGTGTTCTAATTTGAGGACACACTTAAGAATGTAAACAGACGTCACCTCAAAATACACCTTCTGTAAAAGCTGCTCACTCCTGGGGTTGTATCTAAAGTGCAGCTGAGTAACGCATTCCTTCAGTACAAGGATTTCCACTTTTGCTGCAGGCTTCTCCCCAAATCTGTTCTAGGTGCTTCTCCAACACTCTGGAGCAGATTTGGGGAAGGTGCAGGGTGCATGCAGGGAAGGAGGGGGAAAGCCCTGCTGTGCACTGACACCTTAACTGGATAACGCCCCCGGTTAGCAACTAAGCTTGCTAGAAGACCATTTAGACAAGAGGTACAGGGGGTGAGGAGGAATGCACAAACATTGTTCATCCACACAGTTTTTTACCACCTCTAATCACTCAGGAGGGCAAGGTTGGCCCTGGAGACCACAGCTGCAGAACCCTGTTAACATTTACTCCCCACCCCCAGCAACTCCCATTGCAAACAAAAATAATCCTTGAGTCACCAAACTCTTCCTCCCAGGAGGTTTGTCAAAGCCTGAGCATCTTTCAGAAACAATGCAAAACAATTTTGTTTTGGTCAACAGCATTTGATGGCGCAGACTGAAGCCAGCATGCGGGTTTTCTGTGAGCATATTAGTTAGATCTGACAAGTAAGATTTTCAGTCTGAATTTTAAAACAAAGTCACCAAATTTAAGGTTTAGAATTAAAGAAGGTTATAGTGAAAATTGAAAATGGCACCAAAGAAACATCAAGAGTAAATAATCTCAGGAACTTTGGGACACAGAATTGGTAACATTTTATATTTTTAAACACAAACAATTTTTACAAATTTGTTTTCAGCCTTAACTGACAAATAAATAATTTGTTGAAGCTAACTTCTATATTACAAGAAAGAAAGAGAGATTTTTTCACAGCAGCTATGGATGTCAAATCCGGCTCTTGAGTGAGAATGTGCATTTGCTTTAATGCCTTTATGCTACAAGTCATTACTGCTGGTGAGCCCTAAGTGCTTTCAGGGAGATGGAGGTAATACTTACCACCTCTAACACTGTATAGTTTGAAATTTAAGACTTGAAAATAATGTGGTTCATGCATTAAGAAAGTGGGAGTTGAGTGGGAGTGGGTGGCTCAGGGGACTTGAAATGGATTAATGCATCTTTCACATTTAAGTTGCAGGATCAGGCCTGCAATAAGCGAACATTAGCTGGTGGAGAGGGGGTTGACTTCAGATCTGGAGGGAGGGAGGGATAAGTAGGCTCAGAAATCCCCAGGTGAGCACAATTGTCCTGTGAAGTTCTGGCTCGGGCTCATAATGGCCTTGGCTGTGGCTCCAACCCTATCCCAGAAATTCTGGGTTCCTGCTGCAGCAGCATTCCAGAGCACAATAGGGGCTCTGGTACCAGATGCATATCCCACTCCCCAACATGAAGCTCCTCCTGCTGCAACAGACACTGTGAGGTTAGTTTCAAGAAAAGAAAAGGGATAAAGATGATCATGGTGGGCTATGCTAAGGCTGTGCTGCCAGTGAGGTTACTTAAGAGCATGAGGGGGCCCCAGTCTTGGCATGAGCTCAAAAATAATACAATTTAGTCTCTTTTTAGTTAGAAAATCATTGCCGAGTCCATCCTGATTCAACATCTTCACTAACAGTAATTGATCATTGCTATCAACAGGCATATCTACAAGAAATGAATCTTGGGCTCTGCTCCAGATTCCGGACAACTCCAAGAGGAAGGAATGACTCAAGGCAAGCTGATCCCACAGGGATCTTCTCACCACAGGGGGACGCAGCTAACAATCTGGTCATTGTTCAAACCATTACTGATACCATAATAAAGGTAGCGTCTATAAAATCATGTACAGTGTATACACAATTGGTGCTCTTTTCTAACCAGCAAACCTCCTGTAAGAATCACTGTAGCAAAGGCCTCTTTTGGTAGCATCTGACAAATCTTAGATTGACAAGATTGTAAAGTGTGTTGCACACAAACAGTGCCACAGAAAACCAATACAAATAGTAGCAAGTGAACAGAGGCCTGATTTTATAGTTAGAACCATGTGAGACATCCAGTGAGTAAGAAAACACATTTTTGACAATCAGCATTTACTGGATAAGCTGCTTTGTAGGAATTTTAACATCTAGCTGGCTGAATTATTTGACCTAAATTTTACCTTTGATTCCTCTGTCCATCTTCATCAAGCGCCTGATTATTGCATCTCGGCCATCTCCTTGCCTGACCTCTATTTTTGTAGAAAAGTGGCCATTTGCTGGTTGAGGATTCACCAGAAAAACAGACACACCAGGCTATAAGAAAAACAAGAGGTAGGTGGAAAAATGTCAAATATCCAACCTGATGGTAGAGACTTGTTACTTGTTACCATGTATCTTGGATCACAACTTGCCAATATGGCTTACTTCCACCTGTACAAAATGATATATAGAAGTCTAAGCATTTCAGCTGCAGTTGATACTCTTATGTACACAGATGTCTCCCCACTTACACAGGGGTTACGTTCCAGGGTACCACACATTTATGTGAAATTGCATATGGTGGAGGAAACCATCTAAAAAGTCTGTAAACACCCTCTAAACCTCATAGAATTGCAGCTGCAAAGGCTCCTGGGATTGCTAGCCATTTTCCCACTCTTTTCAAGCCATTTTTGCGGTTTCCCCACTCTTTCCCCACCGTTTTTGTCCCTCTGTGCCTTTTTGAAGTTTAAGTCTTTTTAAAAATTATATCCGGAAGTCGCACATATACATGGTGGCACGAGAGTTGAATATGCACAAGTAAGGGGACGCCTGTATTCATTTGTGTGTGTTTTAATGTATTTGTTACATTTTTATCCCACTTTTTCTCCAAGAATCTCAGAGTAGAATTCATTGTTCTCCTCCACACATTTTATCCTCATGATCAGCTTGTGAAGTCACTAAAGCAATAGCGACTGGCCAAAAATCACCTCCCGTTACCTTAGGGAGCTGAGCTTGGAGCCCTGTCCATTTGCTGAAGGGCTACACCTCAGTGGCAGAGAATCTGCCTTGAATGCAGAAGGCCCTGGATTCAATCGTTTGTACGTTCCCACCAGGGAAAAGGAAAATATTTCTACACACACTCCCCTCTCCATCCCCTAGCCCAAGGGCATATTCCAGCCAGCCAAAGGCACCCAGGGAGGCTGCTGCCTGTGGATGGGAGTGTGGCCTGGGAAGAGTCTCAAGGACCAAACCAAAAGGCCTGACAGGCTGCACTCACTCACTGCATGTCAAAATAGCAGGCTTTTCATGCATCAAGCTATGCATAAAACAGTCCCCAGTCTAGCATCAAGAAATGGAATCCAAGGATTGGAGCTTAGTCTCAGTGGTTCCTAATGAGTTCTATGGGTAGAATTAACAGGGTGCAACCTTAGATACCACTGAGAAGTGGAGAAAGGACTGGTGCTCTTACCAGACATTACTGGCAGGTCTAGCCCCCGTCCTTCAGTGATGCATCTTAGACTTTTCTCTCAGATACATAGACAGTTTCCAATGCCTCATGCAGGGCACATAAAGTACAGTGGTACCTCGAGCTACAAACGCCTCAGGTTACAAACGCTTCAGGTTACAAACTCCGCTAACCTGGAAGAGTTACCTCAAGTTGAGAACTTTGGCCCAGGATGAGAACGGAAATTGTTTGCCAGCGGCACAGTGGCAACAAGAGGCCCCATTAGCGAAAGCACGCCTCTAGTTAAGAACAGTTTCAGGTTAAGAAAGGACCTCCAGAACGAATTAAGTTCGTAACTAGAGGTACCACTGTAGTTAAGTGGGGAACAAAGTCTCAGAAATCAGTGAAGGAAGTAGACTTGCAAACTTACTTCTACTCTGAATGTGCAGAATGGTTTTCCAGGACAACAATCTTCTTTGATTTTCTCATCTCCCTCAGAAGAAAACTTCAATTCTATATGTTCCAGCTGTGGAGGAAGAAGAAGGAAAGTTCAAAACATTGGTGGTGCAGGGGGTGATAGTACAGCAATCACAGGAGTATGCCAACATTTAATTCTCTTGAAGCACATTCATGTATTTCTTTGTAGCAATGAAGATTCTAAAGAAAGATACTGCTGACAGCAAGTTGTGCCCAAGACTGGCCCAAATCAGGCACTTCCCATTACATAAATTTATCTCCAAGCAACTGACAGCAGCTCTGACTTACAGCTAGATGCTGTTAGATATACCCTAAAAGGTTGGCTACAAATCCATTCAATGATGATGATTGTGTTTACAGGATATATCTTGAATAAATTCTCCACTAAAATGGTCGAGAATTTCCAAACCATCTTCTTACCTTGAGAGAAAATCAAGCTAAGTGGGGACAATAACGTTATTCACGTAAAAAGTAGTAAGATGATGAGAGAGAGAGAGAGAGAGAGAGAGAGAGAGAGAAGCTGGCTGCATTTGATAAAATCTCTCCTTTCCATTGAAGGTCAATGATACTGAATATAGAAGTCCAATTTAGGGTGCTCTTGGTCACTAAAATCTGGAGAGCCTCTTGGCACCTTAAAGACCCCCCCAAAAAATATTATGGCATATGTCTGTACAGGTTTATGCCATAATAAAGTTGTTATCTTTGAAATGCCACAAAACTTTAGGTTCTTTTTTTACTGAATACTTCCAACATTCAAACTATCAAGCAGGATTGGACTCAGATAAACCAGAGGCCTTTCTCCTTGGAATAATAGGTTCTGAATTACCCAAGAAAGATGTAATTATTTTTGTATGCCACAACTGCTGCTTGAATTCTTATAGCCAAGAAATGGAAAACACAAGAACAACCAACTATGGAAGAATGGCAGATGAAAATGATGGAATATATGGAGTTGGCTGACCTTACTGGAAGAATCCGTGACCAGAAAGAGGAGGAATATCAAGAAGAGTGGAAGAAATTTAAAGACTATTTGAATAAATAGTGTAATATTAAAAATTAGAAATTACTTGAAAGTACTAAATTGGCCTAGGAGGAAATTAAGAGTTAGTAAAATAATTGAGATCTAGAACTTTAAGAAAAGGTAAGAAATTTTATTTTAATTGGAATACTGTGTTTTAATAATGATATTGGAAAACTGCTACATTTAAATACAGGGAAATTCAGATGGGAGGGCTCAAAGGAAGTCAAAACCATGTTTATGATGTTAGAAGTTTAAATAACCAATTAATTTGTATTGTCTGGGTGTTTGTTGACATGTATTTTTCTTTTTCTATTTTCTTCTTTGTTTATATTTGTGATTTTGTTTCTTTCTTTTTTGTTGTAGTAGGTGGTAAGAAACTTAATAAAAACTATTTTTTTAAAAAAAAGGGGGGGGAAGGATTGGACTCAGATACAAAAAGTGATCACCAACGTAATCACGTAATTCTATTAGGGACTTCCCACCCCACACACAACTTGTAAGCTAATCCACTGATAAATAACTTCTGCAAGCTTAACAATTAAATGTGCACGGGCAACCTTAAACCAAAAAAGACATATATAGACATTCAGTGTGTCTTCAAGCTCTTTCGACTTGAGCCATTAACTCCGTGACAAATGCTCACCTCCAAGGAATTTGTCAGGTAGACTATATTCTCCATGAGTACGGCCCGTTCATCAAACTCCAGCTCCAGATCAAGAACACGTGGCCCTTTCTTCTCCAGATTCTCCTGTGATGCCAAAAATATGGAAAGCATATATTTTAAATTGGGTCATCTCTGTGAAACCTGAATAGTGCAGCTGAGCAAGCCCAAGACAGAAAACATCTGACAAAAATTCATTGCGTACAGCAAATGTGTCTAAAGCTCCTAGCAAAATTTACAGTTTTTAATTAATTAAATACAGTTCCCGCCTCTAAACAGGAAAGAATCTAAAGCTTTAGCATTTAAATGACAATAGTAGTTTTATGTCAGAAATTTTGAAACATACATAACAATCTTGTCTTCTTGCATACCCAGGCTGTGTGTATTCAGCAAGCTGCCATTCTATTCCTTTACACCAAGATGTCCAACAGGACTGAGCTTGAAGGCCAAATTGCAGGCCATAGAATCTTTTGTCCCCTCTGCAGGCAGAATGCACCCACTGCGAGCCAACTGTACAAAGAGGTTGCCACAAAAAGCAACATCACTAAAATGTGGCTCATGAGCTATGTGAGAACATCTGGAGGTGACTGCAGGTATCACTGCTCTCCTCCTCACTTCTGTGATTTGGGCAGCCAATAAACATTGTGGAGCAACTGACACCCCCCCAAACCCCCCCCCCAATATCTAGTCTGGCAAGAAACAAAGATCTACACTATCCAAGAAATAGCCCAAAGAGCAGTCACAGATCTGTATGTTGTCCAATAACAATGCCAAAGAGTCCTGCACTATGCTTTGAAGCAACTGATTGTCAGCACCGCAGAAGTCCAGTAGGTGTGCAGGTCTTAAGAAGCACTTGTGAAGCACCCCTGATTATTGGGACTTCAGAAGCCTCTTTTTACCTGCCCACCTGATGTCATATAAGATGTCAGGTGGGTGAAGCTTGACCAAAATTGCAGGGCGAGTCAAATGGGAAGGCCTGGCAGGCCAGAGGCAGCTGAGATAGAAACCTCCACATATAATCTCATCTCAGTCCAAACGCTACAGCTCTTGCAAAATTCCAGAAATGCATACCAAGGACAATCTGCTGGAGTTAGATTACTGCTACATCAAGTATGCAGAGTATTCTTTCTGCTACTACCAATGTGTTCGACAGGAAGGGGTGCATGAGAAAGCAATTTTGTTGAATTGGAACAGTGTGCTGGATTTGTTACCTTGGCTAAAGAAAGCACACATTGATAAAGAGAATAAGCAACAGCTGTCTTCCCATTCTACTGTCGTTCTGCAAGCTAGGTGCTTCAGCAAAAAAAATAAAAAAAAATGTGCCTAGCATTTATTTAGCGTGGCAAGGCTAACTGTGCCTCTAAACACACACACACACACACACACAGAGAGAGAGAGAGAGAGAGAGAGAGAGAGAGAGAGAGAAACCAATGTACCACTGGAGCTACAATTTAAGTAGTAAAAAAACACACCACTCTTTTCTAAAAGTCATGACACATTCTTCTTTTCGATCACTACTATCTATCTATCTATCTATCTAGTTAATTATACTTCTGTGAATTTAGTACCCTGTGAAGCATCTTCTCATTCTAATTTTGTTCTACAGCCATGGGCCACAGGAATTTACATTATTGATTTACATAAACCTATACACCACCTTCTAGTCAGAGCATTTTTAGGTGGTTTACAAAAAAGCTATTAAAGCAATTGCATTAAACCATCATGACTGTTTTAAAGTAACAATATAACAACACCCACCGCAGCCAGCAACAATTATCAGCACATTATCAAGGCTCAGAAAATGCTTGGGCAATGACCATGTGGGTCATTATTACTTAACAGTTGTTATTTAAGTGCATCAGTTAAATCCTCCTGGCATTTTAGTCTACTCTGACTAACTGATAATGCAGGGAGATTTTAAATGTGGCCAATAAGCTCTGTTTTTAAAGTCATGCTTTCTCCTCCAGTTATCAAATGTATTTCTTAATGTCTCTCTCTTTCTTTTTCTTTTCTCAGGAGAAATCTTGCTGCATTCAAGTTGTGATCCCAAGCTATAGAACAAAATGGAAGTCTTTGCTATAACCAGGAGCCCAAGGTAGTTACTTCCAAATTTAACTGGTAACAATGAAGTGGGTTTTTAAGTCCTAGGCTCTTTGTTCCAGCTTCCATGAACAGGAGAGGGAGGCATATTTTTTCCCCTTAAACCCTCCTCCCTTTGTACACCCCAGCAATCCTTGCGCACAAAACATGCTCAAGAGGGCTGGGGCACCCTATGGAAGGAGAGAATTTGCTAAAATTGCCTCCCCTTTCTATTCGCAGAACCTTCCCCTGGAATGAAGAGCCTTCTGTGAGTGAAGGAACATAATTGGACACAAGCCAATGTGACCACCAATTTCATTACCCATTTTGGTTCAAATTTTCAAGGGATGAAATTTTACTACTATTAAATTTATATACTGCCCTTCATCCACAGATCTCAGGGCAGTTCACAACAGAAAAATACAAAAGAAAAACAAGATTTAAAAAAGATAAAATACACAATAAAAACAAAAAACAGAAACAAACCAATAACCCCCCTCCCGTAAGCTGCAGGAAGACTGACCTTGATCATAGCAACAAAAGGCATAACCCTTTTCATGTATTTCTTCAGTTCTGTCAAGGAGTTGAGTTCAGTGGCAATTATTTTATTGTCTGGTAGTTGTCCTCCATTGGTCTACAACAAAAACACATATGAGATCCTTTTTTAAGAAATAAAATAAAATCCAATTAAACCACTGCATGGCAGTTCTCGTTTTTGTAGCAAGCACATATAGCCTTCATTTAAGTTTACCCCAGATGCCTAAAACTTTCCTCCTTGAAGATCTTAATTCTGTGGTACATTCCCATGGGGAGCATCCTTCTAACTTCCCTTTTAAAAACTGCTTTTTAGAAAGTTATTCTAATCAATAGAGAAAACAACACAGCCGCAAATCTTTATTTGGCAAGTCTTTCTTTGTATGTGTGGCTTCACCCTAAACATCATGCCCAGCCCAAATCATTTAGAAAAATCTATGAGCTCAGTCCTTCACAAGCTGCAATCTACCACGCCGCACACAGCAGTGCCGTTGTGTCGTGGCCCACGAAGAGCACAGTAAGCCTCTTGTTTGTACTGGCTTCTAGAACTATAAAAACAGGATCAAGAGAGAGGCAGGTTTATTGAGCAACCTGATAACTCCTAATACATGGGCTTCTTTGGGCTTGGCGGGCCCTAAGGTATGCTAGGATCCATGCTTGGACATATGTCTGCTTCCACTGCAGGAGAAAGGAATTTCAGGCATCTGTTTCTCTCACTTTCTCTGCTACCACTTTCACACAACTGCATTTTTCATGTGCCACATGCAAAGAACTGCAGGGTGGTGTCGTGGTTACAGCATTGGACCAGGGAAACCCTTGGGCAAACTTCCATGGAGCCACAAAGCTGCTGGGTGGCCACAGATCATTTTCTCTGACCCTAACCTATCTCACAGGGTTATTAAAAGAATAAAGAAGGGTGGGGTGGAGAGAGAAACATTACATGCTGTCAGCACCAGTGTCCCAACCTCTCCCCAAGTTCACACTACAATTTAACTTCATCGATAGGAGCCCCAAAGTAAATGGGAAAGTACAATTCATTCTGCCTTGTTAGTAAGATCCATATTCTTTCTGTTCAATATGGATTGATGGCAGTGGACACCAAGTTACAAAGACATGCTTGTTCCTAATTAGAAGAAAATTAATTTAACCACATTACTGCAGTTTGAAAAGACACAGCGAATCCACAAATCAACTCTGATACTTAGCTGTTCTGCTTGAGTGCTGCTGTTGTTCTTGTGCCACAAGAGTTAAAGGATCAGTTCCAGAAGCTTAAGAATTCAGGGACTGCAGCTTTTCAAGCCGGATTTCTTAGTATTATGCAAGTTTTAAGGCAGAAGAATTTATTGTGCTCTAGTATATTTCTTACAAAGCCAGAGAATTATTATACTCACCAAAGACTAGAGTGGACCTCAAAGCTCCTTGCCTAATAAGGAAGTTACACTCGTCTGAACACAGCCAGTATTGCTGCAGCAGAACAGGCACTTAAATAAGCAGCTAACTAAGCTTTGCATTTGGCAAAAGATTAAGGATAACAAAGCTGAACCCATTTTCAAATGAACTCCATTTCCAAAACATCACTAGAAATGATGTCATACAGCAAACATAATCACGCACCCAAAAAGGACATTACGACCAAACTGCAATAATCTTATTAAAACACTGGAAACACTTATTTCCCCCTTAGATTCAATAACTTGATGCCAAGTTAGTTTTATTTTCAGGAGAGACAGAGAGAAGAAAGTGACGAGAGAAGCAAATAATAAAGTAAAATGGGGAGATAGCTGACATTCTTGTTTTCTTTCTTACTGGCTTTAACAAATTACTGTTACTGTGTACTGTTTCTCATATTGCTCTGCTGGGTTTACTACAGTTATTATTGGAATGTAAGCCACCTTGCAGATCAGGCATAGGCAAACTCGGCCCTCCAGATGTCTTGGGACTACAACTCCCATCATCCCTAGCTAACAGGACCAGTGGTCAGGGATGATGGGAGCTGTAGTCCCAAAACATCTGGAGGGTCGAGTTTGCCTATGCCTGTTGCAGACAGTCTGGTGGAATGGCAGGATGGAAAACCGTTCAATAAGCCAACAAGCAAGCAATGGGAGGGAATTTAGGTAGGATGATCACCTGATAATGCTTGCGCAGAACAGACAACGTAGTGTGCTGCCATGGGGGGTAGTTCTTGGCCACGTAAATGGTACAGTGGGATGGCTTCTGGGGTGCTTCTTTGTTCCCTTTCTAGAAAACAAAAGGAGACCTTTCTCATCAGAGGGAATGATTCTTCAAAACCATCCAGTGTAGGAACAGCCGGGGCGGGGGGGGGGGGCATAGGCCTTTACCTTTCCTTTAGCTGGTGCCATGTAGTTTTTGAGGCGCAGACGGAGTTCGTGAGCTACTTCTGTGAGGTACTGGGAGGAACGGATCAGGATTTCATCCACAGGGCCAGGCACAGGCCAGGAAGCTTTCATGATGGAGTCAGTCTTTAAATTTGAGTTAACAACAGACACTGGGATTAGAAGAGAGGAACAGTTCTTACCTTCCTTGTTCCAACATAATGACGAAGTCTAATAGGGCCATACAAAGGCTATGGATTGTGCTTGGTTTGCAGAACTGCTATATTTAGCTGAGATACGATCACAAAGAGGGAAAATGTGACGACTGCAAAGCGGTTCACTAGCGATAAATAAACAGCCATACCTTGCCCAGCAATGCCCAAATATGTTCACACACATGAGGGCAGACTGGAGCCAACAGGAGAGTCTGAGATTCGATAAACTGGAGCACCAAGTCCCTGTGCATTCCTTCGATAGCTAGTTCACGGTACTTGTCTTTTGCTGCCTGAAAGAGAGCCAGCACAAGCACCGTAAAAACAGTCTAACTGTCATGGAAAAGCATTGCATAAAAGCCAATCTCCTTGCTTTAATATGTCCTTAAAACATAAACTACTTATAATCCTATAATGGATTATTAAAAGGACCATATTTTTTATTTTTTAAAAAAACCTGCTGGGATTAGGACCAAATGAAATTCTGCCAGTGGGACATTATATAGCTTTACATTATTATGGCTCTTAAAAAAGACATCTATCGGCACAGACATAAAAGTCAAGGATAACTGTAACTGTATATTAGGCACTATCATTCTGAATGGCCCACATAAAAAGCTACCATTAAGTAGTAAGGAAAAAAAGAGGCAATAAATATGATAGATTATTATGCACATAGTTCAGCCAGCCGAACCACACTCCTGAAAGTCAGCTGCGTAAAGGAGTCAGAGCAATTCATTATTAAGCAAAGCAATATGCTGCTGCAGATATTTTGGAGAGTTGCTGACACCTTATGGACTAAAGTGAAAAACATCCTGCTTTTTAATGGCAGCAGGAATACATTTTCTGATCCATCCATCCTTGATTAAAATTAAGTTTGCTAAAAGAAGAGAGAGATAAAGGAAACAATTTTTTCTTTAATTATTGGCCCTCCCGCTTTACTGCCTGCCAATGACTGTAAATCCCTGGTTGTCAGAAGGGAAATAACATCCTGTGGAAGTATAATGCTTAACAAAGACTACTGGCTACAGGAATATGAATTTTATGTCTTTCTACCTACCCTTCTAGCATAATGCTAAATCTGTGCTGCACAACATAGCAAAAGCAGACCGGCCACTGTGGGAGAGGTCTTAGTTTAGTGCTGAATTGTGTGCATGTTAAATCCCTGGCATCTCCCACTAAAGGGTCAGAAGTAGCAGAGCCAAGTAAAACTATTATTCTAGCAGGCAGCAAAATTTCAAACCAACTGCTTTACCACCAACTGTTATTGCATTCTTTAAATGTATTTTAAGTTTCAAACTTTTAAAATCCTGTGCTACAGAAAGTGGACAGCCTACCTGAAATTCAAAAAAGCCTGTTTTCAGAGCTTCCTTAAACATCATCTTCTCATAGTTTTGATCTGTTTTCATGATGCCTGCACTCATTTCACTGGGCAGGGCATGGAGGAAGAGAAGAACAGAGAAAGTTATAGTTAGATCGAAATAAAAGAGAAGTGCCAACATGCAGGAATCTGTGATTTAACATGATTATACATAACAGTCCTGGGGGGGATCCACATTTTTTTTCTGAGCTAGAAAGTTGGTCTTGTTCATGGTACCTGGCAAAAACTCTGTCGTTGAAGGTGGTGGCAGGCCCACTTCTCAAACTGTCCCAGTTAGCAAGTATTTCCTTCACCCACTCGACCCAGTTGTACAGGCGGAGGATGCCAGCATCTGCCATGGCTTCCACAAAGTTTGCATCTTCAACAGTATCACCTGCATCAGCCAATGCCAGCCGCATGCCTAGAAGGAAACCAAGTCAGTGTTAGAACATCAGGTGCCCTGTAAAAAGGACAGTACAGCCTGACTCCCAACTACTTTTCCACATCAATATCTGAGAACATTGCTAAAAACATCATAGACAGCATCACTGCAACTCTTCATTGAAATTACATTTCAGAAGGCAACTTCATTGAAATTACATTTCAGAAGGCAACTACAACAGTTAGAAAGATTTTCAGTGGGGAAGAACATGCTTAAAGAATAGCACTGACAAACGTTTTGAAGTTCTCATGCATTGGCATGTCCTTCCTGTCATGACCTCCCAATATGCAACCTGAAAAGGTTGATCAGCTGGAGCTCCTGTTTTCCATGGACAGCAGGGGTGAGGAACTGGATCTAGCTGGTGGGCCAGATCAAAAGCTCCTCCCTGCCATGCCACTTTGACAGGTGGGTGGAGCTGGGCACCTATTAATCAGTCAATTTATTAATGGGCAGTCAATTTCAAAGGAAAAATCAAGAGCACACTCTTAATTGTGCTTCCAATTCCTGCTACGGTTTGTAATCCGGCTTGAATTCAAACTCCTTCTGTAGCCACAGCTCCAAATATAACTAGTTGCATTTCTGATTCTTTCTTTCCAGATGCAATTTGGCTCATTTTGAATTTGGTGCCTTCTTCAATAGCTCTGGGTTGACACAAAAAAGGGTTAAATTAAAAATTTACACTAGTAGCTGGAAATGAAGAACCAGTGTGCCCCCTATTCTTGTTTTCCAATTTGGCTGAGGCTTACCAGTATAACCTGGCCAACAGTTTTAGCAGATTTTTTTTTCCAATGCCAAGCTAATATGCCCTCTTACCATCAGCAGAAAACTTATCCAGAGCTTCGCACAGAGTGAGGAAGTTGCCTGTAGATTTAGACATCTGTGGGATAGGAATGTCAAACAGAGGCGGGTTACAGGAAATCTGTCCACTATCTGATGAGAAAAGTTAAGCAATGTGCTATCCATGAGAACAATAATAAAACTGAACTCCCCTGAAATAAACACACACCAACACTCACACGTAGACATTTTTATATTCATTTCATTCTAACCCTCAGTCACTCTACCCAAATAAAGATTTCTGCCTGGTTTTCATTGTTGAGATCTGTCAGTCCTAACCATCACAAAAGTATAAACAAATAAAGTACCTTCTCTGAATTTAGGAGGAGATGCCCGTTTGCTCTTACAGATACTGGCCATTTTTCTCTGCATTAGAAGACATACATGAAAAAGATTCTTTTATTTTTCTTAAACTTTTAAAGGCCCTCCCAGAAGCAGAGCCACAGGGATGACAATATTCTTCAAGGGAAAAGAAATGCAGGACATGCACTATGTCTTTGCTCAAATGCAATGGATGTGTTAAGGTTCAAAAAGCATATATGTCAACGAAATACCATGTTAACAGAACCAATGGAACATAAGAACCAGCTACTGTCTCCTAGATCACATGGATTCAACTATCCTGGTTGAATAGGCCTGACACTGAAACCCTTGGTTGTTCTGGAGGCCTCCTTCATGCCACCCAGAGAAACTACACAAATTAGAATAAAGCTTTGCTGCAGTTTGTATGGTGCTTGTTCTTAAAACTTTGATTGCATATCCTCCAAGATGGAAGGGCCAGAAAACATTTATTTATTTATTTTTATATATGTGTCCAGTTCACAACATACATATTCTGCAACACACTCTGAACACTGAGCTCTTGAAAATAGTGTAAGACGGTGAGCATCCCAAGGCACCCAGGTAGTGAAGTGAGGCTTATCCAAATCAATCAAGGCACACTGTCTGGAGGGCACCTGGGGAACCAAATTCCTTGAGGCCTAGCAATCTTTTGACCCTGAAGACATTCGGGCTTGTGGACAAGCAACTATGACAGGCCCTCCTCGGTGCACATTGAAGGCTGTTGGCAATGAACAGTGCAAGACACACTACTATTCTTAGGCTTGGAGCCAGAGTGAGGACAACCCATCTGGGAGGCAGCAGGAGATAGCCATTCCCAAAGCCTCAATTAAGTGTTAGTTAATCTGCATTGTATAACTGGAGGGAAGAATGATCAAATCGAGGCTCAGGTGCCTATTAGCTGTTTAATAAAGTTATAGCCATGTTTTAATCCCACACAGATCTTGCAAATGTCTCTTCCTCTGTACAGGAGCAATTCACTTTCAGGCCTCAGATGAACTCAAAAGAGGTCTGCAATGAAGACTTATTGTGACTGTGTGTATGGCTGCAGCTAAAGATTTGAAAGTACTTCAAACCAACCTTTGATCTGGCCACATGGCCACATGATTATAAAGGTAGTATGACAAGTGATTCGGAACAAGGTCCTTGCCAGAAGCACGTAGATCCACTGGATACCAATACTCAAACTCCTGCTTCAGTTTATCCAAAGCTGCTTTGGGGATCTTTGTTGCTGGGAATGGCGCTGTCTTAAAGAAGATGTAGTCCCAAACCTCTTTGGACATCTGGTTTGCCCTGCACAGATTAGGACAAAAGTTATGCAGGGGAGAAATAGTGACAGTTATCTTAAGCATCTATTATGCTGCTAAGTATAAGTACTACAGTGTATACAGAACAAAGTATACAGTGGTACCTTAGTTCTCAAACACCTTGGTACTCAAACAACTTGGAACCCAAACACTGCAAACCCGGAAGTAAATGTTCCGGTTTGCAAACTTTTTTCAGAAGCCGAACGTGCTCCGTTTTGAGTGTTACACTTCTGATTTGAGTGTTACGCTGAAGTCTGTATGTTTTTGCTATTTATTTTGCATTTTTGTTTTTGCGGCTCTTTTTTGTTGTTTTTGCTGACTGTGTGGAACCCAGTTCAGCTACTGATTGATTGCGTGACTGCAATACAGTGGTACCTCGGGTTAAATACTTAATTCATTCTGGAGGTCCGTTCTTAACCTGAAACTGTTCTTAACCTGAAGCACCACCTTAGCTAATGGGGCCTCCTGCTGCCGCCGCGTCGCCACCGTGCAATTTCTATTCTCATCCTGAAGCAAAGTTCTTAACCAGAGGTACTATTTCTGGATTAGCGGAGTCCGTAACCTGAAGCGTCTGTAACCTGAAGCGTATGTAACCCAAGGTACCACTGTACATTATTTATTGCTTTCATTTTATGGATCAATGGTCTCATTAGATAGTAAAATTCACGTTAAATTGCATGTTTGAGGGGTTGTTTCTAAAAGTCTGGAATGGATTAATCCATTCTGCATTACTTTCTATGGGAAAGCATGCCTTGGTTTTGGAACGCTTTGGTTTTGGAATGGACTTCCAGAATGAATTAAGTTTGAGAACCAGGGTACCACTGTACAAAGCTCTGCATCTACATTCTACTAGGCTGCTCAGTTACACATAGTATGACATAAGCCTTCTACATTCATGAACCACCACAGGGCTGAGGAAGCTGTGGTTGTGCAGATGTCTCTAGTCTACAACTCCCATCATCCTTGGCCACTGGCCATGCTGGTCAGGCCTGAGGGGAGCTGGAGTCCACAATACTTGGAGGGCCACAGGTTTCACAAACCAGCACTACCATGACAATACATTTTTCCTGTCCTCGTTCTTTTTTTAAAAGTAATACTGACAGGAGAAAACAAGTTAAAGGTTGTAATCCAGAAAAAAGCCAGTTTAGCATTTCTCATCAAGCTCCTAAATGAACCAGTTATAGCTAGGCTGATTGATGGGTTTAAGACAGATGTTGCCAAGTTAGAGTATGGATCAGAATCGAGAGATTACCCCCTTGACTCCACAAACTAGAAATAGTGGGTGAACATTTCAACTAGTAACAAATCTCATTAATGTGCCATCAATATAGCACACATTGGGTTGACTGTAGAGACAAAGTACTACCTGCAAACCAAGACTCCTATTCATTTTTATTTATTTGTTAAATATTTACACCGCTCTTCATCTGAATATCTCAGGGTAGTTCAAAGCATAAAAATACAGAATACATTTTGAACCTGGGCTGCAGCCACACTAGACCTGATGCCAACATCTGCCATTGAGAATAGAGTTCACACATGTGGGAACACTCCGTTACCATTCCAGGTTTGCACCTCATTAATAGTAAAAGTTCTTGGTTTTATTTATTTTTTCAAAGCCATTTTTTCAAAGCCAGAAATGGTTTTTTTTCCAATTTGAGGTATGAAAATACCCCCCCATTCCAGGTATAATGTATATGGGGAAATATACAACTGTAAATTTCCTTGTGTCCAGAATTAAGAGTCACATACAGATTGAGTGGTGACTCATATGGGCAAGTTTCACAAGAGCCTCTGCCTGTTCAAGGGGCTTTGCCCTGTCTCCTCCTCCTATGTGCCACCCCAAATTGGCTTGGGGCAGTTCAAGAGAACCCCCAGAATAGTGCACATGGGGGTTAGGGGGAATCATTCTGTCTGGCAAGCTCACACGCTTTCGCAGATGCTAAATTCAATAGAGCCACCCTGAATTCCACCCTATGTCTTGACTTGAGCCATACGTACATTCTTTGAAAATGTTATTAAAGAAGTTGCTTGGATTAACCTTAACTCAATTTTCTATTTCCCTTTAGAAATTTAATCAGCAAATTTGAATTAAGACATCAAATGCAATAGAAGGGTTTGCGTAATGACTTCTTAGATAGCCACAAACTTTGACTAGAGCAATGGGAGCAAAGGGAAGTGCTCCTGTGAAGCTAAAATTCTGTTCATTTCACTCTGCTTTTTCTAATGAGAGAAAAAGCGAGCCAGACAACTGCTATGCAGTCCAATTAAGAGTTCAGAGGAAAGACTCACCAGACACTACGCTACCTTAAAAAGATTATTCCTATGAAAAATAGCCCTCATTTGTACCAATCCTCCTGTCTTCAGTTACCTTCAGGTTTAAAAAAGGAATGAGGGTGCTGGAATATCGCTAGGATTTCCATTTCTAAAGCATTCATCTGTGGCTTCACCCAGAGAAGATATGCTCCACCTTCATCTAGTTAACTCCCCAATTTAAAAGTGCAATTGACCACAGCAGTAACCACTGCATAATCGACCACAGCAGTAACCTCATTAGAAAGAGACATTTTGAAGCAAGAAGACAGGAGCTAATTAACATTCTATACTGAATACAAAACTATAATCCTTCATCTTGTATGCCACAGAAGACTAACCTTAAGTTTAAGAGAAGCAATAATGCTGGAAGGTCAAATTAGACAATTTGGTATTGAGAAAATTGCTTGAAGAAAGAGTTTTGATCATAGAACAAGGATGTGAAGTTCTTTTGTGTAACCTTTTTTCTTTTCTGAAGTTGTTGCTGATTTCTTGTTGTCTGATCTTGTGGTGTTTAGTGTCACTGGCTTTGGCCGCAATAAACTTGAACTTGAGAACAAGGATGGGGAACCTGTGGCCTTTCAGATGTTGATGAACTCCCAAATCTCATCATCCCCATCCAACATAACCAATAGTCAAGGACTATGGGAGTTGTGGTCCAGCAACATATGAAGGACCACAGGTTCCCCATGCCTTTGCTAGAGGTTCTATAATAGCCTTTATATCTGAAGATATATCTACCGTACTGAATGCATAGTGGTGGACTACATAAGCAGTTAACGGGATAGTTAACCTCAACTATTTATGATTGCAGATAGATTGCCAGGAAGGTGAAGATTAGCCATCTGGTTCTCTTTTCAAACACTTTTTTCATTTCCTGGGGAAACAGAACTAACATTAAAAATCAGGGTGGTTTCTGATAACCATTTTTTCTAACTATGTGGCAGTTTACAGTTGTCCTGCAAAGAATCGAATTCGTTCCAGACTCCTCACCTGGTACACAGTGTGAATCAACATGAAGACACTATAATAATGGCAGGGATTTTTAGTGTTCTGTTGGAAGCCGCCCAGAGTGGCTGGGGAAACCCAGCCAGATAAAAAGATAAAGGGACCCCTGACCATTAGGTCCAGTCGTGACCGACTCTGGGGTTGCAGCGCTCATTTCGCTTTATTGGCCGAGGGAGCCGGCGTACAGCTTCCGAGTCATGTGGCCAGCATGACTAAGCCGCTTCTGGGGAACCAGAGCAGTGCACGGAAACGCCGTTTACCTTCCCGCCGGAGCGGTACCTATTTATCTACTTGCACTTTGATGTGCTTTCGAACGGGTATAAATAATAAATTATTATTATTATTATTATTATTATGTAAAACACTATACCCTGGGAAACTTTTCTTCTCACCTGATCCCTAATGGAGACTGTCCTTGTCCCCGGAGATTACCCTGTTGGAGGAGATGAGCAACCGTATAGAAAGCCATGTAGATAGTGGAATCGGAGAGAGATTCGATCAACCATTGCTCATCCCAAGGCAAACGTGTGCCTAAAAATATAGCAAAATAAATTATTTGTGTTGTAGTCAGCACATTCCTTAGTTGTCAACAAAAAAACGCTTAAGAGCCTTTTTACATTTCAGATTAAAACAACCCAATATTTATCAGCTTGTCTCTCTTGGCAGCCATTAGTACGGTAAACTGTGACTCACTCAACGTCTTAGAAATTGAGGTACACCTGAAAGGAGCACGCTTGAGTTTTTCAGGGAGTGACACTTGGGGGTCCTATCCCAAGCTACTTCTGAATCAATACTCCTCATTGGAGTTATATGGATCTCTAGAATATGCTTCTACATGGAAAAGTGAGGTGTGCCTTGATTTCAGCTCATGACAGATGTTAATTTTTCTGAGTATGTTGTCTCTATGGGAATCAGCCATTGCAGATATGCTTTAAAAAATATTTAGAATATTAAATTGCTCCTATAGCCAAGAGTTCCCAATTAAACAATAGGAAAAGTTTTATCCTACCTAATCCGTATGTCCTTGAACAGGCATGTTCTTGCAACCAATCCAGAGTGGCTTCAAAATTTCTTCGTGTCTCATCACCAAACCTGAAAAAGCAAGATAATTAACCCTTGCTGTCTCTTCCTGGGCTTATGTCAGCCCACATCTACCTTGTCCCTATCCCCCACAACTTACGTCTCAAGGTTTTTCAAACATTCAAAAGTTTGTCGCTTCCAGTTTTCTTCACCATAGTCCAAGTACCTAAAAATCAGACAAAAGGACTTAGAATGAAGGGCGGTGAGGGATGCAACTAACTTGGCTCCATCTTTCCTTCCAACTCACCATTGGTCACAAAGAGCCACCACACACTCATCTGCAGATCTAGATATGACTTGTTTCTCTGGCTCCATATAAACCATTGCTTCATGCTAAATAAAGAAAAGGATGGGATTACAATGCTGGGACAAAAAAAGGGAATATTTATGAAATAGGGAAGTAGCTTTAGCCATGCAACTATCCTGAATTCCATTTGACTAATAATAGCAATTTAATAATCCAAACCTATGCTCACCAGTTCTGTTGGAAGAGCAGACAGGGACAGAGTTTATTTAATTTCTGTGGCACAAGAGTGGGAATATGCTCAGCAATAGTCAAGGCAGTTCAAGGAAGCAGCTACCTAACTGTGGCAACTCAATTGTCCCATGTGCATGGCTTTCAACTCATGCTTGACTGTTCCTTTGTCTATACAATGGGACTCATTGTCATTACATGACTATATTATGGAGCTTTATTTTCTACAACCTGGACCATCCAGAGCAAACGCTTTACTGATGCAATAAAAATAATTCCACAATCAAGAAAATCTCAAAAAGATGGACAGCATCAAGCCAATGGAACAAAAGTCATGATTCTCAGTACTTCAGCTGCCCTCTTGTGAAAGAACTGTGCAAGTACACCAGATTTAACCACTGCATGGTAAGATAGGAAGAATTCAAAACTGCAGAGCAATCTAAAGCCCAAGTGAAGCAACAATGGGGCATGATAGGGCAGTGGAACCCACAGAGCATCCCCAGCCCCTTTGCTCACACTAGCTGGGACAGAAGGCAGGGGGGTAGGCAAAAGCTTGTTCCAGGTTATGCCAGCATGTCTCTGGCACAGATATCGGGCCTAGATCAGGCCTGAAACTGTGGGGGGTAGCTCAGAGGCCTAAGGATCCCAAGCCAGCCCAACGCCCTGTTTGGGGGCTTTCTACCCATCTGCACTTTTGGTGGGTAGAAATGGGGAGTTCTGTGCTGACATAGGCCAGTGGACTGCAGGAAGGAAGACCTCCACCCCATCAGTTCCCTGCTCCCATGGTCTTTCCTTTTCAAAACTTTATAGGGACAGAAATGTCACCACACCACAGTCCGCTCTTCTCCAATATGCCTAAACAGTTACTTTCAAAGCCACAAACCTTTGCCTTTAGCAAACAGATAAGGATTAGTTCACTAAAGAATACAGCAAGCTCTACAGGATTCAAAGCACCCATCTAAATAAAGCAGCTATTTCTATTTGACAGGTGAAGCATAATAATTTCTGTTTTGCAACAAAACCAAAGCACTTGACTTAGTGCTGCTTAGTTTCACGTGGCTACGATTGTGTTTCAAAAAATCAAGCTGTGCTCTGTAGAGACAAGCAAGCAATAACTGTGTTGTGGAAGCCACTGTATAATCTTAAAATACAATACAAACCACTACACACATTGTCTACCATCTTCCTCTGAATAAGCTTCTTGACATCCTGCACCTTCTGGCCTTTGAATCCCTCCACGAGCATTATCTGAAAAGGGAAGTCATTGCAGAGATTACAAACTGCTTTAGAAGTCCAGTTTATATGTGAGGAAGCTGGTCTCCGTCCCTTTTCCTCCTAGAGGATGCCTGCAAGAAACCCACATAAATCCAATAATTGTAAATGAATCAGTGGTTTTAATCCTAGAAATTTTATCTCCTGACCTCAAAAGCGAAATAACTCTTCAAAACAGAGTACATCAAAGGATATATATATATATATATATATATATGCGCAAAATGGCAGCAAAATTTTATTCATTCATTCATTCATTCATAAAGCACCTCTGATATGTGCATAACACTTCACAAAGAACAGATATGACTGGTCCTTACCCCAAGAGGCCTGCAATCTAGAACAGACACAGGGAAACAACAGAAGAAGGGGACAAGGTGTGGACAGGCAGTAGAGGACCACAGAATTTCAATTAAGCTGCCTGTAATAAGGAATTTCAGTTTTTTTTATTTTTAGAATACCCGTGTGCAATTTTTTTTAAAAAACCCACACACTTGATAAATTGTCCCATGAGTAAATCAGAGTTTAGTTTTATAGCCTTAAATGTGAATGGACAAAGCTACTCTAAGAACAGACTCAAATGTATAAAGGGATGTCTAATTTACATGTCTGATGAAAGCAAGCCATTACACTTCAAGAAGACACATCTGTTTACGACACTTGAAAACCCCCTGGGTAAATCAATCTCTAGTAGTCTTGAATATCAAGCCTCTTTTAATACGAAGACAAAAGGTGTTGGACATACTTTGTTATGGAAAAGTAATAGGAGTTTAAAAAGGAGCTTCAGTGGGAGAGCACATGCCTTGCAGGCATAAGAGGTTTGGTTACAGAGTTGGCATCTCTGGTTAAAAGGTTGACTACCTGAACTATAGCTGCCACTCCTCATGTGAAAATAATCTTTCCCTCACATACAAGTGTTTGTCGTATATAACTCTAAGGCACCGAGCGAGAAAAGTTAAAAGAAATGCTTTAGTTGCACTTACACTTTTGTAAGCATGAGAACTGCCATAAAACCTATCTATATAGTACTTCATGAATCTTTTGCTAGTGCTTGTGTTTGCAAATCACTAGGATTTTCCCCCTTCCACTAAGTTTTCTGGATCCAGCCTTCCCTTAGATTCAACAGAAGGCAATTTTTGAGAAGTATCCCTAAATCCAAACAGGTCAAAGTCTGAAAATCGCCTAAAATGAATGAAGCCTAGCCAGTCCATACATACCAAATACAGTGGTACCTCAGAAGTCGAATGGAATCCATTCCGGAAGTCCTTTCGAGTTCCAAAACATTCGGAAACCAAGACGCGGCTTCCGATTAACTGCAGGAAGCTCCTGCAGCCAATTGGAAGCTGCGGAAGTCATGCTGGACGTTCAGGTTCCAAAGAATGTTCGCAAAGCAGAACACTCACTTCTAGGTTTGTGGCGTTCCGGAGTCAAAACGTTAGACTCGCAAGGCGTTCGGGATCCAAGGTATGACTGTACTAGTTACAGATTAGTTATGTATCCAAAGGAACACAGAGAGACCAAAAGAGAACAGGACAAGTCTTGCATTCAGTGAAACAAACCATAAAGTGAATTAGCTTTCCCAACCTGGTGCCCTTCCGGATGCTTTGGACTACAACTCCCAGCGCCCTGACCATTGCCTAGCTGAGGCGAGTCCAAAACAAGTTGGGAAAGGCTGTAGTAAATAAAGAAAATGGTGTGTTCAAATCCATTGAGTCACCAAGCAATCAGAGTTGGGATGAATTCCTTTTCACCCTTATATTTAAAAAAGCAGAAGTGGTGGCATACAACATCTCCACAAAAAAAGAAACAAAATTCACTTCTCTAACACACACACCCTCTTGTGAAAATCTTAATTTTTTACTTACTCCCTCATAAAATCCTTTCAGGTATAATCTTTCCTTGGCTTCTGCAAGTTTCTCTCTGTCATTTTGACTCTGGATTTTCAGCTCGTCACAGATCAGCGGAGCAGAAAGGTTGCCATAGCCAGGGACCTCAATGATGGGCACCTGGGAATAGCACATAGCATTGTAAAATAGTTGTTTTCAATCATGCAAGTAAATCAAAGAGTTTTGCAGGGGATTCAACCATGACTCCAAAAGCCTCCAAAGAAAAGGGATCTTCATTTTATGGTTTTTCAACAGTATGTGCATTGTTTACTGTCTGAAGGGCAGGGAATGTAAACTATGCGGGGAGTGGGGAGAGAGAAAATAAAGTGAAGCCTGTTTAATTCCATCTACAGTGGTGCCCCGCAAGACGAATGCCTCGCAAGACGAAAAACTCACTAGACGAAAGGGTTTTTCGGTTTTGCGTTGCTTCGCTAGACGAATTTCCCTATGGGCTTGCTTTGCAAGATGAAAACGTCTTGCGCTTTTTTTTTAAAGCCTCTTGAAGAGCCGCAGTTGCGACGGACCGTGCTTCGCAAGACGAAAAACATCGCAAGACGAAAAGACTCGCGGAACAAATTCTTTTCGTCTCGCGAGGCACCACTGTATATGCAAGGTTCTCACACCTATATGACAGATGGGCAGAATATTATATGCTGAATTTCGGGTTTGTTTGCTATACCAAAGTTGGGTTTTGCTTCTTAAACCTGTTACTCCTCAGTGATCAAAGGTTCACTGGACTTATTGAGGCAATTAATTTTACATGCATTGGCTTCAAAAGTTATCCAATAGGCACCCAGTTCTCAATTTTGCATCAAAAGCATAGCTGCCTGGCCTGTGCCTGCAACATGCAAGTAACAACAAAATACATAATCAAAGCGAAGCCAAAGATCAGACAGCCGGATCTGACTTTCAGATGGAGTCACACAGCTGTGCATTTTTCCTTCAAGAATTAATAGGGCTGACTCAGGCCTCTTGATAGACTAGAAGGCAAGTCTATGGGATTCTCAATGAGTCTCACAGCACCCCTGGCTTTGCAGTACTTTAGCAGGGCTAGAGCTATGACATACGTAACAGAAAAAGCAGACCAACACAAACACATAAATCCCTCAGATAACACAGGTGACCAACATGTACACCCAACTAGGGGTGAGGTCAGTTTTTGGCTTGTTTTGCATTAAAAACCTGCCAGATTTGCACTCCCCCCTAAAAAAACCCCCACAAACTGAAATAAATTTGTATTCTTCCACATTTTGGAATCAAGTTCAAGTTCTCTGACCAAATACGGAATGTGTATACTAGAGGAAAGTGTACATTAAAATGAATATACTAATTTAAATTATATTAGGGGGAATAGCCTATAATACTGTGCATATCAGGCAAAATTGCAAAATTAGAATGCGTACAGAATTTGTACGTTAGGAGAAATGCACACTAAAATGCTTCTCTTTTAAAATAATGCACACTGATGTGGAAATGTGTAAAACTCATATCTTTAGGCTCCAGGAAAAACATTCCTCTTCTCCCAGGCTTTTGGTTAATTAAATTATCTATCGCCTTTTAAATTATGCGTTGAGAGTTTCTTGTTTTTCTTTGTTGCTATGGTATATTTTGTGTTTTTATATTGTAAACCTCCCTGTGATCCTCGAATAAAGGGAGATATAAAATTTTTAATAATAATAATAAACTGAACTAGAAAAATAAACAGAGAATACAAATTGACAGCTTTGTCCATTCCAACACCCAGCACAATCCTTCTCTGCTGCACTTACTGGTTCAAATGGCAGGACCATTTCATCTTTAATGCCATACTTTGCTCGAAGTGCCTATGAAGAAATTGAAAACAAATATGAAAATCAAATCTACAAAAACCTGACAAACAGGTCTTGGCCCTTACTGCAAAATTTAATCAACTCAATAATTTGATTAATGAATTGAACTTCTGATCTACTAAAAACGTGCCTTGTTTAACTAGAAAGCACATTACTTTTAATACAAGCAATTTAAAAAATTGCAGCTGCCAAGCATCACTTTAAAAACAGGCATTTCCTCTCTCACACACAGAGGAAAAAACACCTATTTTAGTATAATGTCTGCCCCCAAAACAAGCGTGCATTATAAAGGAGCATATGCTTTTGTGCCTCCAAATAATTCTTTTTACTGTCATGCAGATGTATGAGAAATTAACTGATTCATCTTTTCATTAAAGAAATCTTAATTGATGCATTGTACAGGTTTTATGAAGAGCCCAATTTTGCCCATTTTCATTGCCTTCTGATACCCTACACCAGCCTTCTCTTTCCAGTTATTGTTGGATTCCAACTCCCATTGACTCCAGATAGCATAATCAGAGATTATGGCAGTTGTACTCCAACAACACTTGGAGGGCACCAGGTTGCAGAAGGCTGTCATACCCAAATACATCTATTGTGTCTGCAAGAAATAGCTTGTGCTATCGCCTGTAGAAACTGTGGCCATCAGTTGCCAGCAAATTGAGGTTTTCCCAGGCTTAAGCGGTTCACCTGTTTTTTCTTTAAGTCTCTCAGGGCTGCAATGTCATCTGGGGAATCGGACGGGACACTTGTGACAACTCCAGTGCCTTAGAAGCAGGAAACACATATTATCCCATTTGCATTTTTATGGCAAAATTCAGAATAAAAATGCAAAGTTAATTGCAAATATTCCAAAAGGTTTCTATGTGCATGTACCTCGCAAAAACAAATGCGTAAATCCAGTTAATGCTAATTAAAAATTAGCCACATCCTTTGACTAGAGCAGCAAGGGTGCGATTATTCCCATATTTCAGTCATACGGCTGACTTAGCTTTTTAAAAGCAACTACAGCTCTTGCTTTAAGTTTACTTGGTGTTTTCTGGCAGAATAAGTGGGCCAGCCTACAGCAGGTTAATTGTCTCTTCCACTCACCGAGGCAGGAACCACGTGATATGAATTTCATCGCTTCCTCCACTCATTCTTCCTTTTGTTAGTTATGTCTCCCTTGTTTACCTGTACCCTTTAAAGTTACTTCTTTCTCTTTACTGTTTTTTTTAATAAGTAATTTTCTCTGCAAGATACTATCTTTTCTCTAATGGGCTCTGTCATGGAAGTAAACGAATGGGAGAGGGAGGAGGAGTGGAGGAATTTACAAAATTATTGTGGCATGGTTCTTGCCTGGGTGAGTTGAAGAGCACAATTAACCTACCACAGGTTTCTCACATTCTGCCAGGAACAAGCATGGTTAACATTAACTATAGTTTGTTTGAAACAATCTGACTTGAAAATAAACTGCATTTAATGTCAACAACACAGTGCTTGTTTGCACAAAACACTAAACCACAGTTAAGCAAAACTGAAAGCAAAAACTTCTGAACTCCTTTTTCCAGAAGTGTAGAAGGACGGGAAGGGAGAGGCATGTGAACCAGAAACCTGCCAGTCTGGTAAGCATCACGCTAAATGTTGGTTTAGTGCAGATGGAGAATTTCATTTGGTCTGCATTTTTCAGCAACCTGACCTAATTTGCACCTCCCAAACCCTTCAATTTCGCACCTCTCCAGTTTTTGTGCTATAGTTCACAGCTTTAAAAAACATTACAAGGAATTTGAAAATTTCATATTTCAGGATAGAATACATTTAGAAATGTGTGTGAAATACATATTTAAATGTGTATCTTGTTATTAAACATGTGTTTAAATATGAATTTTCATACTGATTTTTTTAAAAAAAGAATTAATGCAGAAATGGGATAGAATGGGCTTACACCATGAGAAAATAATTATATCTGCACACAATATGCAACTGATGCAGAAGAAGGTACAGCAACCTTACCTTTATCTTCTTTTATAGTCAACATAGGGAGAGTGTAGATAACTTTATAGGATGTTAGAGGGGCAGAGAGGGCAGCTCCAAGCATCTCCTACTCAAAAAAAGAAATATTTTTAAAGATGAGGTGACTCCCACATTATGGCCATAGGATCACTTACAAATGAAACATCCTAGTGCCTTCATTTACACACAGTTTCTCTGAAACCAAGTCACAATATTTTACTTTTTGTGCTTACAGAAAAGGTCAAATGCAGCAGAGAAATGCTAGGGAAGGCACGGAAACCAGACCACAACAGCTGAGTAAGGCATTAAGTAGCAGATTTCTGTTATATATGTATGCATACAAAACATACATTTTTGCAGTGCTATGCTTTTGTATGAGAATTTGCCCTTTAGCACGGTATCATTTTAACCACATAAGTGCTGGTTCTGAAGATGACTCCACTTTTATTTTCAAGATTATGTGGAGATTCCAACAACATCTGGAGGGCTTGCTTAGCCTTTTCTGCACTAGTGGAATTTGCAAGTTCCAAGTTAAACATTTCTCAAAGTTTGCCTGCCCGTATAAGGGCACATCCTCTGCCTCATGAATCACATTAACAATAGATGACACCATTGCTCACCTCTCCCATCAGCTCCTTCACGACAGGAACTACACCATTAGTTTTTGTAAAGCCCTGGTAGGACATATTCCTGGCAGCTCTCTGTGTGCAAATAAAAATATCCCCATTCAGGGTCTCAAAGCCAATATACTTCATATCAGGGCGAACCCAGCAATTAGTCTGCCCAAACATGGTCTCCGGTCTCAGAGTTGCAGCTACTAGAAAGATATTCTTTCCTTTAAGGCCACTGTGAAAAGAAAGGAGAAGTTGTCTAGAAAAGTATTTGAGAATATGACGATTCCCAAGGAAGTCCCAAGGAGTTAAAACTATGTATTAGAAATTCTACCCCTTTATTTCTGACAGTTTCTATATAATGAATGTAATCTATGAGATCCCTAATCAAATTAACCTCACAATGCAAAAAAGACTTATTAGCCAAGATGCAGATAATTACCTTAGCTTTACAGGATAAGGTTCGACCACCTTCATTTTGATTAGTGTGTATTCTTGAGGTCCAACACCCTAAGAGACAATACATGAACAATAATGAGCATGCCACTTCCACTATTCAGTCTGATCAGATGCCCAGAGGCAAACTAGAATGGACTGCATGTCAGCCACTACCCCTATTAATTGACAGCAGTTAAGATAACCCATGATGTATCCTTTCTAAGATAAAACTTTCAGAAAGCTAAAATAAATAAGTGGGGATTGTGTGGAAAAATCTAACATAAAAATGCAAGCTTCCAGTTAAACAAATGCACTGGTCAAGATCTAAATAGATTGGCCAATGGAATTTCTTATTTTTGTCCTTTTTCGCTCTCAATAAAAAAACTTATTCCTGCTTCCATATCAAACTATTTCTACAAGACTTCTGTGCAGAATTTACCTAAACCCCTTTAGGTTCTCATTTAGATATTTAAAGTAATTAAGTGAGGATTCAAATAGACTGTAAATGCTTTATTTTCTTCAGTCCAAATGCAGTATATCATTAGCAGTCAAATGAATCAAACATCCTTTGTTACCTCCCCGGTTTGCCTGTCATGATCCATGCATGGTTGTCCATCTTTTGGAGAATAAATGGTGTATCTAAAAGACAAATTAAATACATTATTTAGATAAGTGCAAGAGAGATTGAACAGGAAATCCTTTGTGTTTAGGTCACAATGCCAGCTTAAAATGAAATTCAGACGCTCTCAATGGTTTCCTCATAGCTGAATAATTTCAAGGAGAAAGCTACTATCTAGACAGGACTGAAGAGGGCACTGTTTCTTGTTTTCTATTTGGCTTTCACTTCCCACAGAAGATCCTCAATCTAAGTCAAAATACTTGGCTAACATAGGCTCTCTTTATTACTTTACTGAAATAGAATGCCATCTATCTAGTCAGTATAGAAGCAGGTGTATATCACATGACCACTCTGTTTCTCATGGTGCAAAACAACAGCACCTGTACCAATATAATTAATGATCTACTCATTTACAAAATGCAGGATAATAATTTGCAATTCTGACAATTGCTTTTATTAATTTGATCATTTATTTTACTTCATTTGAAAAGGAAACTACTGATCATGTCAATAATTCTCATTTCATAAATGGGATAATTCAGTCAAAGTTTAAAGGTGCACATGTACTCTCCAACATTTGACAGAATTATCCACAAGCACTCACACCAAAGAAGCTATTGGCTATTGGACTGGTGAGCTCAGAAAGCCTATAATCAAAGAATTCCCCAGGCCACGTTTATGAAATGGTACACATTGCTAAGCAAGAGGATACGTCAATCAATTCTTCAAGTTTTATAGAACGAATATATTAAAGGACTATCTTACCGTTTCCCAAATTTAACTTTATTTCTTTCCCTCAGAGTTAGAAATTGCCATCGTACAAAAGAATCGTAATAGGGGTTGACATCAGTGGTGACAAAGGAACGTCTCCAGTCTACCTAGAAGTTCATAAAAATGAGGAGTTGCATGATGTTCCAAAAGTTTATATGGAAACTCTGTGTCACCATCAAGAGTTCTCACAAATTGTGAAACTAATTCCAAGAGGACTTTAGAACCGCATCGCCTCCATTCCACGTGGCATGGCAAGATGAATATAAAAGCTAGGGGACTTTCAAAAATAAAAAGTCATATGCCATGGACATTAGTTGTTCAAAACGGAAAAAGTAAACGTTTCCAACTTCAGAATTCCTGCAACAATAACTGCTGATGTAACTCAATCTTTCAAAGCTATTTCCCCTCTAAATAAGAACAACCAAAACATTTGCTATAAGTAGGCAGATGTTTATGAAACACTGTTACAGCTGATGTCAAACTTTGTGACTCAACATTTTATTTCTAAAAGATCTACAGCATAACATCACAGGGTCACTCAGGAAATAAATTAACCTAAGAGAAAGACTTTTTAAAAGTTATACTTTTAGAATAAACAAGTACCTTCAGTCCCATGCTCTTTAAATCTTGAATAGCCTGGGGTGGGAAATAATCAATCCAATGTTCAGCCTCTGAAAATTTCACTATTTCTTCATCAGAGAGACCTAAAGATTTCATGATCCCCCATTGATACTTTGAAGAGCCAGTCTTGGCAGCAGCCTTACTCTTCAAAGAAAATAAGAAAGCAAAGTAAATAGACAAAGTAAAGCAGACGAACTATGTCAGTTTTATTATATTCATAAGCATAGGATGAACATGCCCATTAATTTTTTGCACATTTATGGGTGATATATGCAAGTCTACATCGGTACCCCAAGATGCAAACAATCTTACAACAGCACCATAAAGAATTTATATTTTAAATTATACCTTTTTGCCTTTAGCTTTGTCTTTGATGACCACTTCTTCCCCCTTTGGCACTTCCTCTTCCTCCTCCTCTTCATCGGGGAATTCTGGTGGACAGCCATACAGCTCCATTTCTCTTTTCAACTTATCTGCACATGCCTATGGGAAAATCCGGAGTGACTCAGTTAGTATAGATGGATCAATGATTCAACAGTGCAAGGCTTGGGATAAAATATTTTGGCAATTCCAAACTTGCTGCCAAAAAGAAAAGCCAGGTGTCAGGATTGCTGATGAATATTTATTGGTGGTCCAATATGCTTATTTGCTTGTGCAGATTCCAGATAGCTGTGCAAGTATATAAAGCCCCTAAAGGCAGACTTTTGGCTGAAACATGCCAGGCTACCAATAAATATTCATTTAACAATAAATATTCATCAGCATCCTGGCACTTGGTCTCTCGTTTTGACGGTTCGTTTTCTGGATGCTTCCTGGTGTTTTTTCCTCTGCAATTCCAAACCTGGCATCACATCTTCAATTGAAGTTGACAGCATAGTAAGTGATCTGCCATGCCATTCCCTCAAAGGGCTGGCTGGCTGGCTGGCTCACTTATGGTGTGCAAAAATTTTAAAGAACGGGTCTCTTCATTTTAGCTTCAAAATGAAATGATGAAAAGAAATGCTCTGCATCAGCAATTAGAGCTAACTTACTAGAAGCCATAGAAATAAACAAGCTGTTGCTCTACTACATTTTCTTCATGATACCAGAAACACGGGAGATACTAGGACATTATGGTCAGGGATCCAAAGGACCATGTAACTACTTTCATGTACAGAGACTTGGAATGAGTGGTCGAACATCTGCTTGCTATTCCTAGCAAACTGTTTTTGAAGCAGAGGGGAAACAGAATGTGACATGTTCAAAGGGGCGGGGAGAGAATTAAAAATCCCACTTAGGGATGCCCAAACCCTTCAGCACACCTAAGAGATCTGTGGGTCCTGAGAAAATTTTAAACCCATATTTGGAAGCAACTGCTATGCCACTCACATGAGTACTGATTACTATGAGAAAGAACTCATTCAAACAGCTATGCTAAACCAGAATTTTCACATCTTTTACCATAACACGCCTATGTGCATGTTTTATACCTACTGATGTCCAAATTTAAAGCATGTCACACACACACCACTTTGTTTCTAAACTCAGAATCTGTGTACCCCTGCTACAAAAATGGAATGGTTTATAAAAAATATTTTATTTTTAGAAAAAGTCATACAGCATAAGAGCCAAAAAGGAAGAAGAAAACAAAACCCAAATTTTACCTTAATGGGCATGCCTGTACAATGTAGTCCAAAAGGGAACAGGCAGCTTTTTCCTTTTAGTTTCTGGTACCCAACTGCAAACTGTGGGAAAAAGGATCACAATGGCAATAATATAGCATATATCAAGTAAGCTTCCGAGTTTCAAGAAAAATAAAGGGAGGGGGAGAGCATGCAGGACTGGAAAAATGGGTGGGATCAAACACAAATAGGTGGTTTAGAAGTATTAAGAAGTGCTTGCATTTAGTTGTAAACATTGGAAATGCTTTTAAGACACACACTTTCCTTCTGCTATTTGTGGTACTACAACTGCTACAACACACAATTTGAAAGGAACAGAAAAAGCAAAGTTATTAATTCCCAGCTAAGTTACTGAGTTCATAGAACGACTTCTGCTCATGCTATGGAATTTCCTCTCCCTCTCTTCCCTGCTCCACCCCCTGCAATCTGCCCCAGTGCAAATCATTGCCTGAGCTCAATGACTTTGTTGGATACAGCCTCATGTCTTCACAACGGAGATTTTAGAGAGCTTCTACTCCCTAGAGCAAAGAAAAATTCTACAGTGATTTAAATTTTTTGTTTGCTCCATCTCAAAATCTCCGCACTGGGAACAATACATATTTTAAAGTTAATATAAAACACGTTATCTGACCAGGTTACGAGAAATAAAACTTTAACAACTGCTAAAACCTCCATTTACCCCCCAGTCAGGATAAGCACAAATAAAAACATCTTGCAAATATTTGAAAACTGTGTCGTGTAAGCGGATCTCTGAAGAGTGTCAACAGTGATATAAATCACTGAGGACGCCCCTCTATATATGTGTCTCAGAGCACTTCTTGCTCTGAGACACAGATAATATGCAAGAGTGAGCTTTCTAGGCCAGTCTACAGCAGCCTTCCCCAACCTGGTGCCCTCCAGATGTTTTGCACTCTTTTAACCCTCAGACTTAGCCAAATGGCCAATAGGCAGGGAGAATGGCAGGTGTGCTCCAACAGCATCTGGAGGTCACCAGGCTAGAAAAAGTTGGCCTACATTTAAATGGCTCAAGGACTGAACAAGAACACTTATTTTCCCTGGTGAGGCTTGTTGCTAACAAGGAAAATTTCTTACCTCACATTTGGATACAGAAAACGTGTGTCCTAGATGAAGCCGGCCATTCATGTATGGATAGGGAAAGGTGGCAAAGTACTTGCCATTGCTGAATGGAGATTGCAAAACAAAAAAATGTGCATCAAATGATCTGCAGAAACTAAACTAAAAAATTACAAATACTACAATTCTATATTCCCTTATTCAGGGATGTGTGATATAGAAATGTTTAAGAAAGATGTTGCATACAACCACATCAGTACCTGCTAAAGGGCATTTCACTTGTGGCAAATGCACTGACTCCAGTATGAACACTAAAAATGTCATAAATTGGGTCTGCCATCCAACTAAAGATTCAGTTTTAAACTACACTTCTAAACACACTCACCAGGGAATAAATCATATTGCACTCAGCAGAACTTCTGAGTAAGAATGCACAGGATTGCACTGTCATCAATTAAATGTGAGTTTTCTTGAAATGAGTGATTAAATGTCCATCCAAGCAAATAAAAACTCCAGAGGAAGATGACAAAGATGTGTAGAATAGCAGGAATCATATTTGAACAAGCCTTCCCTGATAGAAATGTTCTTTGAAGGTAATATCTAGTTGCTACACCTATCACAAGCCACTACTGGCACTTTCTTTAAATATGTTCTTCTGATAATCACCTAAAATCTTTTAAGTTGCATAGAAAAAAACCCTAACCCCTTCTGGGTACATAATCAATTAACAAAATTTTAAAAAAAATTTTGTCCTGCTTTTCAAACCATTTTTTCCATGTGACATGTTTAAAAAATAAAATAGAGCACTAAAAATTTCATTGCAGCATTAAAAACCAGAAAAGTAGCATAAATCACAACAAAACTTTAGCCTTCCAAAGTAAAAATGTTTTGAGCATTTTATCGTTATAATGTTCACACATGCACATCAACAATCATAAAAGTCCTCTCCAAATAACTGTTGGGGTTGAGGTGAACCCCATTAAACCAATTTCCGTCTTCTGCTCCTGTTCTTCACTAGCTCCGCCTACGGGGTCATCCACAGCTTTCCCCACTTGTGGGATAATTAGAATTCTTTTTGTGTGCAGTTAACTGGAACCTAATTTATTCATGATCACCTTTGGTTACTGTCCAAATTAAAACTGACATGGAATGTTATAAAGAGGGTTGTATTCAGTAGTGACTTTGCACCAGCAAAAAGCACAGAGGCTGTGTAATTTTTGCAAACACCCCGCTTCCCACTGCTGTTCTCTGTGCTATATCATATACTGTTCTAAAGGGTATTCCAATCCACAGGAGCAGCGTCTCGGGGTGCCAGTCATTGCAATGGACAGGGGGTGCTGAAGAAGATTGGATGCACCGCTTTATATGCACTTTCCACCACTGCATACAACTCAGAAAGCGATTTAAAAGGAAAAGCTACCAGCTGAGCATCAAGTTTTAGTTTCTTTCATAAATGCAAAATGATCTCCTTACACCTTCTTCCATTCACAGCTAAAATTTAATCTTACATCATTCAGGCTACAATCCCATGCATATTTATTCAGTTCACTGAATGCAAACTAAATGAAATGGTTTCCTACCCCCACCCCCAACTCCCCCACACAACAGAATGGTCCCAATCGGGATGGTGGTGGTTGTGATGATAGATAGATCGATCATTCACAAAATTGCTGTTTGCATGAATGGCATCTTCCCCAGTTTTTCCCTCACTGAGACTTCCGAATCGTGTTGATGCTGGAGAGACACAATTTCTACAAAATACAGGTTAAACACTTCCTAAAGTAGTATCAAAATTGTGGACAACATTTACTAATATTCTAGAACTATACCAAGTCTATAGTGTTACGATAAAATTCTTTTATAGACTGCATAGCTCTTTAAGAACACAATGCAACTGTTGATACAAATGTACAAATAGCTCAAGTTTCCATGCTAGAGAAAAAAACTGGTTGGAATCTCCTCAGTGGCTGTTCAGGTATTTTAATGGTGCTAATTGCCATAGCTATCCAAATGTGAACTCACAATGGCATGCAAAGTCAACCAAACAGGTACAACTGAGACTCAAGACACCAATCCCAATTCAGGCTCCTCAAAAGCCACAGTGAACCAAACCTTCAATATTCTGCACATTCCCCTCTCTAGTTTTTGTCATAATTCTGGAAAGAGTATCCCCACCTTTTGTGGTTTGCAGCATCTGCTGCGTTAACTTCAAATGCTCCCTCATCATGCCACTTCTTTTGGATTTCCTTTTCAATTGCCTTCAAGAAGTCCACTTTAGCTGTCCCCTTCCGTTCCTTAAGGAAGAAGACAAATCTATTAGAGCAAGTGATTAGTTTAAAAGTCAATAAACGCCTACACAGAATCTCACTGGAATACAGTGGTGCCTCGCAAGACGAAAAGAATTCGTTCCGCGAGTCTTTTCGTCTTGCGATGTTTTTCGTCTTGCAAAGCACGGTCCGTCGCAACTGCGCTTCTTCAAGCGGCTTTAAAAAAAAAGCGCAAGACGTTTTCGTCTTGCGAAGCAAGCCCATAGGGAAATTCGTCTAGCGAAGCAACGCAAAAACAGAAAACCCTTTTGTCTAGCGAGTTTTTCGTCTTGCAAGGCATTCGTCTTGCGGGGCACCACTGTATTACAATCCACTATGTACAGAATCTATCACACACCCTCCACAACATTCATCAAGTAAGATGTTTTCTAGACATTGTTCAAGGTTACTGCATTAAAAAGTAGTTATGAGCATTTACAGGAAAATACTTTAAATTTCTATCTATGCTTCCATATGAGCTTAGATCCTAGTGTATGTTTTTTGGAATTATCAATTCTGCAAGATGTCAAGGTCAGTTTGCCAGAAAACTCATTTATTAGTTGCTGCCACGCATTAAAAACCTTCATCTTGACATCTTTAATAAGCAAAATGTCTGGCATTATTATGTACATCACCTTGAGACATATGCAAAAGGAAAATAATAAATAAACACGTTTTAAAATTTATTATTATTATTGGCAGTGTGCAATATGAGGCTCTCTTCAGAGTTTATTATGTGATCTTCAGAGTCTGATGCATTTCTGCACACTCTGGACAGAAAAGGCACTGGACCACACTGAGGTACTGAGCTATCCCATTTCAGAGAAGTAAGGTAGGCGTTGCCCTTATCAAAACATTGTGCCTAGTTTAGAACTTTAACCCTACCTATCCCCTTAAACAATGCACTCATGTCTGCAGGAGGAAATAAATGGGGACAGTTAGGGACTCAGTTACAAGGATGACTAAACAAGGTGTCTGTCAAAAGTGTGACAAAATTTTAGAGCTTTCTTAGTCTGGTTAATTAGCCAGTAATTACATCACTGTCTCAAATATGGTTTGGAATATAAAAGTATAACTGAAAAGGTTTTCTCTTGGAAAAAGATACAATTTAAGAATTAAAGTAATGCCCAGGCACAGAAAGTGTGAAAGCAAGTGACTTTTACAATGCAGATACTTTTGCTTGAAGCTCTAGGAGAAAGAAATACACACACAGGTAACATCTAATTACAAAATGCTCATCTGCACAAAACTATTTTGCAGCATATTAACTGACAGCACTGAAACGAAATTAATTTTAATCTGTCATACTCTAACTACATTTCATCAGCTGGATAGTCTTGGTGGCTTTAAATTGGAGACTGAGGTGCTACGCAAGCACAAGCACAATCGGACAATTCTTCCTGACTAGAGGAGCATGAAAAATTTAAGCCCAGCCTGTCATATTATTGGTTAATGAGGCAAAGAGCAGTCGGACTAGTGTTACCACAAACACATTACATTTGAAGCAATTAGCACATTATATAGATGAACCAGAGGTAGAAAGCATTCAGAAGTTATCGTCACTGCCATCACCACCACCCGCCTTGCATCCTCACTAATGCTTGATTTCTTACTGTGTTTTAATTTGTTGGAAACCACCCAGAGTGGCTGGGGTAACCCAGTCTGATGGGTGGCATATAAAAAATAAATTATTATTATCCTGAAAATATAATATGATCTCTACATTGACCATAATATGTGGGCAGATTCAGGCCGGAGAAGGCAGTTTTGCAGATCCTAAAGCATATGGAACTTTAAAAGCAATAACTAGCACTTTAAGTCGGGGCCACAAACATACTAGAAGCCAATGCAGATGCAGCTAATATAGCAATACAAAAAGACCCAACTCACCTATTTCCATGATCATTAATCTAGTTTGAAAACAGGCATCTTACATTTAAAATGAAAGCTCCTTGACACAGACTCACAACTTTTGATGCAATGTATTATACCTCAAAAATGAATTTATGATGTTCACTTTCAGCAGATCAGCCACATCAATAATGTAGAGGGGCTGGCCCACCCCAAAAGGCTCAAGACCACTGGCCTTTCTCACGAAAGAAACTCTAATGTTGCTAATAAGGGGCCAGTAAAATAAGGCAAGACACCATAAGGTATCTATAAAATACTGTACATAAGACTTAATACAAATTGTCCATCAACACAACCTTTAGACAAAGCTGTGGCAACAAATTTTGTCTGAAGACCCTAACAAGCATGCCATCTTTTGTTAAATGGCTTACACAACTGTCACTTTCCCCATAAAAAGCAGAGCTCAGAGATGATGAAGGAGATGAACCAGGATGGGATTTTAAATCTTTAACAGTTGCATAAAATATATAACTTCAATAAATACAGCTTTTATCATTTCTAAATAGCAAGCTGTATTTGCCATGGTTCTCTCATCTACTTTACTATTAAATGTGCAACGTTCAGCCATGAAACTATGCTGACAGGATACCGTTCAGGAAGGAAAAGGAGTTTCCAGCATATAATCTCAACCCTTCTCCACAGCACTACTGCTGAAGATTTTTAACAATGACTTTAGGATTCTTTTAAAATCGTGAGACCTTCTATAATGCAGTATGTCCAACTATTCTAAATAATGGGATACCTCAGGGTAAGAGGTAAAAGACATTTGAAGGGAAACTTCGCAGATTAATATCTACTGCTTCTTGAATTTGAGTCAATCTAATGGAGCCCACCGCATAACGGGAATACTAGACTCAATCACAACCCCGACAAATAAGCTATTTTCTATTATGTATCTTAAAATAAGCATATGCAACTTGCTTGCTTGGCGTGAAACACGTTTAGCGATTTGACATGGAAATACTAGACAAGCCCCCTTATAACTGACGGAGCTGTCACAGCAATAGGAAGCCCATAGGAAGGGAGGGGGGTCGGTGGCTGGTCGGCCTTCCTCCATTCCCTTCTGCTTGCAGGAGAGGGGTCCATTTTCTGGTCCAAGCCGGAACCCCCCCAAAACTAACCCCCCCCCTCATCCGCGACCACCCAAAATCAACGGCCGTATTCACCGTCATCGCTCCCGAGCTTCTTCAGCCAACAGCTGCTCTCACGGCTCGAGCCTCCTCCACTCCACGCTGCCGGTTCCCCCACAATGCAACGGGAGCGCAGATGTCATCAGCTTCCTTCGCAAAGGCTGCCGGGAGCTGGAGTCCACACGCCGCGAAAGCAAACGTTGACAAGGCTGTAGAACTGCGACTCCCGAAAGGCATCGCGCTCGCCGCGTGGTTCTTCACGAGCCGAGCTTTCCTAGAACGGACTACGATTCCCCTAATGCACAGGGGCTGAGAGCCGCACCAATGTCTAAAAAGAGGGGTGTCCGAACCTTTAATCTTCTTGGTCCTATTCCGCAGGGGGAGGGCGCTAAAGCTGCCCTTTTCGTTGTTGTTTCCTCCACCCTCCCGCTTTGTCCACGTGACTACGAAGAATTGACAGCTTGGGAATATCCTTTGATTCCTCCTTCACGCTTAAAAAAGAGCCCGTTTTGGCTATGCGATAGTATTGCAGGAGTCCTGCCCTAAGAGCTTTAACAGGAGTAGAGACTATGTATGTATTTTGACAGAACAGTTTTCTGCATAGTTCTCTCATAAGCATTCAAAGTCCCTGAAAGTTGTAGAAAAACCTTAAAAAGCGGGAAACAGGTTCTGCACCTTCAAAGTCACATGCAGTCAGGGTGCAGAGAATGGTAGACACCCAAAGCAATCTTTATTATGTGTGTTTTCAGATGCGAATCCCACCAAATTCACCATGCCAACTACTTCCAACTAACTGGGGTTAGTGTTCCTGTTTACCCATTCACCTGGGATTGTCCCACTGTGTTCTGGGTGGAAATGTATAATAAATAAAATACGCTGTAAAATAAATGTGCTAAAACCATGAGAAGCCTTTGTCAAAGCCTGTGTTTCAAAAATAGAAAGGTATGAAGGAATGATCAGAAGCTTTAACATGATGAAACTATATTAGCCCCAAGACACTGGTTCAGTTTGCAGATTATACATGGTATTCATTTATACAGATCCATAGACAAAACCTAAGGTCCACTTAAAAACATGATAGAATACAGTAATGTTAAAATTAAAATTAAACAAATTTATTGTGCATTCTATACCTTTGTTCTTCAACAGGGTGTGAAACTAATACAATGGTACCTCAGGTTACATACGCTTCAGGTTACAGACTCTGCTAACCCAGAAATAGTGCTTCAGGTTAAGAACTTTGCTTCAGGATGAGAACAGAAATCGTGCTCCAGCAGCACAGCAGCAGCAGGAGACCCCATTAGCTAAAGTGGTGCTTCAGGTTAAGAACAGTTTCAGGTTAAGAACGGACCTCCGGAATGAATTAAGTACTTAACCCGAGGTACCACTGTATACAACACTTATAGAACATAAGCTTTAGTACCTCAAATAGCTATGGTGTTATGCTATTGTTCTTTAACCAGGTGAAGCTAATACTGTATACAGTACTGTTTTAACACACATCAGTGAGTGATTTCAAAATGGCTGCCATTTCAAATCTGCTGTTTACTCATTGTTCTTAATATAGCTATTTATCTTGGCCTGCTATCAGAAAGCAAAATAATATTTATTATGGTATGCTCATGTACATAATAAATTGGAATGACAAGTTCCAATTTAGTTTAGTTAAACCAACTAGGTTCATGCGCGGGTCTTGAACCTTCTATCCACAGGCTAGAGCCAGCTGAAAATTAGAGGCCCACCAGTCATAAAATGGTAGTGTAAGGGCAGTGTCAGCCACAAAATGGTGGCAGATGGAGGCAGAGTGTGGCATAATTTTATTTATTTCATAAAACGTATATAACTGCTTGGTTGTTAAAGACAACAACCACTTCTAAGTAGTTTACAGAAAACAAAACCCGTCAAAGGTGTTTACAGTTGGCAATTACTTTCGCTTTCTATTAATATCTAATCCATCTTTGGAAATTACTAAATTCTTTGCCACAGCATTTTCTTGTGCCAAGGAATTCCATAGCTGTGTTTCTCAAGATAAGTAAAGACATTTACTCTCAATGTATTGTAACTCAGCCTCCCCATTTTGGGTAGAATTTCCTGATCCAGAGGCTCTAAGTGGAGAATGCTTTTTCTTTTACATTTTCCCCTTACCACTCTCAGAAAACGTATTTTTATCAATCTGTGATTTCTTCTCCCATTTTCCTTTCAAACTCCACCTGTACTTCATTTCCTTCCATTCCCAGGCTACCAGTTTATTTAATAACTTCTTACTCCTATATAACAGCTTTCTACTCTTATGACCTTCCTTTAAGTTCCCAATTTACTAATAATTATTATTCAGAGTTTATTTCTTCTTATTAATATTAACAATTATAATAATTAGCCTTTTATCTCCCTTTCTAATTTCTTTCACCAGGTCTTGTGGCTCTTTTCTTTCAGAGGAAGGAGAACTTCCTTCCCTTCATCTGTCTCCCAGCCACCTTTACTCAGCATGCAAGGAGTTGCTCATATGGACACAGGTCTAACCATAAGGCTATGGAATGGCTATGGAGCAGGGCAGACAAATGAAGAGGCCCTGGGCAGGCTCTGCAACTGAGGCCCACCTGAAATGGTCTGAGGACTGTCATGTGCCCAGCTTCACAATGTCTAGAGCTTTCAGACAACCTTATAATAGGTGCATATACATAAGTGTATCATAAGTGTCGTAAGTCCTAGAATTCAAAGAAACTTTCATATCAGGAAGAATGATTCAACTTTATTATGTTTGCTGCTTTCCTTTCACAGTACAGTAAACCCTCAACTTACATGCATTTAACTTGTGCATATTCGGTTTTATGCACACTGCAAAAGAAAAATTAAAGAGGGAGCAAGGTTCTGGGAAAAGTAACTATGGCAATCCCACCCGTCATTGAACCCAATGGGTTTTCACTATACACAATTTTAGTTTTAAGTGCAATCCCCAGAACATAACCCTCACTCAAGTTGTGGACTTAATGCATGTCAAGTGATTTCTCCCCCCAAAAATCCAGTACATGTAATGCACTTTGTTACCATATCCTTTGTTTTAGATTAGAAGTCCTATTGTCTCCATTGGGACTTACTCCCAGGTAAGTGTGTATAAGCTTTCTTGAAACGGATACTAAACGTAATATTGCAGAACAAAGCAGGATCGCACCTTGCAAGCACATCTCTAGAAATAGAGACGCACAGATCAGACCAATTTCCTACTGAGAAAAGACGAGTTCTGTACGGCACAATCCAAACCGTAAGTCCAGATCACTGACACTGTTCCAGTCACAGCGGGGCCAGGGGGCAACCCCTTATAGCTAACACCGGGAGATTGGCTAAAATCTCTACATACCAAGGGGGTGGGGTTTAGATTCCATGAGGGCCCCACCCCCATTGGAGAACACGCAAGCTCAGAACTTTCTAGTACGCGTGTTTAGAATTGCAGTTTACAAAGAAATGTCTCTAAGAAAGATTCCTATGTACGTTGACCTAATACGTATTCCACTGAGCTCGGAACCAATAATTCGCAAGCGACCTTCCACTTGCTAGAAATAAAATGGAAACTATGCTTCCATGCTTTGGAAAACGCAGAGGACATACCATACTTTATTTGGTTGCAGTCCCATCCACTGGTTGTGTGCGTGTGTATCCCTGTGTCTGTTGGGGGCGGGATTGGACTCTGCACGCGCTCAGAGACAACCCCTTCCTTCGCAGTCACTGCGCACGTTCCCGAGCGCCGTCTATACGGCGTGCCGAGGCCTGGCTCGAAGCCACCTGGCCCTCGGGAGCGGTGCCGACCCTTGTTATTTCCCCCCTCCTCTTCCCCGCTCACGTTGCTCGCGCGCCCGCAAAGGGTTTCACGCGTGCTGCCTCGACCTAGCCTGCTGCGGCCTTTCACCACTCACCCCCCTCCCACACCCGCTCGCCCGCTACCTCCCGCGGCCGCGGATTGGCTCGCTCGAGTCGGGGCCTCGCCGTGCGATTGGCTCCGCCGGGAGACCGGGTGCCCGCCCTCCCCCCTCTCCGGCACCCAGCAGGTTCGGCTGCGCTCTCGGCTCAGCTAGTTCCTGGTCTGACTCTTAGGCCCTGCCTGGGCGACAGGACAGCGGGGGAGCTGCCGTGGGCGAGTAACTGCTCGCGGGGGAGCGGCGGGTGGGGGAAGGGAGCCGGAGAGATGCTGCCCGGAGTGTAGCCGCCGCCGCAGCAGCAGCGCCGCCGCCGCCACCATCATGATCATAGAGAACGTGGACGCGCTCAAATCCTGGCTGGCCAAGTTGCTGGAGCCAATGTGAGTGCGGCGGGGGCTGGTTGTGGGGAGTGGAGGAGGAGGTCGAGGGGCAGCGGCGGCGGGGCGGCGGTGGAGGCCTTCCCATGTGGGAGAAGGGAGCCGAGGGGTGAGAGGCAACCGAGGGAAGGGGGGGCCGAGCCGGGGAAGAGGAGTTACGTGTATGTGGGGGCTCCTTGCTAAAGAGTCAGTGGGGTGAATGAATAGGTGAGGGGGGGTCGGTACTGGTAAAATGCCTCAAGTCCTGGGGTACATGTGCGGGGATGGGCTTCGTACCAGGAGGCGGCGGCGGCAAGGGGATTCGTGAAGAGCTGCTGTGGGTCGGCAGGGGGTGCGGGGCAACTGGCGTCAACTAGGGGTGTGCCTCAGGAACGAGGTTAAGGTTATAAGTGGTTATGGGGCGGGGAGGCCGCTGAGGGGCCGCGTGAGGAAGTTGGTTGTTTGGGTGGGGGACACACACACACACACACACGGAAAGAGTAGGTGCTGAGGTTATTGGGCTATGCAGGGTGCTGCTTTCTGTCTTCTGCACTTGCTCGTAGTTCTTCCAAACTGTAATCTGGTGACTAATTGTTTTCTAATGCATAGCTACCACAGTATATATCACTTTAACAAAACCAGGGGAACTACTCTTCAGAGCAGCTCCTTGAAAATTAAAACATGCAGCATTAGGCCAAGTGTGCCTTACTGCAGGAGTGCGACAGTGGAGACAAAATGTTGCCCCGTCCTGTGTTCATCCCTTTGTCATAACATCTGAAATGTTGGGGGGTTGATAAGTTGTTTGTTAGGGCAGTTAAAAAGAGCACTTCAGACGGAAGAGGGCAATCTTGATTGTGTTTTTATTTTTAGTTGCAAGCTTTTGGTTGTAAGTTGCTTTGGGTTTCCTTGGGCTGCTTACCCAGGGTCTGTGTTTACTTTTTGGAACAGTGTTTACTTTTTGGCACAGTGGAGACTGTGGTGTCTTTATAATATATGTGAGCCTCCCATTTGGAGGGGTTCACAGCAACCCTCCACAAAAGCCTTGCTATCTCCCATATCTGCAGTTGTCAAAGTGGCCCATGGGAGTAGGGGAGTTTTGGACCACTGTTAAGATAGTTATCCATCCTTGATATATACTGAGAGTTTGACATTGTTGCTTAATAAGCTGGTGTTTTGTCAAGCTGACACTTAAATTCTGAGTGTATATCACTGCATCAGTGATAAGCAGGCAGAGACACTAGACGGAAATCTTATATTATATATATTTTTGCAGTTGGTCTGTTAATTGTCTTTTTGGCCCAGGAGCTAACATGTCAACTTCCCTGCACTTAACTATGGAAGCAAGTACTCTACACTAAACTATTAGCTTGAATTGATATGTGACTTAAGTTTAAAGTTCTGAACAGAGAGTTAAGACTACAGACACTCTTGAATATGCCAAGAGTGAGTTAAAACTAAACTTGAACTACCTTGTTGTAAATAGACAGAGTACATTTCTGTCTCATTTGTATAATCTTAATGTGTACTTCTCTGCTGCATAGAGTTGTGAAGCATTAATTTTCAAATGCCTGCCCAGTTCCTTGAAGACATTTCAAGTGCTAATTATACTGCCTTTGTGTTGGCTTTTTGTTGGCTTTAATATGCATTTCCTATTTCAACTACTACAAAATTCTGATTTATTATTAAACAATAAAGAAGTAGCAATTTCACATTTGCATTTCTGGGCAATTTTGGCATTTAATCCATAATTACAGACTTGCATAATTATGACCATGAAAAGTTCCTAAATTCTTTACTGTGGTTGGGATTCACCTAGCAAACTCTATGAGTGAAAGTCCTAGGCAAGGGCTTCTGTTTGTGCAATGGGGCTTCCCCACTCTCCTCCCCCTGCTTGCCCCCTGAAATTGGCTCAGAAGGGTTAGGAGTACCCCTAGTACAGGGGTGGGGGTAGAATAAATCGTTCCTTCTGGCTACTGGATAAGCTTGTGCAGATTGAATGTTTATCATAGCGCAACATTAAATTTCACCCAGTATATTTAGTTGTGCATAGTAGTTTCTGGGCAAACCATTTTGGTTAATCTGCTAAATTACATATTTGGTTAATATTGATAGTTGTTGGAGTTATGCTTGCAGTCACAGCTGTATGTAAATACAGTTGCTGAAACCTAGTTTTGAATATTATGTCCTTGTTAGATCAACATGCATTTTTTCAGCCCTGGTTTCAGAACTGGTCATAAAAACATGCTTCATTTAACATACGAAAAGTAGAAAAATGCCTCTAACTTACCGTATGTTTTAGATTTCTTGAATATCTACAGCTACCTTATACTGAGCCAGATCCTTTGGTCCATCTCACATTATTGTTGAGTTGGCTGTCTTGAGTCTCATGCCGGGGTCCCATCTAGACTTTAACTGGAGTCTCCAGGCATTAAACTGATACTCTTTGCAGGCCAATCATATGTCGTACCATTTTGCTATGGCCCAGTTGCCCAGGTAATTAAGCCATTTGTGGTTCAGCATCCAGGAGCAAAGAGGAAGTGTTTAATTCAGCTGAATTAAAAACCTCAGAAAGGACACTTTGAGGGTAGAATAGTGATTATTTGCTCAACTGTGGAAATCAGAATTGGGGAGAGCCCTGCTGCAGTCATGCCCTGCTTGCTTCTCATATGGGTTATAATTTAATTAGGAGGTTTCATGCCTGTCTAGTTCTGTGCTCCCTTTCCCAACCTTTAATCTATTGGTGATTAATGTAATCTTTGCTTTGTACTTGTGTTAACCAATCAGCAATAAGCACATATGTGGCAAATGCTGTAAGATTCAATAAAAGGGACTCTCCGAGACTTGCTCGAGAGATGCCTCCCGTATGACACCTTGCCATTCGTCTGTCGCTTATTTCAACCCAACAGTTGGCCATGGTGAAAACAGGGAATTGGACTAGATGGACCTTTGGCATGATCAAGCAGGGCTCTTTTATGTTCTTAGTTCTTCCACAGAGCTGTCAAAATCATACCAAGTAGTAGGTTTGCTTGTTTGTTTGTATAGCATTTGTTCAACATAATTTCTATTTTTGTATCAATTCTATTTTTGTATCGAGCACTAGTTAAATTAAAACAATAGCAAGATGTTCTATCCACCCTTGAATTAGAAGACTTCATTCTAAGGCTCTGAGCCTAAGCATATGTACTTGGAAGCATGGCCCACTAAAATTTGTGGGACATGCTACTTAATAATGAGGGGAGGTATTCATGCTTAATGACATGTTTTCACTGAAGAGGAATCCATTGTAATGCTTCATTGTGTATTAGACTCATAATGCTGTAAGTTACATAACGATAGCAGTATTTTTTTCCTTAGATGTGATGCCGATCCATCAGCCTTGGCTAACTATGTTGTGGCATTGGTCAAAAAAGATAAACCAGAAAAAGAACTGAAGGCTTTCTGCGCTGATCAGCTAGATGTCTTTCTGCAAAAAGGTACTGCTGTGATTTTTATTTTATTTTATTTTATTTCTTGCTAATGGCAGGGTTTTGTGAATATGGTGGTAGGAAACTTTAGGTAGGAGACCTGGAGATAGAATCATGGATTTGTAGAGTCTGAAGGGACCCCCAAGGGTCACCTAGATGGAGCTTAATTATATGATAGCAGCTCCAACTGTATAAACTTCTCAGTAAAACAATTGTACTGTACTCATAAAGGAACTTTGCCTATTTACAATTAAGCAGTATATAAGAGTGTGAAACATCCCCCCCCCCCCCCGGTCACAGATAGTTTTAACTTCTGTGCACAATTACTGGAGAAATACATCTTTACATTGGCCAAAGAGTATCCATATTAACTTATGAAGACAAAAAAATAGAAGTAACTAGAGCACAATTTTATTACGGCACAAACCAGTTCATCTCTAAGTTAGTGTAGCATGTGTTAGCTATGAAATACAAATATGAATCACAAAGTGTTTGAACATAAGCCGCAAAACATTGGCTGCATTTCAGTGTAATACTAAACCATAGTTTAGCACTGACTAAAATGTAATTAGATTAATTACAGTTTAGTGAGTTGTCTGAACCATAGACTGGTTGATCTTAACTATGGTGAAAGCTCACAAACTATAGTTGGCTCGCTTCCAAGAAGGTTGTAGAGGATGCTTATGATCCTGTTCTTGGGCCTGGCAGGTGCAAAGCCAAAATAAATTATATGCTCCTAACTATGGGGCTGATGAGGAGGCAGCATTCATCTTCACCGCTGCTTTGGAACTCCAGGATTGGAAGGAATCGTCAAGCTCCATTTGCTTACACCAACACTTACACCATCTTTTTCTGTACACAAAACGATTAACCAATAGGTTTTAATGCATTTTTGAGAACATATGGCATAGATCCAAAGGGCTAGTTTAGGTAGAGGACAACACCATACAAGAGTGTACAGTGGTGCCCCGCAAGACGAAAAACTCACAAGACGAAAGGGTTTTGCGTTTTTTGAGTCGTTCCGCAAGATGAATTTCCCTATGGGCTTGCTTCGCAAGACGAAACGTCTTGCGAGTTCTTGCGAGTTTGTTTCCTTTTTCTTAAAGCCGCTAAGCTGTTAATAGCCGCTAATAGCCGCTAAGCCGCTAATAGCCGTGCTTCGCAAGATGAAAAAACCACAAGACGAAGAGACTCGCGGAACAGATTAATTTCGTCTTGCGAGGCACCACTGTACTTTTGTGGAACATTTCATTTCCTTCAAATGGTAGACCTCCGTGTCACGTGGCAAATGAATTTTTAAATACTCCTTACTTTTAAAGAGACTTGCAGTGTAGCATGGCAGACTTTTTGCTAATGAGAAAACTAGACCAGCGCTCTTTCAGGCACAAGGAACTCAACTGGCCTGGAGCAGAAGTGTGATTAATATAAAACTAGGGAGTAGGATCTCTTTTGGAATGATTCCTTTTTTCTGTATGTCTCTTCCAGAAACCTCAGGCTTTGTTGATAAACTCTTCGAGAGCCTGTATACGAAGGATTACCTAGCCCCTAATGAACCAGCAAAGCCAGAGTTGAAGCCTGTGTGTCAGGTCAAGGAAGAAATCAAAGAGGAGGTAATGTTAAATTTCTTTGTCTCTTGCTTGTGTCTCTTGGTGCAATCCTGTGCATGTTTGTTCAGAAATGTGTCCCACTGTGTACATAGGATTGAAGCCATGCAGTACAGTCTTATACATATCTACTCAATAGCAAGCACCCTTGAGTTCAATGTGACTTATTGACAGGCAATTATAGGATTGCAGCCTTAGTCTAGCTTTATTAGAAACATGATAAGTTTTTCCCCCTTTAATATCCAGAGGCAGCAGATAAGCTGGTGTGTGTGTGTACATGTGGAGACACACACATGCAGGTGACAGTTTCACTATCTTTAATAGTGCAGATCCATTGTTAATAGTTATGCATGCCATTTTGAAAAGCTTTGTATGGCAGTTAGCAAAGTGAAAATTTCTTTCATAGTTCAGCCCTTTTAGATGATGAATGGCTTGGTAAACTTGAGGTGTCAACACTGTGCTTTTACATTTATTTATAGCCTACTCTGCACCAAGGTTCATCAGGCAGCTTACTACATAAACGAAAGCAAAATAAAATTGATTGAGTAGTGAAATAAAAAGTATATGCTAAAAACAATGCAACCCAAAATACAAGGAGATGAGAATAAAATAATAAGGTTGAAACAGTTTAAAGCTATAAAAGACTTTAAAAGTCCTGGATTATTATTATTATTGAAATTGTTTTTATTAAAAGATTTTCTTGGATAACAAAAGAGGTATTCATGTGGTACCAAAAAATATGATACCGTGCTCTCTGCAGTCACCTGGTGGAAGCACCCAGTGATGGGTCTCAGACAAAGACTTCAGGGTGCATATAGGATGAAGCAATCCTCCGGGTACCCTGACCCGCAACCATAAAAGACTGAAGGTCAATATCAGCATTTTGAATTGGGCCTGGAAACAGATTTGAAGCCAGTGAAGGTGATGAGCACTGGTGCAATGTTCTCATCTCTCTCACTTAATAACCTTGCAGCCATATTCTGACTGAGGTTTCTGGACAATTTTCAGAGACAGGCCCACACACAATATCTTGCATAATCCAGACAGGTGGTTACCATGGTGTGGATAACAAGTTAAACTATCTGCCCAGTTACAGTTGTCCTAGATGGGGCTTGTCAACCTGGGAGGGTAGCCCATCTAGGAGAAGGAAAACACTGATCCTAAACCGTCTCTACCTTGCAGCTATACTCATTTGTATGAAAGGCTTCGGGAGTAAACCCTGAGGAACAATCTATGCACACTGATTTGCAGGACATAATTAGGAGTATAAAAGTCTTAAGGTGCAAACTCTACACAAATCCAGAATGGGGTGCCTAAGGCAGTTGGATGGTGTCTTGTATGCCTCTTCCTAGTAACTCCTGCAGCCAAACAGGTGCCAAATGTATTGCTCTGCTTTCTTTTGAACAACCTCAGCGAAGCCGAGAGGGAAGTCTTTTTGTCTGGCAGCCCAGGACCTCCATACACCCTACCCAGGCTTGTGCCCCAGGGAGGTCACTTCGGTGCTGCAAATGCAGCAAAGTTGCAATTGTAACTGTTGTACCAATCTAAACTGGTAGAAGGTTCTCCATGCTACATTTGTCCTTCTGATGATGAAGCTGAATCAGTGAGCACACTCAGTGTCTAACTCCTATTAAGGGAGTGCAACCAGGCTTTAAAGTTGATTCTGAAGCCAGATAACCAGACCTCTGCAATCTTCTGCTTTTTGAGAAAGTTTACTTGAAAAGAGAGGTGCTCTACAAGAGTCCACAACTTCAAGTACCCCCGCATTCTGTTACCTATCCTGAATCCTGTCGAGTCTGACTTCATACATTGCTTGCTAAAATCCTACAACCTTGGCTTTTCTAAGATTGTACAGTTCATAGTACTAGGGGTGTCTTGTTTAAGAGTAAGTAGTGGAGGAATAAACCAGTTAAAGTATAATGTGTTCATAGCTCAGACGGGCTGATCTGATGTAAGTGGTGGACATATTACAGCAAAGTATTTGGCTATACTTAGATAAGGTCAAATGAGACATGATATCCTCACACCACACAGTCCCGCTCCTCCCCCATCTCATATGCCTGTATTTCATGTAATGTTAAAGGTGATTTTTATTTCTAATTCTAAATTCTCTTAGATATCAAAAGATTAACTAGAGAATGCTTAAATCATGTTTAGACTCCCCCCCTTTCTATAGACAGTTCAGTATATTCTGCCACACTTTTGTTTCCTTTCTTCCACAAACTTTTTTAGAAATTATGAATTGCACTATGTAATGAAAGCTAATGGCTTTGAGATTACAGAGTTAGACTGTTGCACACTTTATGCAGAGCTCCTCTCAGTGACGGTTTAGAGATTTCAGCTCTTCTGCTTATGAAAACTAATAACCCTGAAATAGCTCCAATAACTCTTGGATGAGACTGATTTTTCATTTCAGTTGGCATTCAGGCCTGCCTTTGTTGCTGAGACTGCCTTGGTTGGCCTGCGTCAGGAAAGGGACAGGGAGGATGTGTCCATATTGATTTTTCTTGACCTCTCTGCACTTTTTGATACCATTGACCATAATATTCTTACAGAGAGGCTGTCAGAGTTGAGAATAGGCTTTGTTCCTACTTGGTTTGTTCTCTCCAGAAGGTAATGCTTAGAGGGTATTGTTTAGCTGCATGAAGCTTCCAAAGCACAGAGTTTGATTTTATATCCCATTCTTTTTAACAACTGCATGGAACTCTGGGCTAGATGAGGGCCAACAAATTGAAGCTCAATCCAAATAAGACTTAAGACATTGGTAATGTGCAGGTCCTCTGTCTGCATGAGTAGAATGCATCTTCTTTTTGGAGGTGTTGCACTCCCTTTGAAGGAGCAGGTGCGCAGCTTGATGGTACTCTTGGATCCAACTTGGTCAATAAGTTGCCTCAGTGGCATGGAATGCCTTCCGCCAGCTAGCTCAGCTGTGTTCCTATCCAGCTAGACATGAGCGTGGTTTCAGTTGTCTGTGCTTTGGTAACCTTCACATTAGACTACTGCAATGTGTCATACATTGAGCTGACTTTGAATACAGTTTCCAAATTACAGTTAGTTCAGAACATGGCAGCTAGATTGTTAACTAGAACAAGGAAGCATGAACATAGAACACACACCAATTCTGGCCTGACTGCTCTGGTTGCCAGTTTGTTTCAGGCCCCAATTTGAAATTCTAGTTTTGACATTTTAAAGCCTTGAAGTGTCTTCATGGTCTTCTCCCCATAGACCCGATGAAAGTAATAAAACAGCATATTTGTTGTGACCCCCTGCCCCACCTCGCTTGTGAAAGTCTTCTGAGTCCAAGTAGTAATCCAGCCTTGTTGAACACAAGGGATATTGCAACAAATTATAAGTGCTTCCACAGTTATACTGTAAAGGCAATCTTTTTAAACCTAAAATATAGCAGTTTTAAAATTAAAATGAAATTCCTTAAAGGTAACAATTATAAAAAATATTATGATGGACATTTGTTTGTTTGTTTGTTGAATGTTTATACCACCCTTCATCCTAGATTTACAGGGCAGTTTATAATAACATAAAAATGAATACCATAGTAACAACCCAAAGCAGGCCACCTACCCCATTTAAAAGACCATGTATTGTTTAATTAGTCAAACGCCTGAGAGAAGAGGAGTGTTTTTGCCTAGCACCTACAGATAGGTGCCAGGCAAGCCTCCCTGGGGGGAGGGGGGAGCCACCACAGAACAGAAGAGCCTCAGATGATGATTGCAGGGTCCAGGTTGGTTCATACGGGAAGAGATGGTTGTTTTGTAGTTGTCCTCTTCAATACATTTCACACTAGAAGCAAATTTAAAATGTGTATACAGTGACTTGTCTCGAGCCTTGCTCTCTTATTGCTTAAATGGGTTTTTATATTCTTTGGGGTCTTCCCCGCGCCCCTGGGAGTGAGCTTCGTGTGAGGTGATGATTTGCTGTTTGTCTTTAGCCATTTCAGGAGACTTTTGAAGATGAGCGAGAGGGCAAAAAGAAGAAATATACTAGCCCACAGAAAAATCGTTCAGATTCTAATGAGCAAAGGTTAGTATCTGAAGTATTCTTCTTTTAACACTTGTTAGCATTTGTTAGCCTCCAAATCAATTAAACTTCTCTGTTTCAGACATCATAATAAGTTTTGTGATAAATTTAGTAATGTATGTCTCCCCTCCTTTTGTATTATGATCGGGAAGTTTTACAGATTCTCACATAATCCATTAAGATGTGACCTTGAGGGCCAGACAATCACATTTAGCCTAACTTACCTCACAGGGTTGTTGTGAGGATAAAATGGGTGGAGGAGAACTAGGTACCCCACCTTGAGCTTGCTGCAGGAAAGATGGGATATAAATGAAATAAGTAAATATACACACAATTTTAGAGAACTGTATTGAATCCTCTGTGCCCATGGATGCAAATAATTGTTTTATGCAGGAGGGGGGCAGTCCCCAACTATATTAATATGATTTTTTTATTTTTATGCAGTACTAGCATCCTTTAGTAAGACAAACAATTTGGCGTTTATTTGCTTTAGGGCTATTACACCTAACATTTTTTGTAGTTTTTCCCAATGTTGATGTCACTTGGATATAATTACGTTGTTTAGTTCTTCATACAAACTTCCCTCTGTCAAAACTGTTGTTCTGTTTTGATGCCATAAGCATTTTCAGCTTTTCTAAATCCACCTGTTTGCATGTGTTGTTTTTCTTAATAGAACTAGAGAGAGAAAAAGAGATGATGGCAAATGGAGAGATTATGATAGATACTACGAACGGAACGATTTGTATAGAGACAAATACGATTGGCGAAGGGGAAGAAGTAAGAGTCGCAGTAAAAGTAGAGGACTTAGCCGAAGTCGTAGCCGCAGCAGAGGTAGAAGCAAAGACCAGGAGGCAAACAAAGAAAGGGATGCAAACAGAAATGTTGGTGAGTCGTTTAAGGATAATAGACAAGTAACGTCTAATTTTAAGTTTCATGGGAGTTAATGAAATGTCATACTACTTAATGAACATTTTATCTTGAATTTCTGGCAAATTCAACAAACAGAATTGTCTTTGAAAAGAAGTGATTGCTGACTTGTTATAAAGCTGGCTAAAAGCTGTGATCTGAGAGCAACCTAATCTAGGGATATATTTTTTTAATTTGTTCTCAGGTGTATTCTGGTAGAGCAGTACCTTCTGTTATACTTTCCCTGTTGGTAAAAGCTGCTGCTTTATATTGCTAGGTTTCTTTTGGCAAGGAAGAAGTGTTAGATTTTCTTAACTTTTAATGGATCCCTGCTCCTAAATAACTGAGGTCTTGTGTTGCTATAGCCTTTCAAGACAAAAGAAAGTAATTGAAATTACTTGAAAAATACAGTTTACTTTTTATTTCTAAAGGAAATCAGTTTAGTTAGTGCATATGTTGCAGGACAAATATTCACATTGTCTTGCAAGAACGAGCCTAAGTACACTGTTAAGACATTAACCAGGTTGTGCTTATACTTTTTTTTCTCGCATTTGTTATGGTGTTAAATTTTCTGTATGCTGTCAGAGAATCTCTAAGCACGAAGGACGAACATAGAAACTTACCTAATCTATTACGATTTTTTTTTTCAGATCACAGAGATCGAGCCAAATTCAAATGTGAAAGGAGTGATATGGAGAGCTCATATAACCCAGTGGCTTTGTCTTCCGTTAACTCTACTGAACAGTATTCCTCTGGAGCACAGTGTATTCCCAGTGCTGTTACTGTGATTGCACCTGCTCACCATCCTGAAAACACAACAGAAAGCTGGTCGAATTACTACAACAATCATTCTGCTCCTAATTCGTTTGGCAGAAACGCTCCACCAAAAAGACGCTGTCGAGATTATGACGGTAAGTGTTACTCCTGGTTGTTCTACTTAGATTTTGCAATTAAGAATGTTGTTTTGAGCTATTTTGTTGTTGTTGCCAGCCACACAGTATAAGTGAGACTTTGGCTTAAAATCTATATGTAATCTATTTTCATTCATTCATATGTAATCTATATAATCAATCAGATAAAGGTAAGCTACCATTAATGATGGTTTATATTGTGATTTATTTTTATTTTACAGAGAGAGGATTTTGTGTACTTGGTGACCTCTGTCAATATGATCACGGAAATGACCCATTGGTAGTGGATGAAGTATCTTTGCCAAGCATGATTCCATTTCCTCCACCACCCCCAGGACTTCCTCCTCCTGGAATGCTTATGCCTCCTGCGCAAGGCCCAACTCACAACATGAGAATGCCAGGGCCACATGTACATCCTCGGCCGCCGCCACCTGTTAGAATTCCTATACCAAGTAAGATTTCCTCCTTAAAATAGCACTTTAAAATACTACAGTCGGCACAGTAGCTGAGAACATTTCATAAATGGTGCTTTATTTCTCTAACGTAGCATTACAGGAATCTGGGGTTTGAAGGACCCTCCAGAGCACATTTAAGGGTGGGTGAGGGAGCTGCAGGGGGAATAACTGAAAACTGCTTTCCTCCTGCCCAAACCCTCTAGTAGATCCAGTGCTTGGACTCCTAACTAGGTTTTCCCAAAGGCTTTAATGTGAAGGTCAGTTTGATATATATAAGTCAGGTTATGAAGCTTTCAGGTTAACGAATGCAGCAGTGGTCTAGGTATATGGCTAAACAGAAACTAAGATTTTGTCTCAACACTTGACACACCCTAAATGGGTTGAGCCATGGGGCTGGGCAAACAAGATGGCTCTCCTCTGAATAGGCTGGGCCTGCTGAGTGTTTGCACCCATGCAGCCATCTCCACATCCTTGTGATGGAGGCAGAGTCAACAGGGTTGGCTCACTGTCTCATTTTTCCCCAGGCAGCACCCCAGGAGGGTTCATCGCTGACAGTGGGCAGGGCCAGGATCACATCAGTCTGCTGTGGTGCTCGGGGTGTCCAAGGCACTCTGCTGTCTGTCCACACAGCCACTGTCCTGGAACTGGACGGACATCTAAGCTGCTAAACCTCTTCCAGTTCCTCTAATGCCTTGTCCTTGTCCCATGCCTCCTTCCCTTTTGACCAATTCCACCAGGATGTCTCCATGGGGCTTGTGTCACCCCCATTCTGCTTAGTGATACCATTGGATAAAGCATAGGTATATAACTGATCTTAAGGCTGCAGCATAATGTTGCAGGATTGCAGCTTAAATGTATAATGTATCTTGGACCTTAAGACATGCAAACAGTTGTTGATTAGTTTACTGGTGGAGACAGTAATGTTGAGGATGTGTAAGGTTTTTTCCTGCCAGGGCAAACAGAAGCATGTGCTTGTGTTGGCAGTTGGCGGATAGATCAGGTGCCAGATCACACATTTGTATCATGCTGGAGCTCTTTCTCCCAGGCAGTAAGGGCAAGTTTGTCTCTTTTTAAGAATAGCTGGTATATGCCAAGGTGTGCGTTTTCTGTCACGTTAATCGAAGTCCTCTGCGTTGCATAGCCACTTATAGAGTAGTGCTAAGGAGGTGAAGAGTTAAGGGTCACGCTCCAGGTGTCAGACAGACTGGGCACCTAGGTAACAGTAGTGTCAAAGCATTTCCCTATTTACTTCATTGTATAAAGGCAATTATTTTTGGACTTGCCTGAACTAGCAGCCCTCTTCAGGAGTTGGGCCTTTTTTCAAACCTTTGGATAATGAAGAAGCTTTTCCTTTTTTTCTCTCTCTAAAACATCGGAGATAGTAGAAAGAACTGACTAGATTAAATTTAGTTTCAGACCAAAAATAGAGAACATGCCACTGCGTGTATGTGTTTTTAAGGGGAAGTCCACTAATGCTGTGTTTTAGTTATTAAAAAAAATCATTCACAGTAGTCACTTATTACTAATCCTGAGATAAATTGGGTCAGGGGAGTAAATTAAGGTCTTTGAATTATTTACTGGTTTGGAGATTTGAGCAAAGTACAAGCTCATCATAAGAGGTCAGCTAGATAAACAAAGTATCATACTTGAAAAATATCTCTCTCTCTGTGTGTAGGATTATAATTTAGGGCATTCACTAGAACAGATGAATAATTAAAAATTTAGAAGAATTTAGATTCCATTTCCAACAGTAGCCAGCCAGATGCTCCTGAAAACCCACAAATAGCAAACCCTATCAAGCATTTGGGAACCTATTTCTTAATGTATTGCTTCTATGGCCATAGTGCTGGTGTTCCTGCCTTAGATAAGTGAAGCAGTAGTGGGGCCTGACACACACACACCCCATACACACACTTGAAGAACAAAGATGTAGATAATGCTGAGCTAGAAAGGCCAGTGGTTTGAGTCAGTGTAAGACAGCTTCCCATATTCCTTTATATTCAGAGGCATTATGCAACATAGAAGGTCCACTTTAGCTATTGTGGAAAAAATTGTGTGAGAGAAATTTGGCTAGAATGTGAAGTGGACTTGATTTGGCTCTTCCTTGACACTGGAAAGAATGGGCTCGTTTTCTGTGTGCACCCTCACTGAAGCTGTGACCAGCTTGGGTATTTGTTCAGCAGCTGCGGATCCTCTGCAGACAAAAGTGCGAGAGCTGTTGGAGGCAGGAAAATAAGATTGTTCAGCGATTATTTATAATGCAAAACAAAATCAGTTTGGAATTATTTCAAAGACCATTTATTTCAATGGACCATTATAAGAAAAGAACCCAGCAGTTTAAACAAGCAGCAGATGTGCATATGACTTGTTCAAAGCCTGTCCTTGCAGCAAAGGATGAGCCCCTTATTTTGGATCAGTCAGCAAGGATAATGTGTTTTCTTTCTTCAGTCCTACCCTTTTTGCAACATTTCTATTGAGGTTGATGAAATGATAAGCAAAAATTCTGAATTGTTGTAATCGGACAGGTGGAAATATTTAGTAGATGTGGTTTGCTGTCAGGAAGGTCAGAATGACCACACCGTTGTTGTTGTTGTCGTTGCTGCTGCTGTTGCTGTTTGTGTTGTTGTTCTAGTTGTTACTATTGTTATTGTTATGCCACTGGCTCTTCCTGTTTCTAGCTCACACAGAAAGTTCATTACAATAGAAAAATAATTTCTCCAGTTCATTGAAAAGTAGCTTTAACCAGGGCTTGGTGCCATTCACTATAAATGAATGAATCAATTTATTATGGTCACAGACCAGAAATATGAACATATACAGCAATAGAGATCATGTAAATATACATAGGTTAAAATTAAACACTTGCAGTAAATAATACAAATATAAAACAATTAAAATATGTAGGTTAAGACTATGATACCACGTTGCTTAACTGTATGTAATCAAGCCTATACTTCTATGTGGCCTCAATGCTCCACTACCTGGCCATATTGTAGCCTTGTGGCTGGGCCCTCCTAACACCAGCAACTCTGCATGCTGAGTAAAGGTGGCCAGGAGACAGAGAGCTTACTGGGGCGGAGGTCCTTTTCCGAAGGCGAAAGAGCCAAAGGAGTCTTTTACGAAAATTGGAGACATAAAAGGTTAATAATAATAATAATAATAATAATAATATCTGGAAAGAGAAGGAAGCAGTCATATGAGAAAAAGGTGATTGGAGAAAGATCAAGGAATGAAAGAAACCAGTTTTTTGGAATGGAGAGGCATAAGTTTTAAATAAAGTGTGGAAGGAGAAAAGAAGAAGAAAATGTAGGAGATGAGCAAAAATATTTTGAGAGGTGTTGAGGGCAGGAATAAAAATATAAAGTTTAGTCTGTTTCACCTAGAGCTTCTGAATCAACAAATTCTGCCTAAAATGGGAAGACACAGTAATCTCCAAGGCCAATGTGTGTACCTGGCTTGAAGAAATAGAATTGTAACACTCCATGCCACAAGGAAATCACAATGGCAAAGAGTTTAGCAATTTCCAAATAGGATTAAGTATTAATAAAAAATGCTATTGTTAATTGCAGCTAATCATGTCCAATTCTACCTCCATCTGCTACCATTTTGTGACTAGTGGGCCTCAGCAATTGTCAGTCCTCTCCAGCCCTAGTAGTAGAAAATTGGAGAACCCCAGTGTCCTATGCCTATGGTGGCAAACCTTTTTAAGCCTCAACTGCATTTCTTTATTGCCAGCCCATCTGGGGACTTCATACTAGCAGGAGGTGGTACCAAAACAAAGCTGGGTTGGGCCAGAACCAACAGAGGATGGGACCATCCTACACTCACATGAATTCACATAAATGTTTTGAGAGAGAGAGAGAGTCTTGTTCATAGGAGACAGAGAAAGGGTGAGGTCATTTAAGAGAGATTAATTTAGCCCAGCTGAGGCTGGTGAAGCTGAAATCATGAAAGTTGTTGGTAGGGTTATATATTATGAACAAATGGATTGTGGCAAAACTCTTTTGGAACACACTTTGCAGGCAAAAAGTCAGAGAGCTTTGAGGCTAAGAATGAGGAGCTTATGCTGGAGACGGGAGCAGACAGAAAGCCAGTTATAGGGATGTAAGGAGGCCCACCACATGGTCAGAGCAGCTGAATGAATGAATAAAGTTGGCAGCAAAGTGCTGGCCAGAGGTAAGGGAACCAAGGTCAGACAATATAAAATCAGGACACAAATTAGTATTTAGCTTTGAGCTCCTCAAAAGAAGAGCCATATTTTGTAATGTGGTAAAGCATGAAAAAACATAATTAGCTTTTTAGAATGTTTATGTTTCATTCCAGGGCCACCTTTATCACAGGCAAGTTTGATTAACAGCCGTGACCAGCCAGGAACAACTACAGTGCCCAGCCTTGCACCAGTGGGAGCTAGACTACCTCCTCCACTACCCCAAAACCTACTATATTCAGTATCAGAACGTAAGGAAATAAAGATTTCCACTTCTCTTGTGTTCTACCAGTACTTGTGATGTTGTTTACACTGCACATCTGAAATAGTGGGGTCTCATTTCTTCAATAAGCATCATTTTTTTTAAAAAAAAAAGACAACCATTTTTATTGGTTTTTATCCAGCAGTACATCAAATGGTGGTGGTTCTGTCCATTGACTTTAGGCATAAGCTTACACATTAAATGTTCAAACATATAACTTAATGTAACTTCTCCCCTGAGAAGATTGAGCAGTTGATTTTCGTTAAATAAAGAGGTCCACTTTTCTTGGAAGGTATCTCTTTTTGTTATGCCTTTAATTGCCCTCCTGCGTCTGGTGAGGTGCCCAGACATTGCTGTATCCCAGATATTATTTTCCCATGTGTTCATGGGTATTTCAGCCTGGTTCTTCCATTTTCTTAATCATGCTGCAGTCACTAAGAAGCCTATTAGTTCTCTCTGGTGCAGGGTGGAGCCCGTCTATTTTCCAAAGATAGCAGGGCTAAGGCTGGATTTGGAGAATAAGGTTGGCTTGTAATTGCGGATATAATGAAGAATACTGTGTTCCAAACGTTTTCAATATAGGGGCATTCTCACCAAACATGAATAAATGAACCAAGTTTTCCGCAATCCTTCCAACATAAAGGGGAAAGGGGTGGGATTAATTTTTGCCAGCCTGACTGGTTTCTAATTAGTGTCTAGTTATACTGTGTTGTAAGTCCCTTTGGGTCACCTTAATAATAATATTTTAAAATTGTATCATGACATGCATGTTGCAGGGTTCCTGCCATATTTACATAGCTCAAATTGAACACATGTTTATATATAAATATATTGTACATGTGAATTATGTGCAATTTTTTTATTTCATAAAAATTACACACTGTTTGAATGTAAAAATCTCAATTTTGTTTACACAAGACAAAACCGTAAAATCAAGAAAGTTTTATAACCCTACTTTAAAACAAACAAATGTTAAAAATATTAAAATGTGAAAAAGCACTTCTGCTTGAGCAAATGCATAACATTGCTCACATAAGATTTTTTTAAATGAATCAGAAATCTATATTTTTCTTTCACAAAAGATACGTATGAACCAGATGGCTACAATCCAGAGGCTCCTAGTATTACCAGTACTGGTAGATCTCAGTATCGACAGTTCTTTTCAAGGACACCAATGCAGCGTCCAAATCTTATTGGCCTAACATCTGGTGAGATGGATACAAATCCAAGAGGTGAGATGTTGTTTCCTGAAACCCAAACCCTCAAAGTCTGAATACTTAGCATACTTAGCAAGGGAGCATTACAGACTTTGGCATTCATAGCAAATTAACCCAGTGCTGATGACAGTGCTGTCTTTTTCTGTGTGCAGTGATTTCTTTCCCTCATGCCTTGTACATTAAAGAAAGGGAAAGAAAATACAAATTAATGTACAGTTTGAAGAGTGGCAAGCAAACAATGATCACTAGTATCTTTACAACTAGTGCTGTTCAGTGTGTTGTAGTCTGGAATCAGATCCAGATTCTCCTGCATGAGTTTTTTCATATTTTCACTAAAATGCAGTTTGTGCCTAATAGTAGATATATCTTCCCTGAGACCCCTTCATAAGAAAGTGCTACAATTGTATGTAAAATAAGCCGAAGAAACCCAAATCTCCAGCAGTGGTCCATATTCATGGACACCTGATCTGCTTATGTTAATATCCAATGTACACTTTTCATATGCATACTTAGAGGAAGGTTGGTAGCTTAGTGGTAGAGCACCTGCTCTGTATCCCCAGTTCACTCTCTGGCACTGGACCTTGCTGCCAGTCAGTATAGACAATACTGAGCCAGGTGGACAAATGGTCTGGTTTTGGTGTAAGGCATCTTTCTGTGTTCCTGATTTTTGAATTGTACCCAACTTAATGTGCAGGTGGTACTTGGTCTGAGCATCTTTAAGGGGTAAAGGGGACCCCTGACCATTAGGTCCAGTCGTGACTGACTCTGGGGTTGTAGCGCTCATCTTGCTTTATTGGCCGAGGGAGCCGGCGTACAGCTTCCGGGTCATGTGGCCAGCATGACTAAGTTGCTTCTGGCGAACCAGAGCAGCGCACGGAAACGCCGTTTACCTTGCCACCTATTTATCTACTTGCACTTTGACGTGCTTTCGAACTGCTAGGTTAGCAGGAGCAGAGACCGAGCATCGGGAGCTCACCCTGCCGCGGAGATTCGAACCGCCAACCTTCTGATCAGCAAGTCCTAGGCTCTGTGGTTTAACCCACAGCGCCACCTGAGTCCCTGAGCATCTTTAATTTCGTCCAATTAATTTATGGCATTTTTTGTTCACAGAAACCCTGAACTTGCAGCTTCCTATATATTTCAGCATTGTATATATTTCTTATGAAAGTCTGTGCATGGTAGACAGTATAGGTATGAGCCCGTTGGGAAAATGTTTTGTACATGTTTGCACTTCACCATTTTATAAATACAATTTGCTCCCACTTCATTGCAAGCATACAATCCTTTGCTTTCTTTCCAGGTGCTAACATTATCATCCAGACTGAACCTCCAATTGGCATTGCAAGTAACAGCAGTAATGTATCTAGAGTGGTGCTTGAGCCAGACAACAGGAAGCGGGTTTCAAACACTGTAGAAGGGCCATCTCCAAAGAAACCCTGGATTGGAAAGTAAGAATTTTCTGTGTCTATAGAGAACAGGCAGAATGAAAATGAGCCCCATTCAGTTCATTTGAAAATTATTTGGTTTGAGTTATGAGAATCTTTTATGAGAAATGGTGAATAATTCCTCTTGTGTGTTGCAAAGAATACATTGCAAAGATAATGTTGCAAAGAATAGATTGTGTTTGTTAGTCACTATACAAAAAAGTCTCACTGCAATTTAACAACAGTCAATAATATGGCAAAGGGCTTGGAATTTTACACCTTGTTTTCTGGAATGTCAGTCTTCCCCAACCTGGTGTCCTCCAGATATTATGACTGTAGCTCTCACCAAACGTGCCCATTGTTCATGGTGGTTGAAACTGATAGGTGTTGAAGGGCACCATGCTGAGGAAGGCTTCCAGTGATAAGCTCTTTGACTTCCATGTCCAGATATTGACAACGTAGTTGGGTCATTTTCATTTCATTCCCCAGAGTCAGGACAGGCTGCTGTAAATTTAAAATCTTACTTATTTTATTCCCAAAACAGCATTGTGAGGCAGGTTAGAGGAACATCTGCTTCACCTTTGTCATCTTTGTTAACAGCTTGTTCATCATGTCAGTACAGTGAATGCCACAGCATTTGAAGTCCAAACGCTTGTCGGCAAACCCATGTAACAGTGAGCCTGTATCCTCGTGTGATTAGAAGTCCTCCTTGGTGGTTAGACACAACTCTGTAGATGTAATGGTTTCCTTAAAACATGTGAATTTAGTCTGACAATAAAATGTAGTGTGCCTAAAAGATAGTGATTTGACCAGAACTATCTAATGAGTATGTGTTGGTCAAGGAATTAAGCATATTTCTTTGCATCCCAATGTAACCCTCTGTCATTGTGTGAAATGACTGGAACTTAATATGGATATTAGTTGAAATACCTTAATGAAAAAGGAAGTAAAGTTTCATATAACACGGTCAATGTATAGCATTCATAGTCAAGACAATAGCTATCTGTGACTGTTAGACCTGATGTTAGAGAACTACTTGAAGCAGGGAACACAGTGGTAGATTACTTGGCTTCTGAGCTTCCTGGGGTATCTGACAGGTCTTTTTTAGAGACAGTGCTTGGCTTAGTGGGTATTGGTTCAGCACAGCAAGGTAGCTATTCTGGTTATAGGCAATAAAAGGGAATGGGTGTATTTACATTTAAATGTGATTTTGTTAATGTGAAGAGTCAATCCATCTTTTTTCTCTTCAGACAAACTAATAACCAGAATAAGCCAGGATTCCTGAAGAAGAACCAGTATACAAACACCAAATTGGAAGTTCGTAAAATACCACCAGAGCTAAACAATATTACTCAACTTAATGAACATTTCAGCAAATTTGGAACAATTGTCAACATTCAGGTAAAACCAATAATATGCCGTTTGTGGTTTGTAATACAGCAATGTAAAGAGGGACTGGAAGTTTCTGGGACCAGTCTATATATTCCACTTTGTTCTATGCTGCATTATTCTCTGGTAGAGTAAATAAATCTAACTTAGAGTCTTGCTTGAAGAACCACTTGGCGATGATACAGTCATGGGAAAAAGAAAGCACACCCTCTTTGAATTCTGTGGTTTTACATATGAAGACCTAATAACAGTCATCTATTTCTTAGCAGGTCTTAAAATTAGGTAAATACAACCTCAGAACAACAACACATGACATATTACACTGTGTCATGATTTATTTAACAGAAATAAAGCCAAAATGGAAAAGTCATGTGTGAAAAACTAAGTACACCTTACAATTCAATAGCTTGTAGAACCATATTTAATAATAATAATAATAATAATAATAATAATAATAATAATAATATTTATACCCCACCCATTTGGATGGGTTTCCCCAGCCATTCTGGGCGGCTTGTAAAACATCAGACATTAAAAATTTCCTGATACAGGGCTGTCTTCAGATGCCTTCTAAAAGTCAGATAGTTATTTAGTATTTCCTTGACATCCGATGGGAGGGTGTTCCTACCCAGAAGGCCTTCTGCCTGGTTCCCTGTAACCTCACTTCTCAGTGAAGTGAAGGAACCGCCAGAAGGCCCTCAGAGCTAGACCTCAGTGTCCGGGCTGAACAATGGGGTAGAGACACTCCTTCAGGTATACTGGACCGAAACCATTCAGGGCTTTACATGTCAGCACCAACACTTTGAATTGTGCTCAGAAACATACTGAGAGCCAATGTAGGCCCTTCAGGACTGGTGTTATATGGTCTTGGTGGTGACTTCCAGTCACCAGTCTAGCTGCCGCATTCTGGATTAGTTGTTGTTTCCAAATCACCTTCAAAGGTAGTCCCACGTAGAGCGCATTGTGGTAGTCCAAGCGAGAGATAACTAGAGCATGCACCACTCTGGCAAGACAGTCTGCGGCAGATAGGGTCTCAGCCTGTGTACGAGATGGAGCTGGTAGACAGCTGCCCTGGACACAGAATTGACCTGCGCCTCCATGGACAGCTGTGAGTCCAAAATGGTTTGATTGGCAACTTCCATAGAAGGGACTCAGATACATACTATATATACACAGTTCACTATCCATCTCTTTTTGGATTAGGGAGTAAAACCTTTTAAACTGAAGCATTATACCGTGGGTGCTTTTTAGAATGTAGTATTGTTATATAATGTTGCCTCATGTTTTCTTAGGTTGCCTTCAAGAGTGATCCTGAAGCTGCTCTAATTCAGTACTTAACAAATGATGAAGCGAGAAAAGCTATTTCTAGCACAGAGGCAGTGTTGAACAATCGGTTTATACGAGTGCTATGGCACCGAGAAAACAATGAGCAGCAGCCATTGCCACTATCCCAGCAGCAGCAGCAGGCGCCACCACCTCTTCATCACCCGCTTCACCTGCAGCAACAAATGCTGCCACAGCCTCCAGCTGTAACAATGCACAGCAGTATGGCAAAGGTATAGTGCCATTGTATAAACCTGATCACTTTTCTTTTTCCTTAGCTCTTTAGAGAACTGTGGGTATGTTTTCAAAATTAAAAAGCTCATTTTTCAATGTTATATGCACAATGCAGGTAACAAAGCCACTGACATCAGGTGCTTACGTCATCAATAAGGCCCCAGTTAAACATCGTCTTGGAGCACCTGGTGGAAATCAGCCAGACGCTCAACATTTATTGCTTAACCAGTCTAGTGCTTCTTCAGAAGATGCTCAGGTAAAGGAGAGTGTGTATTATGAATCATAAATTCATACATCTTTTCTTTAACATGGTTAGGATGTTAAGGTTTGCCTGGTTCTGTCAAGGGTGTTCACCTTGCTATATTGAACTTAATCATGATTCAGCATCCAACAGGAAAATGAATAAACTGTGTCCTTTGCAACCCAATGCACCACCACTGTATGCCCACCACCCTACTATCAGTGGATATGGCTAGGCCAGATGATGTGCCTTAGTGAAATCTGCCTCACAGGTTTCAAGCTCACCAACCCTCTCTCCCAGAACTAAGAATCACGGGGTGGTATTTAACTAAATAATGTAATTGCATGAGCACAGCAATTTTTGTTTGCTCAACAGAACTCCTCCCCCCCCCCCCCCCGTTTGTGCTTCTTGCGTCATCATCAAATCTGTTAAAGAGGGTTGGGGGGAAATCCAGAGCAGATAGGGGTCATGTTTGAAACAATCATAACTGTCTTCCTCCAGCTACTTCTTTAGATAAATCTCCAGCTATTGAGCAGGGTTTTCTGTCTAGTCCAAGATTTAATGCTGTGTCCAACAGAGCCCAAATTGTACCATTTCCTGCTAGGGCCAACACATTAAGAAGTCTTACTACAGCTTTCAGAGAAGCCCTCAAATCCACTAGTCCACTCTTTCTGCAGAGTCACTAATGATATTGGGGGGGGGGGTATCCCATGCCATCCCCCACCTAAAAAAAGGACTAGAAACTTCTCACCCTTAAAAGGTCTGCTGTGTCAAGGCAAGTGTTTTGTGGGCTGCAGAGTGGCCGCAGGTTGATCAAGAAAATCAGATTCACAGAGATAATCTGGCTCAGTGCTAACTCAAGAAACAGCCCCAATTTTTTCACCCGCATTAAAAGATTTCAGCTTTCATGCCTTAAAGACATGATGGGTTTGGGAGGCCTTCCAGGTGACAACAGAGTTAGAAAAAAAGGCAGGAGAGAAGAGTGAAAGCTCAGTTCAGTAGTTGTAGACTGATCTGTAACATCTGAAGAAACAGAATAGTGAAGGCATAATCATATCGGCAAAATTGAGAAAATTCTCGACTATTGCCAGTAAAATTTTAAAGTACATTTTCTTTAAACTATAGTAAGTATTTTATAAAATGAAACTCTAATTCTTGTTAACTCTACCTATTTAATATGTAATCAATACAATTAAGGAGCAGATACTTCAATTAAGAGAGTTGGGGGAAATTCCCATTCAAAAGATCTTACATATCCCCTTTCTCTTTAGAGTGATGTTGTGTGTAGTCTTCCCCTTCATAATGATAGGGTTAGTTTTGAAATTTATATCTGCCAGGTTAGTTCCAGATCTTTGAAAGCCTAAGGACAAAATTCTCCTACTATCTTTCAGTCTGTTTGTTATTGGTAAGAGTCTTTACTTCATCATCACACAGTCCTTAAAATATCACAGAGAGATAGCTTATAGTTTGGTTTCATCTATGAACAGATGGTTTCTAAGCAGCATAAGTAAGTTGCTTGCACAAAGCTTCCATCTTGCCACAGCACATGTCATCATAAAATATATTGCTGCTTTCAGATGTTTCCCACTTCAATTGGCCATTCAAAGATGGTTTACAGTTCCTCCAATCTGAAGACATCTATAAAGCCTGGTACAGGAAATAAATCTCATGATGTCCAAGAAGTTTTTAAAAAGAAACAGGTAACTGTTTGCATATTATTTCAATATATTTCATAGCCATGAGTTTTTAAAATGGGGTTCATTGTGTGACATGTTAGTCCTACCCCTAGTTCGGATTGGAATTCAGGAGATGGGAAATTCCTTTTCCCTGATAGGTTTTGCCTTGACAATTCAGACCTGAGTGTGACGAGCCTTGGCTTTTGAAATGTAATTCAATATTTTTGTGTTAAAGGGATACTCATTTTTGAGCTAATAGCCAAACTTTTGCTTGGCAAGGGGTGGGGGGGTCTTCAGCGAACCTTGAATTGTTACATGTTGGTTGGTTTATCCGAACTCTACAGCAGCTATCCATCATTTTTGCATGCACAGCAATACTTTCATTGCTTTTTTATCTTCTCCAATCCCACATGAGATTACACATTTTACAAGCACAAAACAGGCTTTCAGCCTTCCGCAAGTCAAAAGCATCATGTAATTCAGCATCGAATAGCTGCAGTTGGGGTGCTGTGTGAGAGAATAGAAACTCTAGGCATAGTGATAGGACTAATAGTCTGAATCTGTAACATAATCTGAATTTTGACCAAAGACATTTATTTGATATTGCTTATTGCAACAGCTTTCCAGGAGCCATGAATGCAGTCAGGATCTGTCCACTCTGCTAACTCCCAACAGCACAACTTGCATCTGTAACTGAAGATAACTATGTTCTCTTGTAAACTCTAATACTGCAGTTGGTGGGATCATGTTTACATTTAAATTGTTCATGATATTGCCTAAAATTGTGGTTTAAATCCGTTTTTTTCTAGCCGTTGTTATTAGGATGTGCTCACTAAAAGCATTTTATTCTTGATTAGGAGGCAATGAAGCTGCAACAAGACATGAGGAAGAAAAAGCAAGAAATGTTAGAGAAACAAATAGAATGTCAGAAGGTATGCTTGGCTTTTTTTCCATTTAACTTCGCCATTAACTTTGGTTGTGTCTAATTTTAATTGTTAGTAGCAGAGTATCCCCTAGTAAGCATTTTAAGGGTGCATAATTTTCTATCTAGTGTGGAGGCTGAAGTATTTTCAATCTTGCATCACCTCTGTATTTTAACTTTCATAGATGTTAATATCAAAATTGGAAAAGAATAAGGCCACAAAACCAGAGGAAAGAGCAGATATAATGAAGACACTGAAAGAGCTAACAGGAAAAATCTCTCAGTTGAAAGATGAGTTAAAAACTTCATCTGCCAGTTCTACAGCATCAAAACAGAAGTCAAAAACAGAGGTAGGTCCTCTTCACACACAGCTTTTTTCATTTCAGAAGCTACTACAGTGGTACCTCAGGTTAAGAACTTAATTCGTTCTGGAGGTCCGTTCTTAACCTGAAACTGTTCTTAACCTGAAGCACCACTTTAGCTAATGGGGCCTCCTGCTGCCGCTGCACCGCCGCTGCACGATTTCTGTTCTCATTCTGAAGCAAAGTTCTTAACCCGAGGTACTATTTCTGGGTTAGCGGAGTCTGTAACCCAAAGCGTATGTAACCTGAAGCGTATGTAACCCAATGTACCACTGTACTAATTTGTACCTCCGGGAAACTTATCTCCCTATATTAAAGCCAGCATGAGGGTCTTTGTTAAGCATTGATCATACAACCTTTTCATGCATTATCCTCATAAAGAGACATCCAGGTGTTGAAGGGGCAGCTGGCTGCGTCTGTGCCTTGACAGGTTTCTGGTCATGCTCCCTTATGTGTTGAGAAGGCCTCCACCAGCATACAATCATGAACCATGCATGTCCCACCTACAGCCCCTTCAAAATATGGAACCCCTTCCATGCAATATATCACTTCTATCTTTTCTATATTTTGTGCTTGGATATTCATTATAAGAGAACTACACAGATATGTGAAATTATACCACTTCTATTAATCGTCACAGGGAACCACAATAGATTATTTCAGTCACCTCCTTCTGGTCTGGTTTCTCATCCCTGACTCCTATTAAAGCTGTAAGATGACCCCAGAAACTTAGTGTATAATGAAATTTGCCTGCCTCTCGCACACAGATACTCTACCCAACACTCTTCCCTTCCCCTCACTCAGAGAAGAGGATCCATAACGAATAAAAACAAAGAATGCCCACACTTCCCCTAAAGGGATGTTCACCTTAAATGTTGTCCCGTTGCCCACAGTGCTTTTATATCTGAGCAAAGGCCAGCAAGAGCCTCCCCCCCCACACACACACACACAAAGGAAGTTCCCAGAGCTGGCTTAGTTGTTGCTGGTCAGGAAATTGGGATTTAATGACACATCGATGCTAATCAATGTATCTGCAATACGCTTTTGGGCAGCATCCCATGAAGTTATTGCTCTGCGAAAGCATGCTGTGTTCATCGTTGAGATGAACAATGGAAGTACCTCATGACCAAGAATGTGCATTTTTGGTGCATTTAACTTGCACCTCCTTTCCATTTTCATAGCAAGTGGCAAGCTGTATTGATTAACTTGTTGAACTTATTAATTCTGAAGCTGTTAACATAAAAGGCCTGAGTCAGCCAGCCCATGGGAAAATGTTGATATTTATTCTTAAATATCAGGAACAATGTAAACACAGTGAAATTGAAATTTTACAAATCTGTTCAGTTTTGTTTCTAAAACTTTGCTTTTTTATTCTGCTATCAACTTCTCAAACCTGTTTCTGCAGCCATAAGTGTTCAGGATCTGCAGATTTCTAATGAGAGCCTGCAGTTTGCCCAATCACCTCTAGGGGTCACATGCTACTCACAGCTAGTGTCAGTGCTGGGTAGTAAGAGTTTTATAACTGTCAAAGCCTACCTTAGTATATTTTATTTATCACATTTTATATCCCTCGCTTGTAGTTCCAAAAAGATGCCCAAGGGAACTTGCAAGTATTTGTTTTTACCCAGAAGGCTCTAAGCCCTTAAATAGTGGGTGAGAAGAATTAAAACCAAAGAGGTAGCATCTTAACACACCTTGGTATGGAGATAAACGGAATAAAACAAACAAACTTACTTTTTGCTCTCCCCACCCCATCCCCAATTCCATTTTAAAGGCACAGAAGGAACTTTTGGATGCAGAGCTAGACTTTCATAAAAGGCTGTCTTCCGGGGAAGATACAACAGAATTAAGGAAAAAGCTCACCCAGTTACAGGTGGAGGTAAGTTTTCAAAATTATATACTATCTTAATTGTGCTGTATATTATACATGAAACCTGTTACAGTGTTCATGGAAGATAAAGTCTATTTCTTTTGTCTGTAGGCTGCCCGTTTAGGTATCTTGCCCGCTGGTCGTGGAAAATCGATGCCTTCTCAAAGCAGAGGACGAGGACGAGGTCGGGGAGGGAGAGGGAGAGGTACAGTGAATCATATGGTGGTAGACCACCGTCCCAAAGCAATAACCATTGGTGGCTTTGTGGAAGAGGAGAAAGATGAGTTACTGCAGCACTTTGCGGTAAGTCAGCAATTTGTAACTAAAATTAGATTAAATTGTTCTGGTACTGTATTCTAGAATAGTATAAAGGTATGATTGCCCTAAAACATGGGCAAACTAAGGCCCGGGGGCCGGATCTGGCCCAGTCGCCTTCTAAATCTGGCCTGTGGACGGTCTGGGAATCAGCGTGTTGTTACATGAGTAGAATGTGTGCTTTTATTTAAAATGCATCTCTGGGTTATTTGTGGGGCATAGGAATTTGTTCATTTCCCCCCAAAAAATATAGTCCGGCCCCCCACAAGGTCTGAGGGACAGTGGACCGGCCCCCTGCTGAAAAAGTTTGCTGATCCCTTCCCTAAAACGTAGCTTCCTTCATTTTGAGTATAGCGTTAGTTGCTTTTGTGGTTAATCTTGTCTGCTTCCTAGCTGAAATTAGAAATGGAATGGCATCACATATCCACCTGCATTTAGCTTACTTCTGAAGGAAATCAACCCTCTCAAGGAATATCTAGCTGTAACTTTCACTTCCACCTCCTCCTCCTAAGATTCCTGATCTTTGGGAAGCTACTTATGCAAACAAGTCACGACATGGTCCAAGGGATGTTTTTAATACCTTTTAGTGGAACTGTCATGGGTCTAAAGCTGCTTTGGATGACCTTTATATATTAGTCAACCTTTGAGTCACTTGAGGTTAACTTATTTTTTACTCCTGAAGCAAACTAGGCCAGCCAGTTTTCATGTGAGAGCCCAATACCATTGAACTGCCACAATTTTAACCCTTTCTTTACATATAAACAGGTAAGCGTTTTTGAAGATCTACAGACAATAAGCAGAAACACTGGTCTCTGCTTCTTTTTCTTCTGTTTCACTCTGGGTATCCAATACACCATTGTCTTCTTGTCTGTAAACATAATGTAGGTGGAGCATAAGCCTTTTTGATGGCAAGAATATGGGCGATATCCATTTAGCACTGTTGGAGCAGCAGGAAGCATATATGCTTAGAAGAAGAGGGAGAGCAATTTCTGCCTCCCCTGGAAATTTGTTCTGTCACTAATAAAATACACACACACACATACACAAATATACCTGAGCTCATATTCCCACTTTTTGTATTCTGCCTCTCCTCCCAAGTATGTGTGATCTTCACATATGAAGTAGACTGAGGCTAAGAGATTAAATGGTCCAAGGAGCAGGAATTTGAACCTGCAAACTCCCAGATCCTACTCCATCACTATAACTACTATATTGCACTGGCTTTCAATAAGTTAGGGTTCATTAACATGCAGCCCTAGACGAGCATGCATAGATCTTATTCATAGTATGTGTTTTACAGAAATTTGGAGATATTGAAGGCCTTCAAGAGGAGGATTCTCCTTTAAGTGTTGTTCTAACATTTAAATCCCGTTCTGAAGCTGAAAATGTAAGTAATTATAAGCTAACATTACTGTACTCCTCTAAGATACACTAAAATATCTGCTTGAATGGAAAGTGGTTCATTAATATATTTTGGAGGGTGCTACTTTTATAAAGGCATTGAATATTTGATCACTGGTTTATAATTCAGCCAATGAATAAGCTTGTTTAAATTATGATTCAGAGAAATGCTTGTAGTAGAGAGTATAAACTCTGATTATTAGGGCTGTGCAACCAATTTAGCCAAACCCTGAACAAAATCTGGTTGAGGCAACTCTAAATCAAGGCAAATCAATTCAGAGCTCAAAACAGGGAGACAGACAGAGCCCATTTGTATGAGGCAGGAGGGGAGCTAGACTTCTCTCATTGACCACTATAACTTTGAAGCCAGGGATTAAAAAAAAAAAAAGCTTTGTGTCTTAGTTTTGCAGTTAGTTACAACACTGGTAGCACTGCACTTTGGATTCAGGGTCCAAACCAGGTCAGAGCAGGTCCAGGTCACCAAATCTAACCCCACATTAAATCAGGAGTCCTTGTATAGGCATGATTATTATACTGTATAGTGGAAAGACTTCTTGGAAGTGCACATGGTGATCCTTCTGCTATAACAGGAGATAGCCTCTGCTTCTTAGCACATAATTTGTATTATTGTCTTCTCTTCCCATCCCTCCCACCCCCCAAAAAAATTCCTACTCTAGGCAGCTAACCAAGGATTAAAGTTCAAAGACCGAAGACTACAGATATCATGGCATAAACCCAAGGTACCCTCTGTGTCCACAGAAACGGAGGAGGAGGAACCCAAGGAAGAGGTACTGGAATTATCCAAGCCTCTCTCAAACACTATTTTTTGTTTGCTTCTTACTGTTTTGAGCTCATTATAGGAACTGTTCTGGAAGGGCATTTCTGAATGCTTAAGATATTTTAGGAGAACCTTAAGGTTGTTTGCATTCTCACCATTTTGTGACTAAATCCTCCTGTTCTTTAATTTGGTTCATAACTCATAACAGCATGAATCAGATGGTGGACAGTTGGTTGTTTTTATTTCTTTAGCAATTTATACACCACCTTTCTGGACCAAGTCCACCCAAGGTGCCAAGCAAACTACAAGCATAAAACACAAAAATATAGTAGATTAATTTGATATTTATACCTTGCTTTTTCTGTTAAAATAATACTCAAAGCTGTATTACTTTATAGTTTATTATGATGATATATAATCGAAAAATAGAGTATAATTTAGCAAATACAAAAGTCATTTCCAGAGCCACAAAAACAATTGCATGACAAATAAGACACATAAAGGCTATTTGAAATGTGTTTTTTTAAGCTGAAGTGGCCAGCACATCCCTTGAGAAGGCGTTTCATAAGGTAGGGGCCGCTGCTGAGAAAGCCCTGTCCATTATGCTCTCTAATCACTTCAGAGCACTCAGATTCAGTTGTCACATTTCACCACCCAGCTCCATTTTTACTATGTTTTCTCTGCATGTTTAACCCTGGCATGTAGCGTATTTAGAGGAATATCCAAGGGAAAATTTTGCCCACATTCTTCAAGTCAAGTAGAATCACTGATATGGACCAAAAGGTTGCAACTGACTGTTGTGGTATTGTACATTAAAAAATATAAGCATATTATATTTTGTCTTTATTCAGGAGACAGAAGCTTCAGATTTATTTTTGCCTGAAGATGATGATGACGAAGACGAAGACGAAGATGAATCTCGTTCCTGGAGAAGATGAAACTTGAAATGGAATCAATAGTTTTAGAATTGTTGAACTAAAACTTTTAAAAAAATATTTAAAGGAAGTCAATGAGCCAAAAATTGTTTTCGTTTTTTGTTTTTATTTTCATACACACAAGAAAGCAAGTGTGAGTTTGAGATATTAAACTTAACAAATAAGTAGCCACGATCAGCCAAAGGCCAAGTGTTGCAAAGGTGGTTGTGATCCTCTGAAGATGGAATGTATCAATCTTTCAAGCCCAACTTGTGTTTATTTTGTTTTTAAAATGTGGAACTTTTTCAAGCTATCAATGGCTTTATAGGCTTTATTTAGTAACGTAGAGTGTGAGATGAGAGCTTTCTGTGAAGTTCATTTATACGTCAACATTTCCTGGAATTTGGTAATTCAAAAGTCCCTTAGTTAGGTGGCAGACAAGTTATCCAGTTTGAGTAAGTTTCACTCCTGTCTAGAATTGCTCCGAATCTTACTGTGGATTATACCATTCAGCTATCTAGCAGAATTACAGGGCAAAGCTGCCAATCTCCACATTCAAACAAGTCCACATCAATTACAGCTGCTCTTGTCTAATATGGCAGTTCTTCTCAATCTAATCTTCAGACACAGCCCAGCCTTACTACTTTTTGGGTGCAGCTTACCACTGCTCTGTGAATTCCACATTTACTTTCATGGAGCATCCATGGACCTCCTGCATGAATCCTATTAAAATGAACAGAGCAGTTAGTGCTTGATGAATAGCTGGTATAAGTAAATACATCTAAGTGCTTTTAAAAGTGTCCAGCCATTTGAGTTCATTTTTTGTCCTTTGTAGCTAAATAAGCTGCTGCTTTTTTTTTTAACCTTTTTAGGTCAAGCCTCCACAGTATTCAAAGCAACTTGTTCTTTTTTTAACACAGAAAGCCCTAGGTCTTTTTTAGAAAAATCATTAAAACGATATGAGACCATCACTTCTAATAATATTGTGCTTAACTCTAAAGAGAGCAACTTTGGTAAAAGAAATGTTGAAAAGAGACTGATTAACTTAGATGCTTTTTATTTCCATGCTTTTTGGTTATGCTTCCACACCACTTTTTTTATAGCGCCTAACAGTAGCTGGGGTAGATTGCGGTAGAAACCGTATTAAACTATTTTGGCTTTCCAGGGCAATAGATCTTCATACTCAACTCATGTGTCACTTGCTTCTGTTAAGCCTAAGCACATTGTCTTGTAGATTCCCCCCTCCCCCCACTCTTGGTGCCTCTGTACTATGCCAGTACACAGTAGGGCCATTTTATATAGGAAAGTATGTTACGCCACAGCGTTCTGAATGTTAGAGTCAAAGAAGCAGAGCAAACAGTACTGTTCTCAACTCCTGTGGTACTGGAACACTAATGCAAGCAAGTAAAAAAAAACAACTATTATTTTTGAAGTTTTCTATTAAAATGTATTTCTGCAAATGGTACTTTACCCTCTCTTAAGTATCAGAAGTACTACATTAGATCTCAGCTAGCTACATAAAGTCAAGCACTCTGTTCTTCCTATTCTTTTGGGTACTGTTGTGTGTGTTGTGGTATGTAAAGTCCAAAGTAGTATCAATTTAAATTCCAAGTCATACTTGGAGAGGAGTGTAATTTGTCAGCAGTTTTTTGCCCTTTACACAAAGACCTTTGTTTTCTAGATTATTGCTACATTCCGACTAATGTTTAATCTCAGTGAATTACGTTAGAAGAAGAAAGCACGAATATTGCACACCGTAACAGGCAAAGCCTTGCTCTTCCCCCCATTGCCTGCAATGTCTTTGGAATGCCTGTGACTCAGTATGTGGCCATCACATATACTGACCCATTGCAGCAAAATGCTTGAATCTGAACAGTTTAATCAAATGATAGAGGGAACAAAGGATTTATATATGTGTATATATATATTGTACAGGGTTTTCTTAAAACTGTATAATTGTGTAAATATTTTGCTTTTTTTGTGTACTAAAACTACCAGCATCTAGATTTCCATAAGAATTCTTGTATTTTTGTATCCGGAAGATTACAGTGAGTGAATGCAGCTGTAAGAGAAATTTCAATAGCCTTTGGCACAGGTAGACCGGATAGGATTCCTTTTCATATGGTTTTAAAATAACATTTTGTTAGCACACTGTTCGGAACAGGATGGATGTCCTTGCTCAGAGTGTTGGCTTTTTTTTCATGGGGAGCGAGAAAGATTAGGGGCCATGGGGAAAATATTTATTTAATGGGGATTTTTTTCCCCTTCTCTTTTCTTTTAAAATATTTGTTGGCTTACATAAATCCTCTGGTGACATCTTAAATGTGATTTCTCAGGCCAGAAGCACAAAAATGAGTTGTGCCCCTGAACCCATGTATTGAAAGCATACTATTACGTTACTGAGAATGTAAGTGATGGGCAGCATAGTAGTAACTCACTTAATACAAAGGAGAAAGGAAAACTAGTTCAAAGTGACCTTCATTTTGACATAGCTATGGATCTCCCTGTGTTGTGTATTAGAACTTAGTAGGATACCATTTGTGTTTCTAGGTAGGTAACTTCTGGTAACACTTCATTTTTTACTGCTGTGGAATTGTCACTTCTGCATTCATAAGCTATGATGGAGAGCATAATATAATACCTACTAAGTGACTTGAGAATGGTAAATCAATCTGAAATAAAAGGCTACTACACAAGGAGTACCACTTCACTGACCACTTAGTGTGTAATCCCATTGCAATCCAGACGAATGCCACAATGTAAATGGTCAGTGAATCACCCCCTCAACCTCTACAGATATTAATGCTTCTACTATATAAGCTGTCAATTAAACTGTGGTATAAAAATTTTGGTTGGTTTGTTTTAAATCCTTGAGCATAAAAAAGCCTAGCATCTGAAAACTGATTTGAAAAATATATGCCCACATACAGTGGAGATGCTTCAACAGTTTTTAACAAAATCATGTGAAAAGGAATGGTAAATTCCTCTCAATGTATAGTAAACTTGTATTATAGTTTTTACAAGATTGTGAACTTGTGTAATAGTATATTAGGAGATATTGTTGGATTTCTAACTGTTTATACATTTAAATTCATACATGTAATGTTTGTTTTATTGATTACACTCTGAATTTCTAAGATGCATGTTGACTTTTTTGCAATAAAGAAATAATATGGAATGGCGTAAAACTACAAACGAAAAAGGCATAAAACAGATTGAATTGAAATTTGGAAAAATAGCCATTCCCAAAAAATTATAATCAGAAAAAGAGCTGTATTGCTTCATTTCTTCCGAGGTATACTCGCGTGAGTGCTTGGTGCAGAGTGTGTGTTAATAAATACATTCGTATACATATACATATTCATATGCATAGACATAAGCAGTTGGAGAGAAGGTGCAGTTTTGTGGTAAAACGTTGGGTATCTTTATTGAAGTAATACAGGTTGGTTAAGCCTGTGACAGATGTGAATGCTTGCCTCAGAATTTTGCTATTTCCTCTCAGGAAGGGCAGTTTGAGATAAGCAGCAGCTTTGTGACAGAACCTTCAGGAAAATTCTTGGACAACTTAACTGCCCTGCCCCAACTTAACTATTCTGAACTGGAAAATTTTTTATTTTACCTCACCTTTCCAATGAATTTGTTTTGTTTGGGAGGCAGCTTACAAATAATAATAATAATATAAAATTAATACAGTCGTAAAGCTCACTTTTTATTACAGGGATAAAACCAATAGTGTGCTTTTTAATCATGTTTGCCTCCTACTTAACTAATAAAACTGGTGGTGGTGTTCTCTTGATGACGATTGTATAGAGGGAGGGATAGTAAGATACCAAGTATTAGGACAATAGTAACTGAAGGATATCGTCCACTATTCTGAAATTCACGTCACGGCAAAAGCAAGAAAACATCAGTAATTTATGAAAACAGATTTGCCTGTATATCTTTGAACTCAAGGTAAGGTACATTTTCTAGACAATTCTGCATCTAGGCAACCTAGATCTGCTAGGTTGAGTAATATTTGCTTCCTCTGTTTTTAGGCCACACCTTTTAAGAGCTAAGACACGGAAGAACAGTAATTCCTAAATTAGGCTGGCCCATGCTAGTGCACTATCAGGGAGCCATTGTTAGGCTGTGAGAAATTAAATTCTCCGAGGTTGCCCACTGTGCTTGTGAATGATTTACCATTCTGGTCTTGAAGCAGCTCGTGAACTTTTGTGATAATATGTTTTATTTTGCTCTAAAAATTCACCTTTACATGTATAAAGATCCCCTCCCCCCACAATTTTATTTCTGAAAAACTGCCCTGGCAGTTGGGAACACTTTTAGAAGTTCGATGCAGCCTAGATCTTTCTGTGTAGAAGATTAATGAGAAATATGTACATGTTAAATTTGCTCTAATCCACCACCGCAAATGGCCTTTATTTCTAATCTTCAGTACTTTGATACCTGCATAACAGTGGTAAAGAATTCCTTAATTTTTTGTTACTGAGAGCAGAAAGACTTTAACTACATCACTGAATCTGTAATCTGAGGGCATGATGTGTCTTCATGCTCTCTATAAAACTGAGGGAAATTCTGAAAGGCTTTTACAAACCCCAACGTGGCATGGAATCATTGAATTGTAGAGTTGGAAGAGACCCTGAGGGTCATCTAGCCTAACCTGCAATGCAGGAATCTCAGCCAGATCATACATGACAGATGACCATCCAACCTCTGCTTTAAAAGCCTTCAAGGCTTGCTTGTAGTCAGGCCACCTCTAGATGGGCCATGGGTGCTATCTGGGTCCTACCTCATCCCTGCTTTGAGCAGCAAAAGATCTCTGGTCAGCATTGTGTGTCTGTTGGCTCTCAGGCCTTGTCTGTACAAAAGCTTGCCATCCTCACGAGCAAGACCCAAAAGTATTGGAAGAAGCAATACATGAGAAAATAAAGTACAAAAATGGTGAATGGTTTTATGTGATGGCCATGCTCTTTCTCCCATGTGGATCGTGGGGGTAATGATCTTCCATACCGGGTTATTATAAAGATAACTAAGATAATGATGTGAACCTCTCTGAGTGAGCACTTGGAAAAAGCTATCCATTCCTACCTGTATCCCACCTCCCCTGAAAGGAGGTGCGCCCTAGCTATGGTACAGTGTTACTTCTAGCAGGCTGCATTATTTATGTCTGTCAGAGTTAACTTCATCCATCTTCATCTGCAAGCTGAATCTGAGCTCAGATCCCCTGGGAGGAGGGCAACGCACAAAACAAATCCCATTTATTGGAGACTCTACAGAACAGTCTTTATGTTAATCTGCAGATAAACATATTTAAAAGCAATATCTGTTGTGACCCTAGCTATGTCCGCCCAAGAAATGTGATGCACTTCATAATATTTTTGGCCGTTTTATTTTGTTTTCAATATAAACTGAAATGCGCCTTTGCAGCAGCAAGGCAGATTATGATGATCTTTCAGTTTTTTAGACATTGCTCATACTGGTTTGCATTATTTTCTTTCAGCTAGCCATTTAGACGTACTGTAAAATAAACATTCATAAATTTCTTTCAGTTATTGAGGATTTCAATTTTATATCTTTGTAGCAGTGTTTTGATAGAAAAGGCTGATGTTGCATGTTGAGCTGGGCTGCCTTGACACAGTGTTCAGAACACAGGATCCTCCCGCCAACAATACTCCATGCTTTCAGCATCGATAGGCAAGTGCCTCAATCTTTTCTTTTTTCTTTTTTGTGTAATTTTGGGGAACTACTAGATCAATGTCACGGCCAGGTTGCTTAGCAAGAGCCTTGTGTATTGTGGGCACGTTTGCATAAAGATTAAAAAGGAGCATTTATGATACAACCGCACCTAGGCCATACTGGAATCCCAACATATTATGAAATACGTAGCTTTTGAAGGTTCAGAATGCTGCATAAAGAGGCTTATGTCACTTTAACAGTCACAGATGCCCTCAAAGGATCCTGGGAACTGTAGTTTATCCCCCCCACAGAGCTTTGCTTCCCAGTACTCTTAACAAACTACACTTCCCAGGATTCTTTGGGGGAAGCCACGACTGTTAAAAGTAGTGTAGGAGTGAATTAAAAGTATGGTGTGGACGTTACTTAAGTTGTGCAATTGGCCACAATTATTTGAAAGCTCTCATCAGCATGGCACTTCTCAAGACAGACAGTGTATTCTAGGGATGTGCATCGGCTCTTTGTGTACAGTATTCCAAATAACCAGGTAAATTGGGATGATTCAAGGCAGACTCTCACATTCCCAAATTGGATTGCATTGTTAACAAGGCACATCAGGGTGAATCAGGGAATCCTCAACTCTGGAGTAGCTCTGTTGCTTCAGCATTTCCAAAATGTCAAGCACATGACCGCCCCCATCCCTCTTTTCTTTTCTGAGAAATTAGTCAGGAGACGTGGGGTGAAAGAATTGGGGCAGGGTCTTTTGTTTCGATGGACAGGTCCAGTTTTTAATCACAGTGATTAAAAGTGGGTGGGGGTTGTTGGTGTTGTTGACGTTAATTTTTTGTATCTTTATTTTGAATCTCATGATTCATCGTTCAAATTGGTTGTGCATTTTTTGATGTTTCAATGATTGTTTATGACTACTTTAGTTATGGTTGTAGTTATGTAATTTTTTTACATGTTGCAAGCCGCCTCGAGCATAGTTTTAACTTTAAAAAGGCAGCAAACAAATGCAATGATTGATTGATTGATTGATTGATTGATTGAATAATCTTCCCAGTGCACTCCAACCACAGTGATTTGAAGGAAAGATGTCAAAGTGAATAAACTAAGTTGCTCTTCACATGGGTCATTTTTGTCCTTTCAGTTTTGGCTGTGAAAACGGGGTAAGCTACAGAATTAGACTAGGTGGATTGCGTCTTTCCCAGTTGTTTTTTTCCTAGCAAGATAAAGCAATAGCTCATTTTCTCACCCACCCACCCTCAGGTGACCACTCAGTAGGGAATGTCTAGGTGATGTTGGGCTACAACTCCAATAATCCCTGACCATTGGTCATGCTGGCTGGGATGAAAGAAAAGTGGAGCCCAACAACACCTCTGGAGGGCCGCAAGTTCTTTCCCCGCCCTGGTCTACAATTACTTAACTTAACTGCAGCACTGGCAGCTTGTAGTGAGTGAACCACCTTCCAGAGAAGTTTGCCTGCCATGACCTTAGCTGCTCACTGAATATCTCCCGATAAACTTTATCAAGGCTTCTCCAGAGCACAGTCTGAAAATGGCTATGATCATCTTGGTGCTTAACTCTGCTCATCTTGTTTTGAACATGCAATATAGTACACATGAGGTTATTGTACTGAAGAACCTTTTTTAAGTAATTATAATTTGGTATTCTGTGCATCTTTATGCTGATAACTTTAAAGCACTCATGGTCTCTGTGATTTATTTAAATGCTAATAAATTATACATTTATGGCACTTTAGTAATTCATGTGAAAATTATTTGGAGTCGAGCCACTATAATGTACTCCTGGTATGGTCTCCTGTGGCCAAAAATATGTCAAACAACAGTTCCATCCACTTTCTGGATTCACATTTTAGAGTGACTTTGGGTTATTCACAGGTCAGGGAAAGATAAGGAACAGTTTTTGAAGAGAGCAGGCCTTGAACATTTGAAATCCATTTCATAAGCAGTGAGGGTTATACTCTGTGCCAATGCTACTCTTCTTGTGCTCAAAGTACACCTTTTGTTTGAAAGGCTTTCCCGAATTCTTTCCTTCATTACTTAGTCATAGGCTGTATATGTATGTATGTATGTTTGTTTGTTTGTCTGTCTATCTGCTGTGCTTGAATCCCATGCTTCTTCCAAAGAGCTCACTGTGGTTGCATTCGCATGGCAGTTTATTCGAAATGATTTAGTATTTAGGTTATAGCCATGTTTTAAAGATGCTGCCTTTTATTAGACCATCATAGCTTTGGGGTTTCACAGAACTTTCCAGCTTTCAAAATGTTTGTTGTGAAGAAAAGTATATCTTTGTGGAGGGTGTGTGGGTGTGAGAGAGACAGGACACATACAGAAAATGATGTACGTATTTAAATAAGACATTTTGCAGTCCTATATTATATATTATTTAAATCTTACACCCGCACTCCCTCCATATACATATTCATTTATTTTAAGGGTGATAATAAGAAATTGTGGGTGAGGACTAGATTCTGTGACTTATCATTAGAAAATGATTCAACAGGCAGATTTGAAGCTCAGCAATCTAAGAGAGATAAATTCTTAAATTTAGGCTCATGCTTAACTTGGGGTAGA